ATATTTGAGAATGAATCGAACAAAAGGGGTTGTAATAATAAAATTAAATTTCAATTTCAAAAAAATTTAAACGTATGAACATTAATTAAGATTTATATGATAATTGAATAGCTGTTTTAATCTCTAAATTTATGCAAAGTTATTGAATTCCATTTTATTTAGGAGAAAGATATAATGCTACATTTTCTGAAATATTAACAATCCAATTAAACTATTATGAATCTATAACATCCTATAATCGCTATGGAATATCACCAATTCCTTTCAAATTTGGTAATTTCGAACAGAATATTCAGGAAATTATATGTGAACCCTAAGCAAGATCAAAAACCTGATTAAAACGAGAGTATCCAACCTAATCTAAAAAAAACTAATATATATGATCTAAATTGAAAATTAAAATGAATAATATTTATCAAGTTAATGTCCTAAAAACACAAATTGCTATCAAATCGTAAAGTATATTCTGTAAAAAACTGTGGATAAGATTCACCAACTTAAACTTAATAAAATGAATCACCAATAACAAATTCATTAGATAAATCATATCATAATATCAAATTGATTTATGATGAATATTTATAGATTATTTAAGAATAGCCTCCAATTACAAAAGAAATAATGAATTTAAAGGACAAATTAAAGTTAATATATAAAAGTTCACTTCAGTCTAGTAAGATTGAAAAGGAAATGCGTATTTTTTTGAAGATGTGAAGATTAATATGAAATGTATCTTTGGTAAATAGTTTGATAAAAATAACTTAAGCTATTACTAAAGTGAGTTTCTAATGGATCAATTTCATAGTTAAGGTGCTTTAATTTAGTAAGATGGTACAATACATGTAATTTTCATGTTTTCTATTTTAGCAAGGCATATATTTTAGGGTACTAGTAGAGGAGATATTTCCCATCTTATCGCGTTCTTATGATTTGAAAATTCAAACTTTTCAAAATTATCTAAAAAGGGCAACATTTACTTGACGATAACGGATAGACAAGTGGAATTGGAAAATATATTTGGATAGAGGGGTCTACATATTTTGGTGATTTCTTTGGTGGTAGTTTTAATGGATTTGGATAAATGACTTTTGTAAATGTAAAAATTAATATTATTAATCATTTTATCTGAAACAAAAAAAATGGGAGTTTTTTTATGGAAAGAAATATATAGGTTATTTTCACAATGGCTAGGTTGAAATTTAAGCAATTTTGTAAAAAAAATCACATGAAGAAATTTTTGATTATATAGCGATTAATGATTTAAACATCCTTATTTACCTATTTATAAGTATTTTATTCTAAGTTATTTTCATTCTTTAGCCATTTAAAGAAAAACTAGATTATTTTTTAAATTGAATTAAAGTTTTAATAGATAGAATTTTATTATTCAATTCATATTTCCTATTCTATTTCTACTGCTTCATCTTAATTTTTTGGATGATCTTCTCCCTCTTCCTGGTTTTCTGGAGGATCAATTACTAATTGTTTTACTTAAGTGTTAGGTGTTTCTGTTTATAAGTTTGCCTAAGTATTTTTTTTCTCTAAAGGAACGACAGAATATCCATATTTGTTATGATACATAGCAACTAACTATTCATTAGTTTTGCCTCTTCCATCTATCAAACAAAAATGACAATAAATAAAATATAGAAAATTTATTATGGCAAATAGCAGAAATCCACCAAAAATCTTGATTCCCTTTTCCAAAAAAGGAAAACAAAATATTAGGATAGCTTAGAAGCTCCATCTAAGTTCAGTAGATATAAATGTGCCATCACTATCATTTATTTAAGGCACTATGCTCTATTAAGGATAGAACAAATTAATTACCCATGCCACAGGTCCTAAAGTAGCAGCGAATGTCATTATTAGCAAAAGTAATAAAATGAAAATTAAAAATTCTGTTCCTTCACTGGCATGTCGAGATATTACAGAGACAGCTAAATTCAAAGAGCCAATTATTAAAGATCCAATCACTATTAAAAGTCTTGTATTTTAATACTTAAAATGTATTTACTCCCAATTTTATTAACCATATAAATAGTTGAGAATTAAGCAAGAAAGCCTGATAGCCCAAGACATATTGTGTATATTGTCTTTTGAGTGATGTCATTATCTGATAAATCACTAAATATTTGTGCACTATAATAAAATACTAGCGAAAGAGCCACACCATATTTATACGAGCATCTATGTAATTAATAAATTATACAGAAATAATTCCGACTTGAAGGGTTATTAATTTTTGTTTTTCAAACACTTTAAAAAATGATTATTACTTTTGTAATATATTACTGTTAGGCTAATTAAGTGTACCTTTCATATTCCTCTTCTACATTCTCTAATTTATAAATCTGGCAAATCACCTATTATTATTTATAATAATTATAACGTATTTGGCTTATTCATAATTTCCTCTTTTTATTAATTGCTCTGGGCTCTCATAATTATAAATGAAATGGATTATTAATTGTCTAAATATGCAAATTATCGAAGGAAATAAAAAGACAACTCTCCACCAGTTAGAAGTAGGACCATTGTAGCTATTTTTAGAATGGTGATAATTAATACTTAATGTAACCTATTCCCATCAACTATCCAATGGCTAAACCAGTGTTGATGCCATACCCTACCAGCATACTCATTTGACTAAAGTATTAAGAAGGGCATAAAGATTTTATGTAAACAGGCATAATTAAGCTTGATATCCCATTAGATATTCCTAAGAAAAACCTAACAGCAACAATGACTTGATAATTAGAGATTGTAGCCAAAAGACTAAAAATTCCAATAACATCTGCAACTTGAAGACATTATTTATTTGTCAATTTTTATTTAATAATATACCCAATAAGGACACCAGCGACGCATCCTAATGGGAGAATACCATTTAGCAAGCTTAGTTTTGAAGTTCTCTCTTCTTCTGTTATTTATCTAACTTATTTTAATCAAAATACAAGTTTGCAAAAAGCGTATCAATCGACAACGTCAAATAGCTTAAAACATATCCAATATTCAGAGATCCTATAGCGATATTCATATTCATCATTATGGTTGATATTTTAGATCTTACTTTTGAATCATTCTTTTAAGATGACATAATCAGCTAATAATTTATCAAAATAAAATGGTAATTAAGATTTGCTATTAATCCAAAAAATACGTTGAATATAATAGTATGTATGGAATTTGATATTAAATAAATAAGGAATATTTAACAAATTAACTAAGAAATTAATTTGCCAAACGTTATTGATTAATTTCCCTAGTCTTCAAATTAATACCATAGCAAAATAATAACTTAAGAGAAATTGTACAAAATTATAACAAATTTCACAAAGCCAAGGATTTAGAATGTTCTCAAATTAATTTGATAATAAAATGCATGTTTTTCCTCTTCTTTTTAAAAACCCTTACCCTAAATTTAAGTAAAAGATATTTAAAAGTCTAAAAATACCCAAAAATACTTTGACATATTCAAAAATATATGGAAAATATACAATTAAAACTATTTTTGTCCTAGTTCTTTTGAATATTAGAAGATCATCAACCACAAAATATAATTACCAACTGTTAAATATGAGGGAAGATTCTTAATATAAAAAGAGAAGTTTGTTAAAACTATTGAAAAAATGCGTTAACCTTCTAAATGATGTTAATATTTATTTTCAATTTCAAGTTAAAGGAGATTTATTCAATTTTATTCAAGAATATTATTTAGTTTTGCAAACCCTTAACTATTAAGGTTGATTGATGTTCGGAATATGAAAATAGAAGAACACAAAGCGAAAAAATAATTACTTTTTGGAATAAGGATCAAAAAAATAATATAAATGAGATGTTCATTTCTAATTTCATGTTCTCTATATTAGTTTAATATCGTTTTTAAAGTTTAGAATAAAGAGGAGATCTATTTGTTAATTATCATTATTTAAAAATAGATGATTTATTTGTTAATTAACTATAAATAAAAATAGATTTTTACGTAGCAAAATGTAGTTTGAAACAAGATTTGAATTATTCTTAGTTTTTTGAGTTTTGGAATATGCAATAAATTGGATAAAGTTGGTTTAGCATTACTTATTCCTTTGTTGATTATTCAGTTATTAACTGAGAAAACAGACATCTATTATCTGATATTTATAAAATAAGTAAGGAATTTGGTTTGATCTTATAAACTAATGCAGGAAGTTCAAATTCTAGAATCACGTGATAGAATTCCTTTAACTCTTTAAATCTTTATCTTCTATTCAATATTTTATCCCAATATAGGAATTAATAGTCATTATATTAATAACATTGTTGAATTTGCAAAAGACTTTTTGGATTTCTTTTGGAAATATCCACTATTCATAATACCTTTTACAAATTTACCTCTCATCTCATTGTTCCATACATAAGTTGAATATAATTACCATGCTTCAACTAGTTTAGACCATACTTAATGCTAAATGAAAGAATAAAACAATTTTAAGATCTGGTGAATGTTGATTGAAATATGATAATTTTTCTATAAAGTGGTAGAATTCTGTTTATATAAATATATTTATTAACATAAGAATAAGTATTTTGACAGTTATAAAATCTTTTCGATAATAATATTAAATAAATTTTTATCAAATGGGAATTTGTTCCAGCAATAAAGCCAATAAAATTCATTCTCATGATCGCGAGGTAGATTATAAGCCTTTTGTTTTTGATACTTCAATTGTTCCTGATTAGCATCCAGAAGTGAATACAAAGTAAACTAATACTGTTGCTGATCGAATTATTCTTTACATAATAATTCTAATCAAGCCACAACAGTATATTATCGTGCTCTAGAAGAAATGTAATATATTAGCTCATTTTGAGGCAAAATAAGTAACAAACCAAATTTGAAGATTTCTTATTTCCTCCTAATTAAAGTAGTCTTTCAAAGGATCCTAATTTTAAAAAAGGTAAAAACTTAGTTTGGAAAAGACCAGACCAGTTTTTAGAGCCAGGTTAAATTAAATTGTTTGATGTAATATCTATTTAACTTGATAGACAATCGATCCAATGGACATTAAGTAAGGTGAGCTTGGGGATTGTTATTTTTTAAGCTCATTATCTGCTTTGGCAGAAATTCCACAATAAGTATAAAAATTGTTCAGACATCAAGAATATTAATAAAGTGGTAAGAGTGATTTTCTAAATAATAAGGACTTTATGGAATTTTTATGTGTAACAATGGAATACTATAGGAGTAGGTGATAGATGATTTTATTCCATGTCAAAAGTAAGGAGGCCCAATATTTTCTAAAGCAAATGGAAATGAATTATGGGTACTTCTTTTGGAAAAAGCCTACGCTAAAATATATGGATCCTACCAAAAAATAGAATAAGGTCTAGCCGGTTAAGCGTTAAAAGATTTAACTGGAGCTCCAAGTGAATATTTTATAAGAAAAGCCGAAACTTTAAAAGATGCCGATTTATGCTGGGAATTCATGGAAAAATATGACAAAGAAAAATACATTCTAACAGCATCATCAGAAACAAATGAGTAAGGAACAGAATAAGATAATGGAAATGGAATAGTATCTTAACATTGCTATGCGATATTGGATGTATAACGGGTTATAGGAAGTGATGGAAAACCTGATCGAATAATTAGGATTAGAAATGTATAGTATTTAAAGTAAATTTGTATAGCCTTGGGGTCGAAAAGAATGGATGAAGGACTGGAGTGATAACTCTTCAAAATGGACCCCTGAACTAAGAGAGAGATTATAAGTTCACCGAAAAGATGATGGAATATTTTGGATGAGTGTTAATGATTTTATAACTGAATTTAGTTAGGTTTGTGTATGCAAATTTAAACCAGATTATTTATATACAGCTACACCACTTAAAGTTGAGAAATCAGATGCTGTAACCACAAAAGTGATTTTAATGAAAGTTTACGAAAAATCGCATGCATTTATAACCTTAACTCAATCAGATAAACGCTTTTTTTAGAAAGGCCATTAATATTCATTAACCAGATTAATTATCGGAGAATTAGATGCCCATAAGAAAGAGGTTTTACATTATTCAGGTTCTGCATTTGATAATGAAAGGGATATTGTAGTTGAGAAAATATTTGAACCAGGATATTATGCCTTATATGTTGAAGTAGATTGGACCTAAAATTATGATCGATATTTAGCAGTATCATGTTATGGATCAAAATCAGTTTAATTTACTGAGTTGTAATTTCCAGCTGGGTAAGAAAAACACTCTATAGATAACATTTTTAATGGATTTTTGAGAGCACATGAGAGGGATACTGATGAAGAAAAAGTTAAAGATATTGAACCTGGAATCAGAAGAATTTCTGGAATTGTGGGTGGCTATATTTATTATTGGTATCAAAATTAAACAACTAAAAAAACACTTCATGAAGTTCTTCATTTAAGTAACATATAAAATCTGGAAATATGTCCTCCTTATTCAAATCCAAGCAAGGTGGAAATCTAAATCAAACCTTTATCAACAGTTATGATTAAATATCGAGTTACCAAACAAGGTGGAGGTTCTTACGGATACTCATTAAAATGTTAAACGTAGGTTATTGAGGCCAAATCTGAATAAGATATCATTCAATAAGCTATCGAATAAGCAGATTAAAAATTGTAAAGAAGTCCCTTAGGAGAAGTATTAATTAATATATTTCAAGAATATATAAGTCTTCTTTTATCTAGTTAAGTTCCCGGCTGGAGTTGCTTTCTATTATGAAAATAAAGATCAAAGAACATATTAAGAAACCATTTCGTTTGAAGTCTCTAATCTGAAAGGAGTAGAATTAGATATTTCTAAAGAAGTAGTCATAGAAATTCCACCTGGTCAATCTAAATTGATTAAATTGCAATCTATTGATCCAAGCTAAGGGTACTCATATAGATATTCCTTTATGTCTAAATTAATATGAGAAATAATTTGGAAATTATACAAATTATTATATTTTAATTATTTATTTATTAATCATATTATGGGTTAGGCTTAGCCTGCTTAAATGAATTCTCAGCAAGAGGAATAATCTAATGCAAAATTAACTCAATATCCTGCATAAAAAAATGAAAAAAACGTTGAAAGTTAAGAATTAAATTCTAATCAACCAAATTAATATTAGTTTACCCAAAATCTCAATAGCCACTAAAATGATAAAGCAGATTTATAAAATATTGATGAGGAAATATAGAGCGCTTAGGATATTGAAAATATTTGGTTGACTAGAACTTTTGGAATATTTACAAATACCTAATAGATTTATGGTAAGGAAGTCGATTTTATACCCAAGAATTAAATATTGACAGTTGATTTTTTAATAGAACAAGTTTATTACCAATTTTTAACATCCTCCTAGTTTACTGAATAAGAAAAACTAGATTTCCTTATTAAATCATTGTCTTCTCTATCTAATTCCTAAGTTACAAATGAAATAGTGAATTTGGCTGAAGGCAAAATCAAAAAAGAAAGATATTTTGACCTCTTAAATCATATTTAAGGTCAACTACTTACTTGTACATTATATCCTGACGCTTTTGAGTGGTAAAACATTGATGAAGACCCTAATGTCTTTGAGGATGCTAAAAACTTTAGAGCCAACATTATCTTTAATGAAATATTCTGCTCAAATAATTTTGGCATATCCTAAAATACACTTATAAACTTATTAGATTATTTAGAAACATAAGCGAGTGAAGATGATTCATTTAAATTTTTAGAACTTATGTTGAAGAGAGAACTCAAATTATATACGCGGTTAGCTTTTGACGATATTCGATTATAATAGCATTCACTTGCTCTATTGCATATTTTGGCATAATACAAAAAGCTGATGGAGAAACTATTATCAAACAGCTGGGCGTATTGCAATTTCGATTTGATTAATACTGGAATTAATTTTTAATAAAGAAGCTTAGTTGGGATTTTGTTATCCTTAAGCTCCTTTCCAACAGATGGACATCTATGGAAAAGCCATTTCTCGGATGATAGGAAATAGATGATGGAGCAAATGAGTAGTTTGAGAACAAGAATGTTTACAATCATAGATGATTTATGCATGCTATTTGAAAAGATTTTGAATTCAAACGAAATACTTAGATATAAATTTTTTGAATTTTTATCTAATATCATTAAATTGAATTTAAATTTAGAAAAATAATTGAACATTTAGTTGTAAAAATTGTCATCAAGTCCAGGATTAGTGAATCATTTATTTTATATTCTTACCTATCTATTCAACAAATTTGCAGATTCATAAACTACAATTAACTTGTTCATAAAGAAAATCGATTTAAATTTATTAAGTTATTGTAAGAAACATCCTCTCTTTTAACCTTTGTATTAGAATGTTGACTTGTTGGCTTCAGAATTAACACCATTTGTTGAACCTAAAGAGTTTAAAACTATTATCGATCCAATGACAGCTTTATATCTATTGACTTAAAGATTAAGTCATATTGTGGCTACCTGTTTACAATAATTTTACATCTCAACAATTATGAGAGAGATGAAAGATTTACCGCAAGAGGCCTTTTAAACTTAAGTGTTTGATATACTGTTAAAAAGGAAAATCTCTTTCGACCTATAAATTTTACACCCTAAGGGTATAAAATACATCACTCAATTTTTAAGTTTTGCTAATTAATTAGCTTTAAGTCTAATAGATACAGATCTAAAACCTATTTATCCTTATGGATTATTGTCGGCCACCTTTTTAATTGATACCTAAACATTTGTATCAATTTATGCTTATAACGATGAAATTATAAACTATGTCATAGAATTACAAAAATGTTGTGAGTTTGCAGCAATATCAATGAACAAAAAATTACTTCCAAATCCTCACTTAAGAATAAGATCGATAAATATATTTTAAATCATTGATGAGACAAAAGGTTCATTTTTGTAAAAGTATACACGGTAAAATTGGAGGCAATCTTAAGAACTTAATATTTTGTTTGACTCCAAATTCCTTAGAACATGCCTGGTTGATGGATTAATATAATCTTTTATCGATACAGAGAAAGTGGCAGAAGGAAATCAATATTTCTAGAAGTTAAACATTAGAGTTAAAATTTGTTTAATAATAAGATACCTCCTTTAAGTACATAAAAGTTTATATCAAGAGAGTTTGTTTCACGGATTTAAGAATGATTAAGAACAGTAATTGCACTTTTCTAATTACTTTTTGAACGACTTCATATATGTAATAGAGGAATGCTTATTATCCTTAAAAAATATAAAGAAATTATAAGTTGAATAACAGTCCTTTTTCTAAAATCATCAACTTCATAAGTTGCAAAAAGAACTAACTATTAAATCATAATTTTTTTATGAATATTTACGATCATTAGAGGTGATAACTTCTATTTAACCTGAAATATTTTTGATTGATGAAATTAGAGAAAAATTAGCAATTCATTTAAATTATATTTTAGAGCAAATTAATGGTAAATCATCTGAAGATATTGCTTAGAATATTGATGTATAAAATTTCGATAAAATGTTTGTTGTTGAAATTTTAATAAATGTCTACACTAATTTGAGAAAAAACTAGTAGTTCATTCTTGAAGTAGTTAAGGATGAAAGGTAACATATATGTTTATTAAAATAGATCATTTTCAGTTGAATTATTCAAGAAAACATAAAATGAAACAAAATAATACATCAATTATGAAAAATATAGCTTATAATTTGAAGAATTCATAAACTAAGTTGAAGAATTAAGTTAGAAATAAAAAGTCCTTTTTTAAAATTAGGAAGATATACCAGAAGAGTTCTTAGATCCATTATGTTTTTCGTTCATGAATGATCCAGTTAAACTTCCTCATTCAAATGTATGATTGTAATCGATGTTTAGGTAATTGTGGATAGGCTCACCATTAAAAAGCATCTTCTGAATAATTCAATTGATCCTTTTGATAGGAGTCCATTAACTTTGGATATGGTGATTGAGTAGAAAGAATTAAAGCAGAAGATAGATGAATACATTGCAAAAAATCTAGAAAAATTAATAAACAAATAGACTTTAAACTAAGAATAGAAATGAGGAAATATAAAGTATATAAATTAAATATAAATCGTCAAAAGAATTTCGTCACATTAATTATTATAATTTTAGAATAATTATAAAATACGTCTTAATTTAATCGTAATCGTAATAATTCACTTTAAAATAGCAAGACTCTTTCTTTTAAAGAGATTATATTATTTAATTATGGCAAAATCTTTCAAAGTACTCTTGGGAACATTTTTCTTTTAATTCTGGATTTTATTTATGGGACTGGCTGGCTACATGGTCTACAGATTGATTGTTTATAGAGAGACTTGGAATATAGTTCTTTTTATTGTGACCATGATCTTACAAATCAAATATGTGAAATCAGAATTATTCATAAAATTCTAATTATGGTTTTAAATGATGGAATGGTTTGACAAGAGAGAGATAGTGGAAGTGGAAAAACCTAAGAAAAGCAATTCAATGGTACAAGATTATGATAATTTAGTTTTGTTTTCATCCTCATGGCATATACAGTATGGGAATGGTACATAATTTGTACACAAAAAATACATTCTTCGAAAATTTAGTGGTATTAAGTTCAAGATTTGCGCTATCAATTCCATTTTCAGGGTTATTACTAACATTGTTTGGATTATAAGGAGTGCATCCTGAAAATCTAACTAAGCTGTTGAAAAAGGGGTCAAATGTAGGAATTATGGTAGGGGGATTTGAGGAGGCAACTCTAACCAAATATGGAGAAAATAGAGTTTATATTAAGGAAAGAAAAGGTTTCATAAAATATGCATTGAGATATGGAACTACAATCTATCCTGTCTTTACGTTTGGTGAAAACAATATGTTTTATACTTATAATGGGTTTTAATCGTTGAGACTTTGGCTTAACAAATTTAAATTAATAGGTACCATCTATTGGAGTAGATTTTTAACAGTGCCTGTATTATTATATTTATTATCAAAAGGAACCTCATACTGAAATGATAACTGTTTGTGGTAAAGGGATAGAATTACCTAAGATTGAGAATCCATCTAAGGAGGATGTCGATAAATATCACCAAATTTATATTCAAGGATTGAAGGAATTATACGACACATATGGTCCAAAATACGCACCAAAAGTACCCTTATAGATATTTTGAAAATATAATGTTTATGCGATTAATATTAATATTAATATTAAAATTTAAATAATGAGTGTAGGAAAATTAAAATTCAAAGGCTCTTTTGGTGAAAAACAAGAGAAAAATGAATAAAAAATAAGAAATAAAGTAGAAAGAGAGGAACTTGCTTAAGATGAATAATAATTCTTAGAGAAAATTCAAGAAAAAGGACCAGCAAAAAGAGTCGTGATTGATAAACCATTATAAGATGGGTTAGGGATGATATTTACTTCTGGTACATCTGTTCATGGTTAAGATACTTAATTCTTAAAACAGCTAGAAGCTGGAGATTTCTTAGTTATTCTTAATGAATAAACATTAGAAATGGAATCAAGAGAAATATTAACAATGTTGAATTAAAAGTCTCTTTTGATAAGAGAGGCATTTGGTTAAGATATTCCTGTGTTCAAACCATATTAATTTCGTAAAAAACCAACTGTTGAGGAAATGAAAAGCTTAGAGGATAGATTAGAAGAGAAATTTGCAGGAGTGGCTAAAAAAATTAAGAAATAAAAATAAACACTTGAAATGCGTCAAAAGAGTGGAATGTGGAGTTATAAGACTGATAAAATGGCTGTTGATGGAGAATTAAGTAGAGAGGATCTGGTTTTAATGAGATCAAAACAAAGTAGGGATAGGCATTGTTGGTACTGATATTATTTAAAAAAATACATAAGTAATTAACTCATATAAATCATTTATAAATTAATTATATTTTTTCCCAACAAATCCTCTAACTCATAATAATAAGAACTTATAAAATGAAAGCTTGGCGTATAGATTTAATTAAACCAATATTTGTTTTTAATTTTCTTTTTAATGTTATTTTAAGATACAATTCATTATGAATGCATTTATATGGATTAAAATAGATATTTCTTATGTTATTTCATTATGATAATTGGTTATGACTAACATTTACAATAATTCACATTAATATTCTTTTTAATAATTAATTTTAACCTGATATTGGAACATAAAATATTTAAATAAATGAAATTCATAAGGCACCTACTTATGCAATATTATGATACTTTTGATATATCAATACATAGTGAAATTAGACTTTATAGTAATAGAATTATTGATGATTTATGTTTAGTTTTATATTTAATTCAAAATAGATTATTATTTAAGATACAGTTAAGGAAATCACTTAATCAGTCTTTTATATTGCTAAAAGAACTTTGTAGGGAAAAAATAAAGAACAATTTCAATAAAATTAATCTCATCTAATCCTTCATTTTTCTTTGTCAGACCTATCTATTTGATTCTTTTCTTGAAATTTTTGTTTCTAAGAAACTTTAGTTTGAGATATTCAAATATTAAAAGTAAATGTTTTTCATAAATAATTTAATATGCTTTTTATTTTACTACAAATATAAAACATCCTCTGTGGTACCTTATGGCCAACTTCTGATGCAATAACATTATCAATTTCAAATCGATATGAATTTGCGGATTACACCTTCAAGATGATTCCAGAATCAGCTATTCCTATTGGAGGTGAATTATAAATCATCTTCCCATCATAATATCTCTCTGGCTTGGGCATAGATCTTGTCTTAGATGATACCTGCTCACATGTTTGCACAATTAGTGGATACTTGGTTCGCTTTTATATGGAAAATGACATTCAAATCAATGAGACTATTACTGTCAAAATCAATAATATAAAGAACCCTGAGAGAAAAGGTGGAACAGGAAATTTCATTGTAAGGTCTAAACTTGGACAGAATGTTTTTGATGAAAACTTGATTTTTGGAACTGTTGGTATAGCTGATTATGCGCTTGATTTGAACTCCATGATAATCAAAATTGATGAGACTAGTACTAATGTGGTTAATGAAATGGCCTTATATAATTTTTATATAAAACCTCCTATTGATTTGCCATCGGGATTTTACTTATAAATTACTAGTCCATTGATTAGTGATCTGACTACATGTAAATTGATTCCATTTAATTTCGTAACCCTAAGTGGTGAAATCAAATGTGAGGATGGAATTATTGTAACTGGCTTCCCTAGTGTGGCTGCTTTGTTTACATTTGGTATTCAAATCAATTTTAAAAACCCATCCTATTCTTAGACTACTCCTAGTTTTAGAATCGTAGCTTATAGAAAGAATACAAAAATGGCCTATGCATGGAGATCAGCTGTTGATGGCCTATACATTTAGCCTAGTCAATTCATAACTATCACAATAACCCCAGGATCAAAAAAGACCACTATAATTTCTGATTACAAACTCAATTTAAAAATAAAAAATGCTGTACCCAAGAGTGGAAGCATTATAGTCTAATTGCCATTGAATTTTTAATTGGCCAATGGATATGATTACATATTTGTATCATCTGGCATTGTGAGTGATGCATTGGCTATTTCATCAACCTTGTATTAATTCATAATTACAGATTTTGAAGAAGTATAAATCATTTTTATATCAGATACCTTAATATAGTGATATTGAAATAGTATTCAGAGTTGTCAATCCTTAAATTGCTGGCTAGAGTCAATCGTTTATTGTTCAAACTACCTATGATGGAACTCATATAATTGAACAATGCAATACTAATTTAGCAGTCAACATAATAGAATTAACTACATATAGCCCAGTGGTAGCTACACTTACTAGTCCTTATGCTAATTCTCTTACAAATTTGTAGTTTACTATTAATAGCATCAAGAATTTAGCTAGTAAAATTGTGATTAATTTTGGACCATAATGGTAATATTAGGTTACAACTCCTACGAATATTTAATGTTAATTAGGAGGAGCATCATCTTCACTTTGCGAACTTGTTAATACAACTTTGACAATGACATTCGCTACCTCAGTTTCAGGAACTAAAACTGTTGACATAAATGGAATTCTTAAGGCACCTCCTTATGCAATAAATTAATTTTTAATTTATGATACATTTGATACTTCGAATGTAGACATTGAATCTGGAAGTGTTAAAATAACTATAAATCCAAAATTGGATAGTGGAGCATAATTTACTTGGTATGGTTAAGGAGTAATTATATTTATAAATATTTAAGTTATCAACAAGTACTGTAAATTTATATGCAACCTTATAAGTTAAGTTTACTCCTAGTGTGAAAATTCCACCATACATCATTATAGTAGATGACGAAACTGATGAAGGTACTGTAGATGAAGGCACTACTACTGATGGAGGTACAACTACTGATGGAGGTACTACGACTGATGGAGGTACGACTACTGATGGAGGTACGACCACTGATGGAGGTACAACAGATGGAGGTACAGATACTCCTACAACTCCTACTTATCCTACATTGGAACCACCATCTGCACATGGTGAAATATGGATTGAGTTCGGTCCTTTATTAACTTGGGATTCTAATTTAGGAATTGATACTCTATTTTGTATTACCGATCTTGTTCCTTTAGATCAATATTTAATAGATTGTGAAATCTTTTAAGGTAGTTCGACTTCTTTACCCGAAATTAGATTAAAGAATTTTAAGGAAATAACTGAAAATACAGCGATTAACATCAAGCTTACAGGAATTAAAAATCCACAATTAAGCCCTATTATTTTAACAATATATAGTGGAATTAGATAATATAGCAATAGAATTATTTATGATTATGCTACAATAACTATTACTCTGTCCACTATAGTTCCTTTAACAGAATTAACATTGACATCAAGTTTCTCTACATCTGCACAAGCAGTAAATCAGTTATTTAATCTTGTTTTCTAACCAGGTTTTACAGGGGCTGTGCCAGTAGGATCAGTAATCAGAATCCAATTGCCAGGATATGAAAATGGATTTCTCTAAGACACAACTAAATGCACTGTAGATATCACTGATATGGCTTGCAATAAATTTAGGAAAATAGATTGGGTAGAAATCCCATTAACTTCAGCTGCATCTACAACGAGCATAATTACGTTATCAAATTTGAAATGGCCAACAACATCAAAAGCTTTTGGATATGTACATTGGGTTGTGTTTACATCCAATATGGAAGCATCAAAGGCTGTTGTTCAAGGAAGTGGAGCCACTTTTTTTCCAGCTCCAAATCCAAATGACTTTAACTCTGCCACAATCACATAATATTAAACTGGAAGAGGATATCCAGGATAAATTTTTAAGTTTGAATTTAGTGTTAATAATGACATCCCAGCAGGAGCAACAATGAGAGTCTAATTTCCAAATGAGTTTGCCTTAAGAGCCAGTAATCCAACTCCAGCTTGTAATGGGTATGATCCTGATGAAATTGAGTTAACAGCCATTCCTGCCAAAACTATATTTTAAATAATCTGTATGGGTGTAAAAACTCCAACAAGTCCTCCTGATAATGAAAGTGATGGATGGTCAGCATATATCTATATTGATGGAAGAATGCTCAACTAAAGATAGAATTTCTGTATAATTATATATTTATAATTTAGTTTCTTATTTTTATACAAATGTATTTTCATAAGGAACTATCAATATTTTGTAATTATTTGCAATCCCATTGAATATCAATGAAATTGCAACTTATACAATTGAATTCCAACCTGAAAACAGTTTATTGATTGGAGCAGAAATACATGTCACATTTCCTAGTTCTAATTTTGACAATTTACCATACCCTCCAAATCTAGCAGATTGTGATGTTGAAGGAGGTGCTGATTCATTTTAGAGTTGTTTATTGGATGGATCATCTTTCATTATAGTCTTAAATAAAATGTACGAAAGTGGATCCATTAAATTTATGATCAATAACATATAGAACCCACCAGATCTAATCAGCGATGGATTTATTATTCAGTCATACTATGATGGAGTGTTGATAGATAGTACTGATTAAAGTACATTGCTAAATCGTACTATCACTTATTACAGCAAGCCTAATTCCTTGGTAATTAACTAAATGTCCTTTCAACCACAAAATCAAGGAGTAAGGGCCAAATATTAATTTAACATTTCTACTGAAACTAGTGATTCTGTCAATGGTTCCATTGTTATCACTTTCCCTAACACCTATGACAAGAGATTAGGAGATAATTTAAAAGCATATGTGAATTCAATTAAAACCGATTTAAGTGTAAATAACAGAATTATCTCTCTCCCTGAATCCTAATACGCCACATCATACAATTCAATCTTAGTTGAGATCTAAAATGTTATTAATCCAAATACAGAAGAGAATTCTAATACTGGGGAATTCAGAGTTGGTATTAGACAAAGTGGCCGATATACTCATTATAATGGAAGTGTTGGTGTGTTGGAGATGTTAACTCCACCTGGTTGGCTCTATCTTGTGAATATTCAATTGGCCAATCAATATTCAAGATGGTAATCCAAATATACTTTCGATATGATATTATACAACAAAATACCAATCAATGGTTATTTAGAAATGGATTTCCCAGAAGATTATGAAATCTCAGACCAATTAGCTCCATGTAGTTTCTCCAAATGCACTTACACTAGTAATGTTCTAAAAGCATATGCGAATCAAATAAATGGGCAATTGCAATTGAATGTCTATGTTGAAAATCCATTATCGGAGGTGATCATTAAACAATTTGTTATGCAATCCAAAGATGAAAGATAAGTTGTAGAACAATCATATCCAAATCTGGATCCATTTGAATATGAATTTTAATATTCTGGACCATTGATCTTTATCAATAATGATTAAGATATCATAGTCCCTCAAGGATCTGAGTCTCCAGATTTATTATTTTTAGTCGAATACCCAATGGCCTTAAACCTAACTTTTAAACACACTTAAACTGGAGATTTCTAAGTCACTCCTAAAGACATTGTGTTCTCCTATACCAAAATGTCTACCACATTCAGAGTTTAGATTCCCTCAACATTGTAGACTGGCATATACTATATTTATTGGAAGACATATGGAGAAAAGGACTAGCCCGTTTACACTCCCATCAAAAAGTCTAAAGTTATAGTTGTTTCTCAAACACTCAATTTTTTAGTTACTGCCTTATATCCTATTCCAAATGGAGGTAATTCTCTAACCATGACTGTTTCTACTGTCAATGCTCCCTACGATACAACTACTGTAACAATCAAAAATAATGATAATACTTTCTATTTTGTGTCTGGTCAATAATCAGGGACTTCCATTAAATTAACATTCCAAGTAGGAGTTAACTCACAAACCTTCAGAGTTTATTAAAATTATACTGAGTTAATTAGATAAACTCAATTAGATATCCTGACAGAAGATGATCGACTCATCTTTTATTCCAGTGATAATCCATTATACACCATACCACCATAATAAGTAGTCAAATACATTGATGCCACCAATCTTAAACCAAAATTGTCTAAATTTTCTGTTGAAGACATCAAACAGTACTCAGCTTCCATTTCCATTGAAATCAATCAAATTTCTGAAGCCTATTATATGTATTGTTTAAATAGAACAACCTAGCCTGAAATTTCAGAACTATTGAGTTTAGGTCCTCCACTCTATATGTCTTCTTAATCAAAATATGGATATTTGAATATCTTGGCCAAATCAAGCATATCCTTAGACTTATTTGCTTAAACAGACTATGCCTTCTACATTGTGTTGAAGAATCAAGAGGGAATTACATCAGATTTATTTAGTCTAAATTTCACTACAAAAAATCGAAGTAAAATAGCATAATTCAACTGTTTTCTCCCTTTTTAAGCGAATCAAGCCTAACTCGTTACGGTAATGAATTACATAGCCTTCATACTCAGTTTACCTAGTTGGAAGATTCAATAAAAAGTGGAGTACTAAACACCCACTAGGCTTTTGGCTACAACCACTTTACAAATGTATATTATACCATTCAATGATACTGAAACTTATCCAGTGCCTAAAGACTTGATCAGCAGAATCACATCAGATGCATAGTTTAAAAGATTGATGGGCATGTACTTGTCATTTGTTTCCATCTCTGCGATCAACTAAGCAATAGCTGAAGTACCTACTATTCAATCATCTACTTTAAGTAATTCATACCTTTATGACTGCGAAATCAAAGTTTAATTAAGTACCTATGGTTATATCTTTGCTGTTGCATCCAAAAATGATGTTTCAACTCCATTCCAAATATTCAAAGGCTTAAACAATATCAATGTGTAAATTCCATCTGCTAATGTTCATGTCACTAACTTAACAATTATTAGCTCCTTTAATTTATCAAATTTAGAACCAAACTAAACATATTCCATCTATATCATATCTGCATCAGATCTCCCTGAGTATCCAGATCTCTCAGATAAAGTCCAAACGCTTACATGCGCGACGAAAAAGCTAACAGATAGGGCACCTCTTGAAATTGTTTACAATTCAATCCTAGCAGTAGGCTTGATTATATATTTCATATCAATTTGAAATATGATCATATTTTAAACTCTATACTATTTATATCATTATTTATTATTATAGTTCTTATGATAATAAAATATAATTTAAAAATAATAAATAATTTGTTCATTTGAGTTTACCTTATTTTTGATGTTTAATAAAGTCGGAATCATTATAAAATAAAAAAAAATGCAATTTTTCTAATTTATAATAATTACAATACATTTTTCAACAATCAATGAGTTCATCTAACATTAAGGGCAATCTAATGGGAAGATTATGCAGCATGAACCTATTGCGTGGTTTTGGCAATTTAAATTTTAATAAGTATTATACTCTGTAAAAGGGGAATGACAAAATGTACAATCCTCCTAAAACTCTGGATCAAAGGTTTTAGTTTCAGACACTTCTTTTGTAAATTGAACCTAAATCTATAAAAAGTATTCATCCAGCAAGTCTTCATTTATTACTATATTGCATCTTAGACATTTCGGAGTTCTTTATGATTTATAGATAGCAGAAACACATTTTACACATATTACATGATGACAATTTGTTTTACAAAATGATTCTGTTTTTTCACAAATCTAATTACAATTACCACATTTTTTTTATGAGTTTTAACTCTAAGATAACTTAAAATATTAACTTAATTCTTTTGATTTAATAATTTCATTGCATTTCAAAACATTACATTTGAATTACTCTGCATTTAAGCTTTCAATTTTTAAGAAACAAAATTTACAGATAAAATGATTGCATCTAGTCTTATAGATTAAATCTTCTGTGAATTACTTAAGACATTAATTACATTAATTATTTAGATTCTTATCAATAGGTTTCCCATTGCTAGAAATCATAGATTAAGAAATTTATTTTTATTAATTATCAGTTTTCATTATTATTTCAGTTTATTTTTGAACGATTTGAGATTGTGTTATTTTACTAGAAATGCTTGATGGTAAATCTTTTTAATTAAATTTACCATAGCAGCCAACAATAAGACACCTAAAATCATTTTGTTAATTAGTTTTGAATTTATCCTACAAACATTGCATACAAAACATATGAGAACATTCTTGTGGCCTTATTAAAAATTCAAGGCTTGATTTGGTTTTACAAAGAATGCAACACTCTTAGGGAGTTGGTATTATCGGAGTCTCTCCATAGTTTTTCATTATTTATTAGAACTATTAATAAGTTATTTAAGAGGGGCAATGTTATTGATTACAAATAATTTTAAGTTAATTTTGAGAGAATTATTTTTTTAAACAGGTCAGACAAATTAAATGGCTGCATTCAAATTTCAGCAATTCTTTTAAACTTTTATTTTAACAACATCGACATTTATCAACCAAATAGTTCTGCTCTTTTTAAATTACGTAAAACTTATTTTCCAAATTAAATATAATGATACTATTTCTGTCTTTAGAATCAATCGTTTGATAATTTGACTATTTTGTAGGAGGATATTTTGCAATAATCAATTTAATTTTGAAGACTTTCTAAAATTCTTGAATTAAATCATCATCTGAAAGAGAATAGTTATATTTCTGCTTAAAAAATTCATCGAGAAATTATTATGATGTATTATTATATTGATCCTTTTATATTAAGTATTCTATGATGAAGTTAATTACTTAATCGCCTTATAATTTATTTAGCGCATTGTACAAAATAGTCTTAAATTTTAATGCTTTATCGTTGCCTTAACATGATGTAAATTAGATCATATTTTTTAATGTACCAATTTCATTATTATGAATGCAATGTTCAATTTAGCCAATCATTATTGCTCCTTTTAAGTTCGATCCTACACGTCTCCATTTCTTAAAATTTTGTAATTAATTGATATGTTCCGGAATGTTTTAGATCGCAAAATTCTAATAATTATTTGTCATTAAAAGAAAAAGTTATTAATATGCAAATATATATGTATTTTATATTAATTTTAAACAGATGATAATTTTAAATAATATATATTTGAAATTTATTAACTGCTATGAGTTTAGATTAATCACTTGATAATAGTTCAAATCATTGGGAATAATTCGAATAGTTTCGAAAAAAAATTACATAAGAGTGCCAGAGTGAGGAGAAACACTTCAAAACTAAGAGGGATTCCTATACTTCATTAGAAAAAATTAGAAAATCCTCTGTGCATGATGATAGTGGACCAAAAGAAGTGTAATTCGCTGTAGATAGCAAACCTCCAATTCTTGTATAGCCAAGTGAAGCTGATAGAATTATTAAGTTGAGAATAGAGAATTAGGAATTGAAAGAGAAATTAGAGAAATACGAGAAAAATGAGTACACACATCAAACAAATTCAGAGGAGTTGGAATTGATCAAATAAGCACATGCAAAATAATTAAAGTCATAAAAAGAATATTACGAAGTTGAAAATAATTAGTTAAAAAACAAAATAAATTCATTCAATGAAGAATTGGAAGAACTAAAAAAAGTTTATAAGGAAAAAAACATGAAATTGTACAATCTTGTATTACAACTAGAATAAGTATAAAATAATATTAATGCAATAGGAAAAATAAGAATTGATTGACAAAAACATTCATTTGTTAGAAAACAGACAATAAAGTTCATAATAAGACATACATCAACTTGTTCAAGAGAGAACTCGAGTGTTGAGTGAATAAATCTATTAATTAGAGGAAAGGAATGCAAAATTGTAAGTAGAGAAAAGCAAAATCGAAGAAAAATATATGAATTTATTGAGTGGTAAATAACAATCAATGCAGAACACCCTAAGATCAGAAAGATCTGAAAGAAAGGAAACTAAAAACTGTGATACAGATAGAAAGTCAATTGAAAAGTTAAATCGATCCTCAATACATAAATCTGATTGTAAACCTCCTATGCCCACATCAATAAGTTAGAGCTTTGAGTAACTTCCCCCTGCTTAAAAGTCTATATTGAAACCTTCTAAATTGAATATTTCATCAAAAGAGAATCTTTAACCTATGAATCACTCAAAAATACTTGATACACCTCAATCGAACAGAAAATCCGCAAGGGCATAATCCTCTGTCTCTAAAAAAACTACTAAACCTCAAAGCCAAACTTAAAAGGTCGTGAAGAAAAAGTAGATATATTCAAAAATTAAATGAGCTTTAATATTCATTAATTATAATAAAATTTGAATTTCAATTTGTCTTTTAAAACAAGCACTACGCATAAATAGAAAAGCAAAATTCTTCTTATAATCATTATTAAGAAATGACAGTTAAGAACCATCTTATTTTGATTTGTACTAAATAGTATTTAAAAAATTAAGAAAATATCAAATTTAATTGAATTTAATATTAATTGATCAGAATCTTTCTCCTCTGATTCTTCTGGCTAATTGGATATCTCTTGACATAATGGTGACTCTTCTTGCATGAATTGCACATAAGTTGGTATCCTCAAATAATCCAACAAGATAAGCCTCTGCAGCCTCTTAAAGTGCTAAAACAGCTGAGCTTTAGAATCTGAGTTCCTTTTAGAATTCATGTGCAATTTCTCTCACTAATCTTTAGAATGGAAGTTTTCTGATTAAGAGTTCTGTTGATTTTTAGTATTTTCTGATTTCTCTAAGGGCAACAGTTCCTGGTCTGAATTTATGTGGCTTTTTCAATCCTCCTGTTGCTCCAACAGCTGGTGCAGTCTTTCTGGCAGCCTTGGTAGCCAAATGTTTTGTGGGCTTCTTGTTACCAGTGGTGCTCTTTCTTGCAGTTTACTTAGTTCTAGCCATTTTTTTATTTCTTTATTTATTTTTGAATTTATTACGAGGCTAATTAACATTATAAAAATAAGTAATTCTGCCTTATGATTGGTCGGCTTAGAATATCATGAAAGTTCTTATATTTCCATTTAAATCTAATCTGCGTTCTACTGTATGAAAAGATAAGTATTTTGAAATTACTTATCTTAAGATATTCTTTCATCCATCAGATTATTTGGGTTTTATACAAATTTTTTGTTATTTTTGGATATTTAAATTTTTAAACGTATCTTTCTTAGATTCATAAATTCTTTGATTATCATCACTAATTTATTTATTTATAGACAAATACATAGGTTTGAAATTAAATTACTACTAGAACATAAAGTACTATTTTAAGATTTCTACAGCATAAGTACTTGAATTATAATTTTATTAATTTGTAATATTAGTGTTTTTTAATATTGAAGATTCGTTGAATAAAGTTCAAATTAATCAAATTTAGAGAAATTAGACTTAAGAGATTTGTCATTTCATTTTAGAAAATTAAATTTCTTAGAATACTATTAAATTATTAGTAAGTAAGGAAAATAATTTTGAAAGTAAATTGAATGAATTCAATACTCTAACGATAGAAAGAAGGAAAATTATTAAAAAATGTTAATTTAAGCATTCCCTTTCCTAAAACACTATTTATATCTGAAAATGTATAATATTGATAATTCAACAAATAAAAAGATTAATACGGTTATAAGTATTAATAAATTATACTATAATTTGAAATAATTAAGAAGAAACAGATTTATTCTTTGATTAATAAGAGAGAAAAATCACAATTTATTTTTTGTTAGGGTATTAATTTGCAAAATTGTATACATTAATACACATTAATTGTAATAAATGAGAAATAGTTTTATATTGACAAATTTTCATAAATAAAATTTAATCTTTAAACTTATATTAATTTATATATACAATATTCATAAGACAAGTGTTCTGCCTAATGCAGAAGCTATTAATTCAATGCCTAGAGCCACAGTTTATGTTCCTTATATTCTACCAATCTAATTATAGTTAATAATTATTATTACTTATTAAAAATCTCCGAAAAACTCTTCTCTAAATTCTGGTGTCTTTTCTAGTTGAGGATTTACTTCTACCAAATCCATTCCTACTAATTATTTTGATGATGCCAATTTTCTTAATAAATAATGAGCTTCTCTATACGAAATTCCTCCATCGACAAGAGTACCAGTTCCATGTGCAAATTCAGGATCTATTGAATCAACATCGAAACTGACATGTATTGGTTTGCCTTCAAATTGCTTAAGAATTCGATTCATCACTTATCCTATTCCCAATTCAATGATTTCATCCATTCCATAATATACTATTTTCTAATCTCTTATAAATTCTCGTTCCATTGGATCTATATCTCTGATACCAACGTAAATAAGATTTTTTGGATCCAATCTGTGTTTTAACCACTCAAAACCTTTAATTGGTTCTAGAATGGAACCATATAGATGAGCCAATGGCATTCCATGATAGTTTCTATTTGGTCCAAGTTCATAATTGCAATCTGCATGAGCATCAACCCAAACAACTCTTAATTCATCTCCATAATGTTATAACAACCCATGGATTGACCCACTGGCTACACTATGATCTCCTCCAATATTAAGCATAAACTTATTCTGTTTGGCAATATCAAAGGATCTTTTGTTAATTTCTCCATTGATAACACCTAATTATTGACTGTTACGAAACTATTGACTTTTGACATTGTGAAGTCTGTAATTCTTACCTTGAATATCTCCCATATCATTAATTTCCCATCCCAAATTATACAAAGCTGATATGAGACCACCCTCTCTGAGTGATCTTGGAGCCAATTCTGTTCCTGTTTTTGTTTATCCTTCATGAACTGCAGAACCAAACAATCCAACCGCATTACGAACGAATTTCCACTGATTCATTAAAACCAGAAATATTTTTTTATATGTTAACTTATATCACGGCTTATATTTTCACAATATTCCTTATTTTTTTAAATCATAATAAGTTTTTTTATTAAGAAGATTTCCATCAGTATCTTCATATTCCTCCTCATATTCTGGTCTGAATTTGCTTCTCTCTTGATCTGATTGGATTTTTTTATACAAACTGATGGCATCCTAAATTTTAGTGATTTCTTTAAAATGCAAAGTATTTGGTATTCTCAGACATCTAAAAATTAACTAAATCAAATACCTCATGCCATAAGAATGTCTCCAACCTTGAAAGTGATCTTCAAAAGCCTTTCTTCCCCAATAGGATGTATTACCACATATTTCACATTTATATTCAACACCCAAACCATGTAATTTGTATAGCCAATAAGGAATAGGTCTCCCATCCCATCCCAATGGTAAATTCTTTGGATTATAGATTGGACTTTCATCTTCACTGCTCGCTTCTTCAGGTTGATCTAAAGAACATAATTATTCAATTATACCTAATTATTAATCTTAAACTGGAACAGCTTCATCATCTTCATTTTCTTCATATCTTCTACTTTATTTCTTTCTCACTAAATTCATTGTGTCATTCAATTGTTATTGTAGAGTATCCTTGTATTATATGATGGCCACTTCTAAATAAGCCATCTTCTTTTTCCTTTGTCCTTCATTGTCTTCCTTGGGTAATTCTTATTGATTGCTAGCTTAAATGACTTGCTCTATTTGTTTTTCTTTTAGTTTAGCTAATGCTTTGTGTTTTTTGCCATCAAAATGATTTACAAAGGTATTTTCATTTTAAAATTTCTTTTAACAAGCTTCACAATAATGAGGATGTCCTCTGATTTCTTCAGTTTCTTCTTTTCGGTGTTCCCAACCTTTAACTTAACCATTTTCCCATTAGGTTTAAAAATCAATATCTATTTTTTATTCAATTTTGCTAACATCTTATAATGGATTTACCTAAAATAAATTAATGATCTACTCTTAAATAAAAACTACGCAAATATTCCAACATATTTATGAGATATCTCTTGTATTTACTTCCCTCCTTTTCTTTGATATAGAGCGGGATGTCATGAAAATTTTAAAAATTTTGCAAATACCACAAATAATCCCCAATTTTGATTTTGTTGCTTTCCTTTAGCTTTTTGAGATTCAAGAATTCCTTATAGCTAGCATGCATATCAAGAAATCTACCATGATGTTCTTCTCCGGAGAAATAAGGTTCTTTGAATGGTGGTGCAAATGCTTACTCATAGTAAAATTCAACCTAAACACATTTAAGTTAATATAATGTACTTTATTTTGCATAGTCTGAACATTGGCGACTCTTTTATGATAATCTTTGATTTCTTTGAATCTTTCATAGAAGTTTTCCCAGACATCACCTGAACCTCCGACTCCTTAGAGATAATTCATCTCTTCTTTCTTCCAACCATCAGCACCATCTATCAATATCAATGCATCAGCCGCTGTCTTTTGCGCCATTTGAATTAAGTTGTGGATTCTGTGATCAAGGAGGACTGCCTAATTGGGAATCACTTGTTTGCTCTGCATACAGAATACCTATGGGTCTTTTCGATGACTTCGATTTAGGAGAAGGCTGCTCTCACCTATTCCAAGTAAGTGCTCGACATAAATTAATATAAATGAATTAATTTATACAATCATATATTAAAAAATTAATAAACAATCAAATTTTCATTTTTTGGTAATAAATTTTTGATTTTTCTCTCTGTCTCTCTTTTAATCTATTTAGTATTATTATTTAAATGGAGTGCAAAAGCGAACTTTGGAGAATGAAGAAAATTAAAAAGATTGGGCAGAAGTGTTTACATGTTAAAATAAATAATTTTAATTTATGAAATACCTCAACTACGACTTTATTGCACCCACTCATTTACATTACTTGAAGAGCTATCGCTATAAGGGCACAGATCAGTCCCTCTTATACAATTACATACTCTCACCTTTGGCTGAATTATGCCTAAGATTTGTACCTATGAATGTTGCGTATTTGAATTTGAATCAACCTTTATTTTTAGACCAAATGTATTAACATTGATGGGACTGGCATGTATTATCTTACCACATATACTTTACTTTTTTGTGATGGGTGACAACTTTGCGGGATTCATTCCGAATTGGTTGCTCTGGCTGACAGCCTTGTTGCACATGCTATACATGGTAATATATGTATTTTAAGAAGAATTTCGACAACTTGGATGGGAAGCAAGCAAGGAGAACAAGTAATAATAAAATAAATGTTTTTAAGAAAATTCCTCACCTCTTGGAATGATTTTGGATCACAATTTTGATTCCATGATCATCTTGCTATAGGGTATTCATCTTGCTTTTATGTTCTTCAAATAGGCACTAGCATGACTACTGCAATGCAATTTGGCAATACAATTTTCTCTGTCATCCTCTACATAATTCCCTCTGTGCCATTCTATATAATTGCTCACGAAGAATATTATACACATGAAATGAATCTGCCAATAATCAATGCTGCAGCAGAAGGCACAATAAGTGTGGCAGTAGTCTTCGCAGCAACTGCCTACTATGGTATTAATCAACACTTAATTAGGATGCGACATGTGGGTGTAAAAATTGCCATGGTTCTACAATTATCAGATGAACCAATTTGTTATGCTTATGTTCATTATTTCAGTTATCATAACTATGCCTGCAGTGTAAAATATACATGCCCTAACCCATTAGTTTCCAAAAGATCAAGAAGTTCACCTCCATCACTTCCTTATTAAAGTAACTGAGATATTTCTTCTTTTTTAATACTGTCATTCTGTATAGCATTTTGTTTTCAAAGACAAATGTAATTCAAGATCATGTGAGAGCGTATATGTACACTGTCGGATTCACTATGTCAAAAGCAGTGGGGGTTGTTGCTCTAAACCATGTCAGCAATTAAAACTTACCAGAATATTAGAATTCAATTTACATCTTTTTAGTCATTTTACTAAATACAATTTCCGGGTAAATACTTGGACAAACAATTATTGACGAAGGATATTTAATTAAATTTGCTGCCACAGCAAGTTTTTTAATTCATCTACATTTCCTCTACAATATCGCAAGATAGATATCAGAAGCACTCAACATTAAAATTTTTTAAATCAATTCAACAAACAAATGACATTATATAATAATAAATAATTTATGGAAATTTATTTTATAATCTCTTATTTTACAGTTGTGACTCTCTTCATTGTCTGGAAATCATTTGAGGAAAAATAATCAGACGAACAATGGACCCATACTCTTCGTTAAGTTCATCTGTCTCTCTAAGAATTGGCTTAGACCTACCAAAATAAACAACATTTGAACATGTTAGAACACATTAAGGAAAATATGAGAATATTGTCTTCAATGTAGGAATAATTTTTGAATAGTAACTATTGCCAACATTACATTTAGCCCTCCTATAAACTCAAAATTCAATGATCAAAAAAATCAACAGCAGTCGTCTCAGCAGTCGATCTTTGAATTACAGCTACAGAGAATTATCATTTGATAATGAATTAAAGTTTTAATGATCCACACACCTGTCTATTTATTAAATTCATACACAATAACTATCAAGCTAGCCCTCCTAGCTCAGTTGGTCAGAGCGTTGGCCTTTTAAGCCAAATGTCAAGGGTTCGACCCCCTTGGAGGGCGGTTCTTTTTTTATTAATTTTTTTAATTATTTAAATAATATATATGCATAATAATGATTTGATTTCTTCTAATATTGAAATGCTAAATTTATAAGTTGAGATAACCTTATGATAACAATAAAAACTAAATTGAAAATAAGGTAAGAAAATAATATGACATTGCTCTTTGAGGAGTGATAGGATGAGCATTATAATTTAACTATTTATTGTTTTATAGAATTTATATTTAAACACCTCATATTACTAATAATTCATTCAGATAATATGTAAATTTTTGAATAGATGAGCATGTAAAAGTAATTAAAATTAATTCTATTTTAGAACCACTATGATATTAAGTTTAATTGAAAATGGGGATAATATAGAGTACGAATTGTGGTATATCTGGAATTAAAAAATCAGTCATAATGCTGCAATGGATGTTTATTTATTAATTAAATTCAAATTTAAAAGAAATCATTTTACTCTAGACATTCCTATATTTCTTAGATAGATTTAAGTGTCAACAATTCAGTCGGTTGCTGATTCAAGGCTTATTCTAATATTTATAAGAACTCCTGCTTGGTATGTAAATCTATTAGTGATTGTCATTTTACTTTTTTCAGTTTCTTAATCATCTTCGTCTTCGTCGGTTTCTATTTCTTCCTCTACTTCTCCAATAGTCAGGCTTTGACACGAAATCATTATTTGCATTTCCTTATTTATTTCCATTTCTTGTAAGGTCTTATTGCCTTTGAATGGCACCTTTTTGCCATTGTAATACATATGCGCTTTGTTATTGAATGTTTTTGGATTGATTTTTTGTTCTAACATATCGTAGATGTACGTTCTAAATTTATCAAATTTGACCCAAGGACAAGCTGGTACTTTAATGGCCATCATTAGACCCTTATCATGAGGCTGTACAACCACCAATACAAGGTAAAACACTTCAGTGCAAATGCAAACACCCTAATCTAAATTTTCACATGTAAAATAATTTGTTAAGTTTGGGAGAATTTGAGTAACAAACACAATCACATCATAATCTAGATTCATTTTTCGTCATATTGTATACCTGCGTTATAATACAATTTGAGATAGTTCCAAATCTCTATTGAAATAATTTCGTAATCCTAACCATACTTAACATTAGATTTCAATTAATAAATTCGTGAGAATGTCATACTATGTTATTACGGTATTGAATATCCATCAACGTTTGCTTAAAAGGAGTGATTAAGATCACATATGCTTGTATTGTTAATCTCTCCAATCTTACTAATATTAACTCCATTTGGATTTTATAAGAAACTATTAAATTATCTAAACCTGAGGATGATTTCAAATAAGTACCATTGTGTAGAAATCGCAAAAGCATACCCTTCCTTGATCAAGGTATTTTTGGTCCTGTACTAATATACGAAATCTTAGTCGAACATCTCCTTTTAATATAAAAATTATTGTAAATTAATCTTTTTTTTATATATATAACTACATAAATATCTTTATTTATTGTAGAATGTATCAGATATATATAAATCTTGTTCGTAAAGTCACTTTGGTTGACAAAATGGCTCTCTCAATAATATGGAGTAATCAATCGTTTACGAGATTATATGTTTTATGAATTTAAAATCCGATTAATTTATTTAACTGAATTATAATTTCAAATGGAAGATCTCCTTGATATAAATGTGGAAAGAAACTTTCATGACATCACTTACATCATAAATATTAATGCCAATACTGAAATGCTGACAATAGATGTAGAATCGAAGTAATCGGGAGATTCTTGGATCGCAAACTTTTAAGCATCCTACATCGAGGAAATCACATCCAAGACTGGGAATTATAAGAAATACCCAACATTTCTCAAGATGTTGTAATCTGCAATAAAAAATCAGACAGACACCGTCTATATTGACATTCTCACATTCTAAGATCTAGAGCAAATCAAAAACAAAAGACCCAAATAAAATTAATAGCAAAATCTGGTCCCAAATAATAAACGTTATTTGATTCTTAGTTACATAGTTGAATTTGATAAAGTTCATTATCCATTACCTCTCAATTTTAATGAGCAGCCCAACATTTAGCAAATGAAGAATACCATTATAAGGTTGAGAAAGGAGAATGAACAATAAGCAAAATAATTGACAACGCTCTTAGAGTCTAAGAAAAACGAAGTTAATCCTTTGGAGGTGATAAATGAACAGAACAAGGAAATCGAGTTTTTAAAAAATCTATTGGAATAAAAAGATAGAGACATTTTGGAACTCAAAAACATAGTGCATCAATAGTCTTCAACAACTGTGAACAAATAGGAGTATATTGAATTGAGATCAAAATACTTGCAAAGTGAAAATACAAATGCAGAAATCACTAAGAAAGTGATTGAATTAGAAGATTGTCTCCAGTAAATTATAGATGAAAATCATCTATTAAAAAACTAAGATAAAAAAAATAAATAGAGGATAACATCTTTGGAATAGGAACTATAATAAACTCTAACAAGATCTAAAACAAAATTGCAACCGAACATTTCAAGGTCTCCTTCAACTTCTAAATCCTCAAATCAATTCAAGGTTTCAAGTAGCATTAACAAAGTATTATCGAAAAAGAAAAGTGCAGAGAAAACAACCCCCATCAGAGTATAATTTATTTTAATATATTTAGATTAGAAAAGAGAGTTTTGATAGTGATACTGAGTCCTCTTACAGACGTAAATCAAATTCTAAAAGAACAGATCAGAGTCCATCTGCAAGGTCGAATTCTTCTCGCAAAACATCTTAAAAATTGAAACAATCAAATTCAAATTTATTCAAAAAATAAAAGCAAACGACAACTAATGAATCCAGAAAATTTGAAGATCCTGAGGAATAGAGACTTTTAAAAAGATTGAGGGATTTGAGAGAAAAAAATAAGGAAAATACAATAGTAACTACTCCATCTAATAAAATGGAAGCCAGTTGTGAGGATTTGCATAGTATTGATGAAAGATTAAACAAATTAAACAATCTATTGCAAAGAGCAAAAAATTAATGATCATTATTTATTCTATGTTTTAGAATTGATAATATTATTCAACAATTCAATTTACTCATTTTTATTTGAGATGTAGGGGTGAGGATATGATAGAAAAAACGAAGAGGACTAATGATTGATCATGAACATTTAAAATATGTATTAAAATACTTTCATGATGATTTTACTTTGTGTTTTGTATCCCAAAATCTCTTTTTTAAATCAAAGAATGCCATTATGTAAAATACAACCAAAATAACACATCCTATTTAGACGACAATCTAAAATATACTGTGAATAGAATTACCATTCTGGACTCAAAGAAGTTGACTTTTGGGATGTTGTATATTTGAGGGACTTGAAGATGGTGATGGCAATTTCCATTCTTAAACTCGCACATCGTGTTGTTCAAATGATAAATCCAAATGCCTTTTTGAGCTATGTTGTCTTTGATCCATGGATTGGTTTAGAGATTCACGAGCCCTTTTTAGTATGAATCTGGAAAAGAATTTACGACAGTAATAGTTTCTTCTGCACATTCCTGATCACAAAATGCGATGACCCAATCATACACTACATAGTGTTTGGAGATGAGAGTTCGTTTCTAAAAGTTGGCATCGTTAAAATACTCAAGTTATTAAGCTAGAGCAATTGATATTAAAAGAAATAGCATAAATAATCAAAAACCCAATTCTTTTTTTAGTTTATCCAGTCTCTCTTTGCAGCCTTTCAAATTTTCAGTTTTGGTTCTTTCAACTTTAAAGATCTTGCGCATTTTTTCCTTCTCTTAACGCACTTCATAGAGTCTTTGCAAAGTCTTTTGACGAGCCAATTCGAGATCGTTAAGTTCTTTATTTAACCCTTCAATAGTGGATTTATTGTGCTCGTAGAGTCTCTTCAGATCCATAAATTTATGAGATTTCTTCTTAATTGATTGGTTATCTTATTAATAATTGTAAGTATTTTGATCTTGAGGTTTATCTTGTTTTAAGAGTTCAGTAGACCATAACATGTACCTGGGATCTAATTGATACTTAATATTGTCTGCAATGAACTCTATGGTTTGTAGTTCGCTGTCCTTAAATTATCCGATGTCGTTTTTTTCTTATCCATTCCTAAAATTGGTTTAAGATTTGATTTGAGTCTGAGAGCCTTCTTTATTCTCATTGGATTTGGAATTATCTTATGCGTGTTACTTTATATATGTTTATGATGAAGAGGGGTCCATAAAAGTTATTATAATAAATAGATTATTAACGAATGCTTGGCAGTAGAAGAGTCCGATCTCATGAATCATCGCTGACAAATTTGGATGCGTACAATCCTAATTGCCAAGTTAGAGTGCATATCAACCATCACTAATTTAAAACTCTTAAGTGTGAGAGTTAGCATCAAATCGATCAAAAAAAGTTTTGCCCTTTTTTTCATGATGAATCTGACCGAAGACGAGATGTTAAATAGCATTCATACTAGTAAAAATGGAATAACAATTATTTTTTAATTTATAGATGCCAATTGTGTCCATAGGCGAATAGATGCCCTAGAGGAGATTAGTGCTAATGGTCTCATAATAAGGTTGAGCAAGTCTATCATCCAAATAGATATAAGACAAAATATTGCACTCATTTAAAGGATTGCGAATATGGAGCATATTGTTCATTTGCTCATTCGGAGTAAGAGTTAATCATTCCAGTAAAATTGGATGGCATGGTTTAAGATAAAAATTTTTGGATATATCAATATAAAACAGTGTGGTGTCCTCATACAATCAAGTAAATTTAAAATGTTTAGGTTATAGTCACGACAGAGCATCTTGTGTTTATGCTCATAATGTACAGGACTTCAGAAGAGATCCAAAAATATTGTCACCCAAGGAGTGTCCACATTGGAATAAAACCAATCAAATTTTAAATTACGATAAGGGAGGCTGTCCGGATTAAGAATCTTGCAAGTATTGTCATGGGTGGAAGGAATACGAATACCATCCTTTGATCTATAAGACTAAACCTTGTACACAATAGAATTGCACCAAGAAATAAGGAGAATGTGCTTTCTTTCATTCTGAATAGGAGAAAAGGTAATTAAAGTATGCCATTTAGGGTGCGCAAGTAAGTTGCAGAAAACTCTTGGGTTATTGAAGAACCCAACACTCATGTTGAAGCTAAAAGACAGCCATACAAAAATACATCGAACTACTTAGGACCTATAATACCCAATTACATTCCTCAAGATTATTTGAGCAGAGAGAAGATGGAAATTGGACAACCTTTTTGTTAATAATCAATTTCTAACACTAAAACTTCCGATACTCAATCTAGAAGAAGTTCTGATTGTTCAGATGGTTCCAAAACACAAAAGAAAAAACACAATATTCAATAACAATACTAATCTCAAAAAAAACCTCGTACTGCTCCTGTTACTCCAGATCAAAAACAGTTTATGGGTAACAATTACACAATGAAGGTTTAAAATAATGTGTAAACTAAATCTTATCTTACTTATTCGAAAAAACTCTATGAAGAAATTTTGAAATTAAATGAAGTATAATTTTACATCAATTCTAGGGAGAGTACATCTATAAAATTCTCCAGGGTTTCAAAATTCCTGAGAAGATGCTTATGTAGATGAGTGATGAGCAAATTCAAGAACTCAAACTTACGGAGCATCAAATAAATCAACTTATTTAAGTACTGGCTGCTATAAAATAAGAATAAAGATATGATGAAACTTGTGGCGATGAAATTCTTAGTTTGATTTCAAACTAAGGCAAATTTTGAAATTTTCAATATACATAAATATTGCAAAAATAAATTTTCCCCTCATTAATTTATTCTAAATGAGTTGGTAGTAAAAATTGAAAAAGTAAATTGGAACACAAGCTTACTCTGAAATAAAGCAACTCAGATTCAATAATCTCCAACTCAATAAATTACCAGATGACTTTGTTTCGGAAATTCATAAATGCACCAATTTGGAGGTTCTGAGTTTAAATTAATGCGGCATCCGATCGCTTGAAAATTTATAATAAATGAGTTCAGTCACTCGACTTGAGTATCTAGACAACTTTACAACTTCAAAGACCTTGCAACAAATCGCCAAGGCTTTTCCCAATCTTGAAATTCTGATCGCAGGAGGGAATTTCCTAAGGGATCTTACAGACTTAGATTCTCTGAAACCATTGAGGAAATTAGAGGTTCTCAACATTATGAATGGCATAAATAAACCAGTATTTCATTTATTCATGATTCCAAGGATTCCGAAGTTCGAAAATACGCTTTTCAGATATTGCAGAACTTGAAAGAGTTAGATGAAAAAGATTAATACGGACAGATTTATGTTAAGCCAAAAGAAGAGAAGAAACCACTTGAAGTCGAAACTCAAAATAATATGGAATAGGAGGAGGTGAGTCAAGAGGATGAGGAATCTGCGCTTTGTTCTGATGACAGCAACGAGGAAGAGGAATCTGATAGCGAGGATGAGGATGATAGTGATCTCAGTGATTTCATTGAAAAAAAAGTAAAAAACGAATGATTTTATGTATACTTCATAAATGGTTTACTTCCTCATCATCTATTTCAGAATAATCCTATTTTTTCATGTGACAAGCTATAACATTATAAATGAAATAACTAAATCCCAATATCAAGGTCACTAAGATTGCAGTATAGCTATCCATCTCCAAATTATTATTTATAATTATACATATAATTTATTTTCATTTAGACATCATTTAACCAACAAAATTAGTAACTACCTTGTTTGTAATATCTCCTTACAAATCTTTCACTTTCTATTTGTGATCTCCATTGCATTTGTAGTATCCGACCAGATTTGTCCAACACAACGATAATCCTATTACGTCGATCACAAACTAAATTAATCATCCTCAATACTTTCATTAATGTAAATGAGATCATATTTGAAAAAGTAAACACTGCCCAAGCCAAAGTAAAGCCTAACTGGGCAGTCCAAAAAAAGGTTTTATCGACTGCATTCACCTATTTATTGGGGAGGGAGTAGAATTCCCATTTCGAAGACCCATCCTCCATAATGATATTCTCCCACTTTAAACCAACCAACAATCTACTTCTAGCAAGAATACGAATACCTTCCAGTGATATTCTTAACGGTCCAAAAGTCAAATGCGGAGAAAATAATCACCAATATGAATGACCAAATGCTTTCTCCGAAAATGAGGTAGAATATTAATGCAAGTGCTTTGAATAGACATGTGAAAATGCACGCTTTAGGATGAGATGCACGATTCAAGTCATAATTTGACGTTTAAAGAGGAACAGAATCTGAAGTTGAGGCTACAGACAATTTGGTTGGTTCATCTGTCGATGTTTATATTAAGGGTTTTGGAGGAGCTGATGGCATCTCCTACATTTGAATCTTAAAATGCAAATCCTACAGGTGAATAATTTTCATACTTCTTCCATTAGTATTAACCCGAAATTGTTTAATATAAATTATTATTTTATTTTTTCAAAACATCTACACACTATAATATATTATAAATCATAAAGAAAAATCCGTATTGTTTGAATAAAGCATAGTTCTTAGTGAAAAATTATATTGCTGTCGGTATCAGTTCAATTACACACCAAGATAGAGTGCCCTAAATAAGAGACTCAAATAATATTATGCTTTAATTATATTAGAGATCATAATTTTTCATTCATCTAAAGTCCAAATCATTTCGACTAAACCTGGAAATAGAAATGCCTTGGAGAACTTAAATTTGAGTTCCAAATTGAGGTTTCTTCTAAAACAATCCAATAATGTCATCAGCTTAGGTGCTTCTCTTACTGCCCCTCCTTAGCTTAATGTTCTTGTTTAGTGGATGAACAGATTTTTTTTCCAAGGGTGGATCCTCTCTAAAATAATGGCATTATAAATATGAATTACATTAATTTGAGCTTTCTTTTTATTCTCTATATCTTTGCAATTGCTAGTGAGTTGAATGTATAAAATGAAAATTAATTAATGTAATATCTTCTTTTTTCAAGATTCTTTAATAAAATTTTCATAGTTCTTGCAACAACTACTTTGGCATTATTCCAACTGAAATAGTGAGAAAAGTTCTTTAATACTTCAAAATCTTCCAATTCCATAGATACAGCCTATCTCTCGAAAACTGGAATTGAAATCTCCTGAGTCGGAGTATCTTGAACTAGTTTGGTGGTTTTATGAGTTTTAGCAGTTCTACTTCTATTGGTTTTGGTTTTCGTGGTTCTCCTTTTTTATTCCCTTCTTTCATCCTTCCTATCTATGGAATCTCTCTTATGATCAACCGATTAGATGGAAGGAGTGATTGGGATATCAGCAAGAGGATCCTTCATTTTTGATTTTTTTGGCTATGATTTTTCCCTCTCTTGATTGGTGTCCACTTTGGTTTAGGATGAAAAGGGTTTGTAGGATTCCTCTCGCTTTTGTTTTCTAACTAAAGTAATTCTTTTTTTATTCAGTCTTGCTTGAGTATCAACTTGATTTGGCAGAATGAGCGAATCATTTTTGATGTTGTATCTATTTTCATCTTTCATCGAAGGAGTGACATTCCCAAAACTTGTAGCATTTAGATCCTAATCGTCAGTTCGTATTCTGGTTTAAAAGGAATCTTAACCTCCGAATCCAGCAGTTTAGAGTGTTTATTTGACTTGCATGTTCCTTTTCTTATTCGGACTTGGACTATCTGCTGAGTCTTCGCTTTCCTATATAGGTTGTAGATTCTTTGTGTTGTTATTGTTATCGTATTAGGAATAAGACCTATTTTACGACTGTTGTCTCGATATTTTCGAGAAGCTCTTGGAGAAAGAGGCTAAATGATAGAAGGAGCAAAGAATTACAATAATCTTGTTCATTGGGTGATCCATCGTTTTCTTCATAGGAAACATCCAAATCATCTTCAATTACAGTGATATTGTCAGCTTGAGTTTCTCTGGTCTGAAAATCTCTTATATAAGCAATGGTCTTTTTCATCTCCAATAAAGTAGCATAATAATTGCGATCAGTCCTTTTTCTCTTGTAGGTGATGGTTCTCTCTTATTGGAAGGGAAAGTACTCCTTCTTGATCACTCTTTCTTTGTCAGCTACATAATGGAGAACTGGACAATCTTTTATTAGATGACTGAACTTTTTGCAGGAATAACAACTTAATTTTGCTGGTTGAAAGTTTTCACCTAACAACATGGAATCTCTTACTTCACAAAAGCGTTCCTATAATAATATACGAAATATCATATACTAAGTCAATTTAATTAGTTTATAAAACAACTAATAAAGATTGTCTGGGGATTTTGTAAGCTCTTGAAAAGCCTATACTTTTAGCTGAGGCACATCTATTGAGTCCTGTAAAAAATGAGTATTCGCCAAAAGATTCCCCTTTTTCTAGATAGGAAAGCACTCTCGTGTTCCTGCCTTGAGGTTCATCTTGAAATAACACAGACACCGTTCCTTTAGTGATGATATATAGAGAGCAATCATCTTGAGTACCTTAGAGTAAAATTTAATCCTCAGGGGAATATCTTACTTCTTCGATTACCAAAGACAGTTGTCTAAGTGTTTTTTAAGAGAATTTGGTCAACACTTTGTTTGTCTTCATAACATTTAATCGAATTTCAAAATTCAATTCTTCTTAAAGTGAACTGGACAACTTGGTTGTGATTTGAGAGACTTCCTCGTCATTGATTTCCTGTTCCTCTTGAAAGATATAATCATAATAATTTCTTATTCTGGATTGCAATTCGATCTTAATTTAATTTTTGGTCAAATAGGAATTCAATAAGTTTGTACTACGTTTATAGAGCACCTATCTGGAGTTTAGATTGCTGAGCATAAGACCAATACTATTAAATGAAAAGGCAAATACACCACATGCTAAGAACATGCTGAGATTGGCACACAATCTCTCATAATTATTCTGTGGTGTTAGATCTCCGTATCCAACTGTGATCATTGTTTAGACTGACCAATAGAATGCATAATTGTATTTAGTAAAAATGTCTTAAGTAGCCACATCGTAGGCTTCAAGCCAAGTCCTTCTGAACCCTATTTAATAGAAAGCTACGCCGTGCCATAAACATGCGAAGAGATGACCAACATACACTACCATAAATAGGAGTTTAACCAACTCGATTAGATCTTGTACCCACCCTGAAAAGTTGAAAAATCTAAAGGATCATTTGAATTAATACTCTTCAAGTTTATGTACTCTGGCTTGCAATTTAAATTGTCTACTGCAGTAGTATATTGTGTAGGGTATCAGTTGCCATCCGATTTTCTCATTTGAACTGTCCACATTAAATTATTGGGCAACCAACATTGAGGCGAATGAACACTTGATTATAACATATCATTTTACTAAATCGTATATTCCTTATGTGTTGACATAATTAATAAAGATTTTGCCTCTCTGTTTGATGATGATTCCTTTTTCAATATAGGATGTATTGATAACGATGAAGGCATCGACGAGAATGGAAAATAAAAAATAGTATTCTACGTCTCTCACTGTCAATGTTTCGAATACGACTTGTTCAAAGGTGATTCCAAAGGAGATGTTGAAGGGAGTCCAAAAAAATATAATGATGATCGTTAAGATGTGAAGCAATTGCCATCCAATGACCAAATAGCTGCTTTAATCAAAGATCGGCACAAACCTAAGCTTCTTGCAGATCTTGCCAATCAGATTCTTGTGGATCTTGTGTTTTGAATCGATATATCTTAGATCGTCTAACATGGTATTTTAATAAATGTTGAAATGTGACAATTTCTTCACATAGGATTTTTGGAGCATATTCTCAACAAAACGGTTGAAGTAGCTTTTAGCCAATACCAATTTGATGAAATTGTTGATACCTTCCTTCTATGCAAGCACAGTTGTTTATCCAATTTCTTTGATTTGTTCCTTGTTTTGAGGATTCATCAAGACTTTCTCCTCAAGAATAGAAGTCTTTGGAGAAAACTAAATCATTCCAGAATTCGGCGATTATGAAGGAGGAATGTGATCGGTTACTTTGTGTAAACTAGACATTGATGGTGGTTTTATAGTATAATCACCATCTTAGAGCGGATCTATTTTTGTCGCAAATTTGGCAGGTCCCGTGAATTGCTTTTTTGTTTGATCCTCTAAAGAGAATATGCAAATCACTTACCGAATTAGGAATGACCACTCCCACTATAATCTACTAACAGATCATTTAAACTCATTAATTAATTTATGTCTTATACACTCTACGGATTTGCAATGTCCTCCTGTACCCAGCGTATAAGGAGCATCCTCAACTTCAAGAAGATCCCCTACACCTAAAATTCAGTGAACTTCCTCAAGAAAGAGTAGATGTCAGAAGAGTATAAAAAAATACACCCTCGTCAAATAATTCCAGCTCTGATTACTCCAGAAGGACATACTCTCATTGAGAGTGTAGCCATCGCAGAATACTTAGAGGAGGTACATCCAGAAAAACCAATCTTACCCAAAAATAGGATTTAAAGGGCTCAAGTCAGGTATGTATTTTTGGTACTCTCTTTATAGAGCCATCGCCGAGTACATCAATTCATCAATTCAGCCATTCCAACATTTGGGCATACAACAATATATTAATTCGCACTCGGAAAAGCAAATGGAATGGAAAGATCAATGGATTCACTGGAATATGTTGGGTATCAGCAATCTAGAAAAGAGCATCTCAAGAACAAGAGGCAGATTCAGTGTTGGCGACTAATTAACATTAGCAGACATTATGATCTATTGTCAAGTCGATTCTGCATAGACAAGATTCGGTTTAGACTTTGGATAATATCATAACATTATGAATATTTACTTCAATGTCAACAATATCAAAGAAATCGAATAATCAAGAGGAATCTATTAAAAAGATTTCCCTAAATGATTATAAGTGATTAATCAAAAATAACAAGTATTATTTTTATATCTACTCTATAAAATTACATATCATTTTTATATTAAAACTTGAATTACTTCATCAATTGAATATAAAATAATATTTAATATTTCTAATTTGAAATTAAACTTTTGAATTATTATTGTCATAGTCAAATCCGAATATAGAATCAAATAGGGTAAGATTGGAATTTATAAAATAATCCTATTATGTTGCATTCATTTTCTGAATGATAGGAAGAAGGATTAAATGGAAAAGCTTTACAAAATATAGTGAGTTCATTAATTATAAAACAGTTAAAAATTTATTAATACTACCTTCCATTGGAATATCAAGGTAATACTTTGAATACATTGATAAATACAGGAGTGCAGTGATCATTTGGCATTTAGAAAGGGAAACAAGAATTAATACTGAGTATTTATAATTCTGTGATGGAGATAGTAAAAAAAAGAATAATCTCAATTAACAACTTACAGGAACAATTGTATTCATTATCTCACTTTAAAACAAAGTGAAATTTATGGGAATGAATATTCCACATATATAAGTTACTTAGATGCATTTCAATGTTAACGTAGGTGAGGAGTGCAGAAGAGGATAATTTGAGGGGGACCTCTCTTTGAAGGATTGTGATCATTATGAAAATTTTATTTATATTAAATGAATATAGAGTAACAATGTTCTTATGAGGAACAACGAATGCTGAGTTAATATTAATAATGCGCTAGCACTGGTCGTTATGGATCGATTGATGGCATTAAGGAACACTATATTTTATTGATAAAAGCAGCTTAGTTAAAAATTAGGTACTTCCTCATAGCAAGTTCGATTTTGCTGCTTTTAACCACTGTAACTAGCTTGAGTTGTTTGATTGATCCAGAAATGTTGGGCATCGAATTAAGTAAATGGTTTTCGCATTTGCTCACTTTGATATTGTATATGGCAATTTATTTGGATTTAAAAAATGCGAACTCAGAAATTCTGAATGTCCCAAAAGAAAATTTGAAACTGTTGTGTATTACATATGAAAAGAGTGTTTATGAGTTCCTAGAGGAGTTCAAATTTCAGGAGAAATTCGATTTGATTAATGTTTTGATGTACAGTTCCTTCATTTGGAGTTTTTGGTTCAGCCAATTCGTATTTATCTTACACTCAAACAGCAAGATATTTCCATTGCTAATGATATCCTATGTGTTGCACATGGTTCTATACTTGTTGGCTTGGATATATTCTTGCTTCCGACAAAGTCCAGGGAATTGTGAATGCTCAATCCTGAAGACTAAAGTTGGATATCAGTATATTAACCTACCAAGTAAATTCCTTAAAAGTAGTCTTAGGGTTGATTGACACTAAAAGGAATACGTTGAAAATGACAATCATTTTACTGATGTATTATAAAATAAAATTAGCAGTCATTGCCAGTTTTATTGACTCAGTTGAGAGCGAAACAACAATAGTGATCTACCTGTACATAATATATTGTGTAGCCATGATCATCAAACAATTCTATCACTTGATTCTCCTCAGAATGATAAGGAAAGTGAATTATCGTCACTTAAGTTGCTTTTAAAATGCCTACATGTTGTATTACAAACTGTTTTTTTATGAATCCTGTGTGAATACCACCTTGAAGGGGATGGTTTACTTATCGTCATTTGCCTGTGTAATAGTTTGTTTGACGTTCAATCTCAAAAACTACTTCAAATACATAGAGGAATCCATTTTCAAAATTGAAATTTACCTGGTTAATGATACCATCTCTTTTGTTATTTCACTGGTGATTTACGTTTATTATGCCATCAAAAAGTATTCAAATAGAGTTCAATTGAATCATCTAGAATCATACGAATCCATGTTTGATTTGAGGTTTTACGACTTAAATGAAATAGTCCAAAACCCCTATTATAATGCACTCAGTAGATACTTGTAAACAGAACTACAGTAATTAGAAGAGAGGAACCATCGAGAAATAATTCGGAAATTGTAATTGTCCCCTGATAAATCGATCAATTTGGAAGAGAATGGGGACTGCGTTATTTGCAGAGAAAGATTGCTCTTAGATCAACAGCTGGTGGGATTGCCATGCCATCCTACTCACATTTTCCATAAGGAATGTCTCATCAATTGGGTATTGTTACATACAACCTGTCCAACCTGCAGAACTTAAATTTAATGACACATATAAAATTTAGTATATTTAATAGATTCAATACTTAGTGAATAGGAACTAGGAAATTAATTATTGTATCTCAAATATAAAAACTGGAAATGGCTTCTCACTCTTCACAGACTTAGGCACTTGCCTCTCAATGTTATCGAATCCTCCTTAAGCAAATTTGACTGGATGAATCATGGTCTTGAAATTGATCTCGCCTTCCTTCTCCAATTAATCAATCATATCTGAGAAAGATTCCTTAATCTAATTGATAAATGAATCATCATACAGGTTTTTTGTAGCGAAACAGCATTCGATCCTTCAACCATTCAGCATTGGAGATATTGGTGTCCTCCTTAAGAGTATACTTGTTATTTGGAGGACAAAATACCTTTCTGTAATATTAATTACATTACATGAGCCTTCATGTCAAAATATCGCGATATTAATACGATTTCTATGTCACAGAGAGTTTGGGTTCCCTCTATTATTCTGTTTTTAGTTGGTTGGTTCTGTGTCTTCAATTACTCATTCAAGATAAATGAAGCAAAATGATTCTGGGCAGGCTACACATTTCTCATAACATCATCTGGAGTAACAAAAGGAGCAGATGCCCCGAATTGAAAACTTGGAATTGAAACTCCAGGAGCCAAATGCGACATTTGAATACTGTCATTATTTTTGATTAACTGAGGGAAGGACTCACCTTAATTATTAAATTTGGATTTTTACTTGAGTTCCTAACCTGCAGAGGAGGAGGCTGACTCATATAATCCTGCACTACTGGTATGTAACAATTGTAAACAAAATAAGTACTACTTGGAGTTTGATTTAATTGTGGTACAACATTTTAATCTTTTTATACTTCCTTATTTGTTTCTGATAGCATGTAAATAATAATAAAAAAATTAATTTTGTTAGATTAATTAAATGATATTAGCTAGCCAATGATCTCATTTATGGCGTCAGAGTTACCTTTGCAGCAATTTAAGTATAAAAATAGATGCTGTTAAAATATCGATTTAAAACATACAATTTAGATCAATTCTCTTTTAAAAATATTTCTATCAGATTCTTCTATATATTTGTAAAACTTTCTGTAATTTGATCCTATGTCTAGTCCTATTACTGTAGCAACCCAACTAATTTTTTTTGGGCTTTCATTTTTTTTTTATTTTACAAACTATTATCCGTGTTTTGTGCATCGCATTTTATTTAATTTAAAAACTCCTTTTGATCCTCAATTGTGATTTCTCTTCCTTCTTTCATCTTCTCCGATAAATCAATAAGAGCTTTTACTATATTTTATTAAAAAGTAGAGGATGTTATACTCTTGAAAAAACTTTCAACATTTTCGAATAAACAGCCCCCTTAGCCTTCTACTTTATTTTAAAGTAAGCCTTATGGTCCAGTTAACTTCCATATTTCTAACATTATTTTATAAAGATATTCTCTCTTCTGACTAAAGGAATTGTAATTAAAGGATCCTTTATTCACAACCCAATTGTTTGATTTCCAATTAGTATTGTTTATTTAAAGGTATCGGGCCTCTTTAACCTATTTAAAGGGCTGCATGAAACAACCTTCTAGAGATTTCATATATTTATTTATGTTTTCAGAATTTATTAAAGCTTACTCTGAGTTGGGTTAATTGGTTTATTAAAATGCACATGCTATATTTTGAATGGAAATTATTCAGGCCTAGTGCAAATCTAAGAAAATACGGAAAAGGACTTGGGTATTCATTACTGAGATGGAATAGGAAAATAATTTGCAATTAAATTTTCATATAAGAGACTTAAAATAACCTTAGTTGCTCGAACAAGTTCAGAATTAAGGATTGACTATTATATAAAGCATGGAAGTGGTTGGAAATTAGTTTATAATTGGTTATTCTAAATTACAATGGTACCATTAACGATCCTTCACTTAAGACTATATGCTTGGAATTATTAATATGGAATGGTCAGAGTTGGTAGAATTGAATAAAAAGGATATATAAAGTAGAGGCGATTTAGAGTAGGAATAATTATGAAAAGGCCTGAATTATTATGATAATAATAATATAATAATATATATGAATTAAGAAGTTGATTTGTATATGATTACTATTTTTCATATTGACAACAAACTTAAGACTTTGGCTCCGATATTTTACTCCATAATTTTTGTGATTTACTTGGGAAACAATATCATTTTTGGAGAGTTATTGTTGGGGTATGAATTATGTTTCAATTCAGGAAGGCTGAACCATTTCAATATGTCACAATCACTTTATGTTGTAGCATTGTGATCAATTATTGCCTAATAAAACTCTGTTCTCAACAGTAGGTCTATGTAAGTCAAGAGATTCATTTAATTGGCTTAGGATTTGCTGTCTTGGTCTTAAGTGCATTGCTTAGTTATAAATATAATGTTATGCCATTTTATTCAATCATTCTAATCAAAGGGTGGATTGCCCAAGCCATTAATGAAACTCATCTTATGGGCGAAATATATTAAAAGAAGGAATTGATATGCTTCATTGTAAACTATCAATTGTAATTCCTAGGGTATATCTGTTGGAGCAATCCTTTGCACATTTGAATGGACCTTTCAATTCCTGGGGATACTGTTCGGATGGATTGGAGCAGCATCGATGGTACTAATAGGTCATAATTTAAAAAAAGTCAAGAAAGTAAGAACTCATACAATTACCCAATATGTTATGATATACACCATAACAGTACTTGGATTGTATTATCCAATTCATAAGTTTGGAACTTTCAATGTTGAACTCGTAACCTATTCCATTATTAATGGAGTCTTATTTCCCCTCTGTTGCACATTGTTTCTACACGCTTTTCAAATTGGGTACCCCTCAATGAATTTGGCTATTTTCATGCTCATCAATATGAGTGGTGCTGCCTTACAAATTGGACATCAATTTGATATGCTCAGCATTGTTGGCATTTGCATTTGTTTAATTTCAGTGTACTATATAATGTTATTTACTAAGTTCCTACCTTTTGCTCAATCACAAATCCTATATTGAAGTGGCAGGATTCGAAATAGAGGCAGAAGAAAATCCATATTATGAACTAAATTAATATCATTAGAGAATCTGATAGTAATAATAGCAAATATTTTCATTTTATTTTTATTAATAATTTAAGAATTTTCTTTTATAAAAATAAAATGGAGATTGAAAAGTCATTTGCCAAATATATTCATTACACAGTTAAGCAAACCTTGGGTAAAGGTGCTCAAGGAAAGTAATTAAACATTATATTTCTTAGAGTTAAATTGGCTTTGGATGGAGAGAAGGAAGTAGCATTGAAATTTGTTTAATTTTCAAAAGAAATTGAAAAAGAAATGTAAATTCACAGGGGATTAAATCATAAAAATTTGATTAAACTATTGAATTTTCATGTGAATGAGGAATACACCAAAAGAAGTGGCAAGAAGGAAATAAAATCTTGTTTAGTTTATGATTATATGAAGGATGGAGAATTGTATGAATACCTTTCTCAAACTGGGCCATTCAAAGAAGAAACTGCTCGAACATTCTTCCATTAGCTTATTGATGTGCTGTCGTATTTACACGGCTAAGGTCTCGCTCACAGAGATTTAAAGCCAGAAAACATATTATTTAAAGATGGATAACTCAAAGTATCTGATCTGGGATTTGCTACATTTGTTGGAGGCAATTAAGGAGATGGAGTATTGGCATCTTTCAAGGGCACTATTAGTTACATGGCTCCAGAAATATTGGTTAGATAAAAATATGTAGGACAAAGTGTTGATATATTTGCAGCTGGTATTATTTTATATTTAATGATGACTGCTCAATTGCCATTCAAACAAGCAAATGCAAAGGATTAATTGTATAATCTCATTTGCACAAATCGGTTTGATTAGTTTTGGGCTTACAAAGAGAAATCTGGAATTCCAAGATTCTCTAATGAACTCAAGACTCTCATTAATTCTATGCTAGCCTTTGATCCACTCTAAAGACCCACTCTTTCTGAAATCATTAGTACTTCTTGGTATCAAGGAACCACCATTAGCAATGAAATAGTTGTTAAATTGCTAAATGCACGTAAATTAAAAATTCAAGCATAATAAGATAAAGAAAACTTGTAGAAGTTGCTTGACAAATAAAAAAGATAAGCAGCTAATTAAAATTAATAATGTATGCATCCATTTTTAATTTAGTGACTGTTGGAATTGGAAATTTCAAAAGAGGAGAGGAGGACATCACCATAGATTTAACACTAAAACGAGAATTAAAACGATTCAAATAGACAGATGTCATTCTTCCATTTGAACCTAATCTTATTTTTGTTAAACTCATTGAAAATATGGACAAATTTGCCAACAAGATTAATTATGTCGATGACAAAAAATATAGAGTAACATTAAAATTGTTATAATAGCTACATTACTGGTTTATATAAAATAATGAAGAGTTTGAAATGGCTATATAGTTAGTACATGGCCCCATGGAATCCACTGTTGGGCTTGATTTCGAATTAATCAAAGGAAATGGGTTGGAGTTTTATCAAAAAAAATAATAAGTAGAGGATATGCTGTTATAAATAGAATGAATATCATTATTATAAATATTATTATATGTTTTGCAAATTCATTGCTAAAGCTACCACTCAAGTGATCAAATACTAATTTAGATCATTGATTGCTACAAGCATTATTAAAAACAATCATTTGAACATACATAACCTAATAGCCTTTAAATTTGATATTCTGCCTTCCTTACAAGAAGAAAAAGAGAAAGAAATCAATGAACTTCTTACCATGAGTTGCCGACTTAGACTTTGAGTAAAATGAGTATCTATATGTATTTGTTATCCTCCTAATTTGCATATCCAGCAGCTTTTCTATAAATTTTATATGGTTTAACAGAAAATTTATTAAAAAATATTTCAGTGAAATTTCTCAGCATCTTCTTTAACCGGATTTTCTTCTCATTTGTCCATCTTTTTAATCTTTTTCTAACTATTTCTTTGATTCTCCTTTATTCTATACAACTTTACCTTCATCTTTGGTATTTTTTGTATTTTTTTTACTGTAACATTATTAACAATACATACTTATCTTTATCGTCCTTTTTATCATCTTTTTTATCCTCTTTCCTTTCCTCTTTCCTTTCCTCCTTCTTAACCTCCTTTTCTTTCTATTCAATCTTTATTCCAGCTGTCTCCTCTTCATCTTTCATCTTTTTAGGTCCTCTTTTATATGGTGGCAATTCCTAATATTCCAAGTCTTATTTTGAAGCGGATCGTTTAAATTTTTCTTCAATCAATTTATCAAATTATTCTTATTTTTCAGCAAATTTTCTATGGCTTCAATATGAATTCTTACTTTTGCCAAATCTCTATTTCTTTATGGTATTATTCCAATTTCCTTTGAAAATCATCCTCATACTTTTTTTTATCCTTATTTGAAAGAGCACTATATTTGTCTGCCAAAACCTTAGTCACTTTCGCCATATTCATATCAGGATTTTCATTACCGAAATCCTTCCTATGTTCTGCGATGTATACTAGACATGCAGAAGCAGGTTTTCTGGGCTTCTCTGGAATTTCCATCAATGCCTTGTATTTCTTGATGTCTTGTGTGTTCCCTCCATAATAGAGTATCAGGTCTTCCTTATATTTGGATTCCATTTCTTGGAACTAGTCTTCGAATTTCTACCTGTCGTCATCGTCCAAACCTCTCCACATTTCGGAGATCTTATGACCTGCATCTCCCACTTAAAATTTGCCCTCCTTTTTCAACTCAGGCAATTTGGTCGCATAAAATATTTGATACCCTGAGATGTAATTTCTAGTTGGGGGCTTCTTGAGTACACCACTTCTTAATTGCATAATTTGGGAGGGATTATTTAAATTTTAATTTATTAATGTTTAATCAATTTGGTAGTGAGACTTGAAACACTATAAAAAGTAATGATTAAATAAGATTTATCAAATGTGATTAAAATGCATTTAAAAATTATAGAGAACCAAATTTATTATTACCAAATTCTTTTATTGATAAATTTAATAATATTTATATAAATTTTTAATTAATGGAACATTGTGAACATTGCAGAGAAACCATAAATGAAATGTTTGCTTTAGAAAAGTAAGTGGAGAGCATCAAAAATTAGTTGGAGATTGCAGAAACCCAATTGAAGCTTTTACGATAGGAGAATGAACTTTTAAAGAGTAACATTAAAAAGCCTAATAAGCCAAAGCATTACAATTAGAGCATGCAAAACGAGTCACAGAAATGCTATTAGGAGATTGCGAAATTACAAGAGATCATCAGACACAAAGATGAAATCATATAAAATCAAATTCGAAATGATGACAGTGTTAGCGATAAAACTGAAACCCGTCCCAAGTAGATCGATACATGCAGAAAGAAAGTCAAATTTTGATCGTTTTTTTCATTGATATGTAAATTTATTATTCTCACCTTTTAAATAATTCGCATATAAAGTACAATATGGTTCTATTTAGTAATCACCAAAATTCCTCTCAATATTATGCTATATTGGTTTTAATTGAAGTGGATATTCATTTAATTTTAATTAATAAAACACTCATATAAATATTAAGAGAAAGAATATGCAAGAATAAAATTCACTATTCTTTTGTCCTGAAAATGAAGACAGTGAAATCATAAAAGCTAAAACCTATGATGCTTAAACATAGAGAATAGCTGCTAGCTTTTACTCCCAATTTTCAGATGGCTCTGACCCTTTTATGGATCTCAGACGGCATCATTAATGCAATTCTGCTTACTCTTCATCTAGTTTGCAATCCTCTCGAACTTTGCCAGATGAATGTATGCAACATAATTATTCAAAATGTTTAGGTACAAAAAGACACATAAATTTTAGATTTGGACATCTTATCTGAAGCTGCTAAGTAATCATTTAGTTTTGTCTTCAAATCCTAAGAAGATTGGTTGGAACATTTCACATCAAAATGCATTGATTTGGATACCTTTTTCAAAGACTGTGCTTTCAATTCGTTGATAGAAAAAGAAATTTAAAATGAAGATTGCAATATAAAAAAAGGCATAGTATTAACTGTTGATTACTTTACAAATCTATTTACCTTTTCAATGTATCTCATTTGGAAATGGATTCAAAATGAAAATTAAATGGATATGGCCAACTACGTTTCATGTTAGAATTCTATTCCGGTATTCTTCAACCTCATTTTTTAATTTCGCTTTAATGAATTAAAGAATGATAAAATCTTTATTGCATTTGTAGAATAAACCATTCAAACCATTTCCAAATCAAAATTTGAAGACGATCAACAATCAAAACCCTATTTGGGACTAGGAATCAGCTAACACTCTAAGCCACTCCCACTCCTGAAAGAAAATGAAGTATTTCCTTGGAATCCTGAAGAAGTAGCCAAAATATTAAGCACGATTAATTAAGCCTTTTATGCTGATTTGCAGATTAGAAATGTTGTTGTCAAAGGAGGACTTAAATATGTACTATTATAATTTAAACTAGTATTTCAAAAGAATCAACACTCTCTCATAATACATAATTTACTCAGTTGTGAAAAGTGCTTGTAAATACAAAAGATAGGAGGCTTTATCATATTGGATTGATTTGGCTGAAAGATTACAAATTTAAAATGATTTGGAAGGACTATTTATAGTTTTTAAATATGGCATATAATTATTATTGAAGGATTACATTTCAACAATGCCAATCTTATTCAAACATTAAAATCGAATCTCAAAAATTAATGCCTATTATGAATAGCAGATAAAAGACAATCTAAAGAATATGAAACCAAATCCAAAAGGTTATAACATACCATCCTTTCAAAAATATTAGACTCACATAAAAAGATTGGAGTTGTAAGCAAAATAAAATAGATAAGCTTTTGAATAAATTGCCAGCCTTTTAGCAGAATTGGTGGCCATTTCAAAAGAACAATAATAAAGATAATAGATAATGAATCATTAAGTATGAATAGAAAATATTATTAAGTTATCATTTCATGAGTAACAGATAGTCAGATTTTTAACTTAAGGCATTGAAAATGAACTGGAGAACAGTCTAAAAATTCCTCTAGAAAAAGAAACCTTAGTGTATATTTAACTAATTAAATTATCAAAAATTATGAACTGACCCCTTTAAAAATTGACTCTATTAATGTACTTTGTTTTTATCACTATGAAAGTTTATTTTATTTTTTTCAATTTAAAGTCAACTTTTAAAAATTCTTTGTTTTTTAATTCTGAAATCAAGTTTAATAAATTATGGGTATTGCTCTATTTATTTAAATCTTTGATCCTATTCTATTCTTGAATTCGAAAAGATTAAGAAATCTATTCCTTCTCTCGAAGGATCAGTATTGAGGGGGATGGTTACACACTAAAGAAAATGACTTGGTTATAATTTGAATTAAGTTAATATAAGATATGTAGGAGATAACATCATTTGATTGTACCGGTAGATTTAGGTAAAGAAAAAATCATTTTAGTTGGACTAAAGATTGGTATTTATAAATTTAAGGTAGTCGGAGAATCTAAGTCGTCTATTTCAATTTCTTTGTCTGATAGAACAATTGTTGGAGTCAGAGGAATCTCTCTTTGAGATTTGCGTTCCATTGCTCTCTTCATAAATTTGTTGTTCTCAATATTTAAGCAATTCATATCGCTTTCAAAATGTTAATTAAAATATTTATTGATTTAATTAAATAATAGATACTTTTCAATAGTTTTATAGCAAAATTAAGAATTTAACGAAGAACTGATCTAATTGGTGATCTAAATCAAAGAAGTGTTGAGATTTCGATTTTGAGAATAATAAATCAAGAAAGCAACTTGTCAGAAATAAATAAATATAATTTTATGACCAATGAAAAAAAGTATTAATAAATAATAATTAATAAAAATTTATTTTGTTTTATTTCAATATTTAGTTAAAATTTGTTGATAGATTAATTGCAACAACATAATTGACAAACTGTTGGAGAATAATAAATTATGTAATTCAATAATCTTAAACAAATAAATTACTGTAAACTTTCATCTATTTTTCGATCCAGAATGTTTTAAAGGTCTTTAATTGATTGATGGCTAAAAATTAATGAAAATGTTACACTTGAAAAGTATAGGTTGGTACATCAGATTTTTTTGAGTTCGGCTTCTTCAATAAGTCATGTTTTTCTTTGTTTGAAAGAGTGTATACTAATCTCATTGCAGATTCAATGAATTCACTTTTAGAAAGAACATGCCTACCTTCTTCCATTTCAGAGAATAGTGGTTAGAGTATTTGAATGACAGTTTAATTAAGATTTCCTAGATTTATTCTAATGGCATCTATTTCGCCGTCATCATCAGTATCAATCAAATCAAAAATATTGGCAAGAGAATTTATAATAGCTTGTTGTGTTAAGAATTCAGATTTCTAACTGGCTCTTACTTTTGATTAATTCATCATTCTTTCTTTGCTGCAAGATAAAACTGCTGCCCTTTTTTAAGCTAATAATTAAGCATCTTTATATAGATTATCAAACAAATTTTCTGGCCTTTATTCAGGTGGCCTTCCTGTCCTTGGTCTAAACATATTGCTTTCATCAGCACTGGAATTTCTTTCTTTGGATTTGTGTCTAAACTTTTGTCTTCTTTCTTCAAAACTTAGACCTTAAACTAATTGTTCAGATATTTAATCAATTTTGGGATGAAATGTATGTTTCTAAGTAAAATAATTTCTATCTAATTCATTCAATTTTTGTTGTTTCACATCCATATCTTAATACAATGATTCGTAATGAGGGATTGCTATTTAGGATTATTTCTTTTTCTCGTCGACAATTGAAGAGGAACTTAAAATATATTGGTATAATATACACTCTATTGATTTAAGGATGAAAAGAACAACTCTGTTATTCCAATTCCAACTTATAATTTTGAGCATTCTCTCTTTTCTCTTATATTATCTTTGCTAATTCATTTAAATGTTCACCGACTGGTTTAGGGGAGCGTTATGCAATTTTAGATGAGAGAGAATTGATTTGAGGTTTGTGAGTACATTCAACAAGTTAAGATTTTTGTAAGTCTTTTCTTGCACTTTCAGCCTTTTGTAATTTCTCTTCTTTTTTTTGAATTCCCTTTTAATAGAGTATCAAACCATAATTCACTTCTGATTCTTGAGATTTCATAATCTAACTGCTAGACTTGTTTTCTGATAATTGCAATTGTTTTTTCAGCTTTTTATTGTGAGCATCTTGATATAGTCTGTCATATACAGTTTAGTTTATGCTCTCTTGTTTCATTGGGGATTGTTGAGATTATGCTATGATTGGAGAAGAGCCCTATTACTGAGTATGTATTTCACTAGATTACTCAGTTGGTCTTTGATTCTGCTTCCTTTTGAGACAACTAAATAGATTTTCAACTTCTTACGTATTGAACCATATTCATGCGTTCCTTTTGTGCTATTGAAATTTGTTTCTGAATATTATCTATCAGTAATGGTGCCACTCTTTAATTTAAGTTATATTTAATGCAAAAATCCCGTGCCAGTATTTCAGGATCATCTCCTTCGAATACATCTATTCTACCACTTCGTTTGTCATCTATTTGGATTGTCATCACTAACAACTACCCATTCTAAAATTACTTTAATCCTACATACCCTTTATTCCATAGAGCTATGACTCATGCGATTGTTATAATTAATTTTTTTAATTAATAATTACGTTAATGGATCAATTGGCTCTCAAGAAACTCGTCAATAAACTAATTGATGAAAAGCTCAAACTAGTTTGTGAAGAATGTCGCAAGAAAACTACCCAAAAAAAACTCGGATATCATAATTTCAACATTTCCATACAACCAACTCCAATCAACTTTGATTTCAGTATCGACAACGAAAACAAGGAAAACTGTCTTTCATCCAACAGAAATGCTAACAGAGTCAAAGCCTCAAAGAGTTAAGCCCTCGATCTAGGACAATAGATATTTAATGCAGATATAAGGTATGTATAGACATCTATTAATTCAAAAGTGTAATTAGACCTATTTCTTAATTTTCAAGTCCAACAGTTAAAGCATCTCGAAAAAAATCTATGCCTTTTCTCAAAAAGGAAACACAAACGACTTATGAGAAAGTACTTAAGTCGAAGAAGTGATTTAGTTATATAATTAATTTATACACATAATAATAATAATCTTAGTTTCCTAAACTATCAATCCTCATCATTCATGTTCAGACCAATTGATAGAATTCCAGAATCACATTTCATGGTGTTTATTTCTATTTTGATAAGACATCCATCTTTATTGATTTAATATCATTACTATTTTTACATATAAGTAAAGAAAAAAATTGTTTGCAAAAATGAATAATTTTTATTTTAATGGGCAATTAATGCTGTTCTCAAACTTCAACTACAACTCAATCTTCAAAAGAAATTCTAAATCCTATTCGTTAGGATAGCAGAATCAAATCTTTAGGGGACTCAATTTAAATTGGGCAATTTGGAGATCTGATCTAATAGCATTGCTAATTGTATCAATATTAAGATGGAGATGGTTTACTATCTCCTCCACCATTATCTCCAAAATAATAACATGTTATAGTTTATCTTGAACCAAAAGTAGTGATCGATGAAGCAATTCACTTTTAAACTGACGTTATGAAAGGAATATTAAGCACACGATCACACGAATGCTAATCTGATTCTCCTTGCAGTCCAAACAATGGAAAAGAAAAGCCACAACGAAGAGTCTAATTTAAAGAATAATTAATATAATGATATATTATTCTTTCATCTTATATCATTTAACTTATTATCTTGAGTGTGTTTTTGTAAAATTCTCAAATTTAATTTATATACCTACATATTACTCTCAGGATTATAATGATTATTTTAATGTTTTTTTATTCCAATTATAATTATTGAATATTATTATTAAGAATTTCTTTAAAACTTTAAATAATACCCAACAGGATGAAATTAAAAAATACTCATATTTTCAACAAATACTTCCTACGAACTATCTTCTATTTATGAAGAGTCATTTAATAAACTAATTATAGAAATATTAAGCATTTTTAATAATTTATTTCTAATTAAATAAACTTATATTGCTACTAAAATAAACCAAATCCTATTTCCATTTAGCAGAGAATCAGAATAATGTAAGAATATGAGGGAAATATTAAATTTCATTCAGATTAATAATTAATTATTCAAATACTTAAAAAGATGTATCAAACAAAGTTTTTTTAAAAATTCTAGATATTATTATACAAATCTTTTGGACACCTATAATGATTTCACTTATATCTATATAAAACAACAATATTTTAGATTTAACTCATATTAATTTATCAAACTAAATTAAGGACTTTCTTTCCTTAGAGCACATTATCAAGACTTGTATAACCATCAATTATGCCATGTTTTAATAATAAATTTGGGGCAATTATTCCATTTCGATAGATGTCCTTTTATCTATCCTCATACTTAGAAGTATCTAATTTCCTATTAGTTTCAATCATATGAATTAATTCCTCCTCTTAATTCTTCATTTATTATTCTACCCATTCTTTATCCTTTTCAGCAAACTCACATAAAGGATTTAGAAGTTTCATGTTATCATTTGTAGCAACGTGTTTCTATTTGATAAACCAATTTGAGGCGAAATTTCTTAAATCGAAAAAAGGCTGCACATATCCCATATTTCCAACAATAGCATAGGGATCTATAATTTTAATTTTATCAACTCACGTAAGCCTTATCACCAATGGTTAATAATCCTAAAGCACTCTTAATTACAATATCCTCTCCAAAACAGTAAATCGGAACACTAATCTAAAAGAGAGATTACTTATTAGTTTGACTATACTTTTTTATTATATTAGCGAGATTCTAGGTTTAGATAAGAGATCCTCCTAGAGAATTGATGATCAAAGCAATAAATTCTGGTTTATAAATTGTCCATTTGTCCAAGGAGTCAGCAACTTTCTCAACTCTTGAGTATATTTCAAAATAGTTACAATTATGGAGTAATAATTGATGAAATCTTAATTCTAAAAACTCGATTTCTAAAATTCATAAATATATTTATAAAATATTTGGTCATTATTTCATAAATTAATGGGTATGCTTATGTAGAATTTTTTAAGAATTTTTCTAATTTTTAGAATCCATTTATACATCATAGTATAAAGTAGTTTTAATTTTGGATTTTAGGAAATGTTAGGTTCTGATAATCTTTTCGGAGCAGTTAGATTTTTATTAATCTCTAAGACAGAATTTCTATCCTAATAGGTGTAGGAATTCAGAATAAACAAATTAAAGTATTGTTCTCAATTTCTAGTTTATAATAAAAGAGGTTCTACTAAGAATAATGAAGGGAGTTAAGTAGAGGAATAGGAACATAGGATATCGTTGCCTAAGCTAATTAATTTATGAATAATTTGTCTAATTTTAGCACATTTCTAATATAATTTGGATGTTTATAATTTTATAAGTGAGATCTTTACAATGAATGGAAGCTCATGGTTTTGGATTCCAATTAGAGCTGATTGCCATATTGATTTATAATGTTAAATTATTTCACAGTTAATTGGATTATTCCTCGAGTGAAGAAAAGAAAGGAATATCAATTAGTGACATCTCTGGCCTTGATATGATTTCATCTTTGGATGGATGAGATGAAACAAAGACTGGGATTGTCAAATAGCTCTAGGAGTACAAACAATATGAGTGTTATTAATTCATTTTTAATTCAGACTCAATTACAAGGCCTTTTAGAAATCTTCATCCTCGTCATCATTAAATTGTTTGGATATTTCTTCTTTTTGTTTTGATTTTGGTTTAGTCTATTTCTATGGTTTTCTTCTGGGGACTTGCTTTATTTCTTTGACGGATGCATCATCTGAAGATTATTCAGAGGTAGGTTCACTGGTAATACGCTTTAATCTATTTAGTTTAGAGGGAGGTTGTTAATCGATTCCACAAACACTAATGTGTAAATTGAACTCTAAAGCATGGACTAATAATTTACCTCTTTTTTGTATATGCTTTTTGCAAATTTAACATTATTCGGTTCTTGAACCACAATTTGCTTGGTGTCTGGGCATTTCTGCCAAATTGATCATCAGATCACAGAATCCGCACTTCTCTGGTTTATTGGGACAATTATTCTAATGCATTTCTAAGAGTCTTTTTTCAAACATTTAAGAGCAATATAGGCATTCAGTCTAAGAATATACACTTATCTATACTTTCTGATGCGAGTCCATATGGACATCCTATTCATTGATATCCATTCTTTGATCGCAGATATTGCATTTTGTGATGTTTCGTTCGCAATAGAGAGAATGAAGCAAATAATTACTGGTCAAAACTTCTTCCAAACTCAATTATAAGTCAATTGCTTACCAGCCTTCACACAACTTAGTTTCACTCATATTTAAAATTAAACTAAATAAGAACTCATTAACTCATAAATTATCAAATTCTTTTACCTCAATTTCCAAAACATTCAGAAAAATAACAGAATATGGGTACAATAACTAGTTTTTCAATTCCACCTATTGCATTTTCTTCAATTAATTAAGTGGTTTAGAATCTAAATTGAGATATGAGAGTAAAATGAAATTATTTATAACTAATATTCACAAAATGTAGTTTAATAATAAAGTAAATAAATGGGAAAAGATCTGGGATTATAAATGTTGAAGTCTCTTTAAATACTACGAAGAAGATTCTCCTAATTCCTAATTAATTCATATGTAGAGTTAGGATTATTTTGGCTTAGAATTTGCAGTTGCTAGGAAATGTCTGAAGTAAATAAGTTATCAAATGGTTTGGGATGTTTGTTCGATGAGATATCAGTGAAGTGTATTGGTAATCTAGAGATGTTATTATTTAATATATATATAAAATGAATATAGACTAATTATTAAATGTTGTAGCTGAGAGGATGGACGAGTTTGATATCGGCAGTGTTGTTTAGCATTATTTGTTCGATTTGGCTCAGATGGTGGATGATAATTAAAACTAAGTAATTGATTTGCAAAGTTTTGTAACATTTTATGTGTAACGAATGGAGGAGAGTGGTTTGGATGGATTAATTACAATTACAAGATTATTATAATTTTATCAGGATGTGCGATCGCAAATCCAATGCTCTGTATAATTAAAGCATATCACAGACTATTTGATTTAAAGTGCCGAATAATTGGATATTCATTTCAATAAGAAGTTTCTTCCTAAGCATCAGATCAGAACAAAAAAGCGTTAACTAATAGCTTCAGAAATATCACCTCCAGAAATACTGGGGTTGAATCAGGATATGCTTAGGAGGATCGTGAATGATCTAAAAACAATAGACACCAACAGTAAGACATAAATAATATAGGCGATCGCTCATTAGAATGAACTGTTTCTATTGATGCAATTTCAAGAGAGGATAAGTTTATTTGTGGGTTTTGAGTTTCAAAAGTTTATTAATCTAAAAAAGAATGATGAAGGCAATTATATACAGTTTATTAGTTATGGCAATGAAAGATTGGGATGTGTGATGCGTGATCTAACAATTGTGTTTTGGGATTAGAGTGATGGCTACTAATTTGATTACAAAGTAGAGAACAATGTGGAGATCTCCAAATTGAGATATCTTCATCTCTAAGATCAATGGATAAGTGTAAATAAACAAAACCAAATAATGATATGGAATTTAGAAACAGCCAACTATACATGTATCACCCAATAGATAAATTCAATAACAGAGATCTGCGAAATAGATCATCTTCAAATGTTGTTGGTGATCTCCAATCCCAATATAATCAATTGTTTCGATATGTTCGAACAGAAATTCCTATTTAGATTCTCCGCTCTCCATAACATCATAACTAATCTCAAGTATTCGAGAACATTTCAATTGATATTTACTATTGGTCTCGATAGTTAAATCTGTTGCTATCAATTGCACACCAAATACAATGACCAAAATTTGAAGTGCTAATTAAAAGGACATTTATAAACTATTAGTTGTATTGAACTACTTGAAAACACATCGCTGTTGGTAAGTATTGATTGCAAAAACACTATAATACTATGGGATATCAGATCCTAATAGATTCATTAACACATTAAATTGTAAACTAAATTGATGTCCAAACAATTATTCTATTACAATAAGTGTTTGTGTCTCATTACCACAAGGTTGCAAGCTTTGAGGTTTGAACAACATGATGATACTCCAAAAAACACTAAATTAATTGAACTGATTTATGATCAATGGAATCAAAGGAATATCATCGTAACTAGGACAGATGTGAGAATACAAAATTGCATAAACGGGAAAATTGAATATATCTTATAAGACTTCAAGGATGAGATAACGGCAGTTTGTCTCATAGAACATAACAATTATATGATATTAGGCACATCGGAAGGACATGTGATGAAGGTGCTAATTAAAAACGGAGAGATTGTCCAATAATGGGATTAACTATTCAATGAAGAGATCATTAAAATCGCATATGATGAAACATCCAATTTACTGCATATATTTAATATCGATTCCTCTCTGAAATGTCTGCCTTTGCAACATCTGAATGTACGTAAAGACAATGTGAATGCTAAGGATAAGCGAGCTCTCAGGCAATTGATGCATCATTCTTAAGTGAATATATGCACTTTCAATCTATCTCATGGATTATTGATTACTAGTAACGATGACTTTATTACGATCTGGAATCTGGAATATTACTCAGTGGTCATACAAATTCAATTGGAAGAATAAGCTATTGCCACTAGTATTGTGATATCCAATAATAAGTAATACTTCATTGTCGGTACCAATTAAGCGTAATTGTACTTTATATCCATAACATCCAAAAATGATCATTATGTATGTGCGATTGAGTCTATTTTAAATGTAGAAAGTGGTCTCTTGATGTTGACCAGTATCAATGAAAAAAACTATGCCACCTAAATGTTGATAGATGACATAGACTTGATTGTCGGGTTGAATAATGGGTATATGTTGAAATACGACATTTCGGAATTGAAACTGCAACATCAAGATCCTATCAACACCAAACCAAACTATAATCCATATCGAGTTATTTATCATAATAGTATCTAAGAACACTTTATTGATAACTATAGAATCCTCAATTCTTATTTAGTTAAAGATATTAATATGAGCCAACACTTAATATAACTCCAACGATCTCCCAATCAGAAAATTAAATAAAAGTTCAGAACAGGAATGACTAGATTGAGTGCAGTCAAAAGTATGGCAGGCTAATTCTATGATCAGCATTTTGAAAATCCAAATTAATCACCTACTTTAAGTGTTTCAATTCATTCAGAGAGTGTAATCTAATTGTCATACATGCAAATTGATCCTTTTGAAGTACTGTTTTCTACCAAAACATAACTTATAATTTCAGCTAGCAGTAATGACATTATCAAAATAATAAATAAATAATTTGAAGTGCTATGTTTATTTGAAATTAACAATCCCACTTCTCATTTTTGGAATCTCAATGCGTAAACTTACAAATTAAAAGCCCATATCCTTTTTGCTCTCGAATTACTAAAGTCTATTCAACACAAACTCACCAAAGAAAAATAGATGTCCTATAATATTGACAACATTTTAAGAGAATGCTCCTTGATTTACATGAAGAATAAATACTATCCATCTAAAGCCTAGAGTCACACTCTAACCACTAATCAAAACAACATTACAAGCTCTCTCCCTGATTTAATCAACAAAAGCACTCATTCTCTTAGATTTTATAATGAAAAAATCAAGTATTAGAAATAATAATTGGATATACAACAATAGGAAAAGCAAATTGAGGATTCAGCAAAGAAAAGGAACAGATACTTTTAAACACAATAACTACAAAGTCAAAAGAAGGAGATCTTGGACTACTTAAGATCTGATGATAAATAAAATGAGCATGACGATTTTGCTAAAACTTTGATCAGTATGCGTATGAGAACAGAACCCAAAAGCAATCTTCAAATCTCTAAGATTACTCGAACTACCAATTTTACAGAGATGACCAATCGGTCTCAAGTGAAGTTTCCTAATCACAGTAAGGAAGTATTCAATCTGATTAAGTAAGTTATAGCGAGTCCAAGCAAAAGGTTCACAGCTCAAGAGAAAAGTGAGTTAAAATCAAAATTAAAAATCCCAAAAATGGAAAAGTTCAAGTCTAAATTATCCTGATATGTTTATCTATATATAATCAATCATATTTATATATAAAAAGTTTAAATAATTATGGACCCATAACCGAGTTCATTTTAGTAAGCAGTTCAATAAGATACTTCTAATACACAGACCTCAGCTACTTGATCTGTATCATTTTTTATCCCCTGACTATTGGAAAATTGTTATCAATGGTTTAATTGATAACTTGGTTGTCTACACTCCTACTACTTTTTTTGACATAATAATAGTTCTATAGATTTAATTATTATGCCCACTTTATTTCGTAATCCATGGCAATTCTATTTATTTCTTTGATCTGTTAGGTGTAATGAAAACTCAATCTATGGAAGGAGTTTGATCTTAATTCAACAAAACTGACACCTGCCAATTAAGAATAAGCATAGTATTTGATCATTTGAGATTGGGAATCACAAAACATCTTTTCATAACTTTGTTTTGAAACTTGAAAATAAGTATCATTGAACAATTGATGAGCTTCTTAATCGTAGGTTGCTGGTTTAGCAATCACAATTAAACTACTTTTTTTTTACTTTTTTAACAAAGCTACAAAGTCACTGGGCCACTTAAAATGTAACTAATTTTATTTATCCACTTTCACATCCATATGTAACTCAGTATTCAATGAACCTACATGTTTCTTGAGTTCATCATGTGGATGTTCTTTAAATCCGAATTTATTTAATGAAGTAAAATCTAAGCGTTATGATAATACTAGTAAAAAGTCTTAGAATGCCTATCTTGTTTACAAGGTTTCTCGACAAGGACGAGACAAATCGACGTATTGTAATAAATTATTATATATAGATTGTTTAATTGGTTCAAAGTCGAAATGCTCTTAAGTTATCTTTCTAAGAGTATTTAAAATATATATACCTCAAAGCTTTTATACATCTTTTTGGTGAATTGTATTGGAGAGCAGATATTTTACAGACGACTTGTTGGCAACAACTTTTGGGATTGGAATGATAAAATTATTGGCCTGACTTACGCCAACTGTAATCTTGGAGTTGAGAGTAGAGTGTATCGTCAAAATTCTAAATTTAAAGAACAGTTCCATTTGCAGTCAGTTTTTTGCAACTTAGACAGAAACCCTGTTATTCGATGTTAACAGTTTTGATATCGATGCTGGCAATCATAAATTTTGTATATTACAATTGTAGAATTGGTTTGTGAAAGTTTTTTAAGAGAATGATAATAGATCATTATATCACGTATGTCAATTAATTTTACAACACAATTTAATTAGTATAATCGATAATGAATATTAATTGGTCTAAATGATGCTCAGGTTAATGTCGCTGAAGTCAGAAATTTAAGCAATTATAAATATCATATATATGTTTTAATGTGTAAGTTCAAAGACAATCCTTTAGGAAGGAGGCTCCTGAACATTGGATAATACCTACAATCACACCAAACAAACCAAGTGCTGAACCGAAGATTTCAACCACCAAAATTTTCACAAAGGTTTCTGGAGTCTAAGCATCAGCAATGGCACACCCAGATCCTGTCACACCCACTGCAATACTAAAAGGAATAACATATTCGATTACCCACAGATCAGATTCGACAATCCAACAGATACACCAGTCCAAAACAGGGAATAACCACCGAACAAAGCTGTCGTATAGCATTATGCCATCTAATCCTGAGGGTATGACTCAATGGTTTGCACTTTACCAATCATGATAATTGCCATAATCACACCATAGATAGCCACAGCCTCACAAAAAATGACTGAAATTAGATTCTTTGATCTAATTCGTGGTGCCTTCACTGTCGAACCCAACAAAGATACACCTGTCACAAATATACCCCATGATGCCCCTATAATCGATGTGGCTAATGCCAAAGCCACTCCAAAATAACTAGATATTTAATCATTTGCATCTACCTCCAAAAGTAAGGATCGATATACATGAATCTTTCTCCCCATGTGGCACTTTACCATTCTACAGCTGTCCAATCATATGGATTGCCCCAATTCATAATACTCATATTTTTATATTATATTTAATTAATTAGTATCATTCTCCAGAATATGTTTGTTCACTTTCTATCCATATTCCCAAACTCTTGATTCATTATTTATTAAATTATAATACATTGTAGAATTAGGAACAATCTTTTTCTAAATTCTGCGTAATGTAATATTAAAATAAATTTGAAATTGTTTATGAAAATCAATATTTTAGCTAGCCTTAGCAAGTTGATATTATTTCAAAAATACATTTGAATTTCTAGTTTACTAGATATTGTACTAATTGATTAACCTTAATGTTTGTAATATATTATAGATTAAAAACCTTATATTGATTCCTAAAATGATTAAAGAATAATATTATTTTTTATATTCATTGGTTGTTCAGAATATGTCTCATATTTAAGCTAAATTATAATACCAATTAGAAAGTACATTGTAGACAAATAGTAATGAGTTAAAATTAATATAAGAATGAAACTGAAATAAGGGCTATCATATTTTGAAAGAATTGAAAAATAATTCATAATTAAATAGATGGCTTTCTCAACCAAAATGAATTTAAGAGTTTGATTGAAGTAGGTAATTGAGATAATTCATTTTTTCATTTGTCCACACACTTCACATTTCTCCTCTGTGTTTTCTTCATATGTACAAAATGCACAAGTCCAAGATTGCAATGTTATATACAAATTCACTTTCTTTATAATAGACAATCTCTTTCTTATCTCATTGGTGTCATTTGTACAATTTACATAATAAGATTTCCCATCATCATCTATATATGTTAATAAAGGACTAACGATATTCATTTGATCTTTAATAAAACGAATGATCTCATCATAGGTTGGGTTCTCTTTTTCATACAATTTTTCTGAATCACTGGCAACTATATTAAATAACATAAATTTTATATTAATATTAATGTAATAAGTCTTTATTAGTGGCTTGCCATACACTGCTTCAGAAAACGACGTATAAACTCTTTTTGAAGAATGTGGGGAAATCCTGTATGTCATATCATCTAATCTAGTTCCATTAAATTGCCAAGATATTAGGATTCAAACAGACTTCTGGGTTATGGTCATATCACCTTTAATGACTCTGATGCCATTCAAAAAGCATTAGCACTCAATGGTTCCTAATTGGGAGGCAGGTACATTGATGTCAAAGAGGCCAAAGGAACCCAATCTCAAAAGCCAAGTGTTCCTCCTCCTGAATGCCATACTATATTTGTCAAAAATCTGTCTTACGATTTAAATGCCGATCAAATTGGAGACTCTTTCAGACCTTGTGGTAAAGTGGCAAATGTTAGAATGGTTTACAACACTGTCACCGATAATTTTAAGGGCTTTGCATACATAGATTTTGAGGATCATTAATCAGTCATCAAGGCACTTTAGATGAATGGAAAAAAAGTTCATGGAAGACAAGTTTAAGTAGACTTTGACATAAAGAAACCTAAAGCAGGATTTAGATACTCAACAAAGCAAGTTGAGCAATAGAACAAATATAATCAAGAATACTAGGAAATTTAAAAAAAGAAAATTAAAAAGGAAAAAGCAGTTTAGAAGGTCAAAAAAATTAAAAACTTTGCTGAGACTTAAAAGTAAATATCTGCTTAAAGAAATAAGTAATAAATATGATTCCCTCATGTTTTATAGTTTTTAAAGTATATTAATATGTCGTTTATTATTAATTATTTGATATCAATCGATTTAATATCTTAGATATAAACGGTCCCCATAATTTAATATTATGATAAATTATACAGATTTTAAGTTTGATTAAGTTGTGTTAAACTTGGTATTGTTATGTTTATATTTCATTTAAATTGAAAATCCATACAATTCTAAAATTGAAAATTTTGAAATTAGAAATTCCTTTCTGATTCGATTTAAATTAGAATTCACCGTTGCAACATGATTAACGCTTACTGTATCAATATAAATGTCTGTATCAGTTGATGAGAATATTTTAAATTACGAATCTGGAAAACAGGAAAATTAAATTCGCTAAGTTTAGGATAGTTCACTTAAGGTGAATTTGGAAAGATTTCGAGGTTTTTTGGATTAAATTGAGTAAGCAATCAAAATAATTTTTAAATATTTTTTATATATTTATAAGTTACGACGGTTTCATTTTCTTTGAATAAAAGTATAAGGGAGTTTAAAGTTATAAATTTATGCTGCTTGGAATGTTGGGTTGCAAAATGCAATTTTTGTATTGATTTATAAATAATTTAACTTGAAATTAGTGGTAGAAATAATTCTTTAGTGAGGTTAATCTATTGGGAGTACTAATTTTAATTGATATAAAATTGATTTAATCATTTTGATCAATTAATCTACAGTTTATTCGTCAGGTCACCCTAATTTGATCTGACATCAATATTGGAGCGTATAAGTGATCAAATGGTGATTATTTGTATATTAAATAATTTAGAGAGCATTAATAATTTTAAAATATGGGGTGTACTACTTCAGGTGACACTGTTGCATTGGCATTTAATGATTTTCAATTACTTAAACTAGGAACTTAATCGATAGAGTTGACTCAATTGTTCCTGGTTGCAAACAATTTATTAAGTGAAGTCTAACAACTATATAAGAAAGTTGAAGGGAACAGACTCATTTTATTACGCATCACAAAAGTAAGCATAAAACCCCCTATTGTAGGTATCTTTAACGGCTAATCAGACCTTGATAGATGCATTTGGCTTTTGGACTCGATATGTTTCAATATGTAACCTAGGATAGGGTGGCTAGAATGGAGTGTTTTACAAATTTGAAAATGAAGGTATTGCATAGGATTATTTGCATAGGGAAATATTTGAACTATAGTTTGGGTTTGAATGGCGATTTAAAATTGCAATGGTTTGGGGAGGTTTTGAATGATTATCTCAAAGTACTCGAAGGGATTACGAAAATAATCCCAAGCATTCTTGAATAGTTAAAAGTAGTTCTGGAAAAGGTTGTTGGCATGACAGCAAATATAAAGGAGAAGAATCAAGCTTCTAGACATAATATAAGTTTATTAAAATTCAATATAAGTTTCATAAAAATAATCAACATAAAAATCATAAAGTACAATGAGGAACTAGAGATGCTCAGGGATAAATATAAATAGGTAGCAGAAAATGCAGATGAGCAAGGAATAAAACTGTATAAAAAATATGGAGTGCGAAAACTGTTGAATGAAGAAAAATACTGTTTAAAAACAAAACTCAACATTCTCATAGAACAATGCTTTTAAGGTTAAATGAGAACGGAATTAGAATACGAAATGTAGAGGAAAGAAAAAGATAAACGAAGATTAAAGAAACCAGCATGGACTTTTGGAGATGATATTGGAATTGGAATTAAGAAGTTTCCCTTCAGAATCAGATGGACAGGATGTGAATGCGTAGATCATTCATTTTTTATTATCTCGAACTATTTAGAAAATCACAGTAAACATCTGCTCTTACTCAGAAAATTATCAGTTATCCTGAGATACTTAACTTAGGCATATAAAACTGATGAGGATACATTGGCAAGAGCATGGTCAATATTTTGTTGCTACTTAAATGAAAGGGAAAGATCTATTATATAAAACAGCATGTCCATTTTAGAAGGAATCAAAAGACTTAAACTCAAAAATCAGAATGCTGAAAAATGCAGAAAATATTTCATTTAATACATCGAGTAATTTGATAAGGAATTACTCGATAAATTAGAATAAGAATGGTCAAATTATTAGGAAGGACAATCCAAGGTATTATCCCTGTGGTCAAACAATCAAATATTTGCTACCATCGAATTCTAAGAGCTTGATATACACGATAAATATTATGCATTAACAAGCATGGCTAAAAATGTATATGCGCTTTAACACTATTTTCCGGTTGCTACTAAAATTTATAATACAGGTATTGATTATTCATTTATATTTTAGTTTATTAGAAAAAGTTGACAAAAGGAAAAGATTTTCTCAATGAAATGCAATCAATATACATATCATCAGGAATCTATTCTCTTCCATTTGAAAACCTGCACACCTTAAACAAGGCTGAGGACGAAGCTATCAAAGTGAAAAATAAGGAGATCAAGTTCAAATATGCATACGATAAATTCGAGTAGAAGGGCTGAGCAATTCAATTGGAAATATTATTGAGTATTTATAAGATTAATTTTTATTTTATACATAATTTTCATAAATATGCTTAAGTAAGATCAGTCATCTTAGTCCTTATTTATTTGTTGTAAGCTCTTAAAGTATTACACAAAATTAATAAGTGCGAACTTTTGCTCCTCTTTTTTCAATTGTTTTATCTATTGTCTAAGAGTTTACTTTTTGCCTCCAATTGTATTTCCCAGTAAATTTGTAATCTAACTTGAAAGGTGAGGCAGTTCAACCTTTGGATCATAAGGTGGTTCATCTCCATCAGTGAATGAGTCCTCCAATTTCTACTTCAGTGACTTGAAATCATTGATCATGCATTTGTCCAATCCTTTGATATCGGGATCATTTGGAGACAGAACAGTTTTCATTTGATTTCCAATATTTAAATAGACATACAACAAAAATCCATCCAATTTTGTGTGTAAATCCTTAACTCTTCTATCATCTAGATCCATTGGTTTATCTCCTCTAATTATGGATAGCTTTTCTGCTAGTCGACTACAAGCTTCAATAAATTCTTGAAAATTCATTTAATAATGTTTTGAAGAAAATAGTTCATCCTTCTATGTAACCATGGATTGGAGATATACCGTATAGGATTCCCTTTCACTCAAATCATCACATATCAATTTGCATTCAGATATGAAGTCTTTAAAATCTGAAAATGATACATAATCAAATTTAGTTTGTTGTTTCTTACTTAATTTGCAACAATATTTGTATAAGGATTTGAGCATGGCAAGTCTATCATTTAATAAGATGTCACATTTTTGATTCCAAAGTCTTGTTTTTCTCCATTGCTATGATTAATCGAATCTAGCAAAATATTCCTAAGATTATTGTTTGACAGCATTAATGGAATCCACCATCGTAGTGTAAACTCCAGATCTAATATATTTATCATTGCATAATCTGATCATGATTTCCAACAATTAACATCTGACAATACCTTTTTCAAATGCTTAAGGAAAGGCCACATCCTTTGCTGCACTTGTAGAAGTAAAACTGATATCAATGTCGTTGGTTTTCATGCCATCCATTAATGAAGTCTAGACCAAAAAATCAATGAAATCTTGTATCATAATGCAAGGTATTGGAGTATTCAAAGATCCAGATGCATGATATTTATAAACATGAAACAAATTTCTATACAACTCTCTTAGGGATTCCTTCACTTCTGCTACCTCATTCTCCTTAACCAGTCTCGTAACTTTCGAATTTTAAAAGTCAAACTCATAACATTAATCAATTAATTGAGGAGTATCTGGTTAGAAATTTCGAAATATTGAATTCTCCACTGACCAACAATGCTTCTTGATATTTAGATAGGGGGAGAAATCAAATTTAGCCAAGGGTTCTCTTGGTTTGCATTATACCAATGGCATATACTTATCAAATAACTACTATTTATTAAAGGTTTTCAGCACATTCAGACATTCAATTGTACTTCCATCCACTAAAATTTCATCATTATATAGAAATGGAATGGAAGGCAAGGGAGTTTCTAATTAAATAATAGGTTGATCAAGTGCTGGCTATTAAACTCCTAAAATTGGGTTAGTGAAAAAGTAGTGAATATTTTAATTGGGTGGACACATTTTAACCAAAAAGAATTCATTATTCAAATGAGTCATCAAAAGAGGTCTGTAATCTTCAAAATCTAAATGAATGAATATGGGTTCATTGTAGAGACTTCCTGATTTATATGCAGTCCATTCAAATTTAATTTCTTACCAACCTTCGCAAATCCAACAAGTGTCCAACTTACCCATTTAATTAACTTTTTAGACATTTAGTTTTGTTGATCTGATTTTTCTTTATCTACTATAGGGCATAACAAATTCTTCATATTGTTTGGCAGCTATGAAAACATCCTTTTTAGGTTGATCCAATAATTTGAAAAACTGTGGTTACTTATAAAGCAAGGTCAATTTGTCATTTTACACCTTTTTCTATTATATATTATTCATCAAGAAGCCGTTCTAATTGACTACCAATTCAGTCTGATTTCCTTCAAAGTGAAACCCATAAATAGTTTCATTTTTAATTAATGCATCAGTTATAAGTTGGGCTTACAAGTAGGTAAACTTATTGTATGAAAGATCCACATGAAGCAATTCATTGTAAGGTCTGGCTATTGCTTTAGCTATTGAGGTTGCACAATCAAGTGAGGCAATATTGTTATGAGATAAATCTAATATTTTGATGCTCGTATTCTTATACATGGCTTTCCAAATGGTGTTACCAGCACTTGAATTTAAATGATTGTATCCAAGATATAATTCTAGGAGTCTTTAGGTTTATTTCAATAAATTGGAAAGACCCAAACAGGAAGATTCTGTAATTTGATTATTATTCAAATTGAGATGTTGGAGAGTATAGTTATTCATCAAATATTTCACAATTATTTTACATCCTTAATCCCTTATGTTATTCTTTTCCAAATTAATTTTGCTAATTTAATTTTTATTAATATAACTCATTAATACATCCATATGTTAATAGTGTAATTTACAGTCAATCAATTCTATATCTTTCAACGTTGTTGGGAAACTTAAAAGCATATCTCTGAGTTGCATGGGATCAAATATATTATGATTCATTTGTAAACTGGTTATACTCTTACTTTGTTGAGTTTGCATTGCGTGAGAAAATGCTCTACAATCCTCGCGAGATCTTAGGCATCGATTGGTGTTCACAGAAACTAATTGTTGCGTATTTTGGATCAAACCGAAGGTCTTGGGGACTCTCTGAGGCTATGATAGATTTAAACTCAAATAGAGATTCTGAGGCTATTGTTTGTAAACCTTAGCAAACTCATTGAGTTTAGTTGTGTGTCTTACAGAACTCAGAAAGTCTTGGGTGCTCAAATTTGGTAGAAGTTTGCTAGTATAGAATATGACAATTTACTTTCCTTGTTTCATTCTTTGAAAATAGAGGTATCTTTCATTTCCTTTTTGCAATTAGGAACTTCTATTTGTTGATTCTTAGGTTTTTGCTTTGTATGTTGGTTCTTAGGGGAATTCATCCGAAGTATTCATTTGTTGGATTATCTCTTAATCCTTCTGCATGAAGAATTACCAATCGCATACTTCGTGTTTGAGAAGTTCATCAGCTATGTTTTTTTCAAAACTGGATGAAGCATTGGCATTCTCTTGATTCCTATCTACCTCAGGTTTATTGGTTGTATATAGTTTTCTTTAGAAATTTTTGGTAGTATTGGTATGTTTTGTCAAACTCTAAAAGCCCAAAGCTATCTCGCTCTTATGAGGCAGCATTAATCTACGAAAGGTTTCTGTTGGTTGAGATTATTGTTTAATAGTATCATCATGGGAAATCATATATAATTATTTTTTAAAACTATAAGTAACCAATTCGTTTATTATACTTAATTCAGATAAGTAGTTTATTAAAATCAATAGCGAATGACAATTCTTAGACTTTGATATTCAATCGTCAGTATAACCTATTGAAGTGCCATCCCTTCAATTTGTTGAACGGCTATTTTTACTTCAATTTTAAACGTATATTAACAATGAAGACTCGATTGCTGTATGGTTAATGATTGATTTTCATCGATTATTTTATTAAAATCAGAATGATCAATTAATCAGAATTGCTCGTCATAAGCATTTAAAATAATATAAAAAATTATTATTTAATAAAAATGGGTTGTTGCTTGAGTGCAGCTAATCAAATTAAAGAACCTGAAATTTTGAATAACAAACCTATCCAAATTAGTCATCCTTAAATATAATAACAGGATATCCAAAATAATCAAGTTATTGAAGAGGATATAAATGAAGATGAAAGGAAAAGATATGTGTAAAAGAAAAAAGACGCTCCTCCTCCTTCCAAATACCCTAAACCAATGAAAAAAGATATTCGTGAGGATATCCAATTTGAAATCCCCTAACAACCTATAGAACCTTAAAAACCCAAATTACCTAGAAATTAAAAATTGCACAAATTAATCCAACTTGGAAGGGAGTATGTTGGATCACTTCATCATAATTCTGAGACTGACAAATAAATCATAAGTGAAATTGAATTGTAAACCTTTGAGAAGACACTCACCTTGGAAGAATTGAATGTAACATATTATTAACTTTTAGAATATATCATAAAAGTATGAGAAATCATTGACTGAAATTCTATTTTTAAAGTGTTGTACAGGCATCACCTTGCTTGAACTCATCCTAATTAATATTGATAATTTTGAAATAATAACCTATTTATTGTTAGAGCAAAAACTTCATATAAATGATGATCTCTATTACATTGCAATTAGAATTATAAATAAAATTAAACCCCTAAGAAAAAGCGACAACTAAGTTTAATAATAGATTAATTTTCTAAAAGCAATCAGAGAATCCAATCAAGTTCGTGAATTAGTCCACAGAATAGAATCAGTTACGCTTTTTAATGGAATATAAAATTTTGAGTCTGAATTTAACTTTAAAAATCGTTATCATCTCAAATTATTAGGAACAATAGTTAAAATACTCAAAAATTTCTAAATAGATTCAACCCTTGAATAAATATATTGTAATGCAAAGATTGATCACAATTTCACTAATTCCTGCATTCCAAAATCTATACCAAAAGGTGAAAGTAAATAAGTAAATTCTTGTAAAATTGAATTGAAATATCTAAAAATGAATATATTTCACTAGATAGCCTTAAATAAAGATTGGACACTATTTAAATAGTACTCAAATAACTACTACCAATAGCCAGATATTTCTGGAATGACTCCTTTTATGATCTTTTTTGAAAGGGCTCCAATAAACATTATATTAGAATATATAACAGATTATCCATCACAACTCAAATAGGCTATTAAGTATTCAACAAGTTAGGGTAAGAATATCGCACATTGCATTTCTATGAATAAGGACATCTCAGAAGAGAATGAAGCCATCCTTATGAATATCTTGTCCCAACTATCTTCTTGTGGATCAGAAGAATAGATGTTAAAATAATTACTACTATAACCGTACAATGATTTTATTCCATTGATTTCTTATTTGGATTCACATAAGGTAGGATTAAATTCAGTTTGTCAATTTTTGAGTCAATTTATTACAAAGGAGTTTGATTTAAACAAATTGCATATTCAAGCTAATATTCATTCAAATCAAATAAAAAATTAGCGTAGAAAAGATCTTAAACAAAATGAAAACAATGTTTATCCAAGTTTGTATGAGAGATTCTATCGTTTTAAAAAATACGGTAAAACTTTAGCAAAATAATATCCATAAAAAAAACCACTTACTTAATATGACAATGTTTACTTACATTATATTCAATTAGCGAAATAGGTAATTAAAAAAGATTTTAAAGTTAAATTTGATTGGATTAATAATTTTAATATTTACACAAGTTACTTCCCTTATGATATAGGAACTACATAATAGTCATTGATGAATATGTTATTAAGGAATGGAAATTCAGAATAAGTGAAATAGGGTATTACTTAAGTGATTTAGTTAATGGATTCTGGTTTAAATCTAGATGTTGAGACCCCAAACGGATTTTCTCTTTAAGCATAACTTTTAGCAGAATTAATTAGTTTAAAAAGAGAATAAAAGCAGTATCCATATCAGACAGTATTTGATATGATTGATTCAGTAGTGATAGAATAAATAAATCAATAACCAAAATTACTAATAGCTTCAATCTTTGGAAATACTGATTTTAGAAGAACAGAATATTAATCAATATATTCCTACTTAGTTTAATTAAAGGATTAAAAATTATTAGAAGGATGTCTAACTGCATAACTGTTATTTGATATAAATTAAAATACTAAATATGAATTGTTGATGGAAGCCTTTGAATTAAAGTAATTAAATTCTAAAGATCATTTGCTTAAGAAAATATTAGATTCGATTTAAATTAGAGCTAGAATTCATCTGACGACAAAAAAAGATTCATTAGAGATTGTATTAAATGATAAATCATAACCAAAAGAAGATGAGGTGATCTATACTATCAATTTCTCAACATTAATTTAACTTGATTTCTCAAATTATTAATCAAAAAGAACAATCATCCAGCAGCTAAAGGAAAGTGATGATAAGAAAGATGATCAATAACACACTTTTAGAGTAAAAATTTCATATCACAATATTCTTATTTTTTATTCTTAATCGGAATCCTAAAAAACTTTTATAGAAATTCTCAAACATAAACATTTTCGATCCTTCACTAAATTTTGGATTTTGAAAGATAAAATCAATTTTCATCCACAATTATTTATAAATGAGGATTATTTTCCAAACGTCACTATTGATAATCTAACAGTAGACCAATATGAATCAGCATTCGATTGGTAAATTTTAGGAATCAGTGCAAAAATTATAAATTCAACCTTTCCTATAAAAGAAGATAAATTAACTCATAAACAAAAAGTTATTAGAGATTAAATTGTTGACAAAATTGATTTTGTTAATGCTTTAGCTCAATCGAATAAGCTTAGTTTGGAATTTCAAGGTTATATTTAAATTTGTCAAAAAGAGCATAAAGATAGAATGAATTTAATATACAATATTTGGAAAATGATTGAAGCAGAAGCGTTTGACAATATTATGTATTTAAATTCTCTTCTAACACTCAGATAATATGATCACATATTAATAACCATTCATACTTTTTTATTTTAAAAGAATATAAAAAGGTAAACCTGCTAATGGGATGACTAGGATGTGTTAAAATATAACTAAATACTATCAAAATTATTAGATCTGAAATTTCCTGAAAAGGAAGATGATCATTATAATCCTATTCGAGGTTGTAGTTTGAACATTATAACATTGTTTTCACCTCAAAATTGGTAGAGGTTTAATGAAAATACAAAATATTTATTCTATTCTTATATAAAAGAATGGAGTTATAGTTAAGAACAGCATCTTTGTGTCTTATTAAGTAGTCCAAAAGACTAATAAGTTATATATCCAATATCCTAAAATATTATAAAAAATAAGAAAATGCCAAAGAATCCTAATTTGATCAGTTTAATCCTAGAATATTATCTGAAATAATCGTATGATGAGGAAGAGCTTGGTCAAATTTAAAATTTTTTTATCACGTTATTTTAAAGCTCAGAACAATTAGCCCTTAAATATTTAAATTAAATGAAGCTAAAAAAAAATTAAATTTATATTCTTTATGGAAATGTTTTGAGAAAAAGTTAATCAACCAAATCATTAAATTAACTATTGCACTTTTGTGAGAATAATTCCATAGTTCTTGATAATTAAATATACTAAACACCGTTAAAATGCCCAGAAGGCTTAGAGAATTATTATAAAGCCTTGTCTAAACCCTATTACATAGTTTTTACTTTGTCTCAGTATTAAGAATTTTATAAATAAATACCTTTGACTATGGAATAAAAAACTAAACATTTATAATTATTCCTTGAAAATGGGCTACATGAAAAATTATAATTTATACTTAGTTAAGGTGATTTCAGTTTTGAAACATATAGTACAGCATACTTTTAAATGGTAAAATCTTATTTAGAGGAGTAATTATCTATCAAATTTGATAATTAAGATACAAATGAAGATGAAGCAGAAGAGATGGATGAAAACGGAAATTAAACTGTTAAAAAAACTAATAAATATCTATTTTTTGATCTTAAACCTAACGAATTAAAATTCAAATAATTGAGAAATAAAAAGACTAAACTGGAGTTAAAATAGGAGGCTTAAAAAATTGTTGATGAGTTTTGCAAAACCAATAATATGTCTCTTCTCAAAACTAAGTATGTCAAAAAAGTACACAATATACAAAAAACATTAAATCATTAACAAAATTAGAGTTTTGGAAGTTAAATGCAAGATAGATCGCCATTATTTATGAATTCAGGAGGGTAGAAAGTAGATTTTCTTAAATGCATTGAAATAGTGTAAAAATAATTTAATCCAAAAAAAGTTAAATCTAAATAAATAATAGCAAATTATGAGTATTACTCCAATTTATTATACCCAAAGAAATAAAAAATTGAGAAATATCAAGCCATTATTACAACATTATTGCAAGTATTTAAAGAGAACAGATTTCCTAACAGTTTTTTATCATCGAGAGCACAGGGTTATATTGATTTATACAATGCTAATGCCAATTTGAAATAAGCAGAAATAGAATTTGAATTTCCTTAAAGATTCACATCATTTTAGAAGTAATTTTTCTTGGAAATTTTATTGAGTTTGAGAAATGAGTCATAAAATGAAACTGCTAATCTGATTTTAAGTTAATAGCATGAGAATATGAAATGTGTAAAGTTTCTGTAAAAGAATTTAAGTGAATTAGAAAACATTAGATTCAATAGCACTACTTTGTATTATGTAACTAAATAAGTAGAGCTATTAAAAAGTAATTCATATTCTTCGGAGATTTTCAATTATTATAAAGAATCTGAAAAAATAAAGACAACATTTTACAACTTGTAATACACATCAAATGAATTAACTAAGAATCAAGTATTTCTTAGAAAGGGTAGACATGATCACATCACAAAATAATCATAGTTTACATAGAATCATTTAGTAGCTGCAATTATGAGCAATAATTATGCCTCAATTACTTATGCATTGAATCTACATGCCGAACCTGTAAAATGTGGTTTAACAAATAATGTATTCTAAATTTTAATAATTTAATAATGCGAGAATAATATCATTAAATATTTCAATTCATTTGTTAAGGGAAAAGTATAAGCATATGAAAAATTATTATCACTCAATAACATTCCTATACTATATTACGTATTTTTCAAAAAAATGGAGAAAGTTTTTGCGGAATGTTTTCTTGCATTTTTAACAAATTTGATAGGTAAGCAAAAAACTTATGATGTAATTAAAAGCCAATTGCAACTATCTTCTAATTTAACTGAATATAAGGTCTATTAAATTGCTTTAATGAATAAATGCTATTATGTTTTGAACTATTTGGATGGAATCATAACACAGGATGATTTGAAGTTGATAAGCTCACCATATATTCTGAAATGTCAGATTCGTCCTGATAAATTAGAGGAAAACTCGAAAGAAGAATAATTTTATAAAAAGTATTTTGAATTGTTATCATTGGCATAATAAGAACTACATTGGCCTGAATTTGAAAGAAAAAAGAAGAAAGAAAAATAATAGGAAAATAAAAATAAAGTTGGAGAAGGAGAAGAAGAAGAAGAAGGAGAAAAAAAGAAAAAACCAAAAAAAAAGAAAAAGAAGAATAAAAAGGGTAAAAAAAAAGTTACTTCTAAATAGAAAACCCTTCCTAAAAAATCAAACAGTTTTTACATTAAGGATAAATAAATCAATGAATTAATTTTATTTGAATAGGCTTGCATAAATTCAGTATTTAAGTTGAAAGCGGAAATTGAATTAAAAAATACAATGTTATCTTTAGCCTTAAGTGAAAATAAATGGGAATGTTTGGAAAAGTATAAATATCCAGAGCATCTGTTTATATAATTAATTACTGAGTAAAAAAGCAAGAATTAGATCCAAAATTTAGACTAAAGCTTATTTCAAAATATCTTTAAAAATTGTCTTCAATATTAAATACTTAATAGTAAATTGGTTATTGAACTTTGCCAAATTAATCCTCAATTGCTTTTAAAAGTCTTAAAAGCAATACAGGTAACCTTAGATATAGCCGTGATTTTATATGCTAAATTGAAAGATACTCCTGAACTTGACAATTTCTTGAGTTATCATTCCAAAATGTACAAAGAATACATAAGAATTCCTCAAAATGGAGTGCCTATAGAAGATGAAGTGATTGAACAAGAAGAGGAGCATCCTATACCAAGAGAATACATGAAACCATCTGTAGCCTATATATTAATGTTATTACATAGTATAAAATAAGACAATTACAATCCTAACCTATTAAAAAAGCAATATATTTCAATTCCATTGTTTTAGAAAACCTACGATTTACTTAAATAACAATTAAATTAATAAAGTCTGTCATAGATATAGTTTACAAACAATACCTTGTAATTTTTGAAGGATTTCTCAGAAGTCACTTTAAATATTGAGAAGGATCGCTTTTTTGAAAGTCTTAATTTTTAAGAAAATGCTCTAGAAATTGTAGTTCTCAAAAGCATGATTTAAATCAAGTAAATCGAAACAATTATTGAAAATTTCAAAGCGTAATGTTCATGGTAGGGTTATTATTAAAAGGAAAAAAAGCATGACAAATAAATTAAGAATAGATTTTAGATTTACTTTGGTGATGAAGATATAAAGTTTTCTTCTGAATGTTATGAAATCTATTTGACATTTGAAAACAATCAATTCAATTTAAGCTAAGATAAAATTGACCGAATTTTAACTTTCTTTAAATAAAAAGAACACAAAAAAAATTTAGATGAGTAACCTATATTGTTGGAAAATATATTATAGCATAAAACTGTTAATAATAAGTAGGTTAATTTAAGTAAATTTGATTTAAGGGCTTTGAATTCAATTGATTTCGATGATATAAATTATGAAAATTGCATAAATTAAATATTAGAATTAACAAAACCTTAAGGAAGGTGTGGATAATATGAAATTGATGATTTATTTGCACCTCATCAACATGAATAAATTAGACAACCTGAATTGTCATAGCAAATGTCTATTTAACAACCAGTATTATAGAGATAACAATCTTCATAAATGGGTTAATCTTTGGGAGCTTTAAGTTTATCTAAATAGGTTTCCACAAGTAAGAGATAGAAATTACGAGAGGATTTCCAGTTCATGTTAGAACTCTTACCTGATAATACCTATTAAGTGCGACAGAGACATAAAAAATAGAATCAAAAGGAAATAATCTTTTCGGAATTCTATTAATTCTAATAGCCAAATGTTAAGTTAAATGTAATTAAACTAAGTGAAAAGGAATTCATTGAATAATATGACAGTCGAAAAACAATCTCAATTTTAGTTTAGGATCTTTATAAATATAATGAATATTTAGGTAATTTGATTGAAGGGTAAAAACAATTAGAAGAATGGGTTGTTGACTTTCCATTTTATATTTAGAATAATTCAATCAAATTTTCAGATTGTTTATTTACAACCTATAGCATTTAATGCATTTTTAATAAGCTATTTAATTTTGTGGAAAAAGTAAGAACATATTCTTCAATTGACAAAAAGGACAATTTGAAATTAATTTGGAGAATCAATGCAACTTCATTTTTGGAGGTCTTTATAAGCAAATTAATTGATTAACAGAGTTAAAAATATCCTCTAGTTGAAATATATTCATTGATAGATGCATTATTGGAATGGAAGAGCCTAGCTATGATTTTCAACACATTAATATATCATAATTTGGAATAGGCTTAATAAGTGTTAAAGGTAATAAGGGGCGTGTATGTTGAGTTTAATGAAATTTCTGATTTGGCTTAGTAGCATTGCTAATTTGTGGATACGAATTGTCATCTTGATAAAACATTTTTATTTGGTAATACCACTTATTTGCTTTAAAATTAGATCTTAATTATAAGGTTGAATGTGAAAATTGAACCAAACTCCTCATAAATAACTCAGATAAAAAATAATATAATGCTTCCAGATACTAGAATTTAATTGTATTACAATAATATCCTTAACATTTATGACTTTTTTAATTAGATTTTCAGCGCTGATCAACTTGTTTAATTTATTTTTAATAAATTATAAGTTGATGGATGCTTGCTTAATTATTCGAATGAAATAAGTTCACTCATCAATAAAACAGTAACATTTTCAGTGGATCATTCACAATTATAATTTATATTTTCAGGAGAGATTATGAGAGTGATGTCAATAAAAAACAATGAAACGAGATTAAAAGAATTTGAGAGCATTTGGTATATTTTAAATAAACTTTATTGTTATTTCACAACGGATTTATATAGATATTTGGAAAATTCATTCATAAACGAAAAATTCAATACTATGTTTTATATTAGATTGCATTGTCTTTTGAATTCTATTAAACATAAAAAGAATTTAAATGAAATTTTGAATTCAAATACTAGATAGCTTTTTAAATCTAAAGGAGGATTTGTCATAGAAAAGGTGTGCAACTTAAATAAATAAATTTGCTCAACAAAAAACTCAAACATAGATTTGCAATTTGGTTTTTAGTTGACTACTTCATTTTACGTTAGTAATTGTAAATTAGGTGATATTTGTGCAGTATTTTATTCTGAGAATTCTAAATTAAATTTAATCTTTGGATAATTGGTATGCAAAACAAAACCAGGGAGTTTGATATTTCATATTTTGACTGACAATCTACCAAAAGGTTAAGAGGAGATTGTAAGATTGTAATAAGCTTACTAAATAGGAATGAATAACTAAAGTGTATTGTCCATTAGTTTAGAGGATCTTCAGGCCATAGTATTATTTTAATCTAACTGGCCTAGTGATCCCTTATTTAATAATAGCATTCTTAACTTATTTATCACTGATATGGAGAAAGACTTATTCATTTGTAATGAGAAAAACTTCATAAAACATATGATCGAAATATAGAATGAAGTAGATGAGAATGTTAAATAGGAAAAAATAGATAATTTATTTGGAGTGGGCTTAGCATCATCCTACAGTGACATTACAGTATCATAAATGACACCTACTTTTGTAGATTAAATCAACTTCGATTTTATCTCAATTAATTCTTTAAAAAGATAGCAATCAGTGATACAACCAAACACTGTTTTTATCAGAATCAATGAAGATACTTTTGTAGTAGATCCCATACCAACCTAACCGATAAATACTGCGTGTTATTTTGAGTCAAATATTAAGGGTTACAAATTATAAGGGGAACTTAATAATTTTGTAAAATAACATGAGGAATTTAGGGAAGTATTTCTTATATTTGATGATGAACTCGATAATTAAGTATATAGAGCAGCAGACAGAATAATAGCTGAAAATTCAGGCATAATCAGTTTCATTAAGGGTTATGAACAGTTTTTATCAAATAAAAACCAAAGTTCTATCAATAGTTCATTATAAATGTTCTTTGAAGTTTAATCAATCTCATCGATTAAAATTAGAATTATTTAGAATTTGATTACAAAAATTGAGATTATTTTTGCTCCATTCAAGCATGAAGGAGAAGCCCTAATTAAACTTAAAGATCAAACACTCTAAGTGTACTCTCTTTTGGGGGAAACAAAAATCATTTATCCAGAAATAGATGAAGTTTCAAATTTCTTTTATAATCTGATCATAAACTATAGAGATCATCATTTCGAGTCATAAATTACCAATGATAATCAAATCCAAATCAACTTTAAGAGATTACCTGATTTAGAGTTTATAAAAGTATTTGTAGATATCGTGTTGATTGCCTAATACTTTCATAAACTTGTATGTATTATTGATAAAGAAAATTAAATCAAAGCGATAAATATATAGCATACTGATGAAATAACAACTAATAATAAATATTCATTCTATTAATTTACAGATGACATGATAATCATTAATTATTGCAAATACTTTGATTTTAGTTTTTCAAATTTCATATTGGATTATTTAAATAGAAAATAAATCAATTAAATAAATAAGGTAGAATAGAACCTCACTTTTTCTGGATCACAAATACTTGAAAAGCAAGTAGATTTGATTCCGAAAACAATATTTTCAGGCTTGAACTAAACCGATTAGGTAGAATTGCTATCAATAATTGATATGAATATGACAATTCACAATTAAGATAAAGCAAATCCATTAGAATTTAAAGAATTAATATTAATACCAAAAGTAAATGGTTTTTATAACAATTTATTCTACTTCAAAAGTTTCCAACATCCCACGCTTACCAAATATAATAATCAAAAATAAAACAAATATTAAGTAGGAGATGAGGTTCACTTTTTGTTGCATCCAATTAACTCTTAGATTTCCTTAGATCAATAATTATAGAAATTGAAGGTAAGAGTAGGTTTAAGACAAACGAAGCAAAAAAAATACACTCTTAGTCAACTGATATTTTAAACTTCAGAAGAGGAATAATTAATTACAAATTGCTTATTTTTGAGTAATAATGTCATGCTTGTAACAATTAAAAGTGAGTCTCGATTGAAAATTAGTATTTATTCAACTTCCTCAATTACTTTGTCTTAATTAAATTATTAATTTTCACGACAATTAAATTTTCAATACTAGATTTAGACTGTTTAAGATTTAGAAAAGACATTACACGTTTCAGTAACACATGGCTAAAAAACTATAAAAGTAAAACTTGAAAAAGACGATCATACAACCTATGGCAAAGGTAATAGATAGTTGATGAAAATTCTATCGAAGGAGGCAAAGAACAATAAGAAGGAAATTTATTAGTCAACGGAATCTACAACTCATTCTTCGGAATTGTAAAGTGGCAACACAATAAACATGATTAGTAATTAAGATATAGCTGCAGCTACAAGGGCAGGAGTATTGAGGAAGGATTATATCGAGTTTAGAGATTCGAATTGCAATGTAGTTGAATAATTTACTTGTGAGAAGGTTAGCTTTGTTCATTCGATATTCTATCAAATACAATATGTGCCAGAGAAGGAAAGAGCAGAGGAAGGATTGAATTTGATCTGGACTCCTACTTTCAAAGGAATTTATCATTTGCTCATAGACAACGTGAAAATTGAAGGTCGCTTTGTTGTTCTAGCAAATGTGCCAAATTTAGAAAAATCAACTATAGAAATATAAGATAATTTGGAAGTGATACCATTCTGTGAGAAAATATTAATCTCATTTTATTTGAAGGATAAATTTGAAAATTGCTATGGAGACACAGAAAATCAAATATTCTCTGAATCTAATTGCAATGTTAAATAAGTATCAGGCAATCAATCAAAATTAAATTTGACTTTCAATAATCTAACAAAAGTTGGTAGTTTGAATGCTTATCTTACATTTGATCCTATCGAAGTTTTAGTCTTAGAAGATACATCGGCAGTTGAATTTTACATAAATAATTAATTAAAGAAAAGTAATGTATCCATTAATTATTCTTAGGTTAAATATGGAAACTTTCTGGTTTAGGATTGGATAAAAGAAGGTAACGCTTCCAACAAGCCATTAATTAAGTTTGGAAACCAACTAGTTATAACCTGAATATCAGTCGAGTTAATTTCTTGGAAGATCTTTTAGAATTGGCTGAAAAGAAGCTCAACTATCAATTTAGCATCAAATTCAATAATGAACCAGGTATCGATGCGGGTGGTTTAAAGAGAGAGTTTTATGATATGATTGGAAATACACTCAAGGATGAAAACTATAAATTTTTCTCTCCTGTTTCTTCTAATCAAAGCAAATACTTTTTGCATCCAAAATTTAATAAACAAAAGAATAAGGAACGATATGCATTGCTATTTGGAAAAGTAATTATTTCTACTAAATAAGTTAATTGCTAATGCAATATGCAATTCTTATCTCATAGGAATTGATATCATAGCCCCCTTCTGGAAGGTTGTATTTGATGAAAGAATTGTGTTTACAGACCTCAGTCTCATTTGGGATAAGGATACCTATAATAATTATGAGAAATTGAAAACAATGAGTGAGGAAGATCTAGAGTCTGTTTGTCTTGTGTTCACATACTCTTCAGGCAACACTGAATCAGAATTGATTGTCAAAGGATCTTAGACAAATGTTACTAAGAAAAATTTAGACTTGTATCTTAATAAGACTGCAGAGTATGTCATCCATAAACAGTTTGACAAAATCTATAAATCTTTTATTGAAGGATTTTAATCTGTTTTAGACATATCAGTATAATATTGTGAATAAAATTTAGGTTTGCTAAAAGTGGTTGATGCCTGGAGAAATGTCTCTCTTGACTTAAGGTTTGTTAGAAATCAAATCTGAAATTCTACTTCAGAAATTCACTTTTAGTGGAGGAAAACCATAACATAAATCATACTTTGAGACCTATGTGAGTTAGGCTTCTCCAGAGACACTGAAGAATATGTTGAAATTCATAACAGGTAATCAATCTGATAATAGTCTAGGTTCATCTTCTATTCCATTTGATCAAAGTTCTTATGTGATTAGTGTCAGATTTGAGTCAGGACTGTCAGATCGAAAGTTGCCGCTTAGTCATACTTGTTTCAAGTCCATAGAAGTGCCTCTTTACAAAAGCTTTGCTGAACTCAAATAGAAATTAGACATAGCATTTACTATTGGATTTGAAGGATACGGATTTGGTTGAAATCATTTACATCTTAATCATGAATTAAATAAATAAATTATCATCGCCTTCAAGAAACAATATCTTGAGTCACGATATTTTATTTCTTCTTTACTAACATAAAGACTCTAATCCACTTTAATTTTACTCCTATTCAATCTCTTAAAAGTATTTTAAGTACTTCTCAAAATCCAATTTCTATATGAATAGCTAAATAGTATCCGCTGCTCCGATGGCTAATAATCCTAAACCTATTCTTTCTAAATTTTAATAAAATAAACATTGTTCTAAATCAAATTTGCCTTTAGTATCTTTAAGAATTAGCAATTTAAGCATGAAAATATGTATCAATATTGTGCACTCTTCTTTACTATTAATTAATCATAATCAATACCAGTAAGCAGGATCAAAAACTACTGGAGCCAGTATACTAGACCCATTTTATAGTATAACAAAATTATTCAAATGAGCACCATCACGATAGTTGAGGACGATAAGTAATTTTACAATCTTTTGGTTTTAACGAATAAAAATTGATGAATAAAAATTATGAATATTACTTTGCAAAGATAGATAATTTAATTATTAAATATTAATACCTTAATGGGAAGTGGACAAAGCAATCAAAACTAACTTAACAATCAGAATCATCAAAGCTCTCAAAACAATCAAGAACATGTACCAGAATAGCAAACTTTAATTAATTCAAGTGTTGCCTTGAGATCTCAAGCACTGAAAAAAAGAATGATTTCTTAAGATGATGACGATGATGATGATGACGATGATGAGGAAGAGGAACAAGACTCTAATGAGGATAGTGAGAATGATGAATAATAGTTTGAAGTAAAAGCCTATTTAGAGAGTAGTCTAAAAAGAAAGAAGAATATGTTATAGGTGATAAATTAGTCGAAAACAAATCGATGTATTCGGGTTATCTTCTAAATAGAACTTAATTACTTGCAATTAAAAAGATAGCCCTTAACAATAAAGAGAATTTCAAGATTATTAAATACAACTTGCAATAGCTCGCCAATCTGAGACATTAAAACTTAGAACCCATTATCAGTTGGAATTTTGAAAATAGCAATAATAAGAAAAATTATTACCTCAATGTCTTTTCCAATTTTTAGTCCAATGGCTCTTTACAATCTATAATTTCTAAATACTGTAAATTTTCATAAGAACTTGTTTTAACAATATTCCAATCAATATTAAAAGCCCTCGATTATTTACATTCTTAGAATAAATTGCATAGGTACTTAATCCATTTTTATTCTATTAGAAATCTAAAGACCTCAAATGTCTTGGTGGATCCCGAAGGAACAATCTTGATATCTGATATCTTGATCCAGAGTTAATATTCTTTATCTAACTACAGTGCTCCTGAAGCTTTTGAATATGCTGACTATTCTGAGGCATCGGATATTTGGAGTGCAGGATGCATTGTTTACGAACTCATTACAAAAAGATAGCCGTGGCAAACAGATGAAAGAGTCCTCTCGATTCAGGAAATAAAAAGGAAATATTCTCAAAATTGTATCAATTGTACTCATATTTATTTTAGAACTATTCTTTAATGAAAAGGAAAATATCTAAAGAAGCTTTTTACTTATCTTACAACAAATATTTTCATTTAATCCTTAAGAAAGACCTTCTGCAAGTTAACTTCTTAAAAATTAAATATTTGTGGAAAATTCATAAAACAAATTCAAATAGGTTCTTAAATAAACATCTTAGAAGGAAATGTAAAAAAAACCACAATAACAAATTATGTCATTAATATAAAATTTTGAACACAATAATAATGTAAAGACTCCTAAACCATTTTAATTTGTTAAAATGATAAAAAAGGAGGATGATGAAACTTAATTTCATATAAAAGAATGTGTTTTAAGTATTCAATCAAATACATTAAAAGAGTTCACTGTTTAAAATAATAGTAGTTAATTCTCTATAACGAAAGTATGATTGTTCACTTAAATTTTAGAATAATTTCTAGAGCTTGTGCTCTAAATAAGGCAAATTTGGTACGAATCTCATTCAATAACAATTATGCCAAAATAAATAGTCTTCTAGAGTCCAGGAAGCTTAAAATTTATTATAATTTGTATCTCAAATGAAAACTGCCATTAACTTTCAGGGGAGCAATGTTGAAAGTTAAAATTCAGTGTCTGACAAAAATTTTGATTTAAAAAGTGTTTAAAGACATAATCTAATTCTATAGAGTGAATAATCCGTGAAATTAGAGAATCAATAGAAACAAGATTCCCAATAGATTTAAGATTAAAAAGTCATAAAATCAATAACCGAATCAATTTAAAAGGAAGACTTGATAAATCCTTAAGCAGAGGCAGTGAATCATTAAAAGGAAAATAACTTAGAATCTGAACAGATATTCTTTGATGGAGACTTTGTCTTTATACTATGAAATAATGAATCAAATGGATTTTTTATGTTATTTTTAAATATAATAACTAATTTAAAATAAATGTGTTTTCTAAAATACATCAATATTGCACTATTCGGTTTCAAAATTTTATAATATTTAATACATGTTTTCAAGAATCTCTATTGTCTATTGTCTAAAAATTTTGAAAGATTCGTACTTAGTAAAATACTTGGTTTAATAAAAATAATAATCAATTGCTATGAACAACACATTGGGTATAATGAATAACAGGTTTCATAAGAAGGCAATATAAAGTCGAAAGAGAAATACATCAGTAGATACAAATACAATCATTCAAATATAAAAAGGAAACAAAAAAAATGAGTACTATGAAAGGTGGCTAACTAATTAAAAGAAACCCCAATCAAGGTTGGATTCTGAATCAAATCTAGATAATCAAACACCCCAAACACCTAAGGCATAGATTCCAATACAATTTGAACCTAAATTAATTAGGGACGTAGTCTAGAAATTCTATCCTGATAAATATTAAATTTGATTTTCTTATATTTTATTGCTTTTTTAAGATTCCTCTTTATTTATTGTATAAAAACCCATTTCAGATATTTCACATCTTAATTTCCAAAAGATTTTTTGTTTTTTTATTTTGTTATATATCAACAAATTCAAATATAAAGATAAGTACGTAATTAGAGGTTAGTGATGTTGTGAAGTGCATCTAAAAGGTTGAATTTTAGAATAATTTCTATAGCTGTGTGATATTAAAATTTTGAGTTATCTGATTAGAAAGAATAGTGAAATTCTTATTTTATGCGAATATAATTTTTTGTTAGAAAAAAGATTAAATGAATATGGTTTGGAAGATATAAGGGGAATAATGATATGATTAATCTACTAATAGGAACTTGAAGTAACACAGAGAAAATTAGGCTAAAATGAAATCATAGATGTTTGGAAAATTCGAATATTTATGAAAGATCCCAAATTCTATGGATTCTGAGTGATAGTTTATCTGTTTTAATGAATAGAATGTAAATCATAGGTAAAGAAGTTTTTTGGTGTGTGTTTGAGTTTGCCCATATATAATAAAGATAATTAATTAACAGCAAATGTTACCCAGTATAAAGAAGAATAAAGATAATAGGTCTTCGTATAGGCTAAAGACGGAGGGAGTTTGCAGATATCCTAGAAGCAATTCCTTTTTGGGACAAATATCTCGAGAGCCAATCAGACAGCGATTATGTGAGCGAGGTCCATTGAAAGAAATACAATCATTTGATAAGGAAATAAAGCTGCTGGAACAATATGAGAAAAAGTTAGATGCAGCATACATGGAGAGATTGAGGATACAATTATACAGGATGCAGTTGTGAGAACTTTTATAGATGCTAATATTTATTATATAAATTAATGAAAAGTTCATAAAACTTTCGTATCAAATCGATAAAAACAAACTAATAAAATTCAAATCAATACAGATCTTTGTAGATGAGTTTGACTTGCAGATCTTTAACAAATAGAGTTGTAAAATAGATGGGCTAATTTTAAAAAAGTGTCATCTAAATTTAACCGAGACAAGCCTTACAAAAATAGAGTAGTATTAATTGCAGACAGTCACTTGTTTCTGTTACTGAAAGTTAGGTGAGTGCGGATGAAGAGTTTGAAATCTGGGATAACAATCAAGATCTTAGATTGAAGAAACTGGTGATAGAAGAGAGAAAACCCTCAGTTGGACAGTTCCTACAATTATACAAAGCTAGATATGGGTATAAGAGTATAATACATAAGAGGATTCCCAGGTTATAGATAGCCAATTTAGAATGAGGAAGTCATTAAAGCTGCAATAAATCATGCATCATCGAGTAAATAATTATTCAAGAAATACTTTCCAAAAAAGTAGATAGTCTTTGAGGATGACAATGACTATTCTTAGCCATATAAGATTGAAGATGATTAACATTTTAAAAGTTTCAATCGTTTTTTTAGAAACAAAAAGCTTCAAACTTCTCTAAAGATCCCTTTGCAGAATCAGGTAGAAAAAAGCAGATGACAAGGAATTCCATTTATTCTAATTAATGATCAAATATCTTGATATACTTTATACTATATCTATTTAAAAATAAATCTTGAAAGTTAAATGATGTTTATTTTACTAATAATTTGAATAATATATCATTTAAGCAAATGGTCAACTGCATTTCTTTCATCGACTAATTCCTTGATGGTCTTATCTAATAATCCTTGGTAGAATGGTGTGATGGGTAATCCTTAGACAATAGAATATTTGCCATTCTTAACTGTAACTGGGAAGGAGAAGATCAATCCCTTTGGTACTCCATAACTTCCATCAGATGGGATGGCCATTGAGGTATAATCACCTAATGATTTTAAAGATTATTAGTACCTTCAGCAGTTCCATTGACCCAGGTAGTGATGTGATTCATGGCTGCATTACCAGCAGAAGCAGCACTAGAGAGTTTTCTGGCTTTGATGATTTCAGCTCCTCTTTATTAAACGGTTGGGATGAATGTTTAGGTGACCCATTGTTAATCGACTGTGGCCTTGTGATCTAATGATAGACTTAGGATATTCTTATACTTTTTGCAGTCATCTAATCAATGTATGGAACCATGGTTGGTGAGTGATTTCCGAAGATTGCTATTTTTCTGATATCAGATGTGTGAACACCTAATTTATCAGCCAATTGATGTTGTGCTCTATTGTGATCTAATCTTGTCATTGCAGTGAAATTCTCTTTAGGAATATCTTTGATTTGATTGGCCAAGATCAAACAATTGGTATTGCATGGATTACCAACAACTACGACTTTGATGTCTCTGCTTGCATGGTCCTATGTGATATAGATCATAAATTCATACATTAATGTATTTTCCTGTTTCTGTGAAGATTTTGCCATTGTCTTTCAACAAATCTCCTCTTTCCATTCCTGGTCCTCTTGGTTTAGCACCAACCATAAGAGCATAATTGACATCCTTGAATCCCACAGCTTGATTGTCTGTAGCCACGATTCCTTAAACCAATGGGAAAGCACAATCTTGAATTTCCATCACGACACCATTTAATGCACTCATAGCAAATGAGTAAATCGATGCCAAATGTAAGGATGACTGGTTAATTTGGTCCTAGCATTTCACCGCTGGCAACTCTGAAAATTAGAGAATATCCGATTTAACCAGCAGCACCTGTGATAGCGACTCTAACAGGTGGCTTTAATTATTGACCAAAGTGAGCCATTGAAGCTCTTGTCAATTGGTTGGTAATGGCCTTTTGGAGATACTTTTGCATATTTGGATATTTAATTTATTTCTGGATTTGCTGCATCACTACATTTATTTTCTATACATAATACGTAATATTTTTATAACTATGGATTCCAATACTAAGGTTGATGAATAACTAATCTATGAAGGTAAGTGGCTGCATTTCAAACTCCTTCATTTCCAAGTGAATGGACACTAAAAAGTTTGGGAGTATGTCGAAAGACCTCCAGGAAATAGAGGAGGCGTTGACATCATACCCATTATCAAATACAAAGATAAACCATCTTAAGTGATTGTTATAGCCAATTTCAGACCTCCAATTAGAAAGTTCTGTCTAGAATTCCCAGCAGGCATCGTAGACCCTGAAGGCAGCATCTAAGAGAATGGTCTAAGAGAAATCAAGGAGGAAACAGGATACACTGCATAAATCGGATAATATCAATACAATGGAGTGCGTATTAGAAACGACCCTTGGAAGTCTACAGAGCATGGACTCTGCGTTATTGTGGATGTTGATGGGGATTCAGAAGTTAACATCAATCCTAAATAACATTTGGAATCAGACGAGAATATTATTGTTTACAAAGTGAGTATGGGCAAGACTATGACTGACGAAATATTATAATTAGCTAAAGAGAAAAACTATGAAATTGCTGGGCTTCTATGGTTTTTTGCTTTGGGACAACAATTTAACAATTAATGAATATGTATTAATTTTAGTATTCATTTTTATGTTATTCTTATCATTATTTATAGGAAATTGCTTGGCTTCACTCAATCTGACTATTGGAATCGATATCACTAACAAGGAATCGTTAGCCTACTTGGGAAGACTAGAATAACATTATGAATAATTTGAAGAAAAAGGATGTAATACATTTATACATCAATTAAGTAATCCTAAACATTGTAAATCACATCTTGCCATGTTACACTTGCTAACAAAGACATAATTATACTTAGCCTGAACCAAATTGCTTTGGAGGAGGTAGATATTGTTGTAAGCAATTATGTCTTCAAATCTAGAATTCTCCCCTTTTGCCAATGGTCAATTGCTGCTTACAGAAATTATTAGGTAGAATTGCTTATATACAACCAATATATACATATACTTAAGTTACATCAATCTATTTTCGTAAGATTGTTTAGAGAATCCACATTACACATTTTGCTCTGAGAATATTTTGAAGAACATCATTAATTACAATATTACAGAACTTGATGAATGCATTAATGCTAGCTTCAAAGGAGTGGGTGACAAAGCATTGCTTGAAAATTACATATTGTCCAAAGAAATGAATAAATAATATAATTAGAGTTTCCTCAATGTATTTCTAGATAATAAGGACATTACATATTAACCATTTAATGATATGATTGTTTAACTATGTTAGAAGTTGCATAACGATCCACCTGAATATTGCAATATATATTCTGTGGTTGAAAAAAACACCACCATAAAATTAGACGAATAAATCTTTTTTTATCTATTTATAGTAATGCTCATACTCTTAATTTTGATATCCATAAGGATGTTGAAGAAAGCAAACTATGTGATTTTGAACAAAGCCTCAATCCCTATCGAAGAAACTATTGGAATTATTTCAGAGGAAAATGTGCAATGATTTTTGTAATTCTATTTGGAGTGTTAATATAAAAATAATCATTTATGCAAGTTATGATTACATTTAATGTAATCAATTGCTCCCTATCTATCTAAGAGTTCAATCTGTATGGTCGAATGATAGATCCCAAATTTTCTGCATAATTTTGTTGCCTTCTTTAATACATATTCAGGGTTCTCTAGACAAACTATGTGGGCAGACATAGCTGGCTTTCCTACAGACAAAGACCAAATATGAAGATCATGAACTTCCCTTACTCTGTGAATTGCATTTAGTCTATCTCGAAACTCCTCGATGATTAAGTCTAACATATGTATGATAATTGATTATTACTTGTTGGAGTACCCTCCATTAACACTCGTACGCATTCTTTTGCAACTCCGAATGTTGTAAAGAGAACCAGAATACTAAACAAATATGTGCATAGAGGATCAGCATATTACCAATAAGTGAATACAATTTCATTGTTTTCATCCTTTTTTTGGCCAAATATATAAATTAATATAGCAGCAATTAAAACTCCTATTGATTGTAAGATATCTCCTATGACATGAATCATAGCTGCTTTCAAATTATAATTATCATGTTCATTGATTTCTGATAGATTATGATTTTTCACTTTATTTTTTCTCCTCTTGGTCTGCTCATCTCTTTCATCGTGATCATGGTGATCATGATCGTGGTCATGATGGTCGTGATCATGATCGTGTTCGTGAGAATCACTATGAGTGTGATCATGAGAACAACTATGACTCTAGTCTGACTAATTTTTATTTTCTATTTTTTTTTTTGATATGTTATTTTAGCTTATGAATTCATCAGAACCTATTTATTTGGAGTGATCGTGATCACAACTTTCGGAGTTATTTTGATCTGCAATTTCTTTTTAATTTGATTATTAAGTAACTTATTCTTATGAGTAATTTTATTTACCATTACTCGATTACTTACTTTCCCTACTGGCCTCTTCAATTGTTTTATTGCTCTTGCTCTTATTAGAACTAGATTCAGATTCAATACATTATTCAACGATTAACAAACTTACTCCATTCTCACTGACCATAGATCGTTTTTATTTAACTTGAAATTTCTTCTTTATCTACTTTTTACTTTCTTCATTATGAGTATTGTGATCATGATTATGATCGTGTCCGTGATTGTGATCGTGTCCATGTCCATGATGATGTCCACTACATTAATGCATAATATTTCCATGATCATGTCCCCCTGTTGGTGAAGAATGCAATACTTTTGCCATTACTAAATTACAAAATAATCCAAATCCTGCTGTTATCAACATTATCAGTGGATCAGTTACCAAAGTCTGATTTACCATTCTCTCGGTTGCTTCATAAAATAACAAAATCGTCAGTCCCCAAATCAATACTATACTTGCCAATGCCCCAATTACTTCCGCTCTATGATATCCAAATGACATTTTCTAAGAAGCAGGTCGCTAAGCAAGCCAAATTGAAAATATTGATATGAAAAACCCACTCATGTCAGAAAACATATGTGCTGCGTCGGATAATATGGCTAGTGATTATGCCCATAGCCCTCCTATAACCTTAAAATTTAGGTCAAAATACATACTTCTGCAATCAAAAATACAACACAAACTACTGAAACAGCTATTAACCTACAAAGAACATTTTGGGTAACATTAGTCAGATCTGGAATTTCATAAATATGAGTCTCATTCTTTGTTTCTTCAGTCAATGCAGACATTTAAGACATTCCTCTCTGACCTTTTCCTTTGTTTTATTAACTACTTTCCTAAATTAATGGCTCTTGAATGGGCTCCTCCTCTTTGTTCATTTGATAAATATATATATTATTTTTTTCAATTAATTCTAAATTTCAATGTCTGATTTCTTTAATTCAAATTCACACTAAGTGAGTCAATTCAAAGCAAAATATCTTCTTAATAATTTTTTCTTTCTAATACGTAATAATTAAATTTTATTACTTTAATATTATACTAGTAATTCATTATATCATCAATGATATAATCTTATGCTCGTCATCATTGATTAAATCAATCTAAAAAAAGCATTTGATGAATAAAACATTTTGCAGAATATAATATTGAAAGGGATCATGACTATACTTATCGAGATGATGGGTTATAATAAACTCTCAATGCCATCAAATTTTGCTCTTTACAAATTTAAAAAATTATGAATAAAACTTAAAATCTAGAAGAGTTCAATAAATGATTAGACATACCAAAATTAGAAATCAACAAAATAAATATTTAGTAAATCCCATCACACATAGATGATTATTTTTCAGCGTTCTACTTTATTTTGGGTATTAATTTGAAAAAATAATATTTGTGAATTTTTATGAGACATACTAAATAAATCCTTAACCAAAATGATAACACCTTTCAATCTGTTAATTGTTTGATAAGGTTTATAAGAACTGCATCGTTTTAGTTTTAGAATAATTAGTATATAATAAAATAAGAAAATTAAAATTATATAGACTAAAGAGAACTATTATTTTTTCTTGGTATATCTGTAACATGCGACGTATATTATTTAAAAATAATTTAAGAAAGAAAATTTTTTATTATTTTTCGTTTTTTATAAATTATAAATTAGATGTTTGAATTTCCTAAAACTTTTTTCTTAACAATTCTTTTTCCTAGTATTTAGATTATGTTTTTGTAATTTAGAAAATGGTTATAATGGATATTTATATTTTTTCAAAAAAAGAATACAATAATTCTTCCTTTAAATTATTCCATAATTTAATCAAATAATTTAGTAAATTTGAAATGATAACATGTCTACCTACTTAAATCTTCTTGTATCTTTGGGATGTTTGTTAAGAGATTTATATGATATCAATAATGGGTTTAAAGTTTAATAAATTGATTGGGAGATTTTTAAATATGGTATAAAATTGGGCAAGGGAGTATAGAGTGCTGAAAATTGGCATAACTATTCAACTTGATCTCTTGTTAGGAATAAATTATTCAATTTGAGTAAAAGGAGACTATTTATAATTTCTAAATAATTAATTATAATAAGAGGTATAATCACAAAATAGAATGTTGATACCCCCCTTTCAGTTATAAAATTCATTAGCGCTTTTTTCTGAAACCTAGACTTCTGCTTTTAGTATTATTATGGGGTTAAACAGAAACAAATAAGAGACTTTGATTGATTTCTGGAGATATAACTGATTTAACCCTTACTTCACTTCTTGGGAGGGGTATGTCTATCTCAGCAGAGGAAAATATGATGATAGGCTATCGAGTTTTTCTGAGATTAAATTTCCTCTCTTGCAATGTGGAATAATCAATTTAGTATTTGTATTTCTCTTTTACTTCTGAAAGGGTTTTAAGAGGGAAGTTCATAGTTTGCAATTTCTAACCTAGAGTGAGAGGTTGACTGTGATCAAGCATTGATTCCATAATTGGTTCCTCAAACATTTATAAAATAATTATAATAATATTGAGATTAAAATAAGCTTAATTTTTTGTTTTTCAAAGGAGATCATAAAAACAATCCATAAAACAAAATTAATAATCTGAATTCAAAGAATAATGTTTATAAATAGATTTGCATAGATGGAGATCAGAGTAGAAATTAATTCATACGAATAATTTAATTGCAATCTTAAATGATATATAGGAAACATATTTCAATCAAAATTTAATTAAGTGCTCAGATCTTATTTGAGCATATTAAAATACTTGACAATCAACTCTCTACCTGATTAATCTGGGATTTAGATGATTAGTTGATTTCCTACTCTAATCAAAAATTCATTGAACTCTTCGATATCAAGAAGGGGCTTTAGATAAAGCTTCTTCAAGGCATTCCAATTTTATTCAAGAATAAAGTAAGACAATATATTGGTAATTAATTTCCAAGATGTTTTAGATTCACTGATGTTATAGACTAGATCTTCATCCAAGATCTTAAGATATATAAATAAGAATTACATATTGAAGTGCCTTTGAAACTACTTCTTCATCTGCTTCTTCCATAACTAATAAATCGAATACTAATTGAGCTCTCTCAATATTCTGTTTGACTTATTTTGCTAAAGTGAATATGTTATAGATAAATACAAGCTAACATGTTCTAAAAGAAAGTTTCAAAGAAGACTATCATTAATTCAGGGGCTTCAAGTTTGATATACTTCAACTAACCTCTTAATTTATCCATCTAATCAACTGGGTCAAATTAAAATGAGCTGCTCACAAACATGGCTATATCTTTTGCTCTTATTTTCTAATCCAGCTCATTAGAAGAATTCTCCTTCTTTGCAGAGTTTTGTCTAGCCTCTCTCAATTACAGTTCCAAAGGATCATCTTCTTCTTGTTCATTATTTTTTTAGGCGCTTTCTGCCAGTTCTTCCTTTTTAGCATATGATCCTTGCCAGCCTTTTTTAATTTTATCCAATAAATTTTCAATGAGCAATCTAATTCTTTAAGAAAAATGATAATTCTCCAAAAGTTTCTCAAAGACTTTCTACATCAAATCTAAAACTGTCTATTTTTTTATATCTCTAAATAGGCCTTCAATCTGATCAAGTGACTTTTTCTATCCATTCAGAATCTACCCAATTTTGTTAATAAATGCTTCATCAACTATCCTTTCATTTTAATTAAAACTTTGACCAACTAATTTATATATTCCAAAGATTACTTTGATCTATAAGTTCAATCAATCCTTCTAAAGACTCATCAGCAGTATCTTCTTTGGGAACATAACCAATAAGGTATTCTCCCATCAATTCTGACAATACACTGGATAAGGCTTGTATAGGTAATAATGAAGTTAAATATAATCCACCAATAAATCTAACATCTATAAGATAATTTATCTGTCTTACTTCCCATAATCTTCCTCTTTCTAATCATGTGGAACTATATCTTTTCTTCTTGTTTCAGTTTAGAGGTGTCGTAATCCATTGTCTTTCTACTGTTGAACATTTTCTAGACTCTATTCAAAAGAGAGGCTTTGAATTTGGACTGTTGTTTGGTCTTGCCATTTTTATCTTGCACCTTCAATTACAAAGAGGGTAGAGTAGCCAATTTGGAACATAAATTGATATACAGTCCTCTGTACTTAGGTTCGATCTGGGCTTTTTCAATTATTTTTTCAGTCAAAAAGTCGATGAAATCTTAACTAATGAATATTAAAGGAGACGTACTTTTATTCAATGGTTTCAATAATATATTTGGAAACTTGGCCTTCATTATCTGGAGCCAATTGATTCAACCTATATTTGAGATCCTTTTCGATGGCTTTCTTTTATTCAGGAGTGGTGTCAAGAATCTAAGACCAAGCATAAGCTTCTTATTTCAATTTATCCTTCCAGAGTTATTCTTAGATAGAGATTTGGGCTCTTTTAGGAAATTTTTAAGGGGGCTCATTCTATTGTACTGGTTGTCTATCCAATTGGATTTCTGTTTTGGTATCCTTCTTTTGAGTTGGGATTTTGCTGTCTTTTCTTTGTTCGTACCTTTTGAATTCTTTATAATCAAAATGTTTTCTATCCTTGATTTTGATCCAATTAATGTCACTTTCAAAATATTAAAAATCATTCATGTTTGCAAACATGGATTCAAGCTACTCTTTTGTGTATGGTCTTGGTTGATAATTCTCTTCTTCTTATTTTCTTAACTCTTCCAACTTGATTAACTCTTCTTATCTTCGAAGCTCTTCTTATTCTAATTTTAATTTCTCCTCCTCTATTTTTCTTTATTCTTCTAGTTTCTGCAATTCCAATTCCTCCTTGCTTTTTTAATCAATCTTGTAAGTTAGTCTAAAAAGGTACCTTCTCTGCTAAATTAGGGTCGACTTAAAATTCATAATGTGTCTTTCTAAGTTTTTTTTTTTCTTTGGGTCCTTGATTTTAGTTGACGACTTAAGCAGGTTCTTATTAATGCTAAGTGGACTTATGATAGTTGAAGTCAGGAGCCAGCTCATCAATAGGAGTATAACTCTTTTATGAGAAATATTCTTGAATTTCATTTTTAGGTTGATAAGGCTTTGATGTATGTACAAGAGAATGATGAGGTTACTTTTCAGGTTATTCAATATTAAAAGGTTGAGAATTTATGTTCAACTTCTTTTTTGTAGTACTAGCACTCATTATTTTTAATTAAAATTATGTAGCAATTTGAAAAGGAGGGGATATTTTCATATGAGCTGAGATGGTTGATTATGCATTATTCACTACGTAACAAGATAGAAACATGATCTGAGTCTACAAGAGTTGAAAGCTTAAATAGTAGTGCATTTTAGCATTTAATAGAAAATACTCTACTTCATAATATAATATAAAAAGCAAGAACAAAAGATCCTTTTATTACTAAAATAGCCCTTTAAGTAAAGAATACATGATGGAGAGTATTATCCAAACATACCTGACTATGTAGACCTTTAAAAAATTAACCATTTGAAAATGTTTACCTAAAGATATAATCATAAATATAATAATATATTTTAAAATAAATAAAAGTTTTAAAATTTGTTGCTGCCAATCTTATTATGATCTTATGATTGAGTGGTACAACTTATTAGTTTTGCTAAAAATAGGACATTATCTCTTTCAACTAGTAGATACATATAATGGATTAATTTAATAAATAATTAAATTTTCTGTAAATGAATTAGAAAATATTAAAACAAGTGATAATTCTACACATCAAGATGCTCTTTAAATACCACAATTAAATTAAAAATTTGTTTATAAAATTTTATCAACTCTCAAATTTATTATATAATGAAACTCGCAATTTAAACAGCTATGAATAACATTTCAAAACCACAAGTTGGTCATGAGGTTACATCTTATATGCAAAATGTGCTGCAATTTAGAGGGTTACTTTAGCCTTAAATTGAATCAGTTTATAAGCAATTTAGAAAAGAAATTTCAACACTTAATGATAATTAAAAATATGATTTGGCTGATTCTTTAATGAGAGAGCAGTTCGGAGAGGATAAAAGGTTTGGTTTGATGGTAGCTGAGAAAATTGAGTTTGATCTTCCAAGGATAAAACAGACTGAACAATGGTTCTTAGAAGGTTTCATTTAGGATTGGGGAACCTCAGATATCTATTGTAGTAGAGTTTTGAAGCCTTTTGTATAGGACAAGGAAAATGCTAAATTAATGATTGAATGGTCAAAATGCAATAACTTATGGATGAGAAGATCTAGTTGTGTTGGATTTATATTTTTAGTCAATAAAAATAAATGCGATTTAAAAATGCTATTTGATATTTGCTAAGAAAATATCATTCATTAAGAAAGATTTAATTAATTAGGAACTGGCTGGCTATTGAGAGAACTATCATAGGTTGATTTGCAACAGGTAATTTAGTTTATAGAGAAAAATCTATAATATTTTAGTAGTGAGGGTTTGAGATATGCTTATGAAAAAATGGACTAGCCTTAAAAAGATTACTTAAGAGATTTGCTTAATCAATATAAAAAATAATAAAGAACATTAAAGAAATTATGATTTTATTGAATATTTTTTACAAACTGAAAATGTTTAATTAGCAATGGCAGGTTTTAATATTGAGTTAAACTTCCTAAATTAGAACTTCATTATTAATTATCAGAATTTTATAAAATAATAGAAAATTGAATTGCAAAGAAAATTAAAATTATCTTATTATATGAAAAATTATTAATGTAATTAGTCTCTTTTTGCATTCTCAATCGTTTTAGGAATGCAGGAAACATAAATTTTTCAAATGATAGAACATCTACCATTCAAAAATAATATAGATTAATAAGAATATTGAATTAAGAATATTTACAATAAGATTGCAACTATTAAAATTTGAAAAAATTCATTCCCTTTCATAATTCATTTGAAAATAAAAATATTATTGATGAATACTTAAATAGTGGATTCTCATTTACATCAGTTAAGGATCTTAATTTATATAATATATCATTTTATAATTTTCTCTAAGTCTTCCTTCATAAGAGGCTGGGGATCCTTTAAGGCCTATTGAATTTTTATAAACGGCTAATATGATTTATTGTGATATCTTACATCAAATAATTATTTCAACTTATTCATTCCTTCAAGCAACTTATCATATATTTGATCTTGCTTTTAATATGTGCTCCAGAAATAGATCTCATAAGAAGAACTTATCACTAATTAATAATTTTAAACTTCCTTAAATAATCAAATATGAGAATACCTCAGACAAAAATTCTAACAAGTCCATGTTTTCCTTTATCTTATTTTCAGCTTCAAAATTATCAATAATTTCTTTTACAGCCTATTAATTATGATTTTCTATTATAGCATTTAACATAATTGATATCTCAGTTTTCCATAACTTTGGATCATCATATTAGAAGTGATTATGCACTAAATATGCCTACAATAACTATAATTCTTTTAGATTAACTTAAGATTCTTTTGGTATCATCTTACCTATTATAATGATAGGCACTAAAATCTTTAGATTCTTAGTAAATTTAAAAAAGTAACTCTATTACTCTAAAGTTTTCACTTTCTTAGTCAAACATTATAGAACTTATAAAACTTGAATAAAATCCTTTTTCTCCAATAGTTCTAATATGATTGTAGCCCATGATCCTAAGTTTACATAATTCAAATATTCCTATTCAAATTTATTCAAATCATTTTATTCAGATTATGTCAATTTAGCTGATGGCCTTTTAAATTCATTGAATTGGGCTGAAAATTTATTTATCAACTTATTTTAAAACTAAGATCTAAAAATGAATAAATACATTTTCGCCGATTTATCCCCCAAAGATTCCTTATTTGTTTTCTTAAACTTCACGTAATGCAGAATCCAAGATAATCCATTTTATTAAATTATCATGCTAAGTATTTTGATTTGATATCTATGATGCTTTGCTTTTAACGTAAATGGGGAAATTTTAAATAAAAATAGGCTTAAACTTGATGTTTTAAGTCTTATTAACCAATGTACGATAGTGTTCATTCACAAATTCAAACCGAGTTTGATAAGCTTCAGTAATTCTTTCAATTATCCTAGCCTATTTGTAATCTTCAATTTCATTCTAGAACAATTGATTTTCTCTTTTAATGCTTTCATTTTGACTTTGACTAAGGAAACCTCCATAACTGTCTTATAAATAATCCTTCTCTGTGCTTGTTGAATATAACCTTTTTGGAAATTTCATTTCTTCTTATACAAGTTCATCTTTCACGTAGATAAGTAAGTAGGCATTGATACCTGGTTTGACACCAATGGCATCTTGGAACACTTTCTCTCTAGTTTCTTCTGTAACACGAATATCGTTGAATTTGAACCACTTATTTAATCTGAAATCTTTTATGTAAGTGTAATAATGTCCAGAATCTAAGTTATTTAATAATATTATTTACTTGCCATTCCCTCATGAATCAAAACGGATTATAATTGATATTTGTTTCCCTTAAAATTATTGTAAGAAGCCTAGATCTTATCTTCAAGGTCATTATATTGTTTTTGTAAGTGTTCCTTTTTTTTTTAGACTTGCTATGAATATTTTTGGAGTTGTTCAATAGTGTTTTTTTGATCAGAGGGTCCAAAATTGGCTGGGTTTTGAGGATTTTCTTTTGATTGTATTGTTAAAAATTTGACTGCAGTTTATAAAACATCTTGTAGATCATATTTATCATCAAATTTTGAGAGTTATAATAATTCTTATTTAATTACTTTTTATTTAGCCTTCAATTCTCTATTTTAATTTCGAATGTCCAGGTATCGTTTGCTGTTTTCATAAAGGAAGCGATCCAAATAGATTTCCTCTTCGAAATAGAATTCATCATTTTGTTTTACAAGATCATCTAAATAGAATGAATGAATGAATTACTTTTCTCTTTATTATAAGCAACTCTTTTAATTTAGAACGACAATGTCTATGGAGCACCTTGAACCCAATTGTACTTAGTTGCACAAACAGTTTCACTTAAATCATTTTTGAAATCTTCAATAGAATTAACAACGAAATTATCGAAACCATCATAAAGATTTCCATCTTGTAAATCGATAGGAATGAAGTTATAAAGCTCAGTGTTGTCTCTATTTTGAGGGACACCAGCTTGATCAAATTACAAGTAATGATGCACTTTACAAAAGAATAATTTGGAGACAACATCCTCATCATGAATAGTGGATGATTTCATTCTCAAAATAGAAGGAGGACCTTCATGAGGTTGCTCTTCTATTTTGCTAGGTTAATGTTCATTATAAGCTAGGCCCTCCCCAATCCTGCTTAGGAAGTAGGTATTGAATTCTCCAACATCCTTCTGATCACCTATAGGAAGAACATTTCCAAAGTCATCACAGATGCTCTTGATTACATCTGATGGATCCACGTATTTTTTATCACTTCCTATCATACTTAAGAATAGTTGTTGAAGATTTTGCACCAATTGAATGGATTTGCCCTACTTACCTTATTCAATTTGAGCAGGTGGTTGAAATTTGATAATGATTTTAACAAAATCACTATTGAAGAAGTATGTTTAGAGTAATCCATTAAAGTAACAAGTATTGCCAACATTCTTAAGACCACAAGGAACCCCATTTGTTCTCTTTCGTTATTCGGGTGATACCATTTCAAAGGTGGATGTAGTCGCTTAAGGATTAGTTTTGTAAGAGTCTATTAATGCTTAATTTAGTAGGATCTCTTCGTCTTGTTTCTAATGGATAAATTCAAAAATGGATTACTGTTGGTGTATTGGCAAGTGCATTGTTTTTGTCAGACAAAGTGAGTAGCGTATTGATGACATCAGCTTCTGTGTTGCTCTCTTCCCATGCCATGGTGATCAATTCTTTGGAAAACCCCATCCCAATATATTGGTCTAATAGGTCTTAATTAATTGGTGTCTTCATTTAATTAAATTATGGATATGAAAGTAAAGCTTTTTGGAGGTCTTGCAGCCACATTTGCAGCATCAGCCATATATTTATTTTTCAAGGAAAACAACAAATCACTCAACTAGAAGATGTTTGATTAGATAAATAAACTTAAGAACTACATTGAAAATCATTTTTATGAATGCACCAAAGAAAATGTTAGATTATTCATAATCCATTATAATAGCTATCCTAAAAGTTGGAGGACAGAAAGGATTTCATCAATCTCTTAAATGAAGTAGCCAGTAATTTCTTTGACATTGACAGAGTAAATGATGAAATTAGTCGACATCCTTATTTCAAATAGTTTGCTGGGATTAATCAGTAGGTTCATCTATTCAATTAAGAATACACATCGCTATATTTAAGAAAGTAATTGATATCCCCTTATCCCTCTAGGAACTCCCTTGATGCCGTATAAAATGGTCTCAATATGATTGTAAGCAAACATCGACTACTGAAATAAGAATAGCCTCAATTATCAGAGAACACCTAGAAGTTTATCAATTTCTTTTACCTGGTGCTTATTAATTTAGTAAAACTAATCGAGGAAACACTCTTAGATTTGGAAGACAAACATGCTTTAATATAAATGAATTTCTACTTGGCAGGATTATTGGATTAAATAGAATAAATATTAAGACAATATCCATTGTTGTCAAATCTCTTTGGAATAGCACTCTTGGGTCAATTGTAATTAAATGATCCCTAAATTGGTTTTGGACATAAATGTGATGATAATTTCTTTAATGCTAAAATAGAAGATGCAAATTCCAATCAAAATTGCACATGTCTCATCTTTGATGCACTTATACGTTACGTCTCATTGATAACTCCAACTTTATAGAAGAAATTCATCACCATTTTAGTTGATTATCAGATCTTGTCAACAAAGGATCATTTGGTCCAGTTGGGATAGATTCTCTTAAAAAATTAATTCTTTTTGAATAGTCAGATTAGTAAAGTAGAAATGTATTATGCCACAGATGTAAGTGTTTTTAATCATTTACTCATATAAGCTATTGCTTATAAGGAAGTAAGATAAGAATTAATCAAACCAGATTTGTTGGATTTATATTTTCTTTATACTGAAAGAGTTATTGCACAAAATAACCCTAAATTTATAGCCAAGATATTAAGTAGTCTTATCGCTTCTCATGTTATGATTTATCCTCTTTTTGGAGATGAAGAATTTCTGGCTTAAATGATAAATAATGAAAAACAATAAACATTAGTTGTAGTCCACTTTCTAGGATTGTTATTGATTTTGGAAACTAAAGACACTATAGATGTTAAAGAAAATCAGAATGTCTAGATGTTGGATTGGCTAGCATAGAATATGGACTTCATGCTTGCAGTTGAAGTGTTGTCCTATTTACAAAAATAATTCATCTTGAGAATATTTAGAAGCAAAGTCAGTGACATTCCATTGTTAATGAAACAATATCTGTAATGCTTGCGTGTCACTCACAATAAGAGAATTCAATAAAGAATGGCTTAGAAGAAGTAGTTTGATGTTAATGCAATACTCTAATAAATGATAGGATATTTGACAGCCATTTAGGTTACAGAATTACCATCCAAAGACTCTTTCACAAAGATTATCAGTTTGATTCCATTCTAAGATTAGAATGAACAATCGAACATATTTTCTAATATTCTGCGTATCATTTTTGATCTTCCAACTATTAACTTCCATTTCTTGAAGTTTGTGTTAGATAAATGTGAGAAAGTATCAAAAGAGTCAATTATGAGTTATAATGGGTATTATTCTCATATTTTGACTGCTTAAACAGTTTCATTTGACTCTTATATGTTCTCCATCCAATTGTCATTGTTATTTGGTAGACCTGAAGCTTTGCTAGGTGAAATCAGTGCTCGAATGAAGAATGATTTTACTAATTTCGAAAGATATGAAGATTTCCTCACTAGAGATGTATTTTATTTTGATTAAACTAGATCATATTACTAATAGATTTATTAGAAAATCCATATTATTGCATGAATGTTCTCATGTAAACTGGATCAGAATTCCCTTAGAAATAAGAGATAGTGACATAGTTGTACTAATACTCTGCAATATCAATTTTGAAATTGAACGATCAGATGACGTAGCTCTAATTGTAGGAGACATTGCAATTGTTCATCCACATTTAAGAATTACCTCAATACATTAAGGATCTAATTGAAGATGGGTAGGATGGCAAAGTCAAATTGAAGCAAGAATACTCAGAAAATTGGCCTTACTTGAACTTATAAAAGGATATGGAATCAGTCAAGTACTTCTTGAGCAAGACTTCTGCTCCCTTTGATGAAGTAACACTACCATTTTAATATATAGTTAATGTATGCTCCGGATTCGTTCCCCTTTTTATTTGAATTGAGATAACAGGTGTACGAATGCGAACCATTTATAAAGATTATTGAGTTGGCTTTGCAATCAAAAGATAGGATGAAATTGTATGTTTGGATTGGTAAGTTGGTTTACTATGCAAAATAAATCTTGTTGAAGAAGGGATCAAGCAAGTTGGAATAATTGTTTGCTTTAGAAGAATGCAAGTCCTTTATCCAAGAGTTGTCGGATAAGGAAGGGTGTAACAAATTAGTACAATACCTTTAACAGTGATATATCGTTATTTTAATTAAAATGGAAGAACTTATATGTCCATAATGTCATAATATATTCAATGAATTCGAGAATACTCCTCTCATGCTTCCAGACTGTGGCCATACCATCTGTCAAAAATGCATCCAATACATGTTATCCAACGTTGATGGCTAGTAGATCTCCTGTCCAGAAGACAAGTATTTATTCTACTCCAACCCTAGTATTTTAGCAAAGGGCAAGACTCATATCTCAGAATTTCCAAAAAATTGCTAGCTTTTGAAAATGATCGTAAAATAGAGACCATCCATCGAGTAACCTGAATATTAGTTGCATCTCAATAATTTAGCTTAGGAACGGATTGAATTGTGTGCTGAACATCTTGAAAAGTTAGAAATTGTATGCTTAACAGATAAAATTCGAATTTGTACTAAATGTGCTTTGTTTGGAAATCACAGGCATCACGAAGTGAAATCTGTTGATGATGTAGTGAGAGAAGTCACTCTCAGAGCTGAAAATATCATGTAGACTTATTAAAGAATATTGGATAAACAATAAGAAATGAGCGAGTCCAAGTTTTATGATCTTCTGAATGATAAATTCTAAACGATGCTCTTAGATAGTTAGATGCAGGTTAAGGAGAAGTTTAAGGAATTGCATTAATAATTAGAGTTAAAGGAGAATAAGTTATTGGAACAATTGAATGGTCTCACTTAAACTCTTGAATAATAGACTAAGAAATAGATCAAAGATCAAATCTCATCAAGCTTGTAATAAGCTGATTTATGGAAGATTGGAGCCAAAGATCGTTTGCTCTATTTCTCGACTAAAACTGATAATGGGGAGTTGCCTTTGGATTTACTTTATAATTAGGAATTCAAAGGAAATGCCATCATTGAAGAAATGGACAGAACCATTAAAATGTTAGAACAACGAATTAATAACATTAGAATCAAAAAAATTAGAGTGGACTTTAAGAAAACAGAAATAGATAAGTGTTTTGATACAATGTGCTCATTAACATTATAATTAAATCATACTGAAAACAATCATGTTGAGAATAGCTTTACAAAATTTGATTAAGAAGAACCTCTCCTCTTGAGGGATAATTCAGTAGCAGATTGGAATGATATTGAGGAGAGTCTGATTACTCAAGTAGCCCATAATTAGAGTCATGTTTCAACATAATCAGTTGTGTAGGCTAAAAGTCCTTTGAGAACTGAAAATCTTGCTCATTCTCATCATTCCATCACTCCTCTCAAGAGCATCAAACAAAAAAGTCCAACCAAGGAACACTCTAACAATACTCTCTAACCACCAGCTCCTGTGTCCATTTTACGTTAAGGTATATCTCCGACACCAAAATTACAAGAAAAGAGAAAGAAAACTTTTAAAATGAGTGAGAAGTTTGATCCAGCCTTTTAGGCCTTCAAAAATGACAATTTAGAGATTGTAGATTTCTCAAATGCTGGTAAGTATTGTTGATATCTAATTTTAGAGTTGGGAGATGAGGGATGCTCAATAATTGCAGATCAATTGAAAATTTGTAAAAAAGTGAAGTAGTTGAAATTGGCTAGAAATAAGATTAGTGATGATGGTGCTGCTGTGTTGTTGCAAGCATTGGCTTAAAATAGTAATGTGGTTTCATTACATTTGTCCTCAAATATGATCACGGAGAGAACTCTGGATTAGATCTTAACGTTGATTAAATCGTCTTAATTGCCAAGGAATATTTATTTGTCATAAACTCTAATCAATGCTACCAAATCCAAGAAAAAAGTTTGAGGAATTAAAGAAGATGGGATACATTGTGAACATTTGATGAAATATTAGTTATAAATTATATTACATTGTTAACTGATGAGTGGGATGTAAGGAGGGGATCAGGAAGGTATTTTAAAGGAGTAAATGCGATCTAAATAATATTGAAACAAGAAAGAAATATAAAATTATAATAAATAAAAAATGATGAAGCTTCCTCCTAGTTACAGGGATCCGAAGATTTTCAACAACAAATATATTATCAAATAATAGATCTCGTCAGGTTCATTTGGTATAGTGTATTTGGCATTTGACAAGCACACAAGAGAGGAAGTGGCTGTGAAAATAGAGAAGGAGGAAAATGAAGATGTCAGTTCTCTGGACAGAGAAATATCCATCCTTAATCGCTTGAATGGAGTGCCTGGAACACCCAAACTCTATTGGAGTGGATTCGAGTAAGACTACAATGTGATTGTAATCCAAATTTTGGGCAAGGACCTGAGTCAACATATCAAGCAATTTAAGAAGTTTAGTTTGAAAAGCGTATTGCAGATTTCATATCAATTGCTGTCTACTTTGCAATAAGTGCATGAGAGGGGAGTAATCCATAGAGATTTCAAACCAGAAAATATTTTGACAGGTTATCAACAAGAGAATGGCACTATTTATCTGGTGGATTATGGAGTGTCAAAAGTCTATTTAGATAATCATGGCAAGCACATGTACTGAATTTACCTAAGGCAAAGCCCACTCAAAGACAAGAAATCCTTTATCGGGACAACAAGATATGCATCGATAGCAGCACATCGAGGTTACGAATTAGGAAGAAAAGATGATGTGGAATCAATGTTTTATGTTATGATATATCTCTTAAAAGGGTAGAGAGAACTTTCTTTATATTAGTAAAATTGCCTTGGTAAAATTTACAAAATATTGGCGATAGAGATCGAACTGATGTTGTAGGCGAAGTCAAATAGAAGACTGAAGTATCAGAATTATGCAAAGATGTTCCACCTGAATTTGCTGAAATATTTAAGTATCTTCTCTTTATCAATTAGTTATTTAAAAAAATTAGAATTCAAATCTGAACCAGATTATAAATACATGTTATCTCTCTTGCTCAAGGCATCCACTAATAATCATATAATTCTAGACAAGTTATTCGAATGGACTGATCGTCAAACCAAAATAAAGGATCAAATGATTTGGGCCTTATCTGAAGACAAATAAAAATAACCACAAATGAACAGTTCGTAATAAATCATGGGTTCCAACAACCTTCTCAAACCTCCTGAGGCAATGAGAGCCACAGGTGGGAGTCCTATAAGGATGGAGTCGAAACATCTCACAAGTACATCGATCTAAGGGTCTTTGTCGTCTATGATGATCAAATATATTCCATCCTAAGTAGAAAACACGAGCATGTGTAATCAAGACGAGAAACGATCTAAAAGTAAGAAAAGTAAACGAAGTAGAAAGAGTGCTAAATCTTCTAAACGTTAATCAGTCATCTTTCATAGTGGAGTGTAAATTATTGAACCCAAAGATTAACTTAGAGTAAATAAATATTGATTTTGTAGAGACATAAAACTATTGATTCAACTTGGGGATTTTAATAGTACATGAACGAATTTAGTGGAGATGAGGATTCCTAAAAGTTATCCAAAAAGTATCATCAATTGTAGGCTTACAGTCTTCACCCCAAGAAAATACCAAAAAATACTTCTAAATTATGATAATATTTAAAATATGTGGTATGCTTAAATACTCAACTCACTTGAAGTTGATGACTTCTCAGAAGAGCTGCTCCAAGATATCACCAACCATCTTCAATCCATCTCTGTGACTGATTTCTCCAAGGGATACCAAATCATCGTCACAGAACTAGCAGATATGGGATATGAATTTATGTCTAAGAATTAATTGCCAAGCACACAATTAATCATTTAATATCTATAGCTATGGAATCAGGAAGTATGCACCTTCTCCAACCTATGGGTTTTGCAGAATCTGGAAATCGCCTACCAAATTAAGATCAATCGCATTACACAAGCAAGAGCACGTCTACTGGCATTGATTGATGAATAACAATACTATAGCATTGGAGGAACTGTGTCTCAGATTTATGAATCCGCCCTCTCTCTTTATCACTTTTGTACTATAGACAATCAGAGCAAACAGCAAGCATTATAAGCAATTCTGAAACTGTAACAACTTATAATTAAGTCTTTGGAACCAAAGTTAGATAAAAAGGTGCATCTCTTAATGGCCAAATTATACGAACGAATGGCCTAGCTAGAAAAGGGGGCCTATGAATCCAATCAATTCTGCATTTAGGCTTACAAAGTAGCAAGCCAAGTTCTTACACCAGATGACTCCCTCTTACAATACTATGAATCGCATATTCAAATAGACAACCAGTAATCACAGCCTCCAAAGCCACTGTCCATTACTCATTTGTAGGAGAACACAGTGTTGTTGGAGGAGAGAGATGTGGTGATCAGCGATTAGGCAGGTTTAATGAGAGTCACCTACAATCACAAGGCTAAGGAACTAACCATATTGTTTTTAAATATGAAATGCATATTTAATTTATCAGACGTTGAGAATGAGATCACAATATACAATTTATAAAGTCTACCGGTTTTTTTGAATGAGTTTGTGAATGTGGTAAGTCAATAATTGATTCTTGAAGAAACTTTGATCATTTCAACCAACATTATAGGATTGGAGTCTTTTGAAAAATAAGTTCAAATTACCCAAAAAACTCGCGGACATTATTTTGCCTACTTCACAGAACAAGTACTAGATTATATGGACGATGAATCAGTACAACCACTATTGATCTAATGATTATTGTAATTATTTTTGAATATATGTCAAAAATCAGTTGATCTTTCTACAAATATATAATTCTAATCAATTAATTCTCCTATCTTAGATGATTAACTATAATCAATAGTAATGATATTATCAGGTATATAAAGAACAAACTAATTATGAAATGATTCAAAATTATTAAATGTTAATCATCAATAACAAAAGAAATCAAAATAGAAGGACCACTTAAAAACTTAAATATTTAGATTCCGTCTAAGAATAGCCAAGAAGAGCAAGTTGTTGTTGTGACAATTGTGGCAAACTCACTCATTTTTAACAAATTTATCAGAATTCTCCCTTGGTAGTTCAACAACATTAGGTCGAAAAATAAAAACTGAGTCAACTAATTTAATGTAAACCCCTTAAGAAAATGATTTCTACTAGTTTTCATCTCTCTAACAAAAATACTGACTCAATCAAAAAAAGACGACATAGTTGTAAATGTGAAGAATGTGGCTCAGAAACTCTATTCTAAAAGACTAGTTGTCATTAGATCCCCCTCAGATAGCCTATTAAAAGTGCTCAATTCAAAAGCTTCATAATAAAGAAGTCGCTTGGAAAAGCTTTTCAAGAATTCTCGGATGTTAAAAAATCCCATCCACTAACATCTCGATCCCATAAGGATATCATAATCAAGTCTCCCCTTCTTGTAAATAGGCTTAAAACTGGTTCCTGTCTGCTCCCAGTCTAGAATTCCCACGGCTTTAAAAAATAGGTTAAAGCCAATAAGTAAATGGTGGAATTAAAAGGATTTAAGAATGGAAATTCATCAGAGAAATTCAAACTTTTAGTAGATAAACACGAACACATTTTTCATACAACTATAAGATTAAAGACTATTTTTAATTGATTAATAATTATACCATTATCATATTTTATATACTGAATTAAAATTTCTTAGTATAAATAGAGATTTTAAGAACTATTATTAATTTAAGTGATATAAAAACCATTATCATTCTTAAGTATCCATCATCCAATCAATAAGATGACAACTACCAATTCATCTTTGTGGTTTTGAATTATAATTAAGAACTACAAGTATGTCACAGTGTTTTTTACTAATAAAGTTACTTGCCAGACTTGAACCAGTATGATTGATTAAAATTGTTTTAATAAATGAAAAATTGTGTCTAGAAGTTTATTGATTTTCCAATTTTTTTAAATGAATTTAATCTAGTAAATGGCTTTACTAGATTATTCTTTATTACTAATTATTAAAGCAAATAATTGCATAATAAACACAACTTAGAGGCATCATAAGTAATAAATAAATTAATCTATGAGTAAGACCTTGAAGATTAGTAAAGTAAACATTAGTATACCCTAATTATAGAGCACTAGAATTCATTTCAGACAGAAAGATACTATACAAAAAAATGTATAATATAATATTATTTTTGTCAAATGATCAATTTTTTGTTGGAAATATTTGGATTTAATATTGATACACTCCAAATTTTCTGGAATAGTTAAAGCAGAATCATTTCTTTATTTTAACATTAATTCATTTAAGAGATCTAATACGGCGAAAGCATCTCCTCCTTGTAAATTAGAGGCTTTTCATCTATTTAAATTGCATATTTTGAGACAAAATATTGACTTGAGTTGGATCAAATTTGAAACATTATCAAATCTTAATAGTTACTAAAGGTTGTAGAAGCATTTTCCCTTTTAGAATATTCATTCTTTCCCAAAATGAATTTACTTGCATAGATTTATAAGACCTTAGAGTGTGTGCAGAAATCGAAGGATCAATAATTTCATCGAAATTATTTGAAATTTCTTGCAGCTTCAAGATTATATTCCACTTCTACAAAGAATGAATATTTAAATTATATCGAAATGTAACTTTCTGACTTCGTATCACTATTCTAGCAAATCATCGTATTATTATATCAATATTTTATTATTTCTTAGAATAACTAACAAATTGGCATGATCAAATATAAAAATAATTTGATAAAAAAAATCTATTCTAATAATGGGCAGTTGTTAAAGTGCTCCAAGTATTATAGATGACTTACCAACCATGGACTCAAGTGCCTGCAAATAAACAGATAATCCTATCAAGGAAGAAATCCCTCCTTAATATAATGAGAACAAAATCATCACTATATAGGCCTATTATAGGGGACACAAAGTCCGCAAATCTCTTGTGCCTACTCTCTAATCTCCAGTACCCTCTGCTCCTACTCAACCTGATAATCCAAAATTCTGTTTCGATCCTACTTTCGTATAAGAGAATGATTAGCCTATAATTATGAAAAATGGAGCTATCTATACAGGGATATGGAAAGAAGGGAAAGCTAATGGAAAAGGAAAATATTAATTCCATGATAGGTAGTTACTATTTTTTATTTTTCTAGTTACATTGAAGGAACTGTAATTTATTCAATTTATTTTAGTGGACTGCCAATGAACTTCAAGGTTAAGGAGTCTACATGAATCCCAATGAATCATATCGAGGAGAATGGCTAAATAATATGTTCCATGGTCAAGGGGAATTTAGGTATTAAGATGGTCGCATCTATACAGGTATCCAAATCTTATATTTAGGTTAATGGAAGAAAGGACTCTAGCATGGGATGGGCAAAGAGATATATAAGGATAAATCCATTTATGAAGGCAAATTTAAAAATGGAATGAAGTGTGGTTTAGGCATTTTTCAGTTGGCTGATGGGTCAGTTTATTAAGGCGAATTTCAAAATGATTTATTTCATGGATATGGTTCATTTGTAAACTCTATTAATTAAGTAGACTTGGCCTGATAAAGCTAGAATTTTTGAAGGCTACTGGGGGAATGGATTAAAGAATGGCGATGGCACGATGAAATGGGGGGACGGTATTTCCTTTATTTTCATTTAATAGGTCGTGTGTATATTGGCCAATATTTGGATGATATCAAACATGGTTATGGAGAAATGTAGTACATAGATGGCCGAATTTATAAAGGATAATGGAAACATGGTCTATAAGATGGTATAGGCTTATTTGTAGACAAAGAAGGGATTGCCAGAAAAGGCTTCTGGTCTAAAGGTAAATTAAAAAAGTGGCTCTGATTTAAAAATGAGTTTTGATTTTCTATCTCTTCTAATAATAAATACACTTAGTATGTTTATAATAAGATTTAATAATATATAATAGAACGAGGAAAAATAGGTCTTATTCAAAATTTCAATACTAATTTCTAAGAATTAAATACTTCCTCATCAGATATGTTTGGATCTATTTAATCTTCATCCAGTATGTCATCAGGCAAAATTTTCTATTACTGTTATTATTACTATTCCAAAAGTTCTTAGCGTTTTTGACTAGAATAAAATCTTATAAATACGCAGCTTAAGCTAATAAGACATTCATCATATTTATTTTCAATTTCTCTTTGGAAATAGTCTAGTTACTCTTTTTTTTGATTTGTGGCTTAACAAATTGAGATGCCAAGTTGAAGTAACAACTTATCTCAGTCGCTTATTCCTTGCCTTTGTATTCAAAACTACTTTCCTCAGAATCATTTATTCCTATATAAAATTAGAGAATTAATACTTGAGTCATCTGCCAATAAAGAGTCACATAGGTTTAACTGTTACTTGTAAATATCCTCATATTAGGACAAGATTTAGAGAGGATAAGTATTTTATTCAGGAGAACTAAGTTTTTATTTGGGAGTTTAAAGTTTATTAAGAGTATTAGGTTGATTTATTGGATTAATATCTATGTTTAAGTTTCCTTCTGTATCATCTGGATTCTCTTATTCTGTATTCTAGATAAACTATTCGAACATTCTAAATTAAAATAGCATTATTACTCTATTATTGAACTATCTCCGACTCGTTTCAAGAATATTTTAGTTAATTGCTCTCTTTGAAGTAGTTTTTAGATTGCTTCGAACTATCCTTACACTAAATATTTCAATTCCAAGATTTCTACAATTATTATCTATCTATACCTGCGTCGTTTTATCCTACTTGATCTTACTCTTAAATCTAAGCTGACAATCCATTAATTTATTATTACAAATTAACAATTATTTCATCTTGAGATTTCTTAATTTCTAATAACTAATTATGTTCTTATAATAGACTCTCATGCTTCTTTTTAATAGAAATAAGAATATTTTCCATTTTTTTCTTTTCTGTTTGTTGTTAAAATGATTGTTATAGAATTTAGATTTATCTCTTGAAGAAACAATCGATTTACAGAGCCTGATTCGTATCTTAAGTTGAGGTTGGCTAAGTGTTTTGTTAATCTTGAAACATGATTGCTAATAGCTGGTTTAGGGTTTAATTAAATTTAATCATAAATGCCATTTCTTTTTAATCCTATTACCAGTTATTCTCTCTATCTTGTAGAAGCACTTTGATTTTTTCTTTTATCTTTTGAATTTGAGTCTAATCGCAAGAAACACTATTACTATTCTTTATCTTCACACTTGAATTGGGTCGATGAAAGGATGAGTTCTTAGTTAGTTAAGGTGATTATTGATCCATTTATATCATTGATTGATTCTTTCTTAATTTATGAGATATCTTCACTGTGTCAATTAATTCATTGTTAAATAAACTTTAATTTTTAGGTTTCGTCTGTTAGCCTGCCATCACATTTAGAATGCTGCATAATTTCTGTTAGGACACTTAGAGTGTTGGGTTTATGAATGTTCTATTAACTTTTAATAAATTTTCATATGACTTCTGTCTTCCAACTGCAGGACTATTATTATTCGAGATATTTTGTGATTGACTTTCAAATTACTGTTTTGAAGGCCACCTTTGTCATTTTCTTCTCTAAGATTTTCCCATGTAATTTCATCATCTATGATGCATAAATAGCAATCTTCTCATTCTCACTTTATTTTTTCATTGTAATTTTGTTTGTTGAGAATAATAAATGATGAAATTATCAAATTCTTCAATATATATTCATTTAATAAATATATACATACACTTTTTTTTGCAAATGACTTTCACATTCAATGAATATAAATATGATATTTAAAAATGAAAAACCAAAAGTCAATTAATTAATTTTCGAGAAGCGAATAATTACTTAAATTAATTCAAGTTTTCTTCCTATTTTAGTTAGATATCAATCATTTGATCTAATTTTTTAATCATCTAACTTCGCTCCTAAAATTATGTTTGCTCCCTCTTACTTGTAATTAGTGCTTTTTGTCTTAAGTTAATTTCTTTACACTCATGCTCAATTAATAATGCTAATTCTCTAATTGTTCCTACTTCGTCTACAAATCCTTAATCTAAATAGCCAGACTTTCGACCTTTTTCTCAATACCCTCGCAAACAAATTCATTATTTTATTATCTTTCAGTTGGAGATTTCAGTAGATGATCATTCCTCATCATCTTTTTGGCTGTCTAAACATTTGTTTGGCATCGACTCTAAGGACTCATAGAATAGGGTTTTCTAATATAATTTTTGAAAGATCGAAGAAAAGCGATAATCTCTTAAGGTGTCTACACTTTTCTTTATTTCATCTTTAATAATTTTATTGTTAATTAACTAGAGTAAAACTAATAATGATTGATTGAGAGAAGTGAAAATGTATTGATGATATTTGAGTCTAACAAACCCAAATGATCATTTGCACAATATCAAAATTTAATAATTCATTTAGAACTATGAAATTGGAACAATTTTATTTCAATTTATCAAATAAAATTATAAATTACCAAATTCTCTCAATATGTAAAAATAATGTGTGAATGATAAAATTAAATAGTATTCTTTTAAAAATTAACTTATAATCATTTTTTTTCTTTCTTCTCTATGATATTTCCATTTTCATCTAAATAATCTCTACAGATACCACACTTATTCTTAATTTATTTACTTTTACTCTCTTTTTTAGATTTAGAATTCTTCAAAGACTTCTTCTTCTTTTTTTTCTTTAATTTATTAATAACTACATACTCACAGTATATGTTTGTTCCATTATTTTTTAAATGTTGATTGATGGAAGTTGTTGAATTTCTTTTTTATTATTTATTTCCATCTTAGTCAAGTGTAGAATTGCTTTCTAAAAATTAAATTGATTTAGTTGGGTACTTTTTAAACATTTCATTTCTTGTAGAAATTGATGCTAATGACCTTATTTCGTTACTTTTTTATTGAAAAATCTAATCATAAAATTATTCACTAATAGAATAAATCTTCCATCTTTAAAAATGCTCTCTTAAAGGTAGCTATCTCTATTTCTTTATCAATGAAAATAAAGCTTATTTTTATTAGGCCATTTATTATTGATTTATTAGCAAAATTGAGAAAACTAATCTCTTCCTTTATATTTCAAAGTGTTCTACACTTTTTTCTAGCTATTTAGCCTCATATCTATTTTTCAGCCTAAGCATAATATTGAATGCTTCCTCCTTTATATTATAGAGAATTGGTTGTGTAACCTTTGCTATAATTTTTGTGGCTATGAGCTATTTCACTTTAGTAAAGCTGTGTTTCAAAAGTCCGATTTATCTTCTCTTCATGATTTTCTCAAAAATTTATTGAATATGCGCTCTTTTCCTCAAGAAATCAAATACTAATTATTATTAATGTTCAGTTTATTTTTTTGTGAAATTATTTAAGACTCTAACAAAAATGGAAACAGAATTATGATTTATTCTATGACTTAACTAGCTTTAAGAAGTCAAAATAGATTTATTAGTATTATTCTTCATTCTACCAATTGATTAACTTGATTTGGTCTTATTTATTGATTATTAATTATTCTCATGATTAGATCGAGTATTTTCTTAATATTCCACACTTTATTAACGATAGGATTATAATGAAGTTTACTGAAATCTGGTATTTACATACTTATTTTGTCTTTTAAATTATATTTTAATTAATTCTATAATTGATTTAACATAATCAAGGCATAAAGGGAAATAAGGAAAGCAAAACTATTATTCCTTAAAAATAATGTCATTCAACTACAAAAAGTTTTAATATAAACATTGTTATTTGTAGACGTTATTAGATTAGAATTCAAATAAATCTATCTCTTAATCTTACAATGCTTGATTCATCAAACACATCTAAAGATCATTGCTTTTTTGGTTATTATTTAAGATATCTAAGAGTTTTGAGAATACTTATTCTCCTGATTGTTAAAGTTGTTAATTAGTGTGCTAATTTGAATAGTGAAAATTAATCAGATGCGTGTATATAATGGAATTTAGCTTAAAAATGCAAATTTCATATTTTTTTAATTCAATGGACAATTAATTAACTAATTATTCTGATACACAATTTTCGTTCAAGTAGGGAATAAGCAATTAACCAATGCATTTGATCCAATGAAAATATTATTAATAATATTACTTATTTAACCTTTGGTTATCAAGTTACTCCAAATAACAGAATTTCTACAAAATGACAGTTGAATATGTTGGATTAACAGTAAATGGATTATGATGAACATTGAGCAATTTAAGTAGATGAGGTTGTTTGATTTTATTTAACTCATTAACGCTTTGAATTAGATTGTGATGGAGGGAGAGCGTAGTTAATTACACAAACTATTCGATTCCATCAAGATGTTAAATGCAATTATGAGATAAACACAAAGTTGTAATGTACATGAAAGAATTATGCAAGCCTATCTCTCTGATGTTCTAATAGTTGAGGATGATTTGTTTTTGATTCTTGGAAGGTTTTTATTTTAAAACCTCGATAATTTGCATTTGAAATTATATTATATAAACTGCTAATTTAATTTCACACTCATTTTTTTTCATTTTCTTTTATATTTCAGATTAAGTTGTTTTTCTACATATTTTCGTGATTAATTATCTTACTTATACGAGTTTATTATTGAAAATTATAGATATCTTAATAATATATAATATATATATTCACAATTAGGAATTATGCTTTGTTCTTAGATTCACATCAATTTTAGGAATCTTTATTGTAATTTTTATTGATAACGTAATAAAGTAATAGAATGGAGTTTTGGTAAGGATAGGTTCATTCTTATAAATTTTTAAATTTATCGATATTTGTTATTAGTTTAAATAGCTTCTATTGATTTGAGAATTTATTTTGAAAAATATTTTCAAATTAGTAAGAAAAGAGAGATTAAAATAATCTTCTATCTTATACACATAATAAGAGCTGAGGGAACTATTAATTTAATCAATAATTCATTTGATAACATTTTTCTTTATTTATATTCTCAAAATCAAAAATACTAATTATTTACTATAAATTTATAAAATCATTGTAAGAGATATTAGAGATTATTGCATATTTGTTAAGTTTCACTTGTCTTAATTAATGGTTTATTTAATTTTAAATCATTCCTTCATTTTATGCTTATATCAAATTTAAACTTTAAATTGTTTCAAACTTAAAAAAGAAAAGTCTTATATGGTTTAAATCGCTTTTATCAAAATAAAAAATAAATTTTCTTCATTTATAGATTGTGGTCTTAACTACTTGTGATGAATAAAATTTTGCTAAATTATTAAGATTAAGTGTTTGTCAATCTGTATTTTTGAATATTTTAACCAATCTCAATTAAAAAAGAAATCCATTTATCATATTGATTTCATTTATTAATTAATTCCTTATTGGTCGAGATTTTTATTGATTAGTTGACCATTTTAAAAAAATGCTAAAATTCTGCATTGAATGAGTGTTTATAATTAATAATAATAAATAAACATAGTTAACTAAAATTATTAGCAATAGTTCTCTAAAACTATAGATTTTTACTATTAACTTATAATAGAATTGAATAAAATATTTTTGAAGATAAGCGTAATATTTCAAAACATCCGAAAAAATGAGTGTTAGCAATGAATGTATAAACTGATTGCAAAGGTTGAATAATTGTGGTTTAATAAAAATAGAAGCTGGTTGTATCATCGAAAGTAAAGTCTCCGTATCTTGGCAAATCTTTTTATTTCTTGTAACGTATAAGATACACAAAGATTTATTGATTGAACACTGAACTTATTTAGCATTTCAAGAGAAAAAGTAATTGTAACCCAATTAATGATTTTTAAGAATTTCAGGAATTTCAGTTTTCTACTTTAATTCTATAATGAATAAGGAGTGATGAACACATCGTTACAGACATGGTAATGATTGAGGTTGAATTCCGAAGAAAGTACAACTTAATATGATGAATTAAGGGCTTCTTTTTCTTCAAAAAAATTAAATGATTCAGAATAGTTGAGATTTAGAGATTAGTGGCTGCCATTGTTCAGAGTATGTTCATGATGTGCATTTGATTAGAGCTAATGAAATGAATGAGTTTTAATTAAAAAGAAAAACGTATTAATGAGGGATGTAGAAATAAATTGAAAAACGGGTAATTTTTAATGTCTTGGAGAGTGATTGTGATTTCATTTCATTAATATTAATAACATGAGAATCGTTCCTGTATTGGCTCTTATTCTCGCAGTTGCAACTGCTAGAGTGACAAAGACAGAAAGTCCAAAGGAAGTGTTGGCTTAAATTAACAAGGATTCATTTGGAAATTCAGTGTTGTCAGTCCTTTAACTTTAATTGGCAACAGGTGGACCCGTAGGTGAAATTCAAATTCTCTTAAACAATATTGCTTCCCAACTTAATGGAGATTAAAAGAAAGCTGACAAAGTTCACGAAAGTGATACAGTTGCTTTCGAAAAGGTTTGTCTATTTAATTAATTTTTATTAGATTATTGCTGACTTAGAACAAGAAATTGCTTATCATTAAACCCAAATTGTTGCTCTTTCAAATTTGAGAGACTCCACAACTGAAGCTTTGGGTGAAGCTGAATCCGAAGTCAGAGTTGTTACCTCAGATATTGCCAATAACGAGAAAAGCTTTGCTGATGAATCTGCTACAAGACAATCATAACACGATACCTGGGTTAGAAAAGATGCAGAACACGTTGATTAAATGGAAGCTATTGATGAAGCTTCAAAGATCGTTTAACATTTATAAGCTGGTGTTGCCTTTGCTCAACTCAAAAGTAGATTCGAAAAGGTCTAAGCCAAATTGATGGAATCCAAACACGCACTCTTCAAGGTACTCTCTTTTATCTCAATTCTAGCCACTCATCAACGCCTTGACTTAATTAGCCTCAAAGGTCGACAACAAGAGCATCATCAAGATCTTAGAACTCTTGGCTCAAATCAGATAACAATTGGTTGCCAGCAGAGCATCCTTACTTGCCACAGAAGAAAGACAAGCTGCCAACTGGGAAGTTCAAAGTTCCCATTTGTAAGAAGAACACAAGAGATTAGTCGAAAGAAAGGCTTTCTTAGAAAACTCAATTGTCCAATTCAAAGTGACCATTTAAGAGTCTGTTGAGGATTTAGAAGATCAAACTGTAAATTTTAAGATTAATGTCAATAGTTATTCCTTGAAGATGCTGAAGACTCATTGGCTATTTAAGAAAGATGGGCTGCTGAATAAGAATCCCAATATGAAGCTTAAACCTTCGAAAGAGAACAATAATTGGAAGTTGTTGAAAGATTATAAGAAGTTCTCACTCAAAAGTTGAGCGCTGCATCAGAATTCCTCCAAATCAGAGAAGAGGTCTTTTGATTATGAAGTCCAATATATTCAATATAGAAATCTTCATAAAATCATTTAATTTAGTTATTACTAATCGGTTGAGCATTTTATTATGGATTCTGTTGGTTCAACTCCTTAAAGAGAACATTAGGATTGGCATTTAAATCGTTGGCCACCTAAAATTAATATTAGTATTTACCTCACTATGCAATTCTTATTTTAATTATCCCATCATTTAATCGATTGCCAAATCTTATCCTATGTTGTTATTTTGGTTCATCATTCCTGTCATTATGTTTCCTTACACTGTCATTTCATCCATTGCTTTCTCAAATTGATTCATGTTTTGATAAACCAACTCTAAGGGCATGTTTTAAATCTAATGTTATTGCCTTTTTTTACTTATTAACTCATGAGAGGACTAATTTTTGCAAGAGCTTCCACTGTTTTAGTTTGGTTTGTGCTTGATTTTATAATGCCTTGCATATGATCCATTTTATGTGCCATCTTCTATAAGCTCTCTGCTTCCTTCTGTTTATTCATGGCTGATGTTAAGAATAGTCTTGCACCTAAACATCATCGAACCAATTCTTACCTTCCTCATTGTTTTTCTATAAAGCTACTTTTGCTTGGTTCATTAATTTATCTTTCTCCTTCTCGCATCTTCTTGATTCATTGGCAAATCTCTTTGATGCCAATTTCATATCCAAAATTGCATCGTCAATTGTAGGTTTAGGAGCTTAAGGCTTAGGTTATTCGTTTCCCATATTTATTAATAATTAATTTCTAAATATTTAGACGCCTTAAAAATCGATTTATTCTATATGTGTTTATAGAATAAACTATGTGATTATTAATCACTCAAAATATGAAATGTGCTAAATATTTAAGATATAGATTTTATACTTAAAAAGGGATTTAAAAGATACTTATTAATCATTTATTACAAACATTATATATATACTAATGTTATTCAACTTCTATCATAAATAATCTAATCAAAAGAATTAAAGTTTTCAATATATTATAACTCTTTAACTAATTAGCACTAATAATTTGATTTATTATTAATATAAAATTAGTCTTTTTTCTCAGTTTCTTTCAAGAAAAGCAGAATTAATTTTAAATTAATTACACTAATAAGCAGAGTTTAAATATACACAATTATATGAAATATCTAAAGTGAAAGAACAATGATAAGCTTTTGATGTATACAAAGAAAAGTATTTTGCCTATTTTGTGTATAAATATTCTTAAAATCTCATGAGAATAGACTATTGGTTATTCAAAAAAATTAAGATCAAATAGAGGAAACTGTTCCATTTATAATACTATTTCTATGATAATTATTATTTAAATTTGTTTTATAAATTTAAATACAATTTTAAATATGCTTTCTTTTGATATTTGTTTAAAATCATTAAAAAGAAAAGGTTGCGTCCATATGTTGTTTGATAGAATAGTGAATAGTGTTCCTTTTTAATCATTACATTCCGAAATGTAATAATTAGAAAATTGATACCTATGTATAAATTATTTGATTTTAATATCTAAATGACAAAATTAAAATTTATTCAATGCTAATATATATATATATTCTTTCAATACTAATTTAGATTCATTTATAAATTATTTTTTTTCTGACGCAATATCTACTCCATGATTATCTTTATTTATAATTCTATTTGTAAAATTTCTTGTAAGGTCAACAGAATTTTTATTTTTCATCATAGTTTGGTCTATAATTATAGATAATTAAGAGTTTTTGCATTAGATTTTTAATATTGAAACGTTTAGTCGAAAAAAAGTAGAATAAGTATAGACTTCCCCTTTTCTTTTAATCATTATAACTTCTTTTAAACTTTGGAAAATCTCTGCTTTGTCCTTTATAATTCGTTTATTGCATTTTCATATATATGTGAATGTAGTTATTAACAAAAATGCATATATAGAAAATGCCACCTAATTTACAAATTTAAATTAAATGATAATATTTATCTTTATAATTTTAATAATCATATCCCTAAGTATTTTAATCTTCTTTAGACTCTTTATATACCCTTCTTTCTTATTAATAGTCGGATTGCTGGACTTTCCTTGTTGTGATCATCTTTCAATAAGTGGTCTTCTTCTTCTAAGAAACAATAAGTATCATCATTAGTTTTTAAGAATCCATCCAAGTCTTCTAGATTTCCACTTAATTAATGGAGTCTTTCAACTAAGTATGCTTTTGGAACTCCTTTATATTCCGACAAGATGGTAACTACTTGATCCATATCCTCGATTGAAAATTTATCAAAATCATTTCTGGGGAAAGTAGGATCAATTTGTTTTTTGTGTTCAACTTTAACCTTTTACAATTTATTAATCTCGAGTTCGTCTTCCACTTTCTTTTTTTCCTTCTCCATTATTTTAGGATCGAAAGTAACAATCTTTAATAATTCTCTTGGTGTTGAATTACTAAATAACAAATATCCCACCAATCCATGTTCATTTAAATGTTAAGCAATTTAATCCATATTATCCTAGGACAGATATTGAAGGTAATCCATATATCTATTATAAGATGTGAGCTAACCTGTTTTTTATAGAATTGTAAGTTCTTTTAACAATTTGGCTCTCTTCAATATCTCTAAAGTTTTTAGACTAAACTATGCTGACATCCTTAAGGGCCAACATTATTTTGAGATCTTCTTAAAGTGTATACGATTGATTCTTTTGAGGTACAAATTCTGGGGCTTGACTGATAAACTTTTCAAAAACTTCTCCTGGTCTCATCTGATGGAATTTAATAAATTAAAATAATGCAAGGGTACTTAGTTGAAGGCAAGGAAATTAATAATGACTATTCGTATCAATGGTTAACAGGCAGTCCTGACTTAGTGGCAATTGAAAGAGGAATACCAATACTGCATATCAATTCGGAAATACAAAAAAGAGATTTAGAAATGGAATTTAGAGTATATAAAAGTTCTTAAGAAGTTGTTACGTAGATTGACAGAAACCTAATTTCACAATGAAAATCTGCATGATTTTCATCCAGACTTATAGAAATTGAATAGATATAATAACATTATACCATGTATATGAAATTTAATCAATAGTCAAACATTCAATTGTCAAGCTCAAATAAGAAGGAGAAGATGAAGAAAATTATAAAGATACTTATATAAATGCCAATTTTATTAATGTATCAAATTTGTTTTCATATTTTTTATAGCTTATTAATGGAAAGGAAAAAATGATTATTGCCACTCAAGGTCCTTTAAATTAGACGTTCTGGCATTTCTGGAGAATGGTGATTTAAGAAGACATGGCTATGATTGTTATGCTCTGCAATTTAAGAGAGAATTAAAGAGTATGTCACCTACTATCATATAGGCTTAATGTGAGTAATATTGGCCGAAGAATGTTGGGGAATCAATCCAGGTTGGAAATATATAAGTTAACTTACTCAGTCAGGATGATTTGGGAAACAATATCATCAAAAGGGTAGTTAAAGTTACATCAGAATAAGAAGAGAAGTCAGTAATTCAAATTTAATGGTGTGGCTGGCCTGATTAAGGAGTACCATCTCCTAGTGATTTTGATGTTATGAGAGAACTTTTGAATATGATTAACGAGAAATTGTTATTGGATCAAAAAGTTGTTTTTCATTGCAGGTAATGTTTATCTTAGATTTTATAGTGCTGGGGTTGGTCGTACTGGTACTTTAATTGCTTTGGCTAATTTGATGATTTTATTAAGAGCATATAAATAGCATATTGGGGAGGACAAATAAAGTATTTATTTTGTTAATTTGTCTTAGAATTGGAAGAAAATCCTGAACTTTTCAGAATCTCAATCTTTGGGATTGTTCGTAGATTAAGAGAACAAAGATGGGGAATGGTTCATACTTCAGAGCAATACATATATATATATAAATTTATTAATGAGGCTGTTAAATCTATGTTTAACGTATGATTTAATAAATATTGTTATGTAATAAAAAAATAGTATTTTATAATTGTATAAGTTGTTTCATTGATTGAATAATTTGGTTCTAAATTTAGCTTCGCTTACCTTATGAACATGTTCATATTTTTTATCTAATTCGACATGTTTTATATATGAATTGGGATGTACAATATTGTCAGATAAGTAAGAATAATTAGCAGTGGTAGTAATTGGAAAATTAGTATTTCTACTTGTATATTTACTTTAATTCAATTGATGTGGCTTCATAATGTCATTCTTCGATAGTTGCATTGTGGATTGAGACTAAAATAGGGGGACCTTCACTTGAGCCTTAGTTGTATTGTATGATTGTAAAATATCTGCAGTTGATTGCTTGTTAGACTCAAACAAATATTATCTATTTTTGGCTTAAGAAGTCTTTGTTTGAGAGGGAGGATTCTAGAAATTTTATAAATATGAACTAGACTAAGTAGTGATCAAAGGTTTAGGAATGTTCATTGCTTTGGTTTTCGGTGTTAAAGTCATTATTTATGAAACTGTAGATGAAATTTTCTATGTTGACTCTCCAGTTAAAGCCTATAATTATTAAGACCAAATATTTAGTAATCCAGCCTTTTTTCTTAGGTAGGCCACACAAGATAATGCCAAAATTGCTTAATCATTTGAGAAGTATATTGAATCATCTAAATAAACTTGATAGAATACCTCTAAGTACAGTAAAAGCAGTCTCTATATATTTATTCTCTATTTCTTTGACATAATTTACAATCTGAGTTTCATTTAAATCTCTTATTTTAATGTGAACTTATTATTATTCTTAGTTTTCCTTTTATTATGGTGGCTGCTGTTGAACCAGACTATCGTCATCATCGATTGCCCCAAAAGAAAGCAAGGTTTCTATTCGATCCAACAAAGTAACTCTTTGTAGTTTCCAATCAAGTGATTGAACGATCGCCTTTTCAGCATTTCGAAATTCTTGAGTTGTATAGTTGTTTACTTCAGGATGGGATGTCATTGAGGAGTATCTCTTCAATTTACTTATGAAGGGAATCTTTTCGTCTAATTCTTATGCTTTCGCTGCCAACATCAATGCAGTTGCTGCATATAAAAATATTTGATCTTCATGTATTCCTTGCTAATTAAAAAAATTATCTAAGTAGGTGATGGCCAAAAATGAAGTATTAGCACTCAGATTCAATCTCTCTGATGCCTATTCAATGAAATCAATAACTGGCTATCTATTTATTTAATGTTGCTAAATAATTTGAGGATCCAATGCTTTATTCAATATGTTGGTAGGATTAAAAAATGCATTATATCTCATTTTTATTGTCTTGTACACCTTTGTTGATGTCTGATTTAGAATCGAATAATTTACATTGTAAATAAATATGCCACATTGCTAACAAATCTATTTCCCTGAAAAAGTGATCCTTGTGTTATGCATGCAACCAAACACATCTAGATATTATCTATCATAATTGAATTCTTATTGTTCCGTCTAACTCATATACGTTAGATTTTATTTTTTAATTAAATATTATTCATATAAGAAAACACGTAGATTGTAGAATTCTATAGATGAACATTAATACAATATCGAAATTGTAGAAAAATGCTTATTCATAATAAAAGATCATAAAAATAATGGAGATCAAAGTTATAATATTTTCAATCATAAGTATCATGTTTAATTCGAGAGTATTTTGATTTTGAGATGCTATTTCAAACCACTACTCGCAATCTAATGGTAAATTTAATTAAAATACTCAAAAATAATAACAAAATTCTCAAAAATTAATAATAAAATTCATAATCAATAATAGTATTTTTTTTTTGTAATTAAGGACAATCTATAATATTATGTTAATGAAACACTACAAAACCATATGTTCTTCAGATATTCTATTCAAATTGTTGAAATTCTAGAAAATTTCTATTTTTGTTTTTAACTTTTTTAACTTAATTCAGTTGGTGAGTTTGATTAATTAAAAATAAACATCTCTTCTTTTGATTTAGATGAAAGTCAATAAATTGAAGTAAGTTTTATTTAATACAAACATTTATGAGTGAATTTAAAACTCATGTTTTGAGATATTTTGATAAAGTGTTAACTGACACAACCAATTTATGAAATGTTTATTTAGTTTTCTAAAAGTTAATTACGTTTTCTATTATTTATTTAATGACTTGATTTTAATATATAAATATATATAATAAAATGAAAATAAAAGTGTTTCTTGAAGGATTGCTTCCTATAGTCCTCATACCTCTATTTGACTTTTCATGGCTGCTAATGATTATACTACTATGTTTGATGAGTATTTTGTAATTTACTGCATTCTTATCAAAATATTGGAATTCAAAGAGATAATTGGAAATGAAAATATTTTACTCAATTTGTTAGGGCTTGTTTTTTGTTGAATGCAGTATTTAACTCAATAAAATAAGTGTTTTTTTCTTATACTTCATTTGCATTCAAATTGGACAAGTAAGAATATAAGATTGTAAATGGAATAAAATTACAATGCTATTGAATTTTTATGTCTTATTTAGAATAAGCCATTGGAATTCCTTTGATTTATACATTTTCGGAGCTGGGTTAATTTTATTATTTTTAAATCTCTATACTGAATGGGTATACTCAAAATAGGTTGAAGTGGATGCTTAATAGTAATCCTATTTATCGAAAAAGTCTTCGGAGAAATCAATTTTAAACATAGTTCCAACGCCGGAGCATAAAAAATAATAACTTCATTCTTCAACCAATTCGTTGTAACAAGAATTACAGGAATGTTTCCACTTTTTCAACTTGATTCCAGATTCTTTAGTATTGATGACAGCACAATAGTTAAATGTGCATTTTTGCAATGCTGCAACATTGGAACTGTTTAAGATAAGTGAAATGTCAAATTTTAAGAGTTGTTTAGAATAACTTACTGATATTGTATCAACTTAGAATAAATCAGAAACCCGAGATCCCAGAGATTCTCTTCCTTCTTTTCATAGTTTCTAACAGTCTTTCTAATAATATAAAATAAACAATCCAAAATAATTAAAGGAAGATCTTGATTTGAATGTATTTGATTTTTTTACTATAGCAAATACTAAGTGATTTAAGCAGCATCCAACCAAACAAGAGATTCTTCCAAATCCTGAAAAGCAGTCCTCATAACACTATTTACATAGGTAGTTATTTAGCCAACTGGTATGAAAATGCTTGTTGTGTGGATCTAGAATAACCGAAAAAAAAGAGATTGCTTGAAATCAATGCTCATGCAACTTTGGTTGATGAGAGATTGATGATTCTTCTACAAATCAGAGATGTAACTCATAGGGATTACATCAGTCTAGTTAAGAAATCATATTAGGCAAAATCAAACATCATTTCATTTGTGAGTCATGAATACAGAACACCTTTGAACTCAATCATCTAATTCATCTCTGCTTTGTAGGAAGAAAAAGATATGAATTTGTAAAGCAAATACTTAAAAATTGCTTTATCCAATTGCAATTATTTATTGAATTTATCGAATGATTTATTAGATTTTGCTTAGTTGAAAGCTGGCAAGTTTTCGATATGTCCAGTAGAAATGGATTTACAAAAATTAATCGAGGAATGTTTAGAATTGTTCAGATTAGAAGCAAGTTTAAAAAAGATCAAATTGTCATTAATTTATAGAAAGAGTGCTCCTAGATTGCTAAATAATGATCCCAATAGGATTAGATAAATTATCATTAATTTACTAGGCAATGCATTTAAATTTACATTGCAAGGGTAAATTGAAATAAGAGTATCTAATTACTTAAATAATTCGATTAAAGTGGAGATTCATGACACTGGCTAGGGGATAAAGGAGGAGTACAAAGAGAATTTGATATAAGCGTTTTCGAAAGTAGATGATAAAGACAGCAAAAAACTGAATCCTTAGGGAGTCGGTTTGGGATTGCTTATAAGTAATATGATTGCAAGGAACTTAAGTAAAAATGAGAAAGGATTACAATTTCAATCGGAATATCTTAATGGATCCTCGTTTTGGTTTTATGTTTCTAAGAATGTGTATGAAACTGAGATCAAGGAGGAAATGGATGAAATTGATGAAGAGAGTCCAGAACGGAGATAAAGTTTATGGAGATATAATAATATAAAAACTCATCGTTAAAGTAAATGCAAATGCATCAGCATTTTAATCGTGGATGACAATGCATTTAATATTGAGGTGCTCAAATTTTTGATCATGAAAATAAGCCCTTCTATATAATTCGATTGTTCTCTGGATGGATACAGTGCTATTTAGATGGTTAAAATGAACAGATGCAAGAAATGCAATGGGTATGATCTAATTTTTATGGACATTGATATGCCAACTATGAATGGAATCTAAACTACTATTTCAATAAAGAAGCAGTTTCCAAAAATACAAATCATAGGTTGTTCGGCCTATTCAAAGAAAGAGGAAGAACAGTTGGCATTGCAGAATGGAATGGATGGCTATTTAGTAAAACCAATATAAATTGATTAGCTTAAAGCGTACTTAAGATCTAAACTTTGACTATTATATATTATTATGTATTTTATTGCTCAATTATTTAGTCAATCAGAATGAATTCTCAAATTTGATCAGGACCAAAACTTATAAATAATAAAAATATCAAACATTAATTAATTATGGGTCACACTCAAGGAAAAGAAGTATGAATGAATTTGTAATTAAGTTATCTCCCTAAATGAGAGAGAGAGTCCTCAAATTATTCGCCAAATTCGATGTAGATGGTTCGAAATCTATTGAAAAAACAGAAACAATCAAATATTGGTAATATTTTATCAAATTTACACCTTCAGGAAAAGCAATTTCGCAAAACTCAATACTGAAGAGTTGTTCAAATCTGTTGATACTGATAATAGTGGTACGATCTCCGAGGAAGAGTGGTTAAATTTTTGGACCTCAGTTTTAAGGAGTGGACATACTGAAGAAGAAATATCAGATGAAGTATTTGATTAGTATAAAGATTAGTTAGAATCAATAGAAACTGGATCATCTTGGTGCAAATTTGAGAATCTGGATAAAAAAGGCTGATCATAACAATATTTAATAATATATTCAAAGAATTGTTAATTCATTAATAATTCAATCGCTTTATGCTTTTGTGTATGAAATCTTTCAATTTATTGTTGAACTATGCGTTTTTATTGATTCTTTCCTCCTCAGGTGATTGTCTACTTATTCTTTGAGTCCTTATGCTGCATCTTTGTTTCATTTTCCTTGTCTTTTACTGTTCATTTTCTTTTAAGCTTGAAAGCACAGCCCCATTTACCCTTTTCTATTTATACCCTTATATATATTAGCTGTTGTTGTAATCAATCTAATAGGAAGATCTAATAGCCATCAATTGATAAATTACTTACTTTATTTATTTCTTCCGAGGATTCAGTTATAGTCACATTCCCAGTATAAGCTCTGGTTAGTTCTTTTAGTAATTTCGATCTTTTCTCGTAATTTTATGGTGAATACAAAGGAGTTGCATTCTTAATTCTTTTTGGTTAAATTTCATAGTATTCTTGTCTTGCTAATGGCAAAGAATCATCGAATGCACACAAATCGGAAATCAAGGTTTTTTGGGGTTTTTTTAATTATAAAATATACTCTGCCATCTCATAGTACATTATGTTATTTTTGGAGTCCTTTATTTGATGTTGCGGTACTCTATTCTTATAGTTTTGTTCCGATGACAAAGATCTCAATTTTGTGATTGTTTCATCTAAACTCAAATCATTGAATGAATATTTTATATCCAGATCACTATAAAATTATTTTAATTATTCCAATTTTTTTGACTCTTCTTTATTTTATACTTATATTTACCATTTAGTATCATCAGAATACTCTTATTGCATAGACTCCTCATAATTTAGTCTTCCTACCATCTGCCATCCATTTAATTACTTAAATTTATTTATTTTTGTTTTAAAAATCTTTAAACCTGGAGGACCATGTTTAATTTGTGTTGAATCAATTTTACAATGATGAGCAGTACAAAATTGGAGTGCTTTGCTCCTTTTCATTCCTGCTTCCCTTAATAGATCGTAATTTATGGCATCAGAAATACAATAGTCATTAACTCTTTCAGATGGAAGAAACCTTATGCACTCCTTATAATAACCAATCTCATCGTTTAAGTGCTTAGTATTTGAAAGTCCAACTTTTTTGTAGTTTTTCATTTTATTAATTTAATTAATTAAATGAATTAACCTATATCATAAATTTTGGCTTAAGCAAAATTGAAATGTTGGGATTAACAATTGCAGACTCTTAGAAATTTAGAGATATATTCAACTTTTATTTGTCAACTAAATTATACAAACAGTGAGATAAATGATTTCACTTGACTTTTATTTGACCAACGATATACCTAACTAGAAAATATTTGGATATCAAATCATTAATACTTTAACTAAAACATGAAAAGTGTTTGTTGTGAAACTTTGAGAAATTTACTAATGATTTGAAAATTTTATTAATATTGCGACATATAAGCTTCTAATTTAATGTAAGTATAGATTATTCTCAAGTTAAAAGTAATTTTGATATTATAAAGAATAGATTATGTTAATGCTTTTTAAAATAAATATAATATGAGGAGTTTCTAAAGTATTTCCATTATAGATGAATTATTAATTAGCTAAAAATCATAAAATGTAACATGAAATTATAGTATTTTACTTTTGCTTATCATTAACTTCATTTATTAATGTGGGATATAAAATGGTAGCTTCCCAAAGAGTGAGGTTATCTGACACTATTTGATAACAGAAAACTTAAACATTAAATAATAATATGTTATTCTAGTTCCTGAAATTATAGGAGAAATTGCATTTTAGATAACTAATTTTATAACTTGGATGTTTAGAGAAAGCTGTAGATAGAGATAGAATTAAAAATTTGGATATTTTTTTTGCTTAAATTAAACAATTATAAACTTTTAAATTCTTTTGTTAACTTTATTTAATTGGCATGAATCACATATTAAATAGAAATAAAAGACTTCTTGTTTTTCTATTTGCTAGTTTATCCACCAAGTATTAATTAGTTAAATAATATTAATTATCAGTTTTTGATAACTAAATAGGCAAGTTAAGGAAATTTCCATAAGTAGTCTAGGGATATTGTAGCCTTATATAATAACAAGATAGGAATTCCATTCATCTATTTTTTTAAAAAAAAAAATGCTACTTAGTATTATTCTCAATTTACTTCAATTTTGATGAATAAAACTTGATCTGAACAAACGATTTAAAATTAAAATTTATTGGCAAAATAACAATAATAGCAATAAAGTCAATGAAGGACAATTTTTAAAAGATAATTTAATTTAGATATTTTTATTTTTAAATATTGATAATAAATAATTAGCATTTGATGATAGTATTTTGCTTTAAACCAATACAAAATTCTCTTTTATTCATATTAAAATATATTTGATTGACCTAATAGAATAAAGTTTAAGAAAAATCAAAAGAGAAGTATGAGAAAGCTTTATAATATTTTCTTAAATTTTCAAACCTCATATCAATTTAAATATATTTTTATCTTTTTAGCTGAAAATTTGTCAAAAAAAAAGAAATTAGATTATTTTAACTCAAGATTGGATTAAAAGCAAGCATAAAAAGATAAGATTGATTTTCTATGAATATGAAGAATCAATCTCTACCAAATAATAAATACATAACCTGCTTTTGTTTATTAATTATCTCATTAATTGCACTAGGGATCATAATAATTTGGTATAATTATTTACCCCTTAGAATTTTGATATAATTAGATAAACTATTTATCTAAAAACATTTGAGAATTATTTTTATATTGCAATTTGGATTTTAAATATTACTCCTAGATATATTATAATGTTAATTTTAATAATGATTACAATCATTTTGTATATTATGATTATCCTACAAGTGGTTCTGCTGTTTCAGATTAGGAATACTATTAGGGTGGTTCTTAATTTTATGGAATATCATCAACAGATTATTCTGTTTATTATTATGTTTATTATTATTATTAGGCTTCCTCTTCTTATTTCAATTACTCCTTTTCAGTTTCTAATTCAACCTCTTATTTATCTTCTACTTATTATACAATTTCTGCAACAGTTTCTACAACTTCCTCCATTTCCTTTTGTTATAATTCCTCATTTTGTACATCTGCCTCTGATTGTTATTCTACTTATTCCTAAGTTTAATCTGCTTATTATGTTTAATTTTCTTAATTTTATTCAGTAGATGTAGTTTCTTATGCTTATTCCTATTAATTTTCTGATTGATTATTCTATTCTGGGGATTATTATACTTCTACATTTTATTAGGTTGGTTCTTATGCTGATTGTTATTCATTATCGGTTGATTATTACTCTTAAGCTTAAGCCTCTTACTATTAATCAACTTATTGTTCTGTTTATGATTGATCAACTTATTATTCAGTTTAGGTTTAATCAACTTATTATTCTGTTTATGTTTAATCTACTGATGATTCTGTTTAGGTTTAATCAACTTATGATTCTGCTTATGTTTAATCTACTTATTATTCTGCTTATGTTTAATCCACTTATTATTCTGCTTATGATTGATCAACTTACTATTCTGCTTATGCTTAATCAGCTTATTATTCAGCATTAACATCTGCTGATTCTTAAACTTATTAATCAACCTATTCTGATACATTTTCTTATTGTTCAACCTATTGACTTGCTGTTTCTTAGTTTTCTACCTCCTCTTATTGAATCAATTAAGTTATTACTTAAATAGTTTGAAAATAATGATACCTGTATTTTCTCCAATCCAATTTGACATTGACTTTGCGATGAAAAAATCTAATTGAGTATCAGCCATAACAATAGGTGAATTTAAACACTTGTCACTGGTTAAAAAAGTAACTTAGGAATTACTATTCACATCAATAGTTGAAAATTGTTATCTATTAATACATATTTAGTATACAATTCAGGAACATAGATTGAATACACAGGAAGGGAAAAACTCATCACTTCTTCTACTCCTTTGCAAACTTGTTTTGAGGTCCCTTTGAATTGGCATTCAGCGTATAAAATTACACAGTCTCCTTATGGTAAGAGATCCTTTTCATAGGCTAATAAAATTTGTTATTGTTCAGTGCTTTGTAATGGGGATATCTATTCTGATTAGTAGTCGAAGGGTTCATTTTTATTCATCCCCTACTCTGTATTTTGAGCCAATTAATCTTCTGTGAACAGCGATGTAGGTTGATCATATGAAATTTAAACTTCTGCTTCCTATCCAAAAACTGTGGTTTCATCTAAGAATTTTGTTGCACTTGCAATAGCTATAATTAAGCAGATATGAACAAATCTCATAAATCAAAAACGAATTAAATTAATAAGACAAAGCTTTGTTAATTAATCAGATATTTGTTTGAAGGCAAATACAATTATGAATAAACATAAATTGGAAATTTTCAGTAGTGTCTCCTTGAATAGGGATTATATACAATTCTAAGGAGGTTACTTCATTCTCGACTGTCTGCACATAAAGGATGATTATTTCTTATTATGATACTAATTCTCAGATTAATATATATTTTTTCATTGAATTTTATTATTGCTTTTCATAAGATGTTTAAAAGCATAAGATATCATTTATTTTTAATAATTATAGAAATAAGCATATCATTTTGATAAGAACATCTTATGCGTGTAACTTAAATAGAATCAGATTCATATTTACTTAATTACAGGGTAGTATTCCATTGGTTATGAAACTCTGAACTTGATGAATTTAAATTTGATTATAAATTCCAGCAATAATCAGAAAGATTTTATAAATTTAAAAAAAGGGAATATATAGGGAAAATACTAAACATACAAGTTGGTTTAGTTATATGGTAATTCTATATTTAAGTAAAAAAAAAGTGAGAAAGGAGAATATTATTTGGAAATAGTTTATCATTTAATGTCGTTAACTTAAAATTGATTCTTTGATAATATAAGTATTTAAATCGAAATTGATTGTTTTAGTAATAATTTAAACGCGAAATGTAAAATTGTATATCAATGAACTAATCTAACTCATCAACCCCAATTAATACGGTCACAGTATATCAATATGGTCAGAATCCTATGTAAGTCAGTTTGGCATAAGCGAATTCACTTGATAGTCTAATTAAGTTAGTTAGTAGGAAGCTGTCTTTTAAGAAAATTAGACTTTTTGACCATAAATGCTAAGAATTGTTCGATGAAGATCTTAAATACCTCAAGAATGGGAACAAAATCTATATAACAACCAATGGTAAGTGTTTGGATGGTCGATTTGTCTTGTTTGAATATAATCCTATATCAGTCCTGTGCAAAGGTGGTTAGGCGACGGTAATGTTGATTTCCCATAAAACTACTTGTGAGGAGCGAGCTCTCAAGTTTATAAGTGAAGGCTAGGAGAATTAATACTTGTATATTGCTCGGGAGGCAGTGATATTGGAATAATTAAAACATCGAAATATAGTCAAACTCCATAAATATAAGTTGTTCCCAGAGAGGTCAGAGGCAGTGTTGGAATTGGAATACTTGAAAGGAGGGTCCTTGTTGGATTATGTGTTAGGTAGAATTTGTGTTTAATCTTAGATCATGGTGCTTTAGACGAACCAACTGCTCGCATTTTTTTTAATCAGATTTTGGATGGCATCTCTTACTGTCACAAAAACAATGTAATTCATAGAGATTTGAAGTTGGACAACATACTTCTTTGTGACAATACCGATTTGCGAGTATTTAATATAAATAAATATTATAGATTAAAATTATAGACTTTGGTTTGGCTTATTTGTCTGGCACAGGTATTCCATTTGATGAACCTTTAAATGTTGGGACAGTTCTTTACGCCTCCCCTGAAATCGTCTTTGGGAAATTGAAGACTGTCAATTTTTCAGTTGATATCTGGGCCTTGGGAGTCATTCTATATTATTTAGTGTTCGCCGAATATCCTTTCAAAGGTGAGGAGAATACAGACATACTGCTGAATATCAGTGAGGGGAATTACAATATTCCCAAATAGGTGAGTTGGGAATTAGTCAGCTTATTAACTGATTTGTTCAATCCTGATCATGAGTGTAGAATAACTTTGAAGGAAATAAAGTAACACAAGTGGGTTAGAGGGTAGATCCAAAGTAATCACCAATTGAGTATTCCACTTTCAGAAATGCCTACCACTTCAAAGGGATTATAGACTTTTGAAAATTCTATCAGAAAAACAAAAGAGGATATCCTACATCAAATTGAAAAATAACAACTCAGTAGCATCCATTCAGAGAAACTCTATAAAAGGTTAACACCCAAATCATGTATGTAGAATTTACTCAAGTGAATTACTTTTGGAAATATTGATAATATTTATGTTATTTATAAAGAGTGAATTGTATTTCTGTGAGTTGTATTTAAAAGTATTTTAAATCTTCTAAATTTGGAAGCATCGGAAGATAGTTCATAGATCTATTTAATTAATTAAATATAAATTAAATTTATTTAATCTCCATATTTATTTATTAACAATTGTTGTAAATAAAAGTGAAATTTGAAAAGCTTGTTCTGTCTTATTCATAATTAGATTTAGACTTAGTTACAATAGTAAATTTGTAATAATTAGAATTAAAGTGGATTAGTATAAATTATATTATATTATAAGTTAATTTTGAAATGGCAAGTCGTTTTATTCAAAATTCATTTCATCAACAAGAATCTTAAAGGCCAAGTAGAGCCTTATCAGAACATTAAAAAAGTAGAAGTGAAAAAGGTGGTCAAAAAGTACATCATAAGAGTCATGCATCTCATCACTATAATCCTTTGGTTATACCTTGTGATTGGGTCTTGGCTGAGAATCATGCTAAAGCAAGAAGGGTGGCAAGAGAATTGGAAGTTGAGAATTAATCAACATGCCCTTGTTGTGGGTATTCAATAGAGAGAACTGATTTAGAATATGATTGCGATCCATTAGAGATGAAATTCTTGGGATCTGGATTTCCATTGTTTTATATGTTTATAAAATACTGTATATTCATCTTAGTAGAATTTTGGTTATTGAAAGGGATGTTTTGTTTGGCTACAGATTTGATGGGCGATTATTGTTATAATTAAGATAAGATTAAAATATAAGAGCAAGCACACCACTCTATTCATGATCATTTGAACTAGTAGCATCACCATAAGCATAAATCCGATAATTCAATATGTGGTGGGTCTTTGTGGCATTTTGTGAGTTTGGCTAATGTATATGATAGAGAGGATATTAGAAATTTGTAATCAAACTTATCCCTTGTTGTTGTGTTTGCCAATATGGTTTCATTTCTGTTCTTCAGGAAGGCCCAAAGAAGCATAGACATAGAAGTAGATGAATCATAATTAACTCCATCAGATTATACTATTTGTGTTAAGAATATTCCAAAGTTAAATGAGGATTACAAGGAAGTGTTGAAGAATATCTTTTAGAATTATGCAGCTGATGGAAGGGAGTTATCAGTTACTAAGATTGTGTTGGTGTATAATTTGGATGAAGTAATTGAATTGGAGGAAGCATTGAAGGAGATGATAAGAGAGAAATAGGAGTATCTATTGGAGAATGGCATGAATTTTACAGATTTCAAAGTTAAATAGTTGGATGAGAAATTAGAGTCTTTGGAATAAAAGATTCATCAAAAAGAACATGAGCTTTTTATAAACAAAGAAAAATTCGCAGGAATAGCATTTATAAGTTTTTTGACTGAGGAAATGAAGTAGTTGGTGTTGTAACACAATCCTCACACTTCATGGGAGAGAATTAAGGCATTCTTTAATAATGGATTGACAGGAGATGTAAAAGAAAAGGGTTTGATTTTTGAGGGACACAAATTGTATGTAGAGGAAGCACCAGAGCCTAATGATGTTGATTGGGAGTTCATCCATATCTAAACAGGATAAAAGGTGAAAGCACGTGTAATTGCATGGTCTATATCTATAAGTTTTATGGCTGGTTGTTTCTTTTTAATTTGGTTTTTGAGTGAGTTGGCAGAGAGAATGAATGAGTAAGTGGAAGAATAGGAGAAAAAGGGGATTAAGGACTCTTTAACTTAGACTATAGCCTTTTTAACTAGTTAGTCAATTTCTTGGACTGTTGTATTTTTTAATAAGTTTGTTATTGGAAAGGTGTATCATTTAATAGTTGATTTGGAGAAAATATCCAATAAGACTAAATTCAATATCAGTTTTGCTAGAAAACAGTCAGTTGCTTTGTTTATTAATACTGCTTTAATATCATTGGTGATAGATTTCTATTTGACTGGGAACGTAATTGGGAAAGGTGGCTTCATTTATAATGAATCTAATGTATTCTTGCTTAATGCATTTATTCCACCTATTGTTTGGTTTGTGGACCCTTGGAGTATCTAGAAGGATTATCAAAGATAGAAATAATAGAAGAATGTAAAGAATTGTGTGTTGACTTAACAAGAGGCAAATGAAATTATGGAAATGCCTGATTATTCTTAGGCCAAAAGATATGGTGACATAATGAAGACAATGTGGTTCACATTTTTTTATGGAGATATCATACCTTTAGGCATATTGTTCAGTATTATGGGTTTAACATTGTACTATTTTGTTGATAAATATAATGTACTAAGGAGGAGAACAATCAAAGAATCGTTATCAAAGCATTTGAGTATTGAGATGATAGAGATGTTGGAGTTGATCATAATATTTACAGGGATTGGCAACACTGTAGTATCGAGTATATTGTTTGGGGAAGTCAAATGGTAAGACTTTATTATAATCATAATTGGAGTAGTGTACATTTTACTGCCTATGGAAGACATTTCTAGTGTTTTATTTCCACTTGAATAGAAGGATGAAGTCTAAACTTATTATGAGGCTGAAGAATACTTTAATACTGATTATGATAGGGAGAATCCAGTAACGAGAAGAGAGATATTACATGAGATTGCAAAGAAAAAATGAATTTTATTTTATTTATTAATGATTGTAATTAAGACAGAAGAACTTAATTATCTAATATATACCTACTTTTTGGAATAAGGTTACTCACACAGTGCTTTTGCTTTGATTAACGAAGTGAAAATAGATTAACTACTTTATCGTGATGATGTTAAGCCGGGTCAACTAATTAATTTATTGGAGAAGGCTTTGTTATTTTAGCAATTGCAGGACCATATTTAGATCAATTAATATTATGAATGCAAAGTGCCCTAATTACTAATACAAAAGCATGTTTGTTAATTCACAGAGAAAAAGCAATTGGCTGAGAAGTAGGAGAGACGAGATCGTGAAATAATGATTCAGAATGCATTGATGAGGAGTCAGGAATTTGTGTCTCGCAATGGACAAACAATGGATTTGAATGTTGAATTATAATAGGATATAATACAATTACAGGACGAGATCTTATTGAGTGATTGGAATGCACAAAAAAACATTTTGGCAATATATCAACTCAATTGCATTAAATTGATTCAAAACAATCAAATACTACAAATAATGCCAACAGTTGTAGGCGAATGCTTTTCCAGAGTCAAATTAATGAAGTTCGATAGATCGAGCGGCAACAATATGTTAATAGTATATGAAAATGGCGCTGCGAAAGTGATAGATACTACAATTCAAATCATTAAAATGTTCAACATCAAAAATGCAAGCAAATTAATGGACTTTCATTGGAATCTTAATTGGCCTAACGTGGTTGCTCTCATTTTTGAAAAGGATGTCGAAGTATATATATAAATAGATATCATTAGATAGTGGACATATATAAATGCCAAACTTTGAAGTACTTAGAAAATGTGATTCATTTTGAGTGGAGACATTTTGATCACTTCATCGTGATGGATCTTAATTATTACATAAATTTAATGCAGATTGATATTGACAAACCACAATTATAATTAAAAGCCGAATTAGAAACCACCTTGATTGAATTCAACAAAAGGAAAACCTTATTAGCCTCCTTCTCAAGCACCTTAAATATCATAAAGATATGGACCTTGTAAAATGATGAGTATGTGTTCGAAATTACAGATGATCAGAAAATTCTACAATTTTGTTGGTGTTCTTCCTAAAATGCCAATTATTTGATCACACTAACATCTTAGACTCTTAATATATGGGATGTCGAATTTGGATAGATCAAATCTACTTATGAGATAGACTTCAATGTTGCTAAGATGGTTTCTATGGATCTCTTGAATGACACTCCGTAAGTGGTGTTGGTTGGCGAAAAGGTTGTGCTGTACGATTTGATAAACAAGAAGAGAAGAGTGTTCAATTGTGATACTCCTAATAAAGTGCTGCGCATCAATGATGAGGAGATTCTGTTCATATTTAGGAGTAGTTACATTGTTTACAAAAAAAATTGATATATTACATAAATATATATAAATTATTATGTTCCAAAGTCAATTGGAGTAGACAGGAAGGATATCACAAATACAATAGAATGTGGTGGGGGAAGTATGTAATTTTGAAAATCAATTCAATTCAAGAGTGGTTTACTCAAGAAAATTATACTAATACCTCTTAATCCAAATGATCGTTATATGTACACTATTTGAATTAAAGTGATAGCATTATTCATATATTGGGTATATGCTTCCCCTTCTCTAGATTCCTATTTAGAGGGTAAGCCATGGCTATTTTGGCTCTGTCTCTTCATTTCAATAGGCACAACCACAATGGCATTGATATTCAGAAAGGATGTAGCAGCATTCCCATGGAATTGGGTTGTGTTTGTCACCTTCACACTCTCTATTTCAGTTGTTTGCGGTACCTTAGTGGCTTTGGGAGACTCAGTTATCGGTCTTTTAGTTTTCAGCAGTCTTGCAAGTATTCATTCAGAATTACTATATAGGCATGGTGTTTTTCTTGTTTATGTATTCATTGACAGTCAAGAGAAGACTCACCTATTAGGGATCTATACTATTTATATCAGCTAGCATCCTCCTCATTTTTGAAATCTTCACAATCTTTACTGAAGTTTCCCTCTTTTGGTTGTCTAGTGTTTCACTCTTTGCTTTCCTTTTGGCATTCCTCCTGATTTATGACACTTACACTAATGTTAAGTAAAAATATCATATGATTATTTAGTTCAGGAGATCAATACGATGTCAATTAAGCAGATGAAGTGTCAGGAAGTGTAATTATCTATTGGGATGTGATCTTGCTTTTCTTGAAGATGAATGAACTTATTAAAGATTACTTAGTGAGGGAACGCAATTGAATAATATTATTAATGAAGATTATTTTATTATTGCTACCATATCTTGCATTGAGCACAATACATCCTGAAGGTAACATGGACTTTGTTAAGTACTGCAAATACTTCAATTATCCTGTGGAAGAACATGTTATCTAAACAGAAGATGGTTATCTTCTAACATACTTTAGAGTATAAGCTAAAGGAACAAAAATGGTTTCTGGCAAAAAAGTTGTTCTTCTCCAACATGGACTCTTAGATAGTAGTGATACATTCATAATCAATGACGAAGACAAAGCACCTGCCTTCTTGATTGCTAATAAAGGTTATGATGTGTGGCTTGGTATTTTAGATATATTTAAATAGGCAACAACAGAGGAAATAAACATGGCAGAGCCCACGTTAAAAAGAATCCCTTCTTTTGGTCATTCTGGGATTTCACATTAGAAGATTTCGCTATCTATGATCTTCCTGCAGGATTTAAATACATTGTCAACAAGACTGGCCAAAAAATCCAATATATTGGACATTCTTAAGGAACAGCTTAAATGCACATTCATTTATCTCTCTTCAAATAAAGTGTTGTCAGAGACAATCTGATATAATTCATTGGAATGGGACCTGTAGCTTGGGTTACAACCAAATACTCTCCATTAGTTCGTCTGCTCGACACTAATTTCTTGGAAGTTTTGGCAACATTTGGATTACATGAGTTTATGCCTGGAGATTCATTCCTCACCTCAGAAGTGGGCAGAGTAGTTTGTGGAATCATGGAAAATCTTTGCGGAGATTTGATTGGGTCATTTGTTTCAGCAGACCCAGTTCTCGACAACTATGACAGATATGACGTATTAGCTGGACATTCTCCTGCTGGTACTAGTGTCAAGAATCTTAAACACTGGTAATAATTCACTAGAACTGGAGAATTCAAGAGATATGATTACGGAGACAAGGAGAACTTGAAGAAGTACGGAACCAAGAAAGCTCCCTTATATGACTTATCCAACATCGATGTTAAGTAATTCTGAAGTATTATAAATTAGGATATTCTATATTGCTGGATACGATGACTTGTTGGCTGCACCAAAAGATGTGAATCACTTGTTCTCAGCCTTGGTAAACGCACCAAATAAAGAACTTAAATTCTACGATGCTGGTCATTGTTCCTTCATGTGGGGAAGAAAGTTGCCATATCTTGAAGATTTATGGGCTCATCTAGAGTGATATATATACACACATATTATCATCATCAAAATAATAATATTTATTCTTAATTAAAATATACAACCTCTCTCATTGTAACAAATTATAAATATATGTCAAACTATTCAATTTCATTTTTACTATCTATTTTAAGCCTAATAGTTTATCTTCTCTTCATAAATTTAACATGTTTATCTAATCTAATTTAATCTAATTTTGTATAAGATAAACAAAATTAATTTAAAAATGATAATTAGAGAAAAAGTGATTATTATAATAACTTAAATTAGAATAAATTCCGAATAAAACTTGGATCTATTCTAAACTAATATATTTTAATTCCAAAGAAGAATGCCCCTAAAAAGATTTAACTAACTAAAAGGGAGCTTAACAATATTTACCTTCACATAAATAGTAATAAATAATGTTTGTCTGTGGAAAATAACTATATGAATCATTGCAAATAAATCTTAAGAAACAGAGCCATTCAATTGTCTGTCAGTCAATTATAATTTGTAAATAATTATGTTATAATTGATAATGTTGAATGTGAGGAATACAGAATAGAACTATAATTTAATAAATAACAATTTCAAGACATAAAATTACTACCAGAGTATCTCATCATTTAGCGCTATTGACTGGAAGAAACTTATTTGTTAACTACATTTTACTTAGTTTATTTTGCAAACCGGATGCCATAAGGGAAATGGAGTCGACTCGGCCTCGATCATTCTTCATCGTGGAATTCTTGACAACAAATCTAGTCACTGATTGAGATGATGACTTGTAAATATTTCGAGTTGGTGTAAAACTCTGGAACTCTTGCTGTTTCTTTAGCTTTCCCATCTGAATCAGCCACTAACGATACATCCAATCGTCAGTCTAAACCGATTTGTCAACCATTAGGGGTGTCTCTGGTTATTTTACTTAGTCTAATTATCGTACTCTCAATGGAGCTTGGATTCGATATAAAGGATTCTTCGGCTTTTGGCTACTCATAGGCGGTTTTTATTCTGAATTTTTGGAGGGGGACTCCTACAAGATCGATGCTTTTTGTGAAGCTATTGTTGATTTTAAATTACTATTCGGTTATTATGGTTTTTTTTTATTATTTGTTTCCTATTATTTTAAAAGGTTTTTTCTGTTTGATTGAATAGGTCTTGGGTTGGAACAATTAAACCAACTCATCATCTGATAATTCTGCCTCAGATTGACTTGAATCTGATCCTATATCTTAGTCATCAGTCTGAGGCATCTTGCCCAATTCTTCCAACATCTATTGCTAAATATCCGGTTAATTAGACTAATTAGTGAATTCCTTCGTAGTGTCCTTGACTATTTGAGACAAGGCATTGCATATACTGACTCCACAATTCAAGTAATCCTTTATCTAATAATGCTTCTTCTGTTGACCATAGAAACTACATTCATAAGTATAGACCCAGTTGATTTTGAGTTCTCTCCAAATTTGAATCCTGGCAGTTTTATCCTTTGCACTCTCAACCCTGAAAGTGCAAGAGGAATAATCCATGAATGGATTTACCTTGGACATCAAAAGTGCAAATACTCTTTCAATAGTCTTTACTTAGGATGAGTAAGCGCAACCATATACAAATGATGATTGTCTAAGATATAAATCCTCATTACTTTCTTGAATGACCATGCAAATCAACTACCAACAATATTTGCCTTTCCTTGCTAAATCCCTTTACATATTTCTTCGCATAATACACACTTGGATGTAAATATTTGTTGGGCTTCTTCCATCTTCTATTAAGATCACCTCCTTCAAGACCACACCTGTAATTTCCATTGACTACCCCATCAGTATTCATCATAGGGAAGATTTTAAAAATGCAATTCTATCTTAAATAGTCTGCTTATGGATTATTCGATGTCAGAAAGTCTATAATGCCTTGCATAACATAGGATGCTTGAGGCTCGCCAGGATGTTATCTGGCTAAAAACACTACTCCCTTTCTAAAAGCCCTCTTCTACAACGAATTAGAAGTGATAGTTAGGACTTCACATGTGTTTCCACCAAGAGTTGTACACAATACTTTTCGAGATAAGTATCTAAATAATTAAAATTTAAAATTACTAGTTTCGTTCTTGATCTTCCAATTGGGTATTCAGAAACTCCAATAGATTTGTATAAGTATAAGGGTAGGAGTGAGCAAAGTAAACCTTGTCTCCTTCATGTTTAAATGTGTAATGAAATCTTAATTGATAATATTTCTTCTTTAAAGAGAGAGGATACTCTTTCATGAATACGCTTTTGAAATAGCTTATGTTAAATCCATCTCTACACCATTCAGTGCCTATTAATTGATTCTCTTTTACGGAATAGACAGCTGGTTGTAGGCCTTCATTGAAAAGACTCCCAGTTTTGAGCTAAAATTAATTACTGGTCCAAATACATGATTGAGGATGTTAAACTAAATGGTTTAACCTGCTTTGGCTCCAGTTACGCTAAAAAAAAACCATTATGTGTTGCCTCTGGTGTTGATGTCATTTTGAATTATGAGATCATAAACATTTTATGCTTTTTTGAATGCGCAGAAAAGATTGCCTGATTCAAAATTGGAATCAAATTATATTTAATCAGAAGGACAAGGTGTTAATTTTTAATCAAAAAGTGCTTCTCCTCTGAAAAAGACTCTTGGTTATGTTCTTCATTTAGAATTGTCCATACCTCTTAAAATTGGCTATGAGACTAGCAAAATATGTTCGGTCATTTGAAGTCCTTTTGCCTAAATCCAACTGGTCGAATCGTTTGTATACTAAGTTCTGTTTATTTTCTTCGTAATAATCTAGGAGTGTCCTATTCTCATCAGTCACCTAAATGTCAGGAATCGAACATTCTCGTTACAGGGACTCCTCAAAAAAGGTTGTATAGGTTTTGCAAAATTGAGGGAGCGGTCTTATAAGATCTACAATTAAATTACTTGAGAGGATATAAGGATTTAACATCTATGTCAATTGTCAATTTACGAGGCAATAGTTCATTCGGGGGTGCCAGTTTGGTGAGTGTCTCGTACACTTAAAGATCATCCTCACTCGAACTGTCATTGTTTTAATTATTGTTGGAATTCATTAATTTATATTATTTATAGTTAATAGCACTAAATTAGGAAATCCATCTCATCTCTATTCGATTTAACATAAGAATTATTATTAATTAATGAATAATAATTAATTCCATACCAGATAGTGGGAACAACAATACGCCAAACATAAAAAGTCAGTCGAATAAATTGAGCAGAGAAACAACAAATTCCCTGATCAGGTCGAAGAAATTCTATAAAGATGTAACATATATCTTCCTAATCAAGAAAAGGACGCAAATAAAAAAGTTCAAAATAGTTAGAATTTCAAATAAAAGGAGGTCCTTTCAAGAATTACAGCCTCCAACCTTATTCTCTCAAAGAAGTTGTAACAAATTGAAAATAGAAAGCAAATCAAGTTTATGTAAAATCAGTTATTATTAATTTAAGTGATGCTCCAATTCGTCTGTCCACTAAGTCTATCAGAGATGAAAACCATAACAAAATCAAAGTAGAAAATCATAAGCAATTTGAAAGAATTACTCAAGTTAAAGGAACACTATAAAGTTGATGACTATTATAATAATAATTTTATTGCTATATTTTATAATATTATTTGGGAGTTTTATAAATTTAATAATGCTGAGAACAAAGTATAAGTAGTCATTGAATCTTCCATTTTATATTAGTTTAAATTAAAGAGTATTTGAGAGTATCTTGTCTTCGAATCTAATTTTGTAGAATTTATGGAGAATCTAATTATTGACATGAGTTAATTATTGAAAACTTACTTTAATTCTACTTAGGCTATTCTAAGTCTCTTGTTGATATCCGATTATTAATTAGTTTGTTAATATCTTTAGTTCTTCTCATTTCGTTAATTTATTTCACCTAAAATGATCTTTGACTTTGACTGTGAGGAGAAGTAATTATAGACTTTTAAATAAATTTCTTGCTTGTTTAGAATTCAGTGGATCCATATTTTTGGAATTATCGTTGTCTTTTGATTTGAAACTCTTTGATCTTTCTCTGTTTTTTAAGAATCGATAATTCTTTATGTTTTATTTGGAATGTATTAAGTTATCCACATTCGCTGCATTCACAGCTTTTTCTTTTTATTTTTTTGCTCTTTTCTGTTCCTAAATATTCAAATCTTTGTGCTCCTTATGTTTATATATTCATAATTGAAAATGACCTAAAGGTTTATCTAATTCGTCTTCCATTTTCACTTTCAATTTGACTAAATTCACTAGGAATTTCAGTCTTAATCTCATCGCCGAAGCTCTATTTTCTTTTGATCCTCTGCTATTTACTAAATTATATTTCTTTTAGAGTTGGTAAATTAGAATATTGCAATTGAAAATGACCCTGATTTCCGCATTATTTACAATAACATGATTTTCTTCTAAATGGGTGCTCAAATTGGGTTGACGTTTTAGGATTTTCAAAGGATTTGTTATGATCTATAATCAATGAGAGTGTAGATGTCACTTACATTTATGATATACAGAATTAAATAATATTTTTGACTGATTTATAATGATGTTGAATATGGTATTATTCTAATATATTCTGAGTGAAATTTGAGAGTATAGATTTAATGATTATAATAATGAAAATTTATAGAATTTATAAATATCTTTGTGTGCAAATTTAAATGGTTTAAGTTAACTTAATATTATTATAAAGTAGAAAAGGCGATTAAAATTAATATTTAGTAAGTATATATGAAAAGATATCTAATCAAAATTTCTTTTTTCGTAAGAGTTCTTAAATTAAATAAAGGAAAGATAAAACGAACATAACTATTTAGATAATAAGGTAGGATTCAGGAATATATGTAAACTAGGATATTAATCTAACTGCTAAGATCATTAAATTAATACTCAATTAAAAGGATTTATTGCTAGTGATTGTATGTGTTGAGTTTGATATCAATTCTTAATATATTGTAAATTGTTCAATTGCATTGCCATCTAAATAAAGTTGAACATTCTATATAGAGTAAGACTGAGCAGAGATAATCTCGAAAGTGATTGGAGCATTCAGGTTTTTGGTGACGACAAATGTTACTCCCTTTTATGGTAAAACAATGAGTTCCAGCAGATTTGGTTCTAAGATGATGGGTGGAATTAAAAGCAACAGGAAAACAAAGCCTGAATTTGAATTGAAAGCATACTCACTAAGGCGAAACCATAGATTCTTTTATTGGACCCCTTAAGATATTCGTCAATACTATTTGCCAAGGGATCTTCGATAGTGTCCCTATCCTAAAAAAAGTACTTTTCTTTAACGAAATTTGATTCAGACTGTCGCTTCATCTACTTAATTAATTAAAATATCTGATTATTATAAACAATAATGGAAAAGTTAAAAAAGAATAACGAATATTCTCTTTGAAGAACTAAAAATTATGTATCAATATGGAGTAATAATACATTTGGGTATCAACAATAACAAGTTGAAGAATGATACCAAGAAGAGACTTTCAAATTCTTAAATTGAATAACATATTATTAATTATTTTAATAACACTAATAATTAGGAATATATAGATAATAGTGCAATGCCAGATCAGATTAAGGATTGGAAAATTGACATAATTCGATCACTCACAGCCTTGGCATTAAGACCCATATCATAGGATAATTCTTTAATAATAGGGCTGTTTTCTTGTAATTACATCCTAATTGATGAATGGTTAAATGATTTACTTATTGACAGTAGGTCGTTCTGAATTTTGTAAGACAAGGTATAGTGCATCACAGAGTCTTTCCAATTTCTAAGCTCCTTGGCCTTAAAACTCTTCTGGCAGAAATGCATTCCAAGCATTGGAGATGTTAAGCAGTTCTTTTAGTTGTACATTGGGTCCTATCAGAATAAAATGAGAGCCTATACCTTTGGGATCTCTACCACTTACTAGCCATGGGTGTTGCAATAATTATTCAGTGTATTGTCTCTGTCTTGGATCTATTTTAAGGGTTGAACATAAAAATTGAATAAATTCTGGACTGAATTTATCAGATGGAAGTAATTCTAGAATTGTAATTTTGGTAGGTTCAGATACTATCTTTTGATTCTATTCAACTAATGAAATGACTTTCGATTCACTATGGAGTAAGCAACAAGTATCTTTGAGGTGATCGGTATATTTTGCAATTTCTTCAATGATGATTCTCGATCCTTCATAGATTTGTTAGGCTTTGGGATGGAATTCAAGTGTTCCGATAGCACAATTCAATACTAGCCAGCCTAATTTCCAAATGTCATTGGCTCTCTCAAGAATGAAATCTTCTTGTGCAGGGAAATGGACTTTCTCGCTTGATGCTTTGCTCCAGAGGGAAGGGGTTTCTAGAATTGTTGGATCATAAAGACTACTCATAAGGGTGAATAAAGCACCTTTGAACATCTTTAGGTTTCCCAAGGATGTAAGAATTAAAGAGCTGATTTCCTTGGACTTAAACTCTGTATTGCAAGCCTTGACCTAATTTAACAGTGCCATCTCTAAGGAAGAGTATTTGTGATGGTCCAAGAGCCCCATGACATTAGGCTCCTTGCTAATGAATTTTTTGTAATCCTTAGAGGATAGGTGGTACAAGCTACTTGATACTTCTCTCTGGAAGGAAGCCCATGCTTTCAAGAAGATTCTAGGAATGAGATTTTAATATTTACTTATAATGAACCACCATTCATATATTCCATTACAATGGATACGTAACCTTCAGGTGTGTTCCAAAAGGTAGCGTAGACTTGAACATGCAAATTTGAATTGGCAAATTTGTTCTACCAAAAGGAGATCCAGTCTTTTAAGTTTTTACGAATTTCCTTGTTGTGCAAAGGTTCCTAGGTGTAAGAGTAGATAATTACTTCTTTAACAACATAAAGTTTCATGGTTGGAGCATGTAGCATTTTTTTGACAGGACTCTGATCACCATAGGCTATTAATTTAGAATCGATATTAACATCGTAGAGTGCCCGTGGTAATCATGTCTTCTATGCGCATCTGACCTTGGACGAGAGTACTAATGCTGAGGCCTAATTCCTCATGAATTTTCTTTTGGTCTTTCATGAACTAACGAAAAGGTGCTAATGGATTCTTGGATTGCTAGTTGTGTTCGCGCTAGGGTTTGATTTATAATTAATGCCTTCAAGGGACTTAACATTTGGCTCACCTACTTGTACTCTTGTATTGCCTCTATGTTCTGCAGATTCTGTTGTACCTATTGTTTCTACTCCTTCTTCTACGCCAAAGGTTCTATCTATTTCTTTTGTGGTCTGAATTACACCATAGTAGATACTTTTTATTTGCAAATGCTGGAGGCAAACGACTAATATTGATTTTTGGTTATCCCCTCTTTTGGGTGGTCTATAATGATTGTTCGTCGATCACTTCAGCCTTCTTCGGCTCCTCATTCTTAATACTATTGAATGAGTGAGAACTCATTATTTTAGGTCCTTTCGAATCGTTCATTATATAATTATTTCAATAATTTAAAAATAAGTCATCTTCTAATTATTCAATGCATCTATCTACCATTTGTATTTTGTGTAATCTCTTGGGCTTGCTTTCCCATCTATCTACTTGCTTGACAATCTTTCTTCCCACTGGAACTACTACTCCATTGGTATAATCAGTGTTATCAAATACTCTTGATCCGATTGATCCAAAATAACTACCATTTCTTTGGACTGTTTACACCTACGTTTACTATTATAGTTTTTGTCTTTGTTTCTCCCATTACTCCAAAATCTCATAATCGTAAACTTTCTATAATTTTGGTTGTTCTGGTTACAAAGTGTTATCCGAAAAGAGTTATGTGACGCAGTAAGAGGCAGGAGTTATCATTTGTTGAACCCCAGGAGTTGCTTTTGGCCATTCAACTTCATAAACAAAATTCTTTACTTTGCCCTTCGGATCCTTTTTAGGAGCCTCATACTTTTGAGGTTCAGGATATTAAAATTCGAATGGATCCTTGACCCTCATTCTTGTAAGGTATGCCTCAACCTTATCCCTTGGTCTGGTCACATTAAACTAAGCCAATTATTTCTTTAGCAAAATCTACTCAGGAGTATCCTCAACCTTTTTTATTTCCTAAGGATATTCCACTGTGTGTAAGAATCCATAAACTTACATCCTTTTTTCAGATAACTAGTTTTTTATTTGCCTCTTTCTCTCCTCTTCCTCTTCCATTTGCTTTTACATCTCTTCCCGCTATTTCTTCATTAATCTTCTCGTAAATTCAGCATCATCATCCTCCTTCCTCCTCTCTCTCATATGAGACAATGCCAACCACAACAATTTACGTTTTGCTGTTGTGTAATCATTCCTGGTAAGTATTGTGTCTCCCATTAGATCCAAATTCATCACAAACACCTTGTATATTGCATACACTATCAAATCACCCTGGTCTCCTTGCTATTCGTAATCCAACATAAAATCATTGAAATTCTTGATCTAAATCCCAAATGTATCCAAAATGAATTGAGTAGCAAATGCAGATATAGCATTAAAACTAGTATTTTTGTCTGTTCTAAAATCAATAATCCATGGCTGTAATTCCAAAATTATCATGTTCCATTTATTTTTACATCTCATCAATATTACAATTGGAGCATTTTATTTATTACCATCGTACTTGAATTTAGCCAGAGGCACTTGAGTGATCAATTAACCATCATACAATATGACATTCCCAAAGGATGGCTTGAATTATTTGAATTATAATTTACATTGTAATCCTCACTCGTTATAATCAAAAAGTAAGGAGCTATCTTCTGAGTAATCTAATTATATTTAATTATGTAATTTAGATAGAGAATAACAAGTTCAATGCTCAACTCAAAATTGGGATCCACTATGAACTTGTCCAGATCCTGCTTACTGATTTTGGTATTGTAGGCTTCCACAACAATCCTATCTCCATCACAATCACTATAAATTTCTTAGTAGATTCGTAACATCTTAAGTAGAACCGACTATTTGTAATCATGAAATTCTAACACATCTTAATCTTTCATCATTAGTAAATATATTATATTTTCTATTTATCAATTTTTTTTGATCCTCTTCTTTACTTGGCTCTTTTGTCTCTAATTATTGCATTCACAACATTTGCATTGTGAAGTGCATTTCCTTCCTCTAATGAAACATTCACAATATCCCTTCTTGCAATGGGTCTTTTTACATTTACAACCCAAAACTTGTCTTGTGTCGAATGAATCCAAATCAGATTGCGATACCCTATATTCCTTCAATTTGACTTTCTATAATGCCTTCACCATTTCCACCTTGTGGTTCCCATCATTAAAACAACCTTTGCATTGACATTTCGAAGAACATGCTTTATTCTTATGAAAACACGAACAATAAAGCTAAAGACACTTAGTTTTGGAACAATGACATGGTTTCAAGTCAGAATCATTCGAAAACGAATCACCAACCTTTAATTAGTATTATTCTCATACTCCATAATCTACTCTCCTTTTGGTTCTTTGTCTTTACTCCTTGTCTTTTATCCCCCTTGCTTATTTTGGTTTATTTTCTTCCTCAATATGATTTTGTGATCGATCACTGAATCTAAGTTACTTTTAAGAACTCTAATATTCTGGCTTCCATTCGTCCTCATTCAAATGATGCTAGGAACTAGTTGTTAATTAGTCATATATTGATTACTCATGCAGATTTAGTCTTATGGGATCGTCAGTTTTGGCTTCTCTAATTTATATTTAGAGATTAGTATCCTCAAGAATTCGTATGTTTTCATTTAGTTAGAACTCATCATCGATCCTCTGCCAATGCTTTTCCCAAATATAGAAGGGAGATTAAAAAAAGCAAGCACTGTTATTTGAATTAGAATAACTCATTTAATAATTAATCATCATAATCATTATTTCTCTAATAACATATCAACAATTTCATCTAGTGGGAATCCCTTAAAGCATTCAACATATTCTCTGGCTACTTTCTCATCACATTACAACACTTAAATCAATCCTTTAACCTTCTCTTCAAATTCCTCTTGAATCTTGCAATCATTTTATTAAGAAATAGTTTCTTATTAAATTTCCTATTATATTTCTTATTAAATTTCCTATTATGGTTCCTATTATATTTCTTATTATGTTTCTTGGACATCATTTGTATTACACTCATATTATTTTTATTCTTCTTATTTTGAGTTCTTGTGTTTCTCCAATTCTGTCTTTATTACACTAAAGGTATCCTTTGCAATGGTACATACTGTTTGCTTAATTTCTTTGAAAGCAGGATCCTAAAAGAATTCTCTAATTTGTTTAAATGTTTCATGTCCAAATGGTCCATGATGACCATGTGGTCCATGTTGTCCATGAGGTCCATGAGGTCCGCCTCTATGAAATCCACATCCTCCATGACCCCAATGTCCGAATTTACCCCAATGTTCCTTTCTGAATTATTCTAATTCTTCTTGGGTACTTATCTTAAAGAACTTATGATTGTTGTGTAGGCCTTTGGCTTGGCAGACTTCACATAAGTCATAATTGTGACATTCGAGACATTTGAATCTTGATCCAACGATTGGGTATGTATAGCATCCATCGCAAGTATGTCTCTTATGAACCATCTTGCCTTGAGGGAATTCTTATGGTTTTTTGGAGGTTAACACAAAGACTTTGATAGTTGGCGTTCCTTCATCAATAAGGACTTATAGATCTTCTTGGCAACTCAGAGTGATTTGGTCATTTTCTGAATCGTTATAGGCAAGTGTGAAGTTGGAATCGATGTTGGGATATATCTTTTGGATGTGTTATCTGATTCCTTGGAGTGTTGGGTTTGATTGTTTGAAGAGATGGATTTCGTTATTATAAACTATCTTGACCTTCATATTAATTAATTTTATAATAACAACATCAGATTTATTATAAATCAAATAGCACCTCAGGATCTGATTGATACCGACATAGATTGAGAATGTTAGCAGAACGAAACTTTATATGGAATGATATCCTCCAAGGGGGTGCATCTTGGCTATAGAATAACTGATTAAATTTTCGCGGTTTTTTTTTATATTTTTTTTGTGCTTTTTGGTTTTGAGTTGGAAGGAGTTTGGTGAGAGGGAGGGGATTGGTGAATTGATTAATTTAAATGTGTGGTTGGGTGCAGTCATATCAAAAGCATCAATAGAAAATTATTAACATATATTAATTTAATAATGGATAAAAAGATAATAGCAGATGTATTCCAAAGGCATTTAGATTAATTGACCAGTCGTCTGAATGATGTATGTTTTGTTAAATTAGAAGATAGGACCTCCCAGCCCTTTGCATTCTTTCAGGGAAGGAGGATGGCTCGATCAAACCAAAAACTAAGGCTTTATTTGTGTGGTTATTTGGATACGATATGATTGAGACTGTGTTCATTGCGACAAGGAAACAAATTTTCTATTTGGCGAGCGACAAGAAGTGTAAATGTGTTGTCCTGACTTTTGAATAGTGTAGATGATGGAGGAGACTAAGCAACGATTGGGCGGGAGATATGAAGTCCACTTCTATAAGAAAGTTGCTGACAATCGTGACAGCTTCGAAAAAATTCGTTAGAAATTGGGGAATGGCAAGCTGGGAATGCCTACAACAGAGCAACAAGCAGGTAGTTTGGCCACGGAATGGTACGACTATAAAGGATGGTCTCAAATCGTGGATGCGAGTTAATTGATTAGTGATGTCCTCGCAGTAAAGGATGACTAAGAGTAAGCCTTCATCAATCAATCGTCGCAATTGACTACTCGTCTTTTCAAGAAGCTCATCAAATAGATAGAGGATTCAATTGATGTTGGAACTCGCATAACTCATTAGGATTTAGCAAAGAAAGTGGAGCAATCTTTGGACAATGATAAACAAAAAGTCATAAAAGACATCGGATTGTAAGATGGCTTGTATGATTTTGCCTACACTCCAATAATTCAGAGTGGTGGCAATTATCAGCAAGTTGATGGTCCAAACAAAGACTATCTATCATCAGATGTAATTATTATATCTCTTGGTACTTAAGTTAATGAATATAACACAAATTGCATACGAACATTATTTATTAATCCAACAGAAGTGCAAAAGAAATTGTATAACACAATTATAGAAGTGTAGAGCAAAATAATTGGGTTATTGACAGTGGGCACTCCTTTAAATTAAGTGTATAAGGAAGCTGTGCCTATCCTCTAGCAGAAGATCCAGGAAATAAACATTACTAATGTTTAGTTGCCATCTTCTTTTGGATATGGCATAGGACTTGAGTTAAAAGAACCTTTTCTTGCAATTTCTGAAAAGTCAACTCATCTTGTGGCCAAGAATGAAGTTTACTTTGTATAAGTAACATTGGAGAATCTGTCAAATGGATAGAAGGGTATAAGTTACACAATTTCTGTTGGTGATGTCATTGTTGTAACAAATGGTGCAGCCAATGTGACTACCAATTCAATCCCAAAGGCTTATAAATAAATATCATATCAGTTGCAGGAGGAGGATGAATAGCCTGCTCAGAAGCAATAGCCTAAGTAGACGGATGCTCCAAAGGAGGGGCGAACGAGAGCACCACGTAATTAATAGATTCAAATACAAAGAGAGAATGAGAAATAGAGACAGATTCATTAGGAGAAGTTGGCGAAGGACAAATAGAATGAGTTAGAGTAGAGGTTAGAGCAGGATTAATTTGTTTAGAATTCTCAGGAGACTAAAGCCTTGGAGTTGGATAAGTTATAGTGTTACTAGAAATCAGAGCAGTATCCGAAGGACTTGTAAAAGGGATAGATTTATATTGATAATTAGAAATGCGCAGTCTTGGTACCTTTGTTGGGTACTCATGTGCCATTTCATGTGTCTTGCATAAAAAATGTGAGTAAGATTGATGAAGGCAAGATGGGGTCGTCTATAAGAATCAATTTCTTTACTTCAGAGACAACTGCCGGGTAGATTCAATTCCCTCAGATTGATGGAGAGACAATCTTCATTAAGGAGTTGTAGTACAGATCGAAGAAGAGTGATCGTCCTTAGAATTTGATATTGTAGATAAAATAATTATAGAAAAAGGTGAAGGCGGAATAGTAAGTGGAAAGAGAGAAATAGCATGTTGGTGAGTTAGAACCTTTGATTGTTAGCAAGTCTGGTAGAAAACCCATTTTCAAGGATTTGAAAGTGAGACCTACCTTTGGTTCTGGTAAAGCTGCAGGTATTTTGGAGGTGAATTCCAATGGGTTTAGATATGTTCATTCAAATAAAGAATAATTGGATATTGTATTTAAGAATATTAAGCATTACATTTATTAAAGTCCAGAACAAGACATTATTGCTGCCCTACATTTCCATCTTCATTCTCCTATAGTTCTAGGTAAGAGAAAGACACATGATGTGTAATTCTATTGTGAGGTAGGAGGAGCAGTAGAACATTTGGAAGGAAGAAGGAAAAACAATAAAAACGATGATGACGAAATAGAAGAAGAGGAGAGATTGCGAGTGCATAGAAAGAAGATGGCAAGAGAATTCGAAGTGTTCATTAAAACAATTGAGGAAATGGGAGCAGATTATAAGATATAATTTGAAAAGCCATTTAGAGATCTGGGATTTGAAGGAAATTGGAATAGAGCAAGATTGTTTTTGTAGCCTACTCACAACACTCTAATGAATGTCGTTGAGAGTCCATTCTTTATCTTGACATTATCTGAAGTTGAAATCTGTTGTTTTGAACGTATAATCCCAGGCATTAAATCCTTTGATCTAGTATTTGTGTTCAAGAACTACGACAGATAAGTGTTGAGAATTGAGAGTATTGACATCAAAGATTTGGAAGGAGTTAAAAATTGGTTGGATAGGGTATTATTAAATATGTTATCATAGATGAATTTGTTATTTTTTGAAGTAGCGTAGAATCTAGTTTGGAAAAACGTACTTGCTCAAATCTAAAAAGACATCCCAGGATTCGTGTAAGATGGAGGTTGGACTAACATTTTGGCTGAGAGTGAGGAAGAGGAAGGAGATGAAGATGATCCAGAAGCTGGAGACAGTGAATTCTCACCTGAATAATCAGTACATCATAATATTAATCCAATAGGAAGAGGATGGAGATGATGACTCTGATTTCACTGAAGATGATGATGATGGTGATGATGAAGATGATGATGATGGTGGAAGTGATGATGATGATTTGTCTGATGTTTTAGATCTCAATAATATCAGTGAATAAGATGATGATGATGATGATGAATCCGATTCTGGTAATTTATTGTTTGCATTCTATAGATAAACCAAGACATAAAAACAAATCTAAACCTCAATCCAAGCCATAACCTAAACCATAACAAAAACCAACTTCTGTCAAACCCACTCAATAACAAAAAAGACCTCCACCTAGAAAATGAGTATTATTTTAAATTTTATTAATTATTTCAATTCTAATTTTGTTCAAGGAACCTAGATTTAAGTATCTAATTACGAAGTATTTCTTGAAAAATTGATTAAAATATAAAAAGGATAAGCACAACTAGGGGGAAACGAATCTATCCATAAACGGATAATAGACAATTGTCAAAAATATGCAAAGGTTGAATCTATTAGAAAATAAATGAAAAAAGATAAAATTATTTGTTCTTCGGTTAAAAAATAATTAATAGAGAATAAATGATTTTTTTTTATTCATAAAATAGATTTTTAATTCATTATTCATGCTCAGTATGATTAGACATTACGTGATTGTTTGTATGTCCATTTCTTCGTAACAATTCTTACTCATATTCTTATTATTCTTTTATTTATTGTAGTTATCTTTTCCTTTCTTCCTCAATCAAAGCTTACTTCGAAAGTATACCGAGGGTGGAGGTTGTCTATTCCAGGTTAATTCTATAAATACTAACTTTGGTTACTTCAAATTTATATTTTTAATAATCTTTAAGCCTATTTGATCTCCTATCAAGATATTAAGATTATTAAAGCTGCTCCACTTAAACAGGGACTGGAACCTATTCAATTTCAGCCTCCTTTTAAATCCTCATCACATTTAAGTTTTGCTTAACTTTCTACAAGTAAGATAGTTATATCTACTTTTAATGTGTCCTCTCGGATTTTTATTTCATTTTAATAGTTTTATTGCATTCTCCATAACCTTGCTTCTAAAGCATTAAGAGATGCCACTTTGTCTTGAAATTCTGATTCTTCCAAAATTGAAGTTTGATCTTACATCTATTATTCAATTGGCTTCTTTTGAAACTTCACTTTCTTCCTCTCCAACAATCGGGTATGTCTATCAAGTTCTTAATATAGTTTTTGCAATTTATTGTTTATAGCTGCAGATGGCTTTTCTTAAGTTATCTTGGCCGTCATTTTCTCCAAAAGCCTTCTCCATATATGGTCTACTGACATTTAATTCTTTCTTCAAATCAGCAACCAGCAGTTCAACTGGTTTTTCTCCTTGGAGCACAGACCTTCTTGTATATGGCTTATCTTTTGGTGAATTGACTAGACCCGTAAAATGGCAGAATTACTTTGAGGCAAGTGGAAATCATCTAAATCAAATTGACCTTATGATTTAATCTCTTCCCTGAATCGCAATCCTTTATCACTCAGCACAACAATATCCTTTCTAATTGCCAACTCTTGAGGTGTAAGCTTATACAATTAATTCATTTTATAAATGAATTTTATTCAATCTCCTCTTCATAATCAATTTGATCTTTATTCTATTGTCCGCACCTACAAATCATTGCAATCAACAATAACAACTCATTATAATATCAGAAGGCTCACTTTAGACTAGAATATGTTGCTAAAAAACAATTCACCAATTTCATAATACATTCTAGCAGGTAGATCTTTCTAAGAATACCGATTTGCTAATTAAATCATGATCCAGATGTACAAATCATACTTACATCAGAATTCTTGCAACGGAAGCTATAGAATCAAAGGAGAGTATATTTGATAAAGAATTGCAAAATATATTAAAGAAGTTGGTTAAGAAAGATAAACAAATTATTTACAATCCCTAAGATTCTCTTCTCTTTCAATATTTGGAGAAATATTTTAATAAAAACTTCTATTCATCAAATTAGATTCATAAGGAGAAATTAAGCTAAATATATGATAAACTAGTTGCATTTAATATTGGGAAAAGAAAATAAAATTTATGATATAGTTTAGTTAATTTCTTTACTTTTTATATTCTAAATATTGTTGAATGATCAAAATCTTTTAATATATTATTAAATTTCTTTAAAATCTTTTCAACTAATTATTTTGATATCAAATGTTTTTAGTAATCTCTTGTATATCAATAATTTAGAGAGCATTTTAAGCTATAGCCAACATATTAAAATTAATCTTATATAAATAACATAATAATTTCTAATAATAATTAAAAAGTTCTTAATCTTCATTAGTTTAAATGTCGAAAATACTTACACATAATCAAAGACTTCAGAACACAAAGAAGAAAGAAATATAAATAATATTATTTTGATTTTCAAATATAACTTAAATTATACAAAATTTAAGTCATAGATCATTCATGAACTGTAGATATTGAATATCCAATAATGTTTCTTCCAAAATAACTTGAACTAAGCAGGAGTGAAATTCATCTTCCTTGTTGTCGTCATGAAAGAAAAAAAGTTTAAAGAAGAAATCAAATTAAATTATATTTTGTAAGAGAATAATTGCTTGAATTTCTGATCCATAAAATGAATACATCTTAGGCTGAGGTGAATGTTACAATTTATGTAGTCTAAGTGATCCTGTTGAAATTGTCTATAAAGGTTGAGTCTTGTTTCATAATGTGATATATATATTAAAATCAGCAACTTGTGAACTTGGGATTCACAAAAACTGTATTGTTATGTTTTGCATTTGAATATTCTGAGATCTGAGTGGCTCTCATATTGAAATTCTTTCTCGTAACTTCCGGATTCAAAAGTGAGTTAACTTCATAATGACTGGCATTGTGTTCCTTATTGTAGAAAGTGGTAGTTAGGTTCCCTCTCCATTTATTCTAAAATCATTAGTCATAAAATACATCAGAATATTTACTATTGTTCCAGATGTCATTGGTATCAGTAACCTTGAATTACAAGTTCACCTTCTTCTATTGACTCTAAGACATCTATTGAGATTGTCCAAAACTGTATTGCTGTCTGATTTTATCCAATTCCTCTAGAAATTCTTCGCGATAGGGTTCCATTTGACTCATTTTTATTATAATAAATAATAATATATTAATTTTTATTGTTTCTCTAACAAATAAATACAAGTTCAAATAACTCTGGTAACAGTGTAGCTACACTATAGTCAAAGCTGATTCTCATTTTTGAGGATGAACTTAGTATTAAAGATATGACTTAATAGTTTTTATATGGTTTTGTCTAATAAACCAATTGGTCTTGAATCTAATGTTTCGAGGGATTTCATTGGCAAATAAATTACACTAATATCTTATTGAGAGAATGAAAGTTAATTAAAAGAGAAAAACCAATTGATATTATTTATAATAATTGTACCTCAGTGAGAATCGGGGGAAGGAGAGTTATAAAAATGGATGGGTGGATGAAGAGGAGAATCAATTTTTGATGTTTAATTAGATGAATAAATTTATTCTGATCTTTTAGTGTTTATTAATTAAATTTAATCTAACGAATAGATGGGTTGTGGATCTTCCATAGACGTGTAGGATAATAAGACTACTCTTTTGCTGAATCAAGCTAGCACTGCAATAACAGATAATGATTCAATCTACTTGATGAAAACAGACACTAGTAACAGAAAAATTACAGAGAATGTCCAAGTCTTGAGACAGAAGAAATCAGGTACTTTGTACGAATATTAAGAGCGAATTGCCTTAACTTTTTAACGACAACCTTGATGAATCACTTTATCTTCTATTCCCTTTCTGATGAAGTGATCATGGGTATAATAAATAAGATGTTTTACTGTTGTTTACATAGTAATACTACCCTTTATCCAAAGGAATGTGTTGCTTCATGCTTTTTTATATTGGAGAGAGGGAATTTGCAATATGAGGGATGCCCTTTATAAAAGGGTTCTACCATTGGGGAGTTGTCGTTGTTGCTGCGATTGGAGAAGCAGAAGAATGTGAAGGCTATAGACGATTGCTTCTTTTGGGGTTTGGATAAAAGTACATTTTTAAATTCTTTGGATTATATAATGGCCAAATAATATCTGTAAAATAAGTAGTTCATTACTGGACAATCTTTCTATTAATTCCTGACTCCGATGCAACAAGATGGATTGGCTCAAAATATCATTGTCACCAAATATAGACCGAATGCAATCATAGCCCAGGAGGGAGAAAGAGCAGATTCATTCATAGTTATAAAAAGTGGTCAGGCTGCTGTTTACAAAGGAACCAAGTTCATTCGCTATCTTTAACCCAGGGATTGTTTTGGTGAGAATTCCCTTCAGACGACTACCAAAAGAAATGCCACAATTCAAGCAGTGAGTGAAGTCCAATGTTTGGTGTTGACGAGAGAGAAGGTCAAATAGATTTTGGGTAATGATGTCAAGAAGCAATTGCAATTTGCTGTCATTCGATAAATGTAAATTAGTTTAAATTAAATTAGGAAAGATTGAAGTAATTGAAAACCCCAAGTTTGGAGATTGAGAAATTATTACCTTCTTTTCGTTTTCATCATTACAATAATGAGATTTTTGATATCAATGAGTTGCATGATTATTTAGTCATAGTTGTAGAAGGCACCATGCGTTCAGAAGACCAAATGTATCACAAAGGAGATTTGGTTTCGGATGTTTATGATGATCAGCAATTCTATTGCACTGGAACTTTGGCCAAACTGGATAAGGTCAAATTGGAATTGGAGGATTATGTGATTGAAGATAGCACTTACGAATTCAAAAGAGTCAGACCACAATTTGCTGAATTGAATAATCAAAAATTGATTGCCAATAGTTCATATGGCACACTCTATAAAGTGGAGTATAAGAATGAGAAATATGTATTGCGTAAAATCTCAAGGGACATTATATCTTAATGGAACTTGGAAAAATAGATCAAGCAGGAACGCAAGATTCTAGAAATCATCAATAATCCTTTTGTGGCTAATTTCCATCAATATTATTCTGATGAATAACACATTTACTTTTTATAGGATTACATCAAGGGGAAGAACTTGGGAGATTATCTTCATGATAATGGACTCTTGGACAAGGAAAAAGCCCAGTTTTTGATTTCTCAAATGATTCTCCTACTAGAAACCTTCTCTAATCTCTCAATCATCTCAAGAGAATTCAAACCCAATAATTTTATTATCGATAAAAATGGATATATATATCTAATAGATTTCAAAACCTCCAAATAGGCATACAGAACCCATACGATCATTGGAAATCCTCACTATATGGCACCAGAAATCATAGAAGGCAAAGGGTATACTACTTTCAGTGATGTTTGGAGTGTCGGAGTATGTCTATACGAGTTTCTTTGCGGAGGAGTTCCCTTTGGAGAAGATCAAGATGTATTCTTTAATACTTATTTAGGATCCCTATAAGGTATATGAAGATATACTCAATTATTAAATCAAATATCCTCAGTTTTATAGGGATTAAGTAGGGAAGAACCTAATGAATTAGTTGATGTCATTAAATGTATACCAAAGAGTTGGATCATCTTTTGATGAACTCAAGGCTCATAAATGGTTTAATATCTTTTGGGACTAATTGTAACACAAATAATTAAAATTGAATCCCAAAAAACAAGATTCGAATTTAAAACGATTAAGTAATATTGAAATGATAGAAAGATGTTGAATAAAAATCTTCATTGTAATTTTTATGATGAAATCACTATTATTAATATAAATTTTAATTCTATTTAGGCTTCATTTAAGTTTTTGTATTTATAAAATTTAAAATTATTCAAACTTATATTTACTACTATGTTCAATTATTTATTATGCATCTCTTTAAGAATCATGTCTACATGCATTTACCATTCATTTATATTATCTTTAATACAATGAGATGATTTATTCCATTATAATAATTTGATTTCTGATATGAAAATAATTTATAATTTTATAATTATTTAAAATTCAACCTTGACCAAAGAATTCTAGTCCCCAATCTAATGCCATATCCATTTTTGCTTTGAAGTCATCATAAGTAGGATATTATGGAATTATTACAACATTACTGCATGTCCTAGATACTGGAAGTCTATTTTTTTGGAATTCTAAATTAGTCTGTATTTCTATCTTAAAGTTCTCAAAATTGCTATACTTACTGCCTATTAATATAAATTAATTGTAATACCTGTAGCAAATGTCAAGAGATGCTCTAATTTCTCTTAATCTGCCTCGCTTATATATTAAGTAAAGTAGTTTTCATTTATTTGGTTTTTCCTGGAGAAATGTATGCACTTCAACAACTTTTCTTTGTTGATTTAGTAATCTATGATGTCAATCAATTGATTAATTTCGAAGAGAGCAAAGTTCTAGATCAATAACTTGGCATCAAATTATCCCTGGAATCCTCTTTTGAGTTGTTTAAAAACCTTATCATACTACCGTTAAAGTATATACTGAGCAGATAAATTTAAGTATTCTTCTAGATTGCTACAATCCACTTTCTTGGTTTTACCATTCTCACATAATTCGGCTTCATCTGATTGATTCACAAAGTAAATATCTTATTAAAATAACTCATCTTCTTTTAAGTTTCGTAAATACTGATAACTCTAATAGATTTGTGGTTCGACCACACAACTTAAATCATCAAACTCTAATGGTAAATCGCAAATTATCTTCCAAAAAGGCAGAGCAAAAGATATTCCAACCTTTAGTTTATTTGCAATTGCATAAGCCAGCAACATACCAATTGCGAAAGTTATTGAATCATTCAATAAAAGTATGCCCTTATTCAAGTAATAATAGCCAATCATATGAGTTTGGAGACACAAATTATTTTAAGGATCCTTAAGGTTCCTACCGAATAAACAAAAGAATTCTCGGCAAGGTCCTCCCTAGTCATTTGCCACCTCTTATAGGAAACTGAACTTTAGATTCTTTTATCCAATATGATTATCCATCTAAGCTAATGAATTCAGGAAGTTTGCTCTAATTATTAAGTATTAAACTGAATTTCTATAAGTGAACTTAGATGAAAATGTATCGATTCTCTTTTGACTCAATGGTTATGGTTTGATCTGGACTATTTTGCCTTGTATAATGGTTTGTTGGTCTAAATTTATTTCCAATTTGCATTCATCAACCTTATCATCTGGCTTAGCGTAATTGCAAAATTATATGTATAATACACAACCACTGTCATTGTATTCACATCTATTTTTCACTGTAAAATTAGAATTCATAACTTGAACCGATAAGGCAGATGACAATTCATCTGACCTTGTTATTAAATTGTTATAGATGTCATATAATTCGAATCGTAAATCTTTTTCAACAAAGTACTGAAATTCTGATTCATCTTTTATTAATTTGAATTTTTCTGACTAGATCTACTTAGAAGCCATAACAGAAAACTTGAAATTCATTAAATGACCATTCACAAATACATCATATTTTCCTTTGATATAAGGAGTCCAAGATAAGCATACTCCATCATCGAAAGAAACCTCTGGATGATGAATTAATTCCTTAAACTTTTCATGCTAAATATAGCATTAAATATCATTAATCACTTTTTTATCTCTTATGAGGTTATTTAAACAATCATAAAACATAATCTTGTCTTTTCTAAATTCTCCAGCACGAGTTTATAATTATTATTTTCTATACTACTTACAATAATCTGTTAATGAGTCCAGGTTTTCATCATTTAATTTTGTATTCTAGTTTGGAATTTCAAATTAGATTGGAGTTGTGTCATGATCAGAAACATTAGATAGAATTGTTAAAAGCATTTTATTTAATTTCTTATTGTCCAATTTTTCCTTCTTATTGTCTTTATCATCATATCCATTATATTCAGCTAATTGAGGATCAATCCTAATTTAACTTTTATCTACCTTTAATTCTTATAAATCATAAGATTTGTCCTATTAAATGCTTGATGTTTCCAAATAATCCTTCAATCTGAAATCAATTAAATTAAAGTAGAGCACATTTTAACCAATATTTGATCTGTCAAATGAAAGGTTAAAACATAATTTAGTAACTTTGATATTGTCAGATAGTGTTGTGTGATCTTCAATTTAGTTTGCAAAATTGACATCTTAATTCAAATAATAGTGACCCTCGAAATCAATAAGTACTAATTTTTCATTCTATTTCGAGATTTATTTGTCATACTCATAAGTGTAATAAATAGCTCCTTTTATGTATTCACTTTTAATTTATAAGTTAGTCTTTTTATTATATTTTTTTTTGAGTTTAAACTGATCAAGTTAAATAAAATAGTTTCTATCCTTAATTGATTTCACAAACAAACAAAAAACAGCATGATTTCTATTGTGTTTTGTATAAAAAACATGATAGATTCTTTTCTTTTTTACATTTGTTAAAAATTATTCTTTATTTTATATGATTCCAAAACTATTCTTTAACGAATTAACATTAAATTAAGAGAAATTTCCAATATCTAATGGCTTCGTAAGATATTTACCAGAACATAAACTATCCTTATAGAATTAAGAGAATCTGTTACCAGCTATAAAATTTTACAAATCTAAATTCAAAGTCCATCTAAAATATGTTTGGAATTTAATTAAGTAGTCTAATTATTATTCATAATTAAAACTCTCTATTTATTATCTTATATCATTCCTATCCAATTTAATTAATAGATCAAAATTGTTCAATTATCTAAATTATTCACAAGTTTATTTAGCAGTTTCCTCCAATTAATATCTCAAAATCAAAGCATCCAAATTATCTTTTAATGAAAATTACTCTTTGATAAATTAATCTAAATCACTTGCATTAAAAATCTCCTCTAAATAAGTTAGTCGCTCTCCTTTATTACCACTTTCACTCACAGGAATTGTAACCACAATTGTCTCCTTCTCTAAATAAATAGAAGGTTTGCAAAAAGAGAAATAATCATCCAAATAGTGACTTTTAGGTGATATTCCTTGATTATCAGTTGTTTCAAACTTTACAATTATTTAATTATTGTCGCTATTTTAATTGAACATACTTGTGATTTGACAAACCTAAGTTAAAATGTGTTTTAAAGTTGCTATCAATGTTGGATATGTGGATATAGCATTTATTAGATTATACCAATTATTGTAAACAGAATAGAGGTTTTTGTTCATAAAGAATACTTTCATAAATGATTCTAATTCTATTATACACTTTAAATCTAACCCTTAAGTTGAAAGGTTGAGTAAATATTTTAATGAATTACTTAATTAATCTTAGATTTCTACTTAATTAAAAATTGTTTTGCCATTAAAGAAAATTAATATTTGATTTTGATATTTTTAAAAGTACTCTGATTTCTAAGGTTCTTAATAGAAAATGGTTTAAGCCCATTCATATGAGAATTTAACATCTGATGTGTAAACAAAACAATAATCATCATGATCTTTCTTTGAGAGTTGCTACCAACCTTTAATCTGATACTCATTCTTATATTCTAGACTATCTGCAGGTTATTTTTATTCCTTTAATAGAGGCAGTAAAAATCTTAAATCGTTATAAAATGGTGATAAATTCTTATCTTCAAATTTGATAATAAGTTTTTCCTTTTTCTTGAATATGGCTATCTTTTTCTCAAATGCCTTACTTGAAATTGCATTTTCATATAAATCTTTATAAAAACAAGGTAATCCATTCAAAAACAGCTCTAATTCATTTTCTTAATAATCAAAGGGGATTACAATTGTAGAGGATTAACCACTTTAAACTAAACCAAATTTCTCTCCGAATTAGAACTTGAAATTTTTCACTAAGTAATCACATTTAGCAATAGCATTCAACTCTATTTGTTAGAGTTCATAATTGAATTCCTTCAACCTGATTATAATTTTGAAAGCCTTTTTGATTTGGCTACTTTCAGATTTAAATAATCCATAAAATTTATCAATGTATTAGACCGATGAATTTTCAACATGTAGTATGGGAATGAGTTGATTCATAAACTAAATACTAATAGAGCCTTATTGATCAGATTCAATAAAATCTAAGGCATCGACATAATGTTTCAAATGGATATCTTCTATTTCCTTAGGCTCAATTAATGGATCAAAATTCTATCCATATTTTACCATCAAGATAATTTTGATGAAATGTGCTGATACTAATTTTGTATAATTTTATCCAAAATTTTAAACATCAATTAAATTTTACAAGGCATCAAACCTGCCATGTTGTGCCACAATCAATGCTAATTTAGGACAATTTAAGATATCATTATTTATAAAGGAATTTGGAGCTAATCTTGTAATTTTTTCAATCAAGAAATGATAATGGCCATACTTATGATATATTTATTTGTAGAGCCATTCTAGTTGAGCTTCGTTAAATTGATCTAATTATATTGAACAGCTAAGTCCTAATTCACTCATTAGATCTAAAACAAGTTCCTTTTTGTCATTCTTCTAATTGTCATAAATAGATAAAAATAAGTCTTCAATTAGTTAATTTTTGCCAAACTTCTTAAACAAATTTTCCAAACTGATTTATGTGTCATCTTTAATTTATACACATAACAAACTAATAATCTCAAGTTTCCTTAATGGCATACTGTTGAACATGATTTTGAGTATTGAATAAACCCTATAGGCTTTGAGTTAGATGTTATGAGAATTTGGTATTAAGAATTAGCTAGTTCTTAGAATTAATTGCTTTTATATTGGTAATTCGAAATAAACATAGAATGAATTTAATTAAGCAAATTGATGGATAGTTAATTCTTAAAGTTAGCCTTTAATGGTTTATCCAATTATCTTGGGCTTTAAAGTCCATTAATTAATTAGATAATTTTAAGCAAAGTTATATAGTCTATACCATTTCTTAAATACAATATATGTGAGCAAAGGTAAACCATGATGAAAGAAATGAGATTCATATATTTCACTGCTTGTTAGTAATTTTAATACTTCAATAACTGTGTCTTCATTACCATGCTTGATTAAGTATTGAATGACATTATACTTATTTAATAAAGTTGCAATAGGAATACTTGAATTTTTGAGTAGCTTTAGAATTGAATTTTAGTTTCTACCCATAAGAGCTACATATAAGTCTACTTCGTTGAATGTTCCACTCTCAAACGGGAGTCCATAATAAATATTTGCTTATCTGGTATTTAATTCTAAATTCTAAAACTAGATATCTTCAAAGTGCTATTCAAGTTATTTAGCAAAATTATTTTTTTTAACTTTTTCAGTTCTAGTTTGATTCATGAAAGTTTAGATTTATTTTAATTTGTTAGTGGATGGACTCTCTTTAGATATGCTTTCATAAATTGGTATCAATTAGTCAACCATGTTTTTTAATGATTGCCATGATTAAGGATTTCTTTTAGATTATAAAACTGTTGAAAAGTCAAATATAGCTTCATAATAAAAGACAGCATTTTTTAGGATAATTTCTATGTAGTTTGTCCAATTTTATTTCAACAAATTTAATTCTATTAAACACAGAAATTAAGTAGCCATTTCACATTCCCTATTATCAAAAGTCCATTTTGTGTTTGGGAAAAGAATCTAGAATAAAAGATAATTCTTATAATATTCTGTTAAATCAACATCTCTTTCACACACTAAGTTATAGAGCACCTTCGCTGTTCCAAGTCGATAGGTTTATAAATAAGGAGTTTCAATGGATTAATTCATTAATTTGCTTAAAGTATAGTTCATTGAAGTTTTCTGATACATAAATACTGGAATATTGGAATTGTTAAATTTTTTATTTTACAAAATATATTCTTTAACTAAAAGAGAACAGGCTATAGAAGTTAATTCTATTAATTAATTATTATTATTAATCCAATTAGTGACATACTCTAATTTTTCAAAATGACCAGAATTGGTTAACAACTCTAAGATCTACTCTTTCTCCTAATTCTCGATATTGTTATTTTAAACTAAATCTTTGAATTGATTTGTTGTTAAAGTTATGCTCCAATGGGAACCTAAGGCTCTTATGTAAGTATCTTTTGAACTTTAAAGTTGTATTTAAGGTTATTTTAATTTACCTTTATGATTCAATAAAATGAATTCTACTGTTCGAAATTAATTGTTTTCTAATAGCTTTTAAAATACATAGCCGATATCATGATAGTTACACTTCAAAAAGTAAGGTTTAATAAATTCTAAATCTGTAAAATGAGTTAGATAATAAAGAATTACGAATTTATTAATTTGAATACCAGAATTCTCTTCTTCTCCTTGTTATTCGCTCTTTTGTAGCATTTCAAGATTTAGAATAATGGATTTCAGCTCAGATTCATCCTTGGTAATTAAATTCAAGTATTCAAGATGCTCACATATTCTTTTATTCCTACAGTAATGTATTATTTCTGGTATAGCTGGGTTTTCCGAATTACGAATATAATGAAACAGACTAGATGACTTTTGGCTTTAAAAGAATTGTTTGATATATTCTGAAAATAGGATAGTGTTTTCCTTATCAAGATAACAAATAAAGGATTTATTAAATTTTTTATGATTATTGTAATCGAAAATATTTGGTTGTTCTAATTTCCTCTACAATTCAATTTATCTTTCGAAGATGTCAAAATAATTTTTGATTTACCTGTTGAATTTAACTCTGTCAATCTTCTTACTTGTCTTCCCAAATACCCCAGAGATTAAAAAACTATGATGTCTCAAAAAGGAAAAAATAGTATTTTTGTATTTATTCGTACTATGGCATTCATCAAAATTATCAAAAATCCATTATTCCAAGATTGCCAAATTTTTATAAGCTTCATTATTTAAGGCCTCTAATACATAATCGGTGCCATCTCTTTCTTAAAATAAAGGATAAAATTTTAAACTAACTTATAGAAATTCAGAATATTTATCATTTGATACCAAAACTTATAAAAAGTTCTTGCTTTCAATTACTTACCTTAAAACAATTTCTTCTTAAATTGTGGTTGCTTTTTTTTCAAATAAACGGAAGTTGAATTCAGTCCTCATTCCCATTAATTGATAATTGAATACTAATCCTAATTATTATTAGGTTAGATGACAGAGAAATAACTTAACGCTATATTTCTTTTTTACAAAATAATCCCATGATTCTATTTCATAAAACAATTAAAAGAATCTATGAACACATGCCTCTTAAAAGTTGTAGAGAACATTTTTTAATAAGTCTCGATGCAAGCATTTATCCGAAAACTGATAAAGGAGTTCAATTCCTTAAGGAGTCTTAAGCAAACTACTTTTCATAAAATTTTATTGAATGAGATTATCTAGAAATTCAGTTTGATTTTTCCACTTATCCAATCTACTTAATTTATCTATATTGTTTTATTAGAAACAAATCTAAAGCAAGGAACGAAGAGATGGATATTATTAAAGTTTTTCAACTTTCTCAGCTAATCCCAAAATATTATTTTAATTTCTGTGTCCCAATCTAAGAAGGTTTATAACAGATTCAAATGCATCATTAACCTAATATGCTTCTATTGTAATTAAATCATTGCATATTAAATAATCCTAAAATGTTTAATATTTAGAATAACTACAGAATACTTTTCTGAAACCATCCTAACTTTTACTCAGCAAATTAGAAATTTAACTTTTTATCCTTGCATTTTCTTATTCTGTTCTGTTTTACTTTAATAAGGCATTTAAGATAACAATTTTTCTCTAAATTATTAAATCATCGATTGAGATTGAATGTTTTAGTTCTAGTAATAGAGCTTCGATGGCTTCCTTGATTTCTTGATTAATATTTGAACAAAAATCCTTTTCAAGATAATTTAAAAATGAATCTAAGAGTGTTGAATCTTAAATCCAAATAGCTAATGGCTAGTCTATTTTGGAAATGTTATAATCAAAGTGACACAAAGAGAAGCTGTAGTGAGTGATATTAAAGTCCTATTTAATTCCTTTTAAATAATAAATATGATGAATTGCTGCAGTATTTTCATATATATTTTATGCACAATTTTTAATATCATCTGAAAATGTGCTTAATTGTTGTCTAAATTTGTCTTACTTTACACTTACGCTTTTGGACAATTTATATCTTGGTTTAATTTTTTTATAACGCATATTAAATTTTTTTACTAATTTTACTTTCTTTTTGTAATTATTAAAACCTTTAACAATTTTTCTGTTTTTTTCAATATCGTATTTTTAATACATTCCTCTAGTATATAAAGATATTAATAGCTATAAACCTTCATATTGATTATGATTTTAATCTATAATATCTTTAGAGAGATAGTTTAAATAGTTTTAATTTATTGATTTTTATATTCTTAAATATAATACAAGTGGTATTTGTTGATTATATGACTATCTCTTTAGATCGCCTAAATCCAAATCCTATAATATTTATATAAATTCTTGATTAATTGGATTTTTATTTTCAGAAATGCAATGTAAAATGTTATATGTCCCTTTGTGTTATGAGTTGAGACTATCCTTAATAATTTAATTATGCATTTAATGAAATTCTACTAATACATCAAAAGGAGCTGCCTTCAATAATCTCATATACAAAGTGAATCCATCTGATAAAGGTTTAAAAATTGAGTCGACGTTCGACTTGTAAAACAGATCCCAGCACTTTTTCTTAATTAATATACTATTTCTTATTATTATAGATATTACATATAATTCTAAGCATCTCCAGAAAAATACAATTAAATTTTTAAATGAGAAACTTAACTTCTCTCCTGCTGCGTCGAATTGAGTAATTTGTGAATATTTAGATCTTTCTTGATGATGCTAAGTTTTGTTATTTCAGATTCAAAATCTCCAAGCAATTTATAAAGATTCATCAATAATTTTAATTCCCAAAGATTCTTGATATAGTTGTATCTTGAACCTACAACAATGTCTAAATTAAATTTAAATGCTTATAAATTATATGATTCATATGATACCTTTAGCCTATTCAGATTCTCTTCGTGTATTTAAAATAGATGTTAATTATTTTATAAATGCCAAAATCTTTTTGTGATTATTTTCTTTTTTAATTTATGAAATTCCTTTGATGGCAGACTGAATAACTTAATTGAAATCAGAAGTAAAAAGTGACTCAGCTTATCCTAGTATATCAATAAATTGATCAAATTGAAAATTTGTTATTAAATGATAAGCTATATCTGATCCACAAAAATCTTTAAAAGTCAATGCTTTGAGAATATTATCATCAAGAGCCTTAATCGTATTGATTGTATATGTTGTTTATTCGATGCTTTCAACAACTTATTAAATGTGTTCCCAATTAGGGCTTGAACGCAATTCCTTGATTCTCTTTTTTTTTATTTCCTATATAAGTTTAGGTTTCTAGATAAACTAATAAACTTACAAAAAATTCCCTTTTATTCTTTGATTAATGCATTTTTATATAAATAATGATTTGAGTATCTAAATAAATTAATTTAATAATGCCTCACAGTCTAATGAATTCTTACAGAATTAATCTGATAAATTTATGTATAAAATAACAAACTTTTTAGAAATCATAATATAATTAAACACTCAAGTATGTCTAATTCTTTAATTAATAATATTAAACTGAGATTTATTACTCATCTCATTTAGTGTAAACATGTGTAAATATAAAAATAGATCTAGCCTAATTTTATAGTAGAAAATAAGCTATAATTAATTATGAAATTTCCAAAAGTAATAATGTTGAGAAATGGTAATCTATATGATGAGGATTTTTGGGTATGCCTCCTTTAATTGAAATTCAACGCTATGATTTGTTTGGCTGTAGAATCAAGAATGTTGTTATAAAAAAAAAATGAAATAAAACCCATATCTCAAAATTTTAATAGCTCTAATAGGTCAAATAATGATAAAGATAATTAAGAATTTAAACAACAATAATTTATATTGATATAAGTAAATTTTTGCATTAAAATGGGGTTATTTGCTTCCTATTTTTCTAATTGAAGTTTAAATGAAACAGAGACCACTCTAAATCGTTTATTTTGGATGGACATTTTGAAGAGATTTCTAAGAAGCCAGCTTTAACATTTGAGAAAGTAACAGAGTGAAAGAAACCATTCACTTGAAGATAATTTAAATGAGAACCAAGTCAAAAAAGATGAATCAATCAAATCATAGAAATTACTATTAAATTCTTTAAAGTTATTCCTCATTAAGCAATGAAAAAAAATGGAAATGGTGTATTATATCTGAAGCCTAAATATTGATTTTTTATAAAATCGAGACTTCAAGGAGGATTCTTTAACTATGCACTATATAATTTTGACTATACTTTATATGATAAAAGAGTGTGAAATGATTTATTATTATAATCACCATTATATTATTTGAATGCATCATAAGATCTGGAATTCCTTACTTTTTCTATTCTAATTAAGTTTGGAAGGTATAGAGGCAGCTGTTTTCTATGGTTATTTCATTTATTTCTTAGAATGTATATTTGGATTAAATTAAATTGGTTGTGTTAGAATGTTCAGTTGCCTTAAGTATTATTTATAATGTGAATTTGGCAAGTATGAAAAATATATTAATTTTAGGTCTAATATTAAAGCAATTTCTTTTGTGTTTATATATTTGAGATCAATTCAATCTTTACCCATATCTAATTTTTCAGATTATGATCCTCTATACTCTTATTAGTTTTTGACGTACCTTAATTAAATTGCAGTATTTATCTCTTTTCAACCTTGATTATTTAGTTCTGTAGATTCCCTTTACGCAAACGAAGCAGATGATATCAATTGTTGCATTCATTTTGAAGATGTTATAACTTACCAAAGTTCTTCTATTTAACAGAAATAATTGATAAATATTTTCATAACAGAATTATATAATATAAAAAAGTTTGAATGGAAGAAATCAAAGCTTGCATTTCGAGTCCTTAGGCATTTTAGCTAAATATAAACACAGTAGTGGATAAATTGAAAAAAGAGAAGTAGATTTTATATTTAATTTTAAGTGATCTTGCTCCTAATTTCATTCAATTTGCTGATGAGATATTTTAAAGTAATGAGAAGCTATTAAAGAAGTATCTGGTCTTGATGGTATAGTTAATCGCATATAAAATTATAGATAATTAGAGAGGCAGTTTACACAAGTCCAGTTGGATCTGTAACAAATAAATTAGCTAGCAATAACTCAATTTTGAATTATTTATAAGAAATTGTTATGTTTCAGCCAGGTTCTGAAGATGAATTTAAAGGCATCTATAAATTCGAAAATGATAGTAATTTAGATGATTATTAAATTGTTTAGCTCCATAGATTGCTATAAAATATTTCAATTTGATATTAGAACTAATCAAGTTTTTGGCTGAAAAGTACCCTGTCTCTTAAACCAACAAACCCACTAAGTTCAAAATCATGTATGACAGATTGGTTCAATAAGATATTGTCTTTCCTAAGCAAATTAGAGAATTAACTGCAGATATCAATGAAATAGAGGATGCTGTTGAAGACAACCAACCAGTCAAAAGATATCAAGCACAATAAATGGAACAAAATCAGGAAAATGGCATACATCAATTGGAGGAATTGCAAATTGAAATGAATGATTAAATTGACACAATTTGGGATATGCTTAATGATTAGAACTGCAATCCAGAAGGGGCAAAAGACAGTACCTAAAAATTATGATTTTAGTGTTATAGTTTTATTGTGATACTTTTAAAGAGAGTGATGCTAAATTGCAATAATTGGAATATGAATTATCCGACAAACTCAGTTAACAACAGAAGGATTAGATTGAGTTGTTGTGTAATTTCATAAAGATATTCAATTTAAAGTTTAATCATTTTGAAAGAAACAAAACTAAGAATGGATTCTTGGAGTTTCAACATGCAGTTTTAACAGAGGCCAGCAAAATTACTAAAAAGAACTATACTCCATCCGATGCTTATTAAAAATCTAAAATTTAGCCTCTTTCTCCCATTAGATAAGTAGGTTAAGATGAAACACAAGATGCTTCAAGATTTAATGAAATTACAAATACTTAAATTGAGAAGAAGGAGAAAATTGTTTAGTAAAGTAATTATCAAAGAGAGTTAGAATAATAATAATAACAACAATAACAAATTGATTAATCAAGATCCTAAAATAAAGTGAAATAAGTCGAGAAATAAAAAGTAATACAATCATAGTAATATAATTAATATGACGATCCTGACCCAACTGATATATAAAATCAGCTTTTACAATAACAAATTTAATATGACTAACAGTAATAATAAAAGTAGTATTAGGATCAATAGAAGTATTAAATTTAGTAAGATCAATAGAAATATTAAATTTAGTAAGATTATAATCATTAAAAATCTTCAAAACCAGCTCAATAGAATAACACACTTTTACTAGAAACTGATTATTCTCAATTCGAGCAAACAATTCCATCATAGAATAGAAATTAATTTGCTTAAGATTATTATTAACAACCCTCAAAATAAGAGGATAAACACGGATCTTTGGAATAGTATCAAGATTAATATACTTAAAAACCGTAAGGAATGAAATTAACATTCGGGAACAGAATTGAACAAGAATAAGATTAAAAGAGGGAAGGGTCAAGTTAAGTGTAATCTAAGGAAGTCAGGAACACAGGGCATAATTTATAATAGCAGCAATATGATGTTTTTTAGCAGCAAGTTAGTGCACCTTATCCTGGTTATCAATAGAATAATCAATTTCTAGATATATTTCAAAAATTAAGTAAAAGTGGGTATACATAAAAAATGATTGATGTTTGGAAGAAGACATGTTTATTGGGGAAGGGAAACTTATTTGAGAATGATTTGATCAGAGTTTATTGTACATTTGGATTACAGTTTCAAGTGTTGAACAATAAAAATTACTTAAAGATTTCGTTGTACATTTTAAACAAGATTGATCAAAGTCTATCGATTAATATCAAATTTCAAGGCGATAAATGTAATTATCAATTTATTACAAACAGCAACGAAGTTTTGGATAAAGTCTGATAATAAAAAGGTTTTGGAACGAGAATTGCAATATTTGATTGTGGTTGATGAGTGCAAGGAACTCATTAATTGTTAGATACAGATAGACAATCAAATTTTGAATGTGTTGTTGCCAACGAGTCAGTATAATTTTATAGATTTTCTGGATTTGAGGGCAGAGATATTTTAGGTTAAGATTAAGGATGTGCGATTTTATTAAAGTCAGCCATTTAGATTGCAGATTGGTTGGGACACTTTTAAGAAAATCAGATTTACTGAAGTGAATAATTACTATGGTAAGGGATTTGTGATTATTTAATTAGGAGCTACTTATGGAAACAATAATTACGTCAGAGTAATGATGATAGAGAAAAATATATGGATCGTAGAGGCTACCGATTAAAATCTCATTCCATAATTATTATTTTTGTTTTCTTGAGTTTGATTTCAATATTTTATTAATATATTTATGGAATTATAAATAATAAATAAAGAAATGTTTTTTTTACTCTTATATGGTGTCATGTATCGAAATTTATTTATTAAGAGCTTTTTAGCCTTGAGCTTATTAATGATAGGCTTATTTGAGTACAACTGTATGTTTTATCTGTTTGAGTGGATTTGGTTATGGTTTTTCGGAATGATTTTATCAATGGTATTTTTAATAAAGGAAGAATCGATAAATGAGGAGGATAGAGAACAGCTACTTGAAAAGGAGATTAGTGAACACAAGTAAACCTATATACCATTTACAATGTATGCGATAAATGCATCAATACAAGCAGCAGACATATTATTAATATGTTTTGAATTATTCTATATGAGCTTCGGATTGTTCATTATAGTAAAATAAATGAAGTAATATAGTGTTAAGGGATTGTGTTTGTATTCTATATCATCTATACGAATAAATACGATTAGCTAAAACTCATTTATGGAGGTGTTGTCCTGCTGACAGGCATTTTCTCACTCGCTTTGGATACGGATGGGAATGATAAGTGCTACATTGGTTTGATAGCGACTCTCCTTCAGATAGGAACAAACATCTATACCATAAAGTTAAAAGAAGAATTTATGTGTTAGTAATTAGAATTCATAATAATTTAAAGATATATATTTCAGCATTCCAAATATATTTCCTATACTGGTCTACTCAAATTTCTGATGTGGGTAATTGTGATTGTGATAGTCAATTTCATTCCCTGTCCTAAAGTTGATAAGACTACTGTGTGTCCTAACAATCAATATTCTGATAAGAAATGCTCTGCTAATGGCAACTTGGGAGATTTCAGTGGGTATTTTGAGACTACCTTTTCAGAAGAATACAATCAGAATCAACAGAAGAGTATTGTAACCAAATTATAATTATATTGTAAAGACTTACCCAGTAATTGTGTTCGTAGTGTTGATCTTAGTGAGTTCAGCTATTAGCTACATGGACAATAAAATAACCATCAAGCAATAATCAGACAAGAAACAAATAATTTAACAATTTGTTTTTTTTCCTTTATAGATTTGGGTATATCATAGTCATTTAAATACAACCTTGTTTGTGTTTTGCATTCTGTTCTTCATTTTGCAATGGTTATTAGGACTCTATATAGTAAATGATTGATAATTAAGTAGATATTTTAAGACAAGAAGACAGCCAAATATGAATAAATCGAAGAAGATCAAGATTCAGAGTTTTCATGAATAAGATTTTAATTTTTTTGTAATGGGTCATGCCACTCAATAATCATAATATCCCATATAAAATGCTATTCTCAATAACAACATCAAAGCATTTTGACCAAAGATCTTGGTTCTCTTTCCTATTTTCTCAATTTACTTCCTCCATTCTGATTCATTTTAGCAATCCTAATAAAAATCCGTTAAAGTAGCCTTAGTTTTAAAGGATTCATTTTTATTATGGTAATGATAGATTCAATATCTTCAACTTAGGACTGAAGGATGATTGATCCAATTTGTCTATCCTTACAAATTACTTCAACTGCTTGATTTTCCTTTCCTACTACTGCAATGTTAGGCAAGTAGTTCAATTCCATGGCTCTCCCAAACTAAAGAAAGCTATAATGTTAAACATAGGTCAATTAATTAGTCTTAAGATAATTATTAAAATCATTGGAAATAACATCCAAAGATACAGCTATGGGATTTATTAGCAATTTTAGATTTTAATTCTAACTTAACCGTTTTAATCTTTGGCTTGATATTCTGCTTAAAGTTCTCAAAATATTTAATCACATCCATATTATTGCCATAAGTAGCTTAATCTAAGGCATCACAGAATTCAAATTACTTGGCTGCTTGTTCAAATATAAATTTATTTGATGACTTCAAAATTACTTTTAATACTAAACTATGCTATTTAATTATTAACATATAAATACCCCTTTCTTTTTAACACTTCCATTTTCTTTTGCTTCTCAATCTTAGATGGCTGACTTGACTGAGGATTTAAAGATCGAGAACCTATTCTTAAGACATTTGATTAATTTTTTTATTAAATATATAATCAATTCTTACTCTATCTAGATATAATTAATATCCATTAAGTAATCTCTTCAAAGATCCCAAATGTATTCTCTTGCTTTAAATTAATTTAACTTAATTTCATTTACAATATTTAAATCGTTTGCAAACTTTTAGGTCTATTCTAGATATTCATCAATTTCTAATTATAAATATGAATTTATGAATCAAAATAATAATTATAAAATATTAATATTATGTCTCTATCAGATTTATTATCATTGATCTTTATTTTTTTTAAACTTATTATCTATGTTTTATTATTATAAATATTAAGTATCAAATAATCTCATTTAAAAATAATAAATTTGATTAAGAAATAGTAATCTTAATCTTAACTTAGGCTGATAACTTCAAATTGATTATCTTGTAATGAAATTATTAAGTAATTCTTTAATAATAATTTAAAAATGTATAAGGAAATTTATGGTTGTACTTTAATACACCCGTCTAAATATACAGAGAAAGGCAATTTGTTTGTAGGGGGAATAAAATCACTTGATTAGATTTAGAAGCATAAATTTGGTGCAATAATCTCAGCAGTTGAGAAATTGGACAAGCAGATTCCAGATTACATTCATCATCTCAGAATAGTAGCCTATGATGAACCTAATTTTAATTTGTCTGAGCATTTTGAATAAACAACTTCGTTCATAAAACAACATCTTGAATCCACTAATGTTCTTGTTCATTGTTAAGTAGGAGTATCAAGATCTGTCTCATTACTTATGGCTTATTTTATTAAGGAACTCCACATGACTCCTGATGCTGCATTATAATACATTAAAAACAAGAGAGACTTTGTTTGTCCAAATGAGGGATTTTAACAGCAGCTTCGGATATATTATGATAAATGCCAAGAAAATAATAAAATTGATTGAAAATGATTTTTTAATATTTTTTTTAATTTGAATGGGTATTTGTCATTGTAGCAAAAGTAGTGAGGGAGAACAGAAGTTAGTAAAAGTGAAAGTGGGAGGAGGTGAAGATGGAAATTGCACTTGGAAGGTTTTGAAAGGGGTTTAGTAGCATAACTTGGTCACTAATTCAGGCTGGGAAATGAAGTTTGAACTCTCATCTAACGGAACTATAAGTGGTGGAAATAAGAATGACAATGAAGAAGGTGCCTTGAAAAAGTTATATGCTGGAACTCTAAAAAATGGTATATTGGATTGTGTAGCTACGTTTGAGGATGGGGCTCAAATAAAGTATGATGGTGTAATGGAAGGTTCCATTATGAAAGTTAACTGCAGAGTCATCAAAGGAAGTGAGAAATTTCACGAGGGAGATATTGCTGAATGCATTGGACCTGTGAAATATGATTGAATTTATTAATACTAAAAGTATTTCTAAAACGTATTAATTAATACTGGATATATTCATATCGTTGAAAAGACTCTCTTCATTTTAATTTCTTTGATTAAACTTAATGTAATATTAAGAGTGAAATAACTTTAAAAATAAATATAGACCAATATCAATTTTTAAACACTTCTACATATTGTTTTGTTCTATCATGCAATTCTTCAATTTAATGTTTGACTGTTTCATCATTGACATCTTCTAATACATACTTGATATTTATATTGTTTTATTACATCTCTATCTCCATCATCTGTAAAGTCTGTGTATTTGATTTGGCCATCGTCTTCAAGAGCATATGTGATTTTCAAATGATAACCCATTCTCTTCTTCCCCCTGCTTAAAAATAAATGAGCTTCCCCTTCGACTGATTCTACGGCTGAAATCTTAGTTTATCCGATTTTCATCTAAAAATATTAAATAGTTGGAATACTCCAACAATATTCTCCAACGATTTCTTAATCTCATTCATGGGTACTTTCTATTCCTCCCAAGTTCCTGAGACATTCCATTGTGATCCAATTGTTTAAGGTTGTTGCACTTAGGAAGGATCCTCTACTTTTTTGGGTTAACAATCAATTTTTGGATGATTTGGATCATGTTTAACCCAATATGTATATGAATGCTCCTTCTTTGAATTGTCCATTTAAATTTCCAGAATATTTTATAAATTAATTATTAATAAAGTAAACATTCATCATTAACAACCACTTCTTAATTGCTATACATAATTATACCTAAAATTAGATTACAATATACCTTCTTTAAATCTTATCATTATCCTTTATCTATTCCTAAGTATGACTAGATTTTTCACCCTTTTCATTAACAAAAACAATACTCTGATTTGATTAGATAACAATCACACTTTTATCAATGAAATTGGCCTGAATCACGCCATTGCTGAGTTTTAAAAGAAGAGCATTTCTCGTTTTAAGAAACTTATCAACAAAAACTTAAGAAATTTCAGAATTTGTGTTATTTTCATCAACACCTAAATACAGAGTAAATTTTTAGAGTAGATTGACCTTTTTATCCAAATCTGAGGGATAATTATCATATTGATAATCCTATATTAGATTCTACTTATCTATATAATTGAATTGCTGTTTGTTGCATTAAATAATTTTGGTCGCATCATTAAATAGGATACCACAATTATTATTTGATAGGACATAACCAATACCGTATTTACTTTGATAATCACAACACTTTATAACATATGTGACTTCGTTCTCCTTACTCTAAGTTATAAAAGGACAATTACAAATTATGGTTAATTGTTGTTCTCCAGATTTAAATCCTATTTTTTCTGAGTTTATTGATTCTCCTTTAAGTAATTAATTCCTTCAGTTAAGGCTATGGTTTAAATTAGTAAATACTCTTAATGCGTTCGGCTTAGGACATTTTGAGTCGAGTTGAAAATAGGTCATTCGTCTTTGGAATTTAGCCTGAAGTTTTGACTGAAACTAATTCTGGTTAAATGGGTTTAGAGTTGAGCAATACAGCCTAAGAACTAAACATTGCAGCCTAAGAATATTAAGACAACCATGCTGCATTTGGGGGACTTAGCAGTTGAGAAATGTGAGTGGTTTTGGGGATTGGATTTGAAGTCATAAAAGGATGACTTAGAATTTCATCCAAAGTTAATCTTTTGGAAGGATCAAGAACAAGAATTCTAGAAATCAAATTTTTAGCATTTTCAGATATTTGAATATGATCTGGAAAATTGAATTGGCATTGCGATATTTTATTATAAGTTGTCCTTAACATCTGAAGTCTCGAATGGGGGTTTTCCTATTAACAGTGTATAGATAATAACACCAACTGACCATATGTCTGCTTAGTAATGAATGTCCCAATCTCTTTCATCCAAAATTTCAGGTGCAATATAATTTGGAGTCCCACAAATAGTGAGTCTTCGTTGTCCATCATAATCTAATTTTGTAGCCAAACCAAAATCTCCCAGTTTCAACTCCATCTTATCATTTATAAACAGATTCCCTAATTTCAGATCTCGATGTAGCACTCTATGAGAATGGATGTATTTCAATGCACCTATCAATTGCTTCAAGTAACATTGCACTTCTATTGGCGTGATTCTTCTTCTTCTTTTTAGCAACTCATTCAGAGTCTAAAAACATAACAATAAATTAAATCACTTGATTTTAACACAGTTCTAAAAGTATATAGACATTCTCATTATCCTCAAACACATCTTCAAATTGAACAATATGCTAATGATGAAGTGATTTATGAAGCTTTATCTCAGTGATTAACTACATTAATCTACTACTATACCTTCGCTTTTGTTCTCCCTGTCTTTAAAGTGCTTTTAGCAATAATCTTCGCTGCTAACACTTTCTTGCTTTCAATAGAAGTAACCTCGTAGCATTTCGCAAACCCGCCCTTTCCTAATACCTTTCCTTTCTAATATCTTCGATATGCAGTCTCTCCATTAGGTTTCTTATACTTTTCCTCTATTATTGAATTTTCAATTTACGGTTATTCTTCCATTTAAATTAAAATTAAAAACCAAAAAAAGTTAAACAATTCAATACCAAATATCTAGTCCATCATATAGTCTACACTCTATCCTTTCATCTCTCTTTTAAATCCACATCTCTAATACAATACTTTAGCCGAAAATACAAGCATCCTTATTAATCTAAGCACCTCATTGACTAATCTCAATACATTCTGTTTTAAATAAATTATTTTCAATATTCTCTTTACATAACATCAACTTAAATTTCTATTATGGTTTAATAATACTAAAGAAATAATAGATGTATGTATTTGTTATAATGTTGAATTTAACAGCTTAGAACCAATACAATCAAAAATCTATATAATTGTATAATATATTCAAAATTTACTCAATTTCCTTTGAAATAGTCAATGAGCTCACCTCCACTTATTATATATTCATAATACAACAAATTGTCGTGATGTAATATTTTTATAACAACAATATAATAATTCTATATTTCTATCAAAATATCAATACTTAATACACTCCTTCTATGTATATTAACTTATGTCTTTATTTACTTAATTAAGTCTATTATTATTGCTTTTTTGAGCTCTTTTCATCACCCTTAAAGTAAAAATATGTTTTCTAAAAATAGATGCTTTATTTTACAAATTTAAGGTTCCCTAAGAAACATTACTATAACTTTATCAAATCTATCTATAATCACATCTATATGACGCCTTGTTACTGTAAAGTAAGATATAAAATTACCTTACTCTTTAAAGGAATTATCAATGAAGGAGCACACCTTTTACTTCTAATATAAAATGATAGAGAATGAAAAAACATTAAATTTCTGTATTGAATTGTGATTACAAATTTTTTGTTTAATCTAAAAACTACGCTACACTTTATAATAAATTATACTGAATTAATAAATGTATTGAATGTAAACTTCTTTTAATATATATATATAAAACCTAAGTGGGAACAAGGTATTTAAAAAGTTTGGCTAATAGAGATTTCTCAATATTAATTAGTTAGAGATTATTCAATAATAAAAAAATAAAATATGGAATCAATTAAAGAAAAACCTGAAGCATGGAACCAAATGAAGAATTAGAAGAATATTTTAGAATTTAATGATTTATATTTGTATTTTACATTTGAAATGTATATAGGATTTGATAATGTCTTGGCTAAGGATTTGTTATGGCTATATTTGTAGATTTCACAATTTCAGTAAAATTTATGTAGTTTCAAACAGATATGAAATAAGCGAGAATCTAATTTGAAGATTCTAATTAACAAATTCAACAAAATTAGAAGGATGAAACTAGTTAGGAAATGGAAAGATCAAAATCTAAATACGAAGAATAAGATAGAATTTCTACTGATTTCATATTAGAGATGAAATTTTTGATTAATACATATATTAATATTATTTATAAAATATCAATGTGAGAGATTTCCTAGGTTAAAATAAATGGAAACTGAAACGCTTAAAATCATGGGTTTATTCAAATGTACAAAATTAATAGGGAAGTTGCAAAAGTGTTTTGGATTACTGATGTGAGGGAAGGATGAATTGAAAAAAGGAGTTTTAAAGAGAGTAGGTGATGATTGCGAAAAAAGTCGATTTTTTAATAAAAATGATGTCATTTTAATATATAAATGGTGTCAGATTAATAATTAAAATTAAATATTTTTGAAAATGATGTTCATAGATTGAACTATAATAATAAAATATATGCAATTACAAACTACTCTCTTCATTATTCTTTTTGACTTGGTAGCGATATCAGATAGCGTTTACACTGCCTTATTACCTTATTTTTCGCCAGTGGCAAAAGACAAAGGATTTACTGAGACTGAAATTGGTATCATGCTTGCATTTTATCCTATTGGAAGTGTGATTGCTACACCGTTTGTTTCTATGTGTAGTTCTAAGAGGAAAGCAATATTAATTGGCTTGATACAGAGTTCTATAGCCACAATAGGAATGGGGGTGTCTAAATTTTCAGAGGGTGGCCTATTTTTTGCGTTATCATGCATTTTTCGAGTGATCATAGGATCTGTACTATAATTTGTCTATATCAATAGGGAGCATCATTTTTGCTGATCCCCTCATATGCAGCATTGCCTATATTATTTAAAGAAGATGTAACATAAAAGATTGCAGGATTAGAGATGGGTCATTGTGTCGGTAGAATAACAAGTACAGGGTTATTCACAATGATTGCCTAGCTAATTTCATTCGATACTTATTAGCTTCCTTGTTATGGATTGGCATTAATCTATGTGGTCAGTTTCTTGGTCACATACAAATATTTTTATCTACCTGAAGTACCTGAAGGAATTTCTCCAAAGAAGAAACAGAAGGAAGCACCCAAACCTTAAATCAATCAAAATCATCCCATCACCATTACCAAGTCCTAAACAATTACTCCGATCGAAGTTATTGTTTAAAACGATAATTCTTTGATTCAATAGAATGAAGATTTAAATTAATCATAGCAATAACTCAAACCGAATGAATTACTAAATTAGTCAGTCTAAAATGCAGAGGTTATTGAAGGATAGCTCTAAAGACATGATACAACTATGCAAACTTTAGAAGTTCCACAAGTCAATGGAATGAGAAAGAGCAGTTCAAGTGGAGGAGAGGACAGATCATGTGAAGAGGATACCCTTCATGACAAGAAGGCGATTAACAAATGGTAAACTTAGATACGATCGATTATCCAATAAAGAAGGGAAGGCAAACCAATTTCTATTCCAGATTCTCCTAAGATGAATAATAGTTAAAAGATGAATCATGTTAGCCTCTTTGAAAGTGGTAACAAGATGTAGAATAGCACTCAGTTGGAGGTTCTTCAAGAATAGGAAGAAATTACAGAGGATGATGGTAAATTAGAAGTCAAAGATTATGTCGATATTTTTAAAAACAAGTCATTGCAAGTGACTTTCATCTTTTTCTTTTGGCTTTCTGCTCTAGAAAATGGATTAAGACCCTTTTTGGTAATTAATATTATAATAATTATAGGCTAACGAATTAGGAGATTATTATGGTCTTTCAGAGTATAACATCTCTTATCTCTTCATGATTCCTATTTTCACATACTTGTTATCTGCAATCTTGGTGGCTCGTTAAACTTATTTTTAAGAATAAACTCTCTTTAAATTCGGAATGTGGATTTTGGCAGTAAGTTTCTTCTTCTATTGTCCAACAGTGTTTAAGTTACCACATTCAATTGCCTTTATTCTTGTTGGAGAGTTCATGAGAGGTATAAGTTTGGGCATTGGCTGTGCACTCTTTATACCAAATATCAGTGACTCCTGTGTGGACAAGGTTGGAGTATGTAAAGCAAATTTGATTGGAGCAAATCTTTACTAATTTGGTTGGTCTTTAGGCGACATATTTGGTCCAATTATTTGTGGAGCATTCGTTGAAAAAATTGGATATGAACTGACCACCTTATTCTCTGGATTTGTTATCATTGTCTTTACAATAATCTATTTAATTTTTAGAAAAAATAAAAGTCGTATCTAAGTAATTACTGTTGAAAACATTAATAACAAAGTGCCATAAAATAACAATGCTTGATTTTATAAAACTGTAAACAATTATAATTAATTAATTGTATTTGGAGAATCTCTTAAGTCCTTCTTTTTATAGTAGAAAATATTGAATGTTATTAATGTTTTAAAGATACTACTATCTATAATTTAGTCTTTAAATCAGCTTAATTATTATATATATATATTATTGGAATGCTCAAACTCAAATAATCAACTAAGTCACATTAACTTTCACTTAAATCCTGTTTAACCTGATCTCTCACTTTATTTTTATTATTTTAGATTAATATTGCATTTAGTATAAATTACACTTTATTTTCTTTGAGTCTCTAAGTATTTACCAGGTATTAACCATTAAATTTCTTAACAAGAAATCCAACTTATTTTTAGCTTATCCAATAATTTAATAATAAATCACTTAATTATAAAATATTATACAAATATAACTAAAATTTCGTATAAACTCAATAGCGTGTAGATGTACCAAACATAATTTGATCTGCATAGGCTTTATATTGATTGACAAGCACAGAATGAAGGGAACATTGAATATTTTGGGCGGAATTGAAAAAGAACTTAAGTGGGTATTATTGAGTAGAAGAATCAAAAGTAAGCAACTTAGAAAAAGCCACAGTGAATGCAAGCTAAATTAAGATGAGAAAGAAGATTTACTTTGAGCTTGGCAACATTATAAGATGGACGTCCAACATTATTTTATGGATTGAGTGGGTCAATGATGACAAGGCTTTGTTATTGGCAATAAGCAAAATTGTGAGGGTCAAAGATTATAGTAGTTTCCTACTCAAAAACTTCAGGTTGATCAGGACAGATGGTTTTTCCTGCGTAGTCTAATTCACATCCATAGACATTCAGGAATTCAATAAGCAAGGTACCTATTGTTGGCCAGCTCTTATCCTGATTTTGATAGCTTTATAGAAATGACACAATCATCAATATCAATCCATAAGAGCTTAAGCCACCACTGTAGGTGTCAGAGAGATCACTCTTGTGAAGAAACTACTTCATAATAAGTGTCAATGGTTTGAGGGGTTCGTAATTTTTGATATACTTACGAATCAACTAGACACATTATAAACCATTATGTTTGGTCTCTTGGATGGAAATGTCAAGTCTCTTATTCATATACTACTTATTGCATTTTGCTCTGAGCACTGGAGTGGTTGATTACGTAACACATTTAGTTTCCTCAATGAATTTGCATTTCTTCAATTCAACCTCAATTCTTTATAAAATATCAGTCACGAACTTCTCATGTTGATTGGATATTTTAATCACCAGATCAATGTCTGAGTGTGGTAAACATAATTCTGTTGCATATGATCCATAGACATCAATTTGAGCTCCGGCATAAGTGGCACTTACAACAGCTGAAATTTCATCTATAAGTTTTTAGAATGCATTCTTATTTTTTTTATTGTATTAATCGATTTCGGAAACAAACAATTTGATATCTTAAGTGAGTTATTCCACAGTATCATAAGTAGGCAAATACTAAGTGCATTGTCCCATTTCCAGTTGATATTCATAGAATTTCATTTCCTTGCTTTAATCCTTTTATTGATTCTTATTCTTTTTGCTGCTCAGTGGCATCAATCCATCTACTTATTCTGTTTGTGTGGCTGTAGTATTTTTAGGATATTCCATCTTAATACCCAACTGTTGTAGATACTACTTATTATTTCTGTATAACTTATCCAATTGATCTCGATCCTAAATATTCAAGGTTAGCGAACATAGTTTCTATCCCTTCTATACTTATGGTATTTTTGGGGTCTAAGCAGTTTTCTTAGATTACAATTCTTGTTGCTCTTCGACAAACAATTGATAGGGTCTCTATGCACTAAAGTTTTGGATCAAAATATCATTCACTTTTTTGCTTTACTCTGACAATTCTTAGACTTCCGTATATATCTTGTTTTTATCTAATGTTTAACTCCAATATTACTCAAAAATTGGCTGTTCTTATTTGCCAAAAGAGCTTAGTAATAAAATTTCGATTCAACCAAATTCAATATTATCTCGTCATGCACTATTTGGATAAACACTTTATTAATACGTTCTTTTGAAATCTAGATCTCTTCCTTCTCCCATAAAGACAATGCAAACTTTGTGACGTCTTCCATATGGCCCACTATTTCCCTTACTCTCTTCAAAATATAAACTAATGTTATCAATAGGTTCTAATCTTTCTATTGAGATAGAATATTCCTGAACAATATATTATCTATGATTGGGAAATGCTGTCGAATCTGCTTTAAAACATCTTAATTCATCCAACAAAAACGAATATTTAATAAATACTTTTAATTTAAATAAAATGTCCAAAATGTTTCATACAATGGCTGATCTCTCGGATCTAGATGCCATTACTAAATCCAACAAGGAGCGACTTCGTTTACTTAACATTCTTCCTAAAGAACAAAAGGCAGAGATCGAAGTTTAAACAGATGTTTAAACTGAAAAAATTGTTTAAATACTTCCCAAAGAAGATTCACTCACTTTACTTAATCTAAGCATCAATAAGTACATCCAAGAAGTAGATCAATACAACAAGTAATATCAACAAAATCTAGAAGAATTAATCAACAAAATTAAAGCCACAGTCAGGAGAGTTCTGAATTAAGAAGCATATGTTTATGGATCCTTTGCAACTGAACTCTCCCTGCCTAACAGTGACATAGATATTGTCATCATGACTGCATAAACCATGTACATTGTTGATCAAATGAAGAAATTGGAAATTGAATTTTCAAAAACTAAATTCATAGAAGAAACTAAATGCATTCTATTCACTGCTATTCCTGTACTCAAGTTGAAGTCTGTCAGCTACTATTTTAACAAAAGAATTGATATTTCATTCCAAGAACCCAGACACAATGGTATCCAATGTGTTTCATTAATTAAATCTTACCTCAACTATTTGCCAGAATTGAGACCCTTGACCATGGTATTAAAGTAATTTCTATCTCAATCCTCTCTCCTAGACCCATATCAAGGAGGATTAAGTAGCTATGGGTTGAACTTGATGATCATTTCCTTTTTGCAATCTCGCACTGGCCAATAACTTTCCTTGGGTTAATGCTTAGTCGAATTTCTGTACCTCTATGGATGTGAAATGGACTACATTGCAAAAACCATTTATGTATTCCTACCTGACTAACAGATTTCAGCTTATCCCATTTATTTTAATCCATAAAATGCAGTTAATCAAATTCCAACTCTATTGATATAAGATCCTCTAAATGAAAAGCATAATGTTGGAAGACCTACCTACAATATCTAAGCTATCAAATTTATTTTTGCTGTTGGATTTATGAAGGCTTTAAATTATTAATCAGATCAGATTGATGATTTTTTATCATGTGGAAAGGATGTTCAATTAAAATTAGAGTCTCATATACATAATTTCTATTAACAATGATTTTGAGTATATAATATATAAGATGATCAATAAATGATTAAATGTTAATAATTTTTGAGTTAATCAATATATGCTTTTAGGGTATGTCTATTTGTTATGATATTCAAAGGTTTTGTTTTTTATTAATCATTATGTTTTTTTGACAATTAATTAAAAAATATAATATAATTAGGTTTCTGTTAATATCGTAGCTATTAAATAAAGAGATGCTAATAAAATAGACAATAAAGAAATTTAATTTTTATATGACTCATAATTAAGATCTTGTTTGTTTGTTTCAATCTCTTTGGATTTAAAATTATATTTATTTTTTTTGTAGGTATCTAAAAACTTAAATCAATTATCAATTTATTCATTTTACTCATTCAATATAAAATTAAAATACATCTAAAAACTTTATTAAAAATTAATCAATAATTCTAAATAAATTTCAATTCTCAATTTACATAAATTTCTTATAATTTGATGGCATTTCTTATATAAAGGATTAGCACTCCTTTGATTTTAATAAAGTTTTGCACTCTTAATTGACATGACTAAACTTCTTGGCGTAAAACAATATTTTTCCTAACCAAATTTTAAGATTCATTCTATTGGCACACATTAACAATTGATAAATTATTTATATGAAGTTGGGACTCCTGAACATGACTTCTTGTATTCTGGATAAGAATTCAAAACTGGCCTAATCTTGCAACAACTAGCTAATCAAAGGGATTATATACTTCATTGAATAGCACTTCATCTGCAACTAGTTTCAAATACACTTCAACTGATTATAAATCTCTTTACAAACACATAAATGGCCATAATTATTCATATTGCTCCTTTAATTTAATGATGTTATTCTAATCTACAATAAACATTTCTTTAATATCTTAGGGCAAGACTTCTAATTTTAAAAGTAAAGATATCTGATATTGCAATTGTGAAAATCTGATTTTAGGATTTAATTACCAAATAGTAATTGCAACCTTTTTGAGTAAATTTTTATAAACATCCTCAGGGCAATTACCATTGTGAATTAAAACATTAGCAAAGTAATAAGGATTTTCCATCAAATCTACTATAAGAATAAGCTAAGAAATTTAGATGAAAATATTTACATCTCTTTATAAGAAGTCCTTATATTATTCAAATTGTTAGAGATCTCTCAGAAAACTCTATCCAATAGAAGCAAAGAAGGAGTCAACCTTCCCATAGATGATTCCTAATTGCATTGAAATCATATATTGATCATAGGAAAGAGTGGTAGGATTCAAGACATTGGTGAAGTATCCATTAAAGGAATGGTAGGTTTCCTCAGATATTTATTGACATTTAGTAGAGACATACTTGAGATAATTCAAATTCATAGAAGGCATTTCAAATTGAATTCTGAGTATATTTAAGAGTATATTCTATCTTTCATCTTCGTCAACAAAGCCTAAATTCTTCATGACAGAATCCATATTTTGATTACTAAAATCATCTTTTAATAATGAAATCACAACCAAACTAATTAATTTGGTGATGAGAGAATTGGTGTCGACATTTTTCTTTTTTGATTGTCTGTCTTGGATTCTTTTATTTTGAGAGACCCTTAAACAATAGATATAAGTAAATAAGATTTTTTTTTAAATCTCTTGAAGCTTGAGCAATTAGAGAATAAATTCAACGGATATATTTCCCAGCAATTACTAAGTGAATATTGTTCCCATATTCAGAGCAAACCAATCCAAAATACTAATTTCATTTTCTAATTTCATATATTGTAATACATTTATTCGAATCATACGTTTCTCGATTCTCTAAGTTCAATAACACTCCGAAAAATGTACTCAGAATAGATTCTATTTTTTGATCTTCATTGATAATTTATTTCAATGCATTTAAATTATAAAACAATGGATAAGTAATTGCATACATGTCAATCAAACTTGCTAGCAATTTATTTAAAAAAGGATTTTCATGTGAATTTATTACTTTTTCAAGGTATTAAATATTAACTCCGAACTCCTCCGACTTCAGTAGTTCTTCCTATACACTTGAATTAGAGGTTGCTTCTATTAATAGACCATGTAGAGGTGAAAAGGTGTCAATATAATACAGTTAGTCTTGGCTCAACTGTCCTCCTAAATAGAATGTGTTTTTGAATAATATTTTCCCCATTTACAACAAATGTTCATGAGTCTAAAATAATTGATTACATTTGAAGAATTCAAACAAATCTTTCTAAACAGAAGTTTAAAATATTGAAATATATCTGCTGAGTAATTCAAAGATGCAACAATCACAACTATTGAGAATTTTGCAGTCTTTGATGCCTTTAGTATAATAGAGATCCTTGCATTCATGCTAAAAGTCGAAATTAAATTAATTGGATCCTATTTTCTCAAGCATTACTATTGCTACTAGATTTCTCAAATTTGGATACTTAGCCAATAGTTTGTTTAAGTAATCTAAGATGCACATCAAATAGCAATTAAGTGAAACTATTTTTTGAGGATTCGTTAACTCTTGCAACGTATTTTCCACTTCATGTAACAAATGGAGGAAAGAGCATTAAACAAATATTAAAAATTCCATAGCAGCATCTCCAAACTAAATAATAGGTTGCTTTTTGGTCACTCTCTATGATGCCAACTTCTGAATAATTTGTTCTTGAACTGATCGCAGTGAATTTCTATATATTTATTATTACTTTTACTTTTCAACATATTAGGCAACGAGTCTTATTTCTAATAATTAATTAATTTATTTATTTATGATTGATAATTATCCAATAAAATCCACTTTGGATATTTCCTCATCTACTTTTTTTAAGTCAAAGAAATCCTTTGCTGCATTCTATAGGATTTCCATAAATTCTTCATTATTTATAAGAGATTTATTCAGCTTGGATAATGACAGACTATTACTTCTTCTACCTATTGGCCTCCGAAGTGAGAATCAATTCTCTCAAACAGTCCTTTAATTTTTTCTGCTATCTGTTAACTAAAGGGTCTGTTCTTTTTCTTTTGGATGTAGAAAAAACCAGTCAATGCTAAAATTGCTGTTAGACCTAAAAACTTATATTTATTCTTTAATTCCATAATTATATAATTAAATAAATGTGAATCAAAATCTCTCTTTGAATAATTTTTTATTTTCCAATTTATTTTGAAATTTGAGATTTGTTCAATAAATATGACTCATCTTATCTGGAGTATTTCAATCGGTCAAGTATTATCTCAAAATAGTAAATGATTCATATATATATATATTATTTTTAATATATAAATTATTTTAATTAATGGCATACGTCTTTACCTTTTCGCCTTCACAATAAATCTATATTGGATCAATAAACGATGCCTCCAATTTAAATTTCTTGGAGTAAAAACAAATCAAACATATCATTAATTGTAAGGCATATGAAATTAAATAGTTTTGGTACTTCTGAATGCCCAAATGTCTATGAGTTTAAATAATAATTTAATTACTCGAAGTTAAATATCTAAGAACATGGTGAAATCCTGCCTAACCAAACCCTACAATGGTTTTAACAAAATAAAGATGGAAATGTCTTGATCCACAGTCAATTTGGAATTAATAGAGCTCCAGCTCTTATTGCAGCTGTAGTTTAAAAGATCACTTAATGCAATTTAAATGAAATTCTACAAACTATCTCATTCAAAAAGCCAGACATTAAGGTTTCAAGTAAGATCTAGGAAGAATAGGAACTAATTTAGTTAGATCAGTATTTCTAATAGATCTCAGCTCAACTTAAACCTTAAATCAGAACTTAGAAAGACTGTGCCTTTAAATGTATCAAGTGTAGAACTGATGTATTTGTGTCAGCAGTTTTGGTTCATGGAATAAGTAATAGTTGATTTAATATCATTTAGAGCCTGAATGCAATCATTATTTCATTGAAAGACCTCATTTCATAGAAGAGTATGAATAAGATGGTAAAATATCTTGCTAAAAATGTAATTAAAGGGTAGGCGACTTTAAATATATTGGATCTAAATGTAATTGTGGAGAATACGTATGTCCTGCTTATATGTATAATAAATCGAAAGTAGACAAGAAAATAATATGAGTAAAATAAAAAACATTCGATATTAATTCAATTTCTTCTATGTTTATATTTAATAGTTGATAATTCTTTAATAATACTATTTCTTAATATAAAATAATGTAATGAAAATGATATAATATTTAATAATAACCCTTCTAGATTTTGAAATATGAAATATATGTAAATGTATTTCAAAACCTATGATCATTAGAAGAATTTTTGCACAAAATCTATACATTTATTTGGAACATTGTAAATTGGATTCTAAAAGTTACTATCTGACAAAGAATAACCACTTAATCCATAACATGTATGATAAGTATCGGGGTTCTTACTTGGTTTATCAAATATTCCTCCTGCCGGGTTTTGACACATTTGAATATAGGTCTTTAATTCTTATACATCCATTAACTATTCATTGACATAGCCAGATAACATGAGCAAATTGAATATAGCTCCTTGCCAAAATGAGTAACAGGAATCCACGACTTTATTTGTCCTACCATTGAAACCTCCTTCATTTTCCATTTATCTACTCACTAACCAATTCAATAGTTTCTCTTAATCTATGTAATGTGCCTTGCCCATACACACTAAAGCAGCGTATCCACAATAAGCATATCCTCCATGAGCCTCAGAATACCTAACAGCTCCAATACCTCCTTCATAAGTTTGACATGATGCAATATACTCAGCACAACCATCCAATAACTTGGGACTAATATATTTGCAAATATTGATACTCTAATTTTAGAATGACCACCATTATCACAACTATATATACAGCCCTCATGTCTGCTTCTCCGTTTATATGCATTAAATAAGATCCCTTTTCCCTTGGATCCTATATAGACCAGAAGAAATTTTCCAATCCCTTTCTATCAATCAATCCTAAAGAAGCTGGAGATCCAAGAATGAATAATGCTACAATACGAATTATTTATACTTAACAAAGACGAATAAGTAGGTGCTAAATGTTCAAATTAATAGGGACCCCCACCAAAGCCTCCAATTTTGCATTGCTGCAAATATTAGAGAATTTTTTCTTCATATTTTGATACATCTTCTTATAAGATACTCAAAGCATTTAGTGGCCAATATATACACCAAGGTTACCCAACATCCAAATAGAGAATAGAGTAACCAATATTTAATAGTCTCTTTGTACAATATTTTATGTGTTGATCTGCTAATAATTCTAGTTTATCGAGTGGCTCATATTCTTTGTAGTATTTATTCTCCAGCAAATCTTGGGGGACTTCTTCAGACTCCGCATTTTAGTATTATTTTCTGATTTAGGCAATTGCAGAGTGTACAAGATTTTATTCATTTTAAGTACGATTCAGCTATTTCATTTAATATAGAAATTTCTTAATTATTAAAATACACGTAATTTAATATGCTTTTTCTTACATTCTTGATTAGTGTTTCTGTAGCTTCTCAAGACTTACTCAAGAAATGCTATTTAGAACAATTCACCATTGGTGATCCTGAAGGTAATAATCATTTTTAAATTCCTAGTTAAAATATAGATATACTTTGAGGATCATGTAGTAAAGAATCATCAGATCGAGTATGAATGTTTGGAATTTATCATTTCAAGAGGATATTATAAAGTTGCGCTGAGTCTTTATGAGAATTATTTCCTCTTGAATCATATCGATATTACTGATAGAATTGTGTATTGTTCTTTAATTTATTTAGTGCATTCTTAAAGAATGATAAGTATCTCAGCTAAAGAGAAATGTAAACTCTATTCAAATTGGCAATGGCACAAAGCAATCAAGTTTAAGTTGTCTAGCCTGTAGTGTAATGGGCTCAATCAAAAAACGCTACATTTATCAATATCAAGTTCTCTCACAGACAAGATGCCCCTGCTTGTTTGAATGCAAAGTTGGAGGTAGTTGAAATAAAGAGTGATTCCCTCTTGATAGAAGCATTTGGAATAGTTTCCCATATTCCATTCAAATATAGATATGCCATTAAATTGTATAAACTAATTGACCCGGCTACTAGTTATGAAAAAGTGGAGTCTGTAGGAACTATGTATGTGAATCTCACAAAGGTAGAGCCAGGTAATTCCATCTTAATATTCATTAGTATTGTGGTTAAGATTGACTGAAGAGGATTATAAAACTCCAATTTGGTGGGACCTGAAGGACAATTACAGAAAAGATATGGAAGAATTTACTCAAATGCTTGAAAAGGAAAGCGAAAGGAAAGAGAAAAATGCAGATAAATAGGCAAAAAAAAATCAGAAAAAGCGGGATTAAGATAAGCAAAAATAAACTACTCTAAAAGCTTAAGAAGCAAAAAGATAACTAGAATATGAACACAATTAATGCTATAAACCAGGAAAATGTGAAATAGGATGGTATTAAAGACAATGATTGTTTATAATTGGTTATTATTCAATTCCCTAATTATTATTTTACATTTTCAACTAATATTTCTAACTTTTTCTTCCTTCGCCTATTGACAATCAAACCTTAATAAACTCTCTTAAGTATTTATAATTTAAATTTACTATTATTAAATATCGTTGAGATACATTGAAGATATAAATTACTTTTCATAATGTATCCTTTATCGTGTATCTAGTAAAGAATTATATTTAATATTAAAAATATTTAATCATAATAATCTAAAAGAAATTAAGATATTTATTTATGTTTAGATTAAATTATTTCATTTATTATTTGTTTAAATTTCATTTGAAATTTAAACAAATAATATTGTAATTTTTGATTAATTAAAATTAGGTAACTTATTTATAAAAACAACTTTTAGATTTTAATGTTCAATTTAATTATAAAATATTCCCCATATTCATTCTATCCAAGGTCAAATCTCTTCTATTTCTTCGTTGTCCTCTCAAGATTTTACTATGGAGGTATTAATTAAATAGCGATGTATCTTCTATTTGTTTTGCTACTGTAGGTAAAATAAAGCTGGCTTCTTTTGTTAGTTAATACCTGCAATCAACACTTCTACTAATAGGAACTTGAGAATTAGATGTGCTTATGTTCGTACTTTTATTAGTTATAGTTTGTATAGTATTACATTAGTTTCTGATTGAAGTCTGGGGGGTTTCATTAGTTTGTGTATAAATCTTTAGTGTAATCGATGGCAGTTCTTAGGTATTTTTCAGTTTAAAACGTTATGAAATAAGTGATTATTACTCTATTATTTGAGATTTTCGCTTTATGGATGATTAGTTTTTGGGTACTACCAAATCGATTATTTAGATTTCATTATATTCATTAGTATCGATCTCTAAAACTTCATGTTCTGGTATGGATAAATTACATAGTCCTCCATTTACACTGGTAATAAGATCATCTTTTAGATAATAGATAAAATCTATTTAAACATGGAAATTGATTGTATAAATGCAAAATCCATTGGTCGTCCATATTTTCATTTGTTATAAAGAATTGCTGATAATATAATTTTTGTTGCTGGTTATTTATTTGATATCGTTTTCATGTCCAGAACTAGTTTCATAAGCTATTAGATTTGAATTAAAGACGAATAACTCATTGGATATTGCAATTGCTAGCTATTTAGAATAAGTCAAATGAATTGGTCCTAATTTAAAAAGTTTAAGTGATTTAATCAGTTAGGTTTTATGAGATTGAATTTGAACAAAATTTATGACATTATCAATACTATTGATAACCAATTGATCGTTAAAATGAAAAATATTTTAAATAGCAGTTTTGTTATAGTTTACACGGGTGTAAATAATCGTAAAATTTTCAAAAGGGACACACAATACAGCTCCTTTGGAACAACCCAAAATAAAAAATAAAGATTGATCTGCATTTTTAAGCATCTTGGAGATTTTGATCTGGTCTTTAGAATCAATAGTTAACTCAACATCATATAGAGGAGGAGATATAGCAAGAATTTGAACAAAGGTAATTTCTTGATTGATTTTGTCTCCATTTATAGTTCTAATTTTGTCAAAGTTGAGAACTTCCGTCTATTAATTATTGACGCATTTCGCTAAAGTTTAATTCTATAAATGAAAGTAACATGTATTTGGTTGATTTGGATTATCGATAATTTAGAGTACTTAATAAACTGTATTGGAAGGAAATATGACTTTTTTAGTTAAATTAGAGTAAAGGAGGTGATCTTTAAAGGCAATGCATTAGTTAGACATTGCAGAGATGGATGAATTGTGTAAATAGTAAGCCTGCAATATATGGTTTAAATCGCAAATAAATAATTCATCAGCTGATTGCAGAAAGTATTTAGAGTAATTGATGAATTTGAAATACTATATCTACTGTTGATAGATGGGATAAGATTGACAAAATAAGAGATTACTCAATTTCCAAACTTTTATAATAAGATCATTTGCAACAGTGAATAATTCTTCTTTATGAACTGTCATACTCACTATCTAACCCTCATGAGCATGCTCATAGTAATGTAACAGTAAGCCGTTGAGATCATAACACCAAAGAGTACCATACACATCTCCTAAATATAATAAATCATTGATATAATAGAAATCTGAAATTGTTAAACCTAATTAAATTGACCCTACATGTTTGATAGTTCTCATATCATAAATTGTGATATTTTAAGAATTGTATAGGATATAAAAATAATCCTATAATTTGCATTATCTATTCCACTCCAGGGATCCAGGCAGCTCTTAATATTTAACAATCTTAAATCTTTCTTTCATTTCGACTTAGAAAGTACTTACTGAATTGAATTATACCATTACAAAGGTGTTTAAATGATCTAAGAATAACAGGTTTGTGAATTATTTGCATTCCAATTGAACTTTATTTACTATTTAAAATTCAAAATTAAGAAAGTAAATAAACCAATCTTAGCACAATAGGAAGTACAACCTCTTCTTTTTGGACATTGTAATATCAAATATTCGATATGATTTTTTTTTACACCATAATACTTATCTGATAATTTTCTCTTCCAAATAATGATATTTAAAAAGCATTTTCTTTTTGTGATATATCAAGCAACAATGATCCCAAGTATTCATACAGAAAATTTAAACTGCATACGTCTCCATCATCCTTTTAGAAAAACAACCCAAGGTCATTACCTAATTCATAAATTTCGAAAATATATTATAATTTTTAAATGCTCTACATAAAGATATTATAATATTTTATTATCTTCTATTTCTCAATTAAAATATAAAGAGGCATAGAGATGGAATCAAAAACCTTCGATTCGATATACCACAATAGATAATAATGATATTTAATATTGAATTAATAATATCCATTTATTTATAATTTATTACATGTAATTTCTCTTTATTAACCAAAATAAAATTTGGCAATATAATTTTTACAATAAATTCCCTTTTATCAAACTTAATAGTACTAATTATATACCATCTCTTGCTGAATTTATCCAAGTTTGCTTCCTAATTTGAAGTTCAAAGAAATCTATCTTTAAGCAATTTTTTTCAGACAGAAGAATTTTGCTTATGTAATTTCTGAGATCACGACTCAATTTAATCACAAATTTATATATTTTAATATGATGCTTGAAAAATCCATATTTTTAAAATACCTATAGCAATTATATAGGTTGTAAAATTTAAATGCATATTAATTAAACATTGCTGCTTTTTTGATTTAAACACCCTTTTCCAATAAATTACGCATTCTTAACTCCAATAGAAATTTCAATTACCCAAATAAAAAGATTTGTATTTTATTTTTCTGAAGATACATATTTTTTATAATCAACACTCTACAACTCCACTCCATAAATTTATTCTAATGAATTCAAAGTAGTAATTATTCAAATGGGGTAATGGAATAAACCTTTATCAAAATTTTCAACATCTTTTAAAAACAGCCATATAAATTTACAAATCTTGGAGATTTTTTTGAATTCTATTAACGATATTTTGAACCATAATCATCAAAGTAATTAAACTCTAAGCCATATTTAATTTACTTCTAAGGTAACTTATACAATGGCAGAAGTAAAAACAATTCCATAAATTTTTATATTATTTCATCAATTCTATATCTAAACTTTTTATCTATCTTTGATCATCTAAGTTGATAATTGGACCATCAATTACATCGTCCAAAATCTTATAATCAATTCTGGAGATTTAGTCTTCTAGTATCTAAATTTAGGGCTAAGAGAGTTTGAAATTTTCGTTGATGATACAGTGAATCTTTAGCAGATCAATATCTAGTTTAATTATATTCAGCTTAAAGGAGCAATTTGATATTATATTTTCGTCAATTTGTGTTAACTAAAGTGATTGAGAATGTATTAATTTTTATCATATAAGAGATACTCCTGATAATTTTTGTTTTTACTTCATGATAGGATAAGTGTCTATTCAGAGGAATCTGCCTTGAATTAGTCTTGCTGTATCAAAAGAACCTCTAGATTCTTATACATTTCTTAATTGAAAATTCCCTAATAATGAAATGATAAAAAGCTTGAATTATCTGATCTACTTATTGTTAAGAATTGAGTTGAACTCTTTTAATACATTCAAATTAAAATTGTCTTCCTATTTTTGCAAACAACATCCAACTTATTAAAATCAATTGAATTTCCATATATTTTGATTTAATAATAGACTTTGGATTCAATTTACAACTTGATAATTATGTGTTAAAAAGTGTCCAAATAAGAAATATAGGATATGTAATAATAACATAATTTATATAATGAATGATATCAGCGATTAAAGGAAAGACATTTAATTCCTTTTTATGGCTTAATAAAACATGAAATGTGAATTGGGCTTCAATATCTTTCATAAATACATAATCAAAGGGTATTTGAGCCAAAACCATAATCGTGTTTATTAGGCCTAGGATTCATGTGGAAAATAAGTGGCGATTAAAGAAGTATGAATTAACTGAAACCTAGAATCATGATATAAAATAAATGTAAAAAGAAGTCTAATTGTTAAAGTCACTAGATCACCCTAATATTGTTTAATATCTTGATTCTTGTATTTTATCTTATTCCATCAATTAATACCATCAAGAAAGATTAGGTTATATATGTATGGAATTGGGATCATACAACTTGGATGACTTTAAACAAGCAGGGTATCCAATTGATAATACTTTAATTGATCAAACTCTTAATGCCCTTGCATATTTGCAAAGAAAACATATTGCTCATTGCGACATCAAACCAGCAAATATTTTGGTTATGGAATTGAAACCTATTTGTTATAAAATTTGTGATGTTGGTTCAAGCAAGCTCCAAAGTTCAGAATTAGTTGACTCTGTTGGAGTATTATATATGTTTATTTCAAATTTAGACTTATAAATATATGTCACCAGAAATGTTATAAGGGGATGCCAAAAACTATTATTTATCTGATGTCTTTTCGTTGGGATTGCTGTATCTTAGTATTTACAAAGACTTCTCAATATCTCATGCGAAACGTTGTGAAATAACTCCTCAAGAATTTATTCAGAAATTACATGCTAAAATCAATTAAGATGAAGATGATGTTTCGATTCTTTTAAGAAAGATGATCTAACTTGATCCAAAAGATAGACTTGATTTTATTTAACTAGAGTAGTTTTGGGAGGATCATAAAAGAAATAAAATAAAACAATCCATGCTAGATTCTAAAGAAGGTTCTATTAGATTTAATTCCAACACAACTTTCCTTTAGGATGACTCGCCTTTGAAATCCTCACCTTATAAAATTGGTAGATTGACTAAAAAATTATAACCAAATTCCAAATAATCATTTTATTCATAAGGCAATAATTTTTCAAATGAGAAAAATAATTCTGTGCTTCCATTTTCATCGAACCAAATAACTGACAGAAAAACCGCAACATCTACCAGGTAGAGAGTTCAATCTTTTTAATTAAAATTCGAATCGATTCAAAAACCCGCAAAATCACCTGAGAAACCTAAATTAGCTAGCCCACTTAAATAAAATACAAACAATAAGTTTTAACTTCCTCAGCTTCCGCTTCAGCATTTGAAAATTAGATTAATTCAATCATGATTTTTGTTTCAACAATACTATTTAAATAGAATTTATATATATTTATTATAAAAATCAGTATGCTTTAATCAATAATTCATAAGTTAGTAAGCAATATTAAGATCATTATTTTGATTTGGAATGTTGTTATTAAATTATTATTAATTAGGATATTATTACTATTATCCTCCTTATTAAAATTAGTTATAGGGTAAGCTTTAATAGCTATTATTTTGATATAACAATTATTATTATTATTATTATTACTAATATTACTATTATTACTATTATTATTATTAGTTTTAGTTTTAATAATAAGGTTATTATTGAAATTAAGAAACTATTGCTTATTATGGAAGTTATGGTTATTATGAAAGTTATGGCTATTATGGTTATTATGGCTATTATGGTTATTATGGCTATTATGGTTATTATGGCTATTATTAATATTAAGTACCAAAAAAAGGAGCATGACTTGAAATTTTGCATAGGAAATTGTGGAAAACTCAAATTTAATTTATTTGGCTTAAAATTAATAATAAATTATACTCTTTGAACTGTAATTGCAAGGATCTCCTTAAATTCGTCAAATTTAATAAAATTATCGTCATTCAAATCGAAAACTTTGAATGCTACTCTTAATTCTTCATTGGTTAATTATTGGTTAATTTATTTAGCCATGACATAAAATTCCTAAAAAGATAAAAATCCATCTCTATTCTAATCAAATCTACAAAAAAAATCAAATAGATTCAATCTAAATTAATTGATTCCATCCTTAATAAGTAAAATAGTTTATTCAGGAGATCGCTACTTGCAAATATCTTCAAAAGGATTTGTTTCTAAATCTTCCTATGTGAACATAGGATTATAGAGCTAATTGTCAAATCCCGCTGGAGCTTATATGTTGGCTTAGCTCTATATTGGCTAATTAGAACCCTAAGGTTAGATTCCAGGTGAAGGGGCAGTTTTCATAGTCGATTGACGATGAAATTTCCTAGTTAATAAAGTCATCTTTGTATTATTATCAGTTAACCATTTTGCAAATTCATCAAAAGAAATAGTTTTATCCCCATCAAGATCCAATTGTTTAAATATGATTTTGCAATCATTATTCGATAACGTTTTCTCTATTTTTGTAAGTAGTACAACCAATTCTTTATATTCTAAATTTTGATCTCCATTGACATCTAGTTCATTAAATAACTTAATCACATCGATATTCTACTTGATGATTTTTTACCTAACTTCGTTCATCAGAAATTTGATTTGATCCTGTTTAATTTGAGATCTGTAATTCTTGAAATGCTCACACACCAATTTATGTTTATAAACTGCATCCCAATCAAATCTCTCCTCTAAAATATTCAATCTCTATTACCCTCTTCAATTGCCAAACAACCTTCTATGAAAGATTTCATCTCATTACTAATTTATTTTTTGTCTTCTGAAAATTAGAGTAATGTATGCCATAATTAATGTTGATAATCATCTAACTTTGCACCAAACCAAGGAGTGTATCCAAAGAGCACTTAATATAATATGATACCAAGTGACCATATATCACATTTATTTGTATATTTTTGACCGGATAAAATTTGTGGTGATAAATATTGATATTAGGATAGCTATTACTACTCCTTTCTGAATGACTCTAAACATTTGGATAACCCACAATCTAGTTATATTTTACATAAATTACCAGCTAATTTGAAAACTCCTTCATTTACCATAATGTTGGATAATTTTAATCCTCTATGCATCACCCCGTGTTTATTTAACTCAGTGAACCCTTCAAGTAAATCATTTAACATCTTAATAGCTTCTTATTCACTCATACACATTTTCTCTTTGTCCTTCTTTAAATACCTAACATAACATATAATATTTAACTGTTATAAATTGAGTTGACTGTATTCCATCACCATATAATATGTTCCCTCATGTTAAAATACATCTAAAAGTTCCACTACTTTTGGATTCTTTATTTTTTGAAACAATTTTATTTCATCCAACAAAGCCAACCGAATAGCCTCGTCATCCTTTAAAATACTCCTAGGAATTGCCTTAAGAACCACATCAATATTTTTCTCAGGGTCCTTCCCTTTATCAACCTAAATTTAATCTAAATATAGTACTCTCCCCAATGATCCGCTTCCTAAATAACCTGAATTCGAAGTTGTATATTTTCCTATGGACTTTTGCATTTAATTTAATTTTTATTAATAACAAACCTCATTAAAATACTCGATCACGTTTATGCTAACTATAAGAATCTCACTATACTGATAACTTCAAGTCCAAGGGGGTCAAACTGCTTATATTCTATCACATTAATCGAATAAATTGATATACTCTTTTGAATATCATGAGAAAGTCTAATATGTATAACTGAATTTTCCAGAATCTCAAATTGCTTTTATAATAATTAGGTGATTATTCCTAAGGTTCTTACAGTATTATTTCAGTCTACACCTATGGAGGTATTTCCATAGGCACTATTCAAAATTTGGAACTCCCATAAATGCAGTGTATCTTATGATTTGAGAATTAATTTTAAAATATTCTTAATTATTCAAATGCAATATAAAGTTTCAATAACTACTATTTCAAACTTACTTTTTGAGTACTTTCACATTGAATAATCACTCTCTTTGATAAGATTGTACATAATTATAAATATTATTGAAATATTGCACACTTCATAAAACTACAATATTAATTATTCATATTATTAAATATCTGTTAAATGCAACAATCTATTATAAATAGGAGTCATCAAAATTAGAGTTTAAGAAATTCAACTCATCAAAATACATCTTCAAAGACAGTCACAGCTTATTAAGAATATATTGCAAATCGCTAATCAGCTTCCAAAAGTCTCTCTTAGGTGTGCTATAATTGTGTGAATAATGAAATCTCTGACTAAAAGAAACACCTTAAATAGAAAATAATTGAATAAGATAAGGCTTATGTTCAAGAAATGACTAAATCAATCATCAAATAATAAGAAGAGGAGAATACTTAGATCATATAAAAGAAATTAAAAGAAAGAGAATTCTTATAAAAAAGTTATCAAGAAAGCCAAAAATATAGGGAAGAAAGAAAAAGCAAAGAGAAACAAGATAATGATAAGTTGGCATAATAAATTAAAAAAACCGATATTTTAGATTAAAATAGAATCTAATAAGAAGTCATCCAATCGTATTACAAAAAGAAATAGTTTATGGAAGGTTTGAATGAGTAAATTAAAAATAGAAAAATAAAAACACAAGATGATAGTCAGAATGAATGGTTTAAAGTGGGAGATGAGGAAAAAGCCGAACAAATTATTTATTAAAAAAAGATTATTGAAAGGAATTTATTAAAACAACAAAGAGATGAGTCATTAAAAATGAAAGAATCTGTCTTAATTGAGTAAGAAAAACAAAGAAAAAAATAAGAAAGATAGCAAGCAGATTATTAACATTAGTTAGATTAATAAATTAAATTAGCAGAGCAAGGAAAAAAAAGAATGATAGAAACTTAATATTCAAAGTACTTATAGAAAGCCATTTAAGAGCAAAAGGAAAAAAAAGTATGATTATTCAATAATTTAGAGAAATGAGAGGATAATGACTGCAGAAGAATATAGATTGAATTGTGAATTAATCAATAAGCAAATACAAAACAGAGAAGAGAGTGAGCAAAATCAAGAGGTTTAAAAGAAATTGTAATACATTGAAGAATTGAATTAACAATACAAATAATAATTAGAAATAAAAGCTAAAGATAAATAGAAAAATAGATATATTGAATAAAAGTTATAAGAATCCAATAAGAAATATGAATATTTAAGAAAAGAATTGGAAAAACCTAATGTTAAGCCATGTTAGAAATGTAATAAAAGTTATGATGCAAAATGCCTATCCAAAAGTAAAATATTTTGAGTAAGAAGTATTTAAAATAAGTAATAAATTTTGAATAAATTAATTATAAATTTAATTTAAATTATAAGATATTCTTTCTACAGATTTACTTAGAATGAGCTTCATTTAATTAGATCAGTTAATTAATAATCAATTTCATTGTAATTGAAATTAAGATCGAAATTTGAAGAATGTGAATTTAGATAATAATAAACATAATAAAAGCCTGTTACATTAGAACGAATCATTCTTCATTTTCTTGCTTGACTTTATTTGATTCATATAAATAAGAACTATACAAACTTCTTAAGTTTTGTTGTTATTATATATAAGCATTTAAAGTCATAGACTAAAAAATATTAGTATATCTACATAATAATATTATGGAATAGGATGATAAAAAACATATTACTGTGGTTGTTTGAAAGGAAATCCATCACTACTAAGATTTTAGTCTGTATTAAAAGATGATTTTGCTTAATAGTTAATTTATTGAGGAGGATCAAAATTATTATCTTATCTCTTATACAAGTTTTCTAGAGGATACATATTCGTAGTAAAAATCGGAAGTTTATTATTAATTTTATGTAAAATAACCTAATTAATATAAATAATATATACTGCATTAATATTAATATTCAAGTTTTTATTATTGCATTTTTCTTATTTTTAGTTTATTTTAGTTTCAGAACGTTTACTATTATCAGAATTATAAGATTCACTAAATTAAGATAATAAAATACCTTAATTTTTGTAACGTAAGAAATATGAATTTAATTTTGCCTATGTCGTCATTATCAATTTATTAAGACAAGTTATAATTTTTATACTTGAATATAATGTTTCTAAATAAATAAGCGAATTCTAAGCTATCTGTTGATTATTTGGATTCATCTTGATTTGTACAAAAGATCTATGAGATAATCGAAGGTTTTAAGGTTTTAGTCATTTTGGAACCTAGATGAATATAGTTGATACCATTTTTATTTCTATTAATCGCTTTAGATAGACGGCGTAGAACTTTTCGGACGAGGGAATAGAAATAATTTTTAATGAGTCCATCAGTTCTATTTGGTAGCTCTTTGGCTATGATTCTCTAAATTCTAAGTGAAATAACTACCCATTTATTTCCGTGTTTAATCTATAACTCAAATAGTTTATCAATTTCGTTTTGTGACCATTGATCTTTATTTATCTGAGGGTTTAATTGATTTTAGAACCTTTCTTTACAAGACTTGCCAGATCTTTTGAATCCCATTAAATTCATATTTTTTGAAACTCTTTTCCAATTGAAATTTAATTGTTAACAATTCTATAGCAATGCATTATCTTCCTAAATTTGGGTTAAGTAGAAAACATACATCTTGTTACCAATTCTTCCTTTGCATGGGTTAGAATATATATAATATAATTATTAAAAAATATAACATAAGCGTTTTCAGCTCATTTTAATAGCAGCTAATTGCTCTTTTAATGCAGCTAATTGTAGTTAAAGTTGTAATAACTCTGGACTTGTTCGCATAGATACTTTAGGAGTATAAACAGGAGCAGGCATATTATTTCCATACATCATTTTTTATGCTTAAGAAACCTAATTAATAATGATTAAAAACAATTATATTACATTTTATATTCCGGTTTCATTCCAATCATTAATCATTTTTTATCTTTCAATTGAATTTCTTCTGCTGGATTCCCTACTGCTGCTACTCTTCTTCTTTTTGGATTTCTTTTCCTTCTTTTTATGTTTCTTGGGACTTTTTCTAAAAAAATAATAATGAATTATACTCAATATTTTCTTTTTCTTTTTTTTCTCTGAAATCTGGATGCTCTTCATACATTTAATTGAATAAACTTTTCTTGAACTTGGTAGCAATCTTCTTGAGATGTAAGTAATTGCAAGCTCCTCCTCTGAATAAAAGTGTAAATTTATACCTTTAACATGTGCCATCAATATATTATTTGCACTTAGCACTGCTGAAATCAAGCACAGGTGAGTACTCCATCTACAATGGTTTGTTTTCATAAGATAAGTTTTGCAAAGCATTGAAACAGCCTTCCGCATAATATTCCGATGTATATTTCACATAAACATTGCCAACTAGATGATCGCCAATGTTTTCACACACGATTAGATCTTCAATCTCTCCAAATTCAGCCAACTATTATACATTAATAGGAATAAGTCATACCTTTAAAAACACATCCTCATAAAAGTTTTCAAACTTTTCTAATGCTTCTTCAATCCCTGCCTAAGAGACTGCATTACCAGAGGCAATGGCTACTTCGATGGGAGAATTTTAGTACATGTGCTACAATTTATGATAGGGAAAAGTTACTTTGAATAATATGGTTTAAGATATGGGAGGAATGCTGTGGATTCTTTGGCATTTATTCTCATAACGACAAGCGCCAATTTTGATGTAGAATGAGCAATTAACCTATTTCTTAGGATATAATTTATAACCTTGTCCTCTTCTGTTCCATAAACTCTCTCTAACCCTCCTGCCATATTTTATCAATATATAATAATGAAAATTAATCCTATCTAAAATTTATTTAATGAATTTATAAATACTATATTTAATGATTGGGGTTTATTTCATTAAATCATTTAAGAGTATTATTCTTGGCTTAACTACTGGAAATTATTTAAAGTTACCATACAAAGATTTGTGATAGATCTAATTCATAAGCATGGGTTAGTTTAATATTTTATAAGGTTAATCTAATTACATATTATTAATCATATTAATCATATTAATGAAAAGAGAAAATAAAGAAAACCTAACCCACAATTTCAGCTGCCTAAAACATTTGAAACTTAAGAATTAATTGCTAATTCTCATCAGTTTTTTAATTATCTTAATTGTTACATATGTCGTATGTGCTAGTTATGTTCACTCAGCATTTGTGCAATTTTACTTTACGCAATCCTCTGAGGAAATTTATACCAAACTTTCTAGCGCTTTTATTTAAACTCAACTCAATAAATACGAAAGTTATTTCACTTCTCTGTTTGATACGAGTAAAATTTTAATTTCTATGTATAGATGGTCAAACCCTAATATCAGTTTTCTAGTTATATAATTACCTTAAAAAAAAGAATAAGAGTCAACCGTCTCCTCTAAACCCTTAATTCAATATGTTATACGGAGGAAAAGATAATGATATTCCTCAAGCTATAATCTCACCAGACAAAATATCTAAGTATAACTCAACTATTTCATTTATTTGTTACACAAATAAAACGAAGTTTAATGATATCTTAACAGATGAAGAAATCCTTAATATAAAAACCCAAGAGTAATTATAAGCATTTGGACCAATCATCCACAAAGGCATGACAACATATTAAGAGTTACTCTCAGTATATGTCAAAAGCGATAATATCTTAATGACATATCCTTGTTTATAGCGATATGATATCGATAGCTACATTCCTGAGAAGAGGGGTTGGTACTTAGAGGGGATTCGCAACTTTCAGAATCATGTACCATATGATCGCTATAACTTTTCATTGACATCCCCATATTTATGTATTAATTATGTTTTACTTTAGTATTCTAATCAATCTACATAGGATTATCTATGGCTATGCCATTTGTTGATAGCAATTTATAATTAATTGGAGGCGCTGCCTTTGATTTGATTCCTAATCTACTCATTGCGAATCTAGTTTAACAATTTGGCTAAGATTTCACATCAATATATTTAGTGACCTTAGATGGAATATTGGTTATGCATCCCTACAAGATTACGCCTAAGCAATTACCTCTATATTTCTATAATACATCTATTACTGGATTTACTGAAGAAGACTGGGTAAGCTTAAACAGTGTTACAATCAGTTCTAATTGCAAAAACCAAACAAATTAAAAAGAGTTAAATTGCCTATTTAATTCTTTCTATAATTAGGATATGTTTGTTAGCATGTAAACTATTAGTTCCTTCAATATTTCGATTGTTGTGTAAAAATTAATTTACTATTAAAGCTTAATCAGTAGTTCTGAATTTAACAAATTCTAAGAAGATTATAACGATAATTTAGTATAGTAGTTGACAACAAGATTCTACATATCCTTGATTCAATTAATAAGTGTATTTCTATTTTTGTGTCTTGTTATATATTTTACCACAAATTAATTGTTTCGTCCTATTGAGACAATAATTGAATTTACAATCAGCAAAATTTAAAAACAAAGGTAGTCTTACTGAATATCTTAGTTGTCAACCAAAGTTGATATCAAAAATACTTTAGCATTTTTTAAGTGTTTAAATTGCAGAACTATACTAATCATGCAATAATTTTTATAAATTATTAGAAAGATTTTCGTTTACTAAATCCAGTTAATGCTAATAAATTGAAAATTTGTAGTACCCTATTTTGAATGGGATATATTTTTTGAGTAAAAGTATTAATTTTAAACACCTAAAGTAATTTCAATAGTATATATCTATTTAGATATTATTCTAAGAAAACGAACGAGTAAAATATGGAGCACTATTCATTGATTAAAAACATTGTTAGATCAGCTTTCAAAAGTGATAAAAAAAAAATATTGTGAATGATTTTTTACTTTATATATGTAAGATATAATGAAACTAAGATTGTAAACAAAATTAAATGAAAGATCATTAATAATAATATTTTTATGCATTTCTCGGTGATCTCGGACTTTGTTCTCGAACACTTTTGAGATTGGGCAATCTCGAACTTGAATAATTGAGGGCTGAATTGTTATTAGAATTGTTATTGTTATTATTATTAGAATTTCTTTTATATTAAGATAAAATGTTTAATAATGTTTGTTGTTGAGGAATAGTTTTTAGAGAGCTTTATTGTTATTGATTCTTATTCACAGGGGAATTGGACCTAGCAGATTTATTATAAGCATAAGCAATAGGTTTAGCAATAACCTTTCTGTGAGATGGACTACCTGGCTACTAAATTTGGCTCTGTGGTTATTAGGTTGGTTATTATCTTTTTGGGAATTCAACTTTATCAATATTTTCCAATGCAACTCTCACTGGACTTTGTTCTTTTTAAGCTTATCGATTAAAAGAATATCCTTAGAAATGATCTTTCTTGACTCTCCTACTAGAATTCCAATTCCAAGGTTCTTCCTCTTCGAATTACTCAAAGTTTTAAGTATCTATTTCATGATTCACTTAAGGTTGATAAGGAGTGATCTTCTCCCTTATTCTTTTCCAATCTACTCCTTGAAAGAATGGATGAATTTTAATTTCACTCACTCCATTGATACCCAGCCTCTCGGTGTGATCAGCCACTAATCTTCTAATCAAATCAATGCATTGGGGTGACAGACTAATATCTTATGGGATTTGGAATGTTGATTGCCAATGTAAGATTTTTTGACAAGTTGTTTGAGGATCATCAGAGAAAAATGGAGGATATCCAACAACCATTTCATATAGCATTACTCCTACACTCCACCAATCCACTGTCTCAGTGTATCCTTGTTAAGTAAAGACTTCCGGGGCAATATAATCAGGAGTTCCAACTGTTGATAAGGCTAATTGTCTTCTCTTCTGCATTTTGTTGAGTATAGGAGTTGGGGCCACATTTTAATTAGGGATTTTCCTGCCTAACTCAACTTTGGGTTTGATTTCGGAATACCTTAGATTAAATATTTTGCTTTACTTGCATAAACCAAAGTCAGATAACTTTAGATGTCCCTTTCTATCAATCAAAATATTATCCGGTTTGAGATCTCTATGAATATAATTCATTTTATGGATTGAATCAACGGCTAAAACTAATTCTGCAATATAGAACTTAGCTTCATCTTCAGTTAATATATCTTTTTTCATCAGCAAAGTCATTAGATCTCCGCCTGCCATATATTCCATCACCAAATAGAGATATTTGTCATCCTCAATATTATTAGGATTCAATACTTGAAAACTGCATTTCAATTCGACAACCCAAGGATTCTCTTGACTCAATATGTCTCTCTCAGCTCTGATGTGTGCTAATTGATTTTTGGCTAACATTTCGCATTTCTTCATTTTTTTCACTGCCACAATCTCTTTTGTCTTTTTTATTCTGCAAACTCTCACTTCTCCAAAAGCTCCTCTTCCAATTATAGCTATTGGCTCAAAATCATCAGTGCAGAACTTCTATCTTCTAATGAATAGATATTCAAAATTATTAATTACTTTTTTCTCATTAGTTCTGCTTCCTTCTTCAAAACCAACTATTTATAATACTCTTAATCCTGAGCTAAGTTAAATTAATCCTCATAAACTTACCCTTCAATTGCATATCTTTCATTTTGACCCATAATTTGGCCCAATCTTCCCTCCTCTCCATCTCCGCCTTCAATAGATCTGTATATTTTCTCTCTATATATCTTTTGCATGCCTCCACCTTGTCCTTCGTCGAATTCGAAATCGCTAATTGCTTTCTCGGAAACTGATAATCCATTTATTTATTTAATTATAAAGGGATAACTTATATCAAAATTATATGAGCAGTGAAAGAACTCAATATTTATATTAAATTTTCTTTTAATTATTATTTATTCATAAATATATTTTAATACATTCAGATCTATTAAGATAGCAAATTAATCATATATTATTATTAGAATAAGTAATATTTTATTAATTATTCTTGCAATAATAAATTTTAAATCTATTTTTAGTTACATTAAATACATACATTAACAGGCAGCATTGGCTGTCCATTGTCCACCTCCTCTTCCACTTTCACCTTCTTCTACATATTATCATATTCATTTTGCAAATCGTTAAAGTTTTTGGTTGGCATTTTGTCAAAATCTTTATTGAATTTTTTGAATGCTGACTTTCGTTCTCCATTTGGTTGTTGTCGATTGGGTTAATTCTAAGAGGAGATTTATTAATGATTCTATTCTTCGAGTTGAATCTCCATTTATGTTTCCGCATTAGTTGAGTTCATCATTTCCACTAATTTGTTATAGGATGCGTAATATGATTTGATGTCATAATCTAATTTTTGATAGAGTGATTCGTCAACATATTTCTTCTCCATAACTTTTACGCTACTTTGAATGAATAACTAGATTAAGGATTCTTCAATCTAAAATATAATCCATATAGTTACTTTTTTACGAATTCTATTGTTATTTGATTAAAAGGCAATGATGTATTCAGAATATCCTTGTTTTTATTTTAATTGCTTTTGAAATTCTATCATATGATTGTCAGTTGTCATAGTTTTCAAATGATAGATGGCCATGCATTTTGAAAATTTCAGGGCCAAAAATAATGGATGTTTAATCTATACGTTGATAACTTAAAATCTTATACCTTATTACGTATGTTTGGAGCAGTTAGGTAGTTGTGTAAACCATTTTCATTATTTTCTATGGGAGCTTAGATTACATCATTGAAATGCTTCTCTTTCTTACAAAAATTCCTTTCCAAATATTTTGGTTCGAATGGTTGAATAAATTGTGTTTATCTGTGTTCATCTCTTGCACTTTTCCTACTATCTACAAACACAGGAGGAGACTCAAGTGCAATTATTATGTTATTCTAAGTTTTCAATAAAAAGATCAAATGAAACTTATGTCCTTAATGGTTGTAAGTTGTGCTGTTAAATTTAACACCCTAAATAAAAATCGATTAATGAAAATACCGAGAAAAAGGCTTTTCCATCGATTAGGTCTTGCTATGTAACTCCCTCCAAGCCTACTTCTTCATAGAGTCCATCTTGTTTAAGTTTTACAGCCATCAATTAAGCCTAATTTAAAATTTGAAATCTACTTAGCAGTCTATCCACGAAGGTGTATCTTCGTTTAGAAGATGTAATTTAATTGATAGATTTGGTATATTCCAGCTTTTGTGCCAATTCCATCCTAAATCATTTGAGAATTATAATTCTCTTTCAGTATCAATTTTCAGATGCACAGGACCTTATCTAGGAGTGACGGTAGGTTTAAGATTGATGAGACAAGTCTTAGTTAACACTTGGGAAACACAGGGAGACCAAGTAAAAGATTTCTTGTGATATGCCATTTAATGCAAATGGAATTTAAAATAATTTTTAAGATATTCATTTTCATTATTTTTATTTATTCATCAAATTGTCAATAATACTTATACATTTCTTTAAACAATAGTTATCTGTGTAAGTCATTTGAACCATTCTAGCTGCTTCTAGTATTTCATCTCCTAAAATGTTTTCTTTATTGCCATATTAAATAATAATCTTTAGATTCCTCAAATACAATCTTCTTTCATTTTCAGTTCCATCATAAACTTGTCTAATAGAGATTTGTTGTAAGATCTTAAAATCATTGACGTAGAAGAAATCCTTATCTAACTTCATAATGGTTTCAATAAAAAAGAGTGGTTTGGAGACATCATTCTTAGTGTGATTGAGATATTCCAATAGGAATTCTTAGAAGAACCTTGCATTCTGATGTTGAATAATAACTGTAACAACGTCCTGATTGTCATGAAACACAAACAAGATTTGAATTAGAACACTAAAAACTTCAGCGTTGTCACTTTATGCAAAATAATTTAGTATATTATTAACAAGCTATAGCTATTGTTTGTTATTCAATTGTTTAATTTGATGATGAAAATGGTTGTCATCAAAGGATAACACTAAGAGTTGTAGTCCACATTCATTCCATGTGTTGAATTCTATTTCACATAAATAATGCACCAATATTTTGGCTGTCATCTTAGTTTCTTTCACTTCTTTAACTAGAACATTAGGATTGATATCATATATCTTACTGAGAGAATCTAATAAATTTCATGAAGTACATCAATCCTTAAAATGCATTTAATACATACTACTAATCATCGAAATGATCTCCAATATTTAAAATCAACTAATGAATAATTGTTTAATCTCCTTTGTTCATCTGCTTCTCCAACCAATCATAAGTGTCGTCATTAATCTCCTTAGATTTGAGTTCTGCTAAAAACGAAATCAGATTTTATTTGGAGTCCATTTATTTTCTTAATTAATTTTCAGAATAAATAAATTGTTTAATTTCCCTAAGTAATACAATTTAAATGGGTACGAATTAATTGATGCATCAATTAACAAGTATTCTTTTAGATTGTGTTTATATATATGTAAATTTGCTTAAGAATAATAGGATATTGGATATTAGTATAATATTAGAGGGTCTCTCAAATTAGAATGATGATTGTGACGATAATAATAAATAAGTCATATTCTAAAATATCATAATTTATCTGTCATTTCTATAGTATCAAACACAAAGGTATGGACTTTATAAATACAGACTGGAGCTAGAATGAAACTAAACAAAAATCCTAAGCTTTCCATGATGGAGAGGAACACTAATCCTCCTTCGCCTTGATCTCCAAAGTAGGCTGCTCTTACAAACCCATTCCAACCCAAAGCATCTATGATACTTACTATCAACCACAAGATTCCAGCCACCAACTTAATTTATTTTAATTGATTACGTGTAGAATCTTATACCATTTTAATAAAGATTAATCAGCACACAGTCCCTTGTATCCTCTGTAAAATATGTACATTTGGATTCCGTTAAATATGAAGATATTGAGAAATCCATATAATATTCTGATTTTGGGATATCCCACTCCAGCTTAAATAAAGCTATCCAACAGATTCAAGCATGTTGTGCCGAATATTAATAGATAGGAAATGTAAAGAAGACGTGCTAATGATTTATACGGATCTTGTAATTCACTCAAGTCGAAATGAAAGATCTTAATAAGTGGAGGCCAGTTAAAATCAGTCCAATTTATGTCAGGTTAGTTGGACTTCTTGCCTATAATTGCTGCCTAATATTTTTACATTTGATAATAATTACTTTAATATTAATACTTTATAATTAACTAATAGTTGCATACAACATTATATAAATATATTCAATAAATGAAATAAAAAGTAGTCTTTGAACAGCCCTGTCCAAAACTAGTGAATGAGTAATAATACGCTAATCAAGTAGTATTCCTATGTTCGAAAGCGATAGCAAAAATTATTGGAGGAAAATAAGGAATGTGTGTCTTTCAGTTCGATTGTTTTAAATGCCTCTGATCAAGTCCATTTCATCTCCTGTAAATAATTAAAACAAGATAAAAGGATGAAGTGACTTTCAATGGCAATCAAACCAAATATAGATCCTGCTCTTATATAGATTATATCAACAAGGAGTAGCACATTGCAAAACAACGAGCCCATGACGATTTAAGCGATGCTTTGAAAGCGATCAAGAGAGAGAGAGAACTCTTCTATTATGTCGAGAAAGGCAGTTCTATTGATCAAATTGAAAAAATCATAATGAATGATCCAAAAAGGTATTATATAATAATATTAAAGATACCTCTATGAACCAACGAGTCCTTTGAGACTTGTGAACAAAAAGAATTCGTCTGGATTCACTCCGTTATACATAGCAGCAAAGAACGGATTCGAAGATGTTTGTAAAATATTAATTTAATATGGTGCCGATTAAAATATTTCAGTATAAGTAATTAAGAATTCGAATTATATTTAGGTTAATTAAATTGATGATTATCCATTGGTTGCCGCATTGCGATGGAGGCATTTCGAAGTTATTGAACTTCTATTGACCAATAATCCGAATGAGAAAGTTAGAATTTTGTGTTAATAATCAATTGACAAGAGTCTCAGACATAAATATTCCAAATATTTTTGAAAATGTATTCATATGGTTACTTATTTTCTATATGTATGTATTTATTTAAATTAATAATAAATAATATTCTCTTCTCATTCATTTATTAAATAAACTCATGAAAACAATCATATTCCTCTTCATCTCACTCACAATGATCACTTCAACTCCATTAACATGTTCAGAAGCTTTGACAACCGCAGAATGCACAAACATAATCAATGGAATGTAAGACAATCCAAGTTATCATAGTCATGAATGTATTTGGCATGAGAATTAATGTTAATTAAAAACCTGCCAAAATTCATAAATTCCATGTGATGGATTAGTCTATTAAGGAGAACTCTGTTCCAATTCTTAATAAGGATGCTAATCTGTCAAAGAATGTTCAGATATTGACAATTAAGAATCATGTTCTACTCTCAGACCCTAAGGAGTAGAATGTCATTGGGATCAATAATGCAAAGTCAAAAATTGTTCACATAATACTAAATCAAATTGCAAATTAACTAATTCAGAGAAATGCATTTATTAGAATGAAAAATGCTCATCAATTAACTAATGTTCTGATATAGTTGAAAAATCAAGATGCTTGGTGTCTCAAATCTAAGGATTGGATTGCATTTGGTCTAATGATTCATGTCTGACAAATAATTGCAAAGCTGTCCTAAATAAGGTAATTCCTAAATATTATAAATTTAGGAAGAATGTTTTAAAAGTGTTAGAAATTCAGAAAAATGCTTTTACACTCAAAATAGAAATGGCGACAATCATTGTTTGAGTTGCTCATAATTAGCTGAAGAATGCAAATGTAATGAATATGGTATTTTTGGATGTCAATGGTAAAATAACTCTTGCTTTGAAGCTTCATGTAATTAATATACAAATGAGATATCCTGCACTCATGAATCAGAATGTGTTTGGTATAAACCAATGAATAAATGTGTGACAACTCAGGAGGCAAATTAATATGACAGAGCCTGCGACATTTATATATATGGATCTATTTTACACATTTGCACACTCTTGATTCTAATAGTTCTTTGGTGATTTATCAAATATTATTTCTATATTAAAAGTTAATCTATATATAGATATTTATATGCTTGTTTTCAAGAATATTTTCAAATATAAATAATAAATATTCTAAGCACCTAAAAGGTTTAGTAAAATGAATAACAAATTAATGAACAAAAGTAGATAGCTTGATTGATGTCAGAAAACTATAATAACAAACTTCCAATATTGAAAAGTAATACTCCAAGAATAGTTTCAGTTCTGCTTGGTTTCATGACAGTCCCACCTTTTACAATTTTTATAATGTTCTTAGTATTAAATTCGAAGACATCTCTTATTTTTACAATGTTAGATTATGTATAGATTGGATAAATTTAAAATATGGTTTATTGTGTGGCTCTTTGATTGGTTAGAACATGATGAAATTCGATGATTTAAAGCTTAAAATAAATTAAGATCAAAAAAGTACCATTCAATTATACATACTACTCTTTCCCAATCCTTCTGTTTTTATGCTCATATTCATGTATTGAAACTCTATCATAATGGTGGGTAGTACCCACTCTCCTAAAAATAGTTACCACAATGATAACCTATTCACACTCAACTAATATGGGAACTGCTCCTTTTTGGACTTTTGCCATAGTATATTAAATATTTGTATTGGATTTAATTACTACGGGAAGTCTGTTTTGGTCATAAAGGAATTTAAGTGTACATAGGGAGAAGAGATAAGAGTTGTATAAGAAATATTGAATAAAAACAATATAAATATAATAATTAACATGAATCGTTCATTTTAGATTGTACCTTCGGATACTTTTCTGAATATTCTGAATCAAAACAATATGTCTGTTGTAGATATTGACGATGAATACAGAGTCGAACAAGATTGGATGTTTGAGAATGAGAACAATTATGCAGATTAATAAAATGAGCCAGAATAACCAATTGTGTATGAACGCTCTAAAGCTCTTGTTGGAAGTCAACTGTTGCAAAAGTTCAAGAAAACTAAGGAGGAGGATCTATTGAAACAAAACAAAGAAGTCTTTTAGGCTAATCAATCCAAAAGTCTCTATCTAAATAAAATATAGCAATTAATTGATAACCCTGCTGTTGTAAGCAAGCCAAAGCAAACGTATAATTGCTTTATCCACTTAGTCGTCAGAAAGTAATTGTTGAAAGCGACTCATCAGATGGAAAGAGTCGATTGGCTAAAAATAGAGAGTCGGCAAGGAATTCTAGAAAAAGAAAGAAAGTGTATGTGGAATTGTTAGAAAATAAAGTCAAGGAGTTGACAGAGCAAATCCAACAATTGGAGTGTAATTTGGAATAATACAAAATAAAAAATCTATAAGTATATCTTTAGAGAATATATTATGCAGGTCGAAAACTTCAGGGAAGAATATCATAAATAATTATCTTAATTGAATGGATTGTAGAGTATTCAGACCTTGCAAGAATAATATGGGGCCACATCATAACGACGTTGGAGTGTGTGCACTGAACTAATTAATCTATTGATTGACTCCACCATTCCTATTGAAATTAAGAAGCTAATGGAATCTGCTAAAAATGGAACTGACATGTTTATTAAACCGCTATTGAACCATAATTCATGTTTGCAATACAGAGAGTATTTTTAATAAGGAATTATTGATTTAGAGATGTAAGCTATTATTTAAATTGAGAGCAACAAAGAATTTTGGATTGTCATATGATAAGATAAGAGAATAAGTATTCTACTTGGAGAGGTTAAAATTAGAAGTCATATAAACAATCGGGGCTAATTAATTCATCGAGTACTTAAATTAATAGCTTTATTGATTCTTAAATAATTTATAAAATAAACCCATTTCATTTTTAATCTAAATGCATATTTAGTTAATCTTTGTGAAATTTCTATCTTATTATATTCTGAGCCTTCTAAATTGAGCATAGAAACTAGTATTTATAAACCTCCTTTTTTAATTTAAATACTGCAATAGATTTATATTCTGAACTAAAAAAATTCAATAATACTCTTATTCATAATTGCCCAATATCAATATGAAAAATAAGTATCTAATAGAGATAATTAAAATGTTATATCACCTGTCCCAATTTATCAATAGTTGAAATTCAATTATTTAAATATCTGTCTGCAACCAATAAAGTTATTATAATTTAGATTCTGATTTACTGGTTGTATAGACAGTATCATCGTTAGAATTAGCAATAATTCAAAACTTGATTTGATTTTCCAACATTTTTCAGAGTTGAATCTGCGAGTTAACGCTAGTAGATTCCTTCTCCTTGTGTATGAATTAGAGTAATATTTATTCCATTTAATAAATTAATGGAGTAAAATACAAAGTCTTAATAAGAATATGTAATTGCATTCGGTTATATTTTAGTTTAAAAAACTTAGGCTCATTCAGAAGAAGATGGAAGATGTCAAGGCTGATCAAAGTCCAACTGTTATAAAGTATATGATGAGGAGAAAGAGTGCTGAAGAAGTCCAGGCTCCTTTGCATGATGTTGAATACAACAATTAACCAAAGAAGAAAAAGATATTATTCTTCAAGTCCTTCTAGAAGGTGACAATAGATCCTCATATAAAACTGGATGAGATTAAGGAAGAGAAATGGACAATTATGACTAATAATTATAAATCACTCATAGAGAAATCTCGTTAAAGTCTAATAAAGCCTTATGATGGTGGTTAGAGTGTGACCTCTAATAAAGAACCACGTAAAATGCAGTTCCTCACTAGGAGACAGTCTATCGAATTTCGCTTACGTGAAATAGGTACTGCTCCTAGTAATCACTCTTCAGCCTCGCCTATAAAATTAAATACTCAACCAAATGCATAATAATCGATCGATCCTAGTTATGCTCGATTCAAAAAGTTCTATTAAAAGATAGGCATCCCATCGGATAGCCCAATAAAATTGAAACTTCAAACAGTGATGTCTACTCCTATTGCTCCTCCAAAGAAGATGGACAAGAGTTAGCATTCAGCCAATTCCCCAAATTAGTCTCCTTCTCCTCTCAAATCTAAGATTCTGCATATCAAAGCAAACAATCACATTTAATACCTCAAAGAAATCAGAGAAATATGTTAAATTGCATCTAATTATCATGCATAAGTTAAATAGGATGAAAAAAATCAGATTTAACATGCAAGCTAATAGGTTGGATACATATAGGCAGAGTTCAATAAGTTCCACAATATGTTAACATCAGATTTGGAAACTGTGGATTTTATTGATGAAAATAAATGAATTATTATATATATTATGAATTAATTACTATATTAACTTAACTATTGCCATTCTTATGTGACAATTAATTAAAGAATCAAGGAAGTGGAATTAATGTAGGGAGGGTGTATTAAGACATCTCAACAATATTGAGATTAAATATATGATATTTAGAAGAAGAACTAATTAACAGTAACTTTAGTATTTATATTGAAGTAAAGAGGAGGGATTAAATGTATATTAATTTCAGCATTTCCTAAAATAAGTGATTTTGAGCCATCTCCAAAGAACTAAATAAAAATATGATATAAAATGAATAATAAATATTAGAAATTATGTAAAATATGGAATAAAATTAATCACATTTATGAACTATTCTGTAAAATGAATAAGAGATATAGAAATAATTTAATATCAATATATATAAACCATTGATTTATAAATAATTTGATTAGAATTCAAAGGACTTTTAATATTAATAAATAAAATTATTTAATACTAATCATGGCTACCCTGAACGTGCATATAAACTTGAATCACTACCAGTTGATATTGCAGTAGGAGAAAATGAAAAATGGTTATTAATTGCAAAAAAAAGAGTTTCCTGTTGGTCCCATTAACTTTTACGAGCAAAGGTTCAACTCAGTTAATTTCTCAAACACAAAAATAAATGAGGTGATTGGTTGGATTCTCATAATTGCTGTGATCTTGCTTATGCTAATGATGGCTATATCTTTGATTCAAGGTTCAGTAGTGGGATTTGCCATTCCATTGTTATCAGTGGTTACATTCTTCATAGTTTATATGAATTGGGTGTCAATGAAGTTTTTCGTGAACTCATGAATTTGAATTTGAGCATTCTATTTGTATTGATTCAAAAATCTAACTGTCCAATATATATTAAATCTTTGAATTGATGTAGATCCAACATCCACATTCCACCTTTCTTCTCAAACAGTAATATCTTATGTAAGATGGCCAAGTAGTATTGAATACAGGAAAGATGTGATTGACATCAAAGTGATATTAATATATCGTGTCATATAATACGAGGTATTCCATAAATTAATATAAGTGTTTAAATTTCAGAAGATGATTGGGATATTTTATTAATAAAATAAACTTAAAAAAAGATGATGGGAGGTTGGGCAGTAGTAGAAGTGGAAGAGAGACACCACTAAGTCTTAGGAGTTGTTCATCACGGTATCAATCAACATTTGGGCTCACATCATTAAACCTTCACAATCATTGAAGTACGTCATTAAATTGTCGCCGGAACAAACTATCAATTCATTGTGGAAACAGAAGATCACAAGAGAATCTAAGTGAAAGTGTTTGAACCATTACCTCATACAAACTAAGCAGCTCATGTCACAGCTGCTGTGTATTTGTGATTCCATAAATATTAATATATACATTCATTTATATTCAATCTCATGTATTGGTTGCCTGAAAGATTCCTTACTAAACTCCTCAAACCTTGTTAGAGTCTTCTGGGGTGACAAGGAGTCCATAAAATATTAAGATAATCTTAAATGCGCAATGGTGATTTATAAAATTTTATTAAGATTGTTTAATTTCGTAAACATCTTTAACTCAAAGGGCATCTTGTACACCAAATCAGTTGTGCATAGATGTTATGACCCTTTGATCATAATCACTAATTTCTTTTATTGTGCATTAAAAACAACACTGTATCTTTGTGGAGTTTCATTCTCCTTTCGCAATCTAAAGGTCTCACTATTGACACTCAATAAAGGCACTGACAATTTGATATTCAAAGTGTCTTCTGAGAATGGCAAGAACCAAGGATCGAATAGTATAATCCCAGCACTGATTCTGTTATCTATCTATGCGCTGCGATGAACAGTTGCAGCCCCAAAGGAATGACCTGCTCCAATTACTTTGTTAAAATCCACATTTTGTTATTTATATACATAATCCAGCAACGACTGAAATTTAGTCACTCGGTCATTTAATTATTGATGTCTAATCATTTTAACTTTGCTTAAAATCTGCTATCCCAATTGATTCTCTAACGTAGCCTCTCCAATTTTATATTGATGAATCTCCTTCTCATTTAGAATTATTGTGACTTCCTACTGCTATATCGAATATACTTGATATCCATTGCTTGCCCATTCCTTATAAAATACCGAATAGTGATCTTTCAAACCTCCCAATCCATTTGAAAATACAATTGTAGGCAATTTACCCTCTATTATTGGGGAGTCAACTTCTATATCTTCCACCTTCACTTTATTCAGGAATCCCAACATCCAATAAATGAACATAATAGGAGGTCTCCAATGCATCACATGCTAAAAGTCATTGTAAACTTATTTGATGTAATCTCTATTCCTGCAAGAATTAATGGATCTAATTTTAGATTTCTTCAGAGTTGGATAGTATATAGAAACCAAATCTCCATTCTGTAATTTTACTTCTCTAAATCCTACCAAATACTTACCAGTTGGCTTAGGATATCTATATTATGGCATTACCATCACTAAAGAAACATACCCAATTTAAAACAATAAGCCCAAAAATACCATGAAATACGATTGATGAGACCAATATTTTGATATTATCAAAGTGATGTATGCAGGTATTAATAGATATATAGTAAGTCTCATTTTCTGGCATTTGATCATAAATAGGATTATGAATGCTGTTGAAAAGATCATCTGTGATTTCTCAGTCAAATCAATCTGGACATCATAAATCAAAATCAAAAGCAGATCATTGAAAAAACTACCCAACATTAGAATTGCCAATGCCAATTCCAATAGAGGTACATCTTATTGTTGGAATTCGTATGGATATTTCATAATTCTGTGTTCTTAAAATATAAATAATAATTTATATTCCATAATTAAAATTCCTCTTTCCATTCATACTCTTTTATTCAAGTCTCCTCCTCATTGGTTTATATTTCAATTATTAATTAATGAATCCAATTTCTAAATAAATTAAGAATATACTCAGAACAGAAATTATTCTTGTAATTGTCTTGATCACCATCAACATCACTCTATACTTTCTAAATATAGCTGAAAACAACGAAAATACTTGTCAATTATCATTCAATGCCATGGAGAGATGTTTTGATTTCGATAACTAATTGCTGTACAAATAGAGAATGCCTAATACTTAATGTGACTCTTGCACTGTCTTGTTATGGTTGATGCCCTCCAACATTATCATGCTATTTATGATGACTCTCATACTCATTAATAAGACAAGATATTACATCAAAAACTACATGAATAAATTGCATTTAGTGGAAATAATCTATTTTGGACTATAATTTGTATATAATCTTTTTGTACTCTTCTATATTTTTCAAATGCCCATCAATGACAACTACAAAACCAAATTAGCTCCACTTATACTCCTATTCATTGAATCCTTGATCAATTGTTTCATATGCATATTGATTAAAATAGATCAAATTTATACTATTAATTACTTGCGTGAAACAAATAAGAAAGAATCCCAAATGTCCACTTAGCTCTTATTGTGATTATATATAAATATAGTATTTCTAATTACTTATATGCTCAATTAATACTCCTTTAGCGAAAATGGAACATTAGAGAATGGATAATTCATTATTATAAGAAAATATTAAATATATTTAATGAAATTTTTGCTTATTCCTGCCACCATTTATTTTTTTGTTACGGGATGGTACTTGTTCATTGAAACCAAATTGCCCTATTATCCATTTTAACACGTTCTTGAGTTTACTCCCAATGTATATTAAATAAGTTTAATCATTTAGCATGCTATTTAAGCTTTGTTCGCAATTGCGTTAGGCTTATGCATTTTGATTGACATAAAGAAGCTTCTTATGGCTTTTTTATTAATTGGCGTTGTAGATCTCTCATTGATTGTTCGCTATTGTTTAAAATTAGAGATGCAGGAACTTAGTGAAGCCTTATAGCAGTATTAATATGAAAAATAGTTTAAAGTGTTGGATACAAAGCAATTTTATTGGGAATCATAATAGAAGCTATGCGAGATCAAGTCGTTTATGAGTAGCCTGAGAAAAAGGAGAAGAGGAAGAGGAAAGTAAAGAAGATGGTTGAAATTGAAGTAGAGGAGGAAGTTGATGAGGATGAAGTATAAGATACTCAAAAACCTAATACTTAAGTAACAGAAGAAACAAAACCATCTCCATCGAAGAAAAAGGAAAAGAAAGGCAAATAATGATATACATTATCATGCAAAAAATGTGTGGATAAATATCATTTTTTTACTTGTCTTTATTTAGATTGAAAATTGTTCGACACAGTAAATTCCCTTTTCATTTGATTCAACTTGGGAATATCTTCATCGCTACTTTCATTTTCATTCTACTTCTTCTTAAATATTTAAAAAACATCCTTAGTCATCTGGATTAATTTATCTTTGTAATTGATGCAATTGGTAGTTGAATCCACTGATGTAATCCCAACCACATTAACACTGGATCTCCTCAATTATGATGTCGGTCTCAACTTTGAATCTTAAATTGAAAATTCACACAGATCCTTTCTTTCGGATAGCGATTCTTGTAATTTTTTATTGCTTAGACTTTTATTGAATATCTCAATGGAATCCTTATACTGTAAATAGAATTCCTTATATATATTATGCTGTTTGTTAATGCTCTACCATTTTTCTTCGTAATTTTGGTTAGCCCGAATCAAAGTGGCGTTTATTGATAAGGTTTCATGGTATTTCCTTTAGAGATCCTCGAATTGAATCTTCAATTAATCAAATAGTATTTTAGAGGCATCGTAGTTATTTTTCAAATACTTATATTCACTTACCCATTTTTACAGTTCTTCTTATTGATTTAAATCTTGGTTCTTTTGTTGCTTCATGTTGATTTGCTATAAGGTAAAGGCTTATATTTGCTGAGCCCTCTTCAAATCCAATTTTGGCATATTGTGCTAAGTGAAAATGGTCTCTCAATATTGATTCATTTATACATTTATTTGAAAAACATTGAATTCTGTCTTGCATTGGAGATGTGCAATCCTTATCGGAATCATCATCTTCAATCTACACCAACTTCTTTTGGACTTCAATTAGCTAGGTAATGTATTTGTCTACATTTTTCACTCCTTGATTTGGTTACATCTTCAATCTACATATTTCGTTCGAGAGAGTCTAAATGTATATTATGCTGATTTACAAAGTTCAACTAGATTAAATCGTTTTTGGATTCTTATAACTTACTCATCTTCATGTGAGCCAAAGCCAATTGAATCTTGTAATTCTCGATCTCCTATTGTAATCTCAAGGTGGACTCATTCAAATTCACTATCTTAATTATGTAATATATTTATACTTATTTATACTTTATTAAATAACCCTGATTTTGAGGATCGTTCTCATAAAGATTCAAGTTTTAGCATGACTACTCATAATATTTTATTTGTTCTTGCAGTTGCTTAATTCTTTGTTCTGACTCTTTGAGAATGAAATCATTTTCCTATTGAGTGACTTAGAGTATTTATTCTAGAATTAGAACCTAAATTGCATGGCGAATTACCTTTGATACAGCTTCATTCCTCTCGGTAAGTAATTTCGTTATTTATTATTTCAAAAGTTCTTATTCCGATTGCATAACACTCAAGAGCATTTTCATATCAGTTCGACCATTAATGAGACTTTAATATTGCAAGTTTATAGTTATCTATTCTTCTAACCTTTGGTTTAAATTTTGGATTTCCTAACTCAAGTAATCTATTTTCAACTTTGAAGAATCACATTGATCCATTTTATGATATTTAATTTAATAACACAATTGCTAGAACAATACAAATATTTTATTCACTAAATCATATTATACTCCAATCAAAGCATTCAAAAATCAGATATAATTAACGATCTAATTTAAATTAATCAAATATTATTCACAACCCTAGTCATTTATCAAACCTAAATATCATCTACTAATTACATTTAAGATTTATTCTTAAAAAATTATAAGAATACATAATAAACTACATTTCATAGTATAAAAATACATATAATCAATTAAATCAAAAACTATCTGCCCTTTTTTTATTTTATAATCCAAAATTAATTCAAACCTCTCTATATAAAATACCTCAAATTACTAATTATAGTAATAAACAAAATAATTATATTGAATAAAATGAGAATTGACAAATATTATATATGTTTGAGAGGAGGAGGATGTGGTACCACTAAAATAGAACCATAACCAATTCCACTTTCAAAACAAGCAGGATTATAAAAGTCTAATCTCTTAGAAGATCTCAGAAAGTATAGTAAAATTATATCGGAAAAATCATCAACTGTCTTTGATAAGGCTTAAAGTGATGAAGTGATGATAGCTATTTAGTGGTTTAATTTTAATAAAGAAAACTTTGGTCTGCTGTGTCAGAATGATAGGTAAGTTACGTAAGCATTTGATATTGCATTGATTTCACTCGATCAAGTATTGAGACAAATTACAGTTTATCTAAGAGCCTCCGGATTCTTATGTCTCTAAATTTTGTAAATTTGTAATGATTTGTTCCGAATCGTATTTTCAGTTTTACTAAAAAATTAAGATAGATTTATCGAAGATTCATACAAGCAATAAATATTGGAGTATCTGTCTGAATTCGAAAACAATCTGAAAATAGAATCTTAAAACATTTGGATAACTGGAGCAGAATTTGAATTAACTATTATGTAAGCTTGTGTTGAAAATTGCAGAAGTAATTCTCAAAAAGGTTAAGAAATCTTGATCAACTTTATGTCTGGTTTAGTATCCTCGTTTATGTCAATGTCACCAACAGAAGACTTAATTTACTCATTAATTGAAGGGGCATAATTTATATTCACTGCTTTACAGAAGAAAATTGAGAATAGTATTTAATTATACGAAATATATTACTTTTTCGAATCCTTAAAATGGTTGATCATTAACTAATTGAAACAATAGTAGTTTTCTGTTAAAAGTTAATTAAATTAATTGATGGATGGATATACTACTTATATCGCTAATTCCAAAAATTGGTTAATCCACTTTTGTTGGCTAAAACTCGTTACAGAATTACTTACTTATCGTCCAATTGTCAATAAATTCGATTTCTTTAAAACTCAAGATTCTGTCCAATAATAACTAAATTGGAATAAATTATTACATGCCAAAGTATTAACTTTACTCTCATATAACAGGAATGAAGCAAAAATTAATTTCTTTAACGACTATTAATCAGATGGCATACTGAAATAATTTGAAAGCTAATTCTAACTGGTTGGTTTTAATAAAATTAGATAATTTTAAAAGTATTTATTAGAAGAAAAAGCATTTTAAAATTAGACTATTTGTGAATCATATTGCTAATTTACATTTAGTTAAAAAAATAATAATATACATATCCATACATTTCTAAGTAATCTAAATATTGAGAAATGTCAAAATACATTAACAATTATTCAGAAAATTACATCAGATTATAATATATTATACTAAGACTTTTAGCAGAATTTTAATATTTTAATAGAAAACAAAGGCTTGACAAAAAATAACATTTAATTGCAATAGGATCATTGTGCATCTCTAGTTTCTTAATTAGAATCGAATACAAAAAGCTTGATATTTCTTATTGTTGAAAACTAATCTCAGCTATTAACTTTAGCAAACGCTTGCTAATTAACGATATCTATCTTAGATTTGACAGCAATACCAGATGATCAAAGGAAATTAATAACTAATTAAATCTAAATTATCAAAGATAGTTTTGGAGAACCCTTTTATTAACTAATACATGAAATACAATCAGTTGTAATACATCAATATGAAGTAATGAGTGATTATTAAATTCACTTCTAAAATGCTTCATATATTCATATGAAACAAACTTAGCAATACAATATTACCAAATTCATTAGTTCAATCAATAGATTCACAGAATTTTCATCTAAAATAATTAACAACCTAAGATCATTTAATCAATAATCCAATTAATTAATTCCTTCTAAATCTCATTAATAAAGAGATGTTTAATTTAATAATAACTAGCTATTTAATTTGATCAATAAATTATTATCCAGAGAATTTTTGAATCATTATGTAAAGCAAGCTATATTGATGTTTGAAAAACTTCAATAGAATCAAAATGAGATTTCATTATTTGATTAGATTAAAGTTAATTACAATCTTATATATTTGTTAAATGGCATAATTTCTTAAATAAGAATTTATGAGTATTAAATCTATAAAGTAGAATTAGCATTTAAATCTAAATTAAATAAAGATCAAAAGGAAATAAAAGAAGTGAATTTATAATAATAACATAAGGAAGTTCTAATAAGATAAGAGCATTACGTAGATGAATTATTTTAAGATTACAAAAATGCATCGTAATTAAATAAAGAGACATTGAATTTTTTGATCAAATAAATTAATGCCGACTTTGATTCTTTAAATAATGCGATGCCTCTAAATGAATTTAAAAAGGATTAAATGCGCTTCTTCATGGACATCTAATCTCTCTTACTATAAATCTAACTTTAACCTACAAATTTAGATTAGAGTGAATCGAAGCTAAGAAAATTGTATTAAGATTAAATTAAATCTGTTGATAATAATCAATAGTAAACAAATATTTAAGATGAAGACACTACTGCAACATTATAATAAGAAAACTTAAATTAACTCAAACTTTTGAAAAGTTATTTATCATAAAAGTTATTTGATTTTTAAGAGTTTTTGTAAAATTTAAATGAAATAAATTTATTGTTATTAAATTCTTAAAAAATAGATGATTAGAATGTTTAAATTAATGAGATACAAAAAGAGGTTATGTAAACATTTAAAGCAATGCACTACAAGAAATTTAATAAAGATTTAGAAGATATGAGAAATTTAAAGGAAACTTTATTTGCAATAAATGAACAAAATCTTAAGATTGATATCATTTAAAGTGTGATTGACACTATCTATAATTTTGATGACCATATTGATCAATCTTTTGAGGTTGAAATTGAATTAGATCCCTTTATATGGTAATCCCAATAGTAGATATAATAAATGAGTAATACAGAAAAGAATAATAATGAAAGTGGATCATCAGATTATAAAATAAGAGAATGTTTAGCATTCAACATTATTAAGATTTAATAGATTATTTAAGAAGAACCGATCAATAAATTTAGTCAAAACATAATATCATAGTTGTGGATTCATGAAAAGGATGAACGTGTAAAAAGAGTTCTTAAAAATAAAGAAATGATCGAATTCTAAAGGAGATTATTTTCTAAAGACATAACCACAGTATCTGAAACCTTGAAATAGACAATTCAAGGTAAATTTGACATTATAAATGTGACCGATCAAGAAATATAAATGGAAATTGATCCAAAAAAGAAAGATTAACTTTAAAAAAAAATGTTGATTCTTAATTAAGAATTAGACGAATATGTGGAAGGTGTTAATGAAATGTCTTCTAAGATGGATCTAAATTTTGTTTTTCTGAAGGAGATTTAAAAATAATTACATTTAATTAAAGAAAAGATATAGAATATTTAAAACTCTATAAATTAATTAAGTGTAGATCTAAGTAGATTGAGGGGCAAGAAATACGATGAATTACTGGAAATCAGAAAATAAAGAGTTCTATTAGCTAGAGAGCAAGAAGAATTGAGTGAAATATATATTCCATTGAACACAATGATTATAGATCCAATTACAGGACAAGATATTAAAGTATCGGAATTATAACAAGAGATTAATGGCTTTCTTTTAAATTAAGATAAAATGTGTGATGTAATGTTAATCACTGGAAGGGCCGGGTCTGGTAAAAGTAAAGCATCTGAAAGGATTGAAGTTGAATTGTGGAAAATTCATACTAATAATGAATAATGGATCCCATTGTTTATTTCATTACCTACTATAAAACATCCTTAATTTAACATTATAGATCAAGGTTTGGAGAAGGAATATTATTAATTTGATAAGATACAAATTAAAGAATTGAAGGAAGCAATTAAGAAGAAGAAATTGAAAGTGGTTGTAATTTTGGATAGTTATGATGAAATGAGATCTGAATACATATAATCTAATCTATTTCATACAAATAAATTTATTGCTGAATTTGGATAAGATGTGATGGGTTCAAATTTTAAAGTTATTATTACATCAAGGAGGGAACTATTAACAGTCATGGGGTATTAAACATGGTTTTGTGGTAGCAGTTTAGAAAAGATGAAAGAAAACATGCTATTAAGTTTGAATGAAGATTAATGCCAGCATTATATTAAATAATACTGTTTATATTGCATTAAAAGATCTATTATCAGCATTTATGAGAAATTAATATCCTTACAGGGAAAGCAATTTATTGTAACGGAGTTTTTATAAGTTTGGAATTCTATTTATGATTTTTTGGTTTAAGAAACAAATTTTCAGAATACTAATTCTAATCAATTATTGAGTAACAATGAAATAAAGCATTTAATAAGACTATTGAAATGTAAAAGTACATTTAAATCTTTAAATGACAATCAAATTTAATAATTATCATAAAATCTTTTTAATATTTGGAGTATTAAGAAATATCAAAATGTTATTCTTAATTCTAATCTCCAAATACTCTTCAATACACCATTTATGATGAATGTAGTTGTCTAAGTATTACCAAGTTTAACAAAATCCAATAAAGAGATTTCAACAATAAAGGATTAATTTCTATAAAATTTCATCAAAATTAAAAAAAAACTGATTGAATCAGAAAAAAAAATGATGAGACTAAAAAATGATTCGGATTATTAAGAATTTAATGTTAAAGACTTAAAGGATGTTGGAATGAAGATTATTATGAATTTAGATAATCAAAACTTTTTTAGTTTTTTCTCTGAATCAAATACTTTTGAATTGATTGATGATAAATCACTAAAGATAATGAATCAATTATTTAATATTGAAAATGATGCCAGAATTGTTTACGAATCTTTAAAATAAAAGTAATTTACATCATATTAATTTTATGAATCATTTATAAGTTACTACCATGATTAGCAAATAGATAAATGGAAGAAGATGGGAAAGGTATATAACTATGAAACAGTTAAAGTGGACTTATAAGAATTTTCATAATCCTTAGCACTAGATATGACTAAAAATTAAGTAACATCAATCGAATATAAAATTAAAGGAGAACTTAAAATTAGGAAAGCATAACATTTCTCCTAATTTTAAGAGGAATGGCAAGATCAATACTTTAATGACTCATATGGAGAGAAGGAATATAAAACATTAATCAGAAATTCTATGTTAATAGTTTAAAGTGGTAGTAATTACTCATTTAGTCACACATCAATATAGGAGTTCTATGTTGCTAAATACATTTACGAATTTTTAGAAAGAATAAAATTAGATTAAGACATTACGGCTCTGTAGAGACAATATATTCAAGATTACATTGAAAAAATGGAGTCTAGTTTATACAACTAACCTTCATTTAATATAACATTAGAACATTTTTCAGGCAGCTTAAACATACTAAAAAGTGAAGTAATATAAATAGATTAATTATAATCGAAATTATTATCATTAGTGAAGCTATCTGGAAAATTTCCAAAACTAGAAAGAGTTTCATCTAATTGTATTTATTTATTGAGCTTTCTACAACTGAATTTGAACAATTAAGACATCAGTAATATAAATATATCTGATACAAAATTATATGGATTATCATTTTACAATTGTAATATGTAGAATACTAAGATGAATAATGTGGCCATAGATTCATGTAATTTTAATAAAGCAAATTTAAGTAACTCTGAGTGGAAAAATATGATATGCAAAGAAAAGCCATTTTTCTAAGGACACAAGGATTATGTTAAATCTATCGCAATTACATCGGATGGATCAACTTTGATTTCAGGAGGAGAAGATAATATAATAATTTTATGGAATGCTAAGACTTGTCAACAAATTTAAATTTTAGAAGGACATACTGACATGGTAAGATATGTAAGTATATCAAATGATAACTAAATCTTGGCATCAGGTAGCAATGATAAAACAATCAGATTGTGGTCAATCAAAACTGGAAAGTAAATGGATGTGTTGGAGGGACATGATGAGAGTGTAACATGCGTGATATTTTCCTAAGATTCAAATATTCTGGTATCAGGAGGAAATGATAATACTGTACGGATATGGAATATTAAGTCTAAATAGATTTTAGCTGTCTTGGAGGGACATCAAAAAGCTATAACATCATTATTACTATATGAAAATAGTTAAAAATTGATTTCAAGTGGGTAAGACAAAAAAATTATCATGTGGGATGTAGCGAAGAGAAGTTAATGTGAAGTATTATAAAATGAGAGCGAAGTATTGACAATATCTTTACATAAAGATGAGTAATTGTTAAGTTCTGGATATAAGGATGGAAGAATAGTGATGTGGGATATTAAAGAATTGAGATAATTGAGCACATTAGAAGGACATGGTAGTAATGTAAATAGTTTAAGTTTCACAAGAAATGGATAAATATTAGCATCAGGTTCAGATGATTAATCAGTTAGATTATGGGATGTGAAAACATTCAAATAAATAGGATATCTGCAAGGACATTCCCACTTTGTTACATCTTTAGTGTTCTCTCCAGATGGGATGGTTCTGTATTCTGGAAGTCAAGATAAAATGATTAGATAATGGAATGTTACTGCTACAAAATAAGATTATGTTTTAGATGGCCATTTAAATTATGTGTCATCTCTTAGTTTCTCTCCTGATGGCGAAATGCTGGCATCTGGAAGTAGAGATTGCAGTGTACAATTATGGAATGTTTAAGAAGGCACTTTAATTTGCAGACTTGAAGGTCACACTGAGATGGTTTGGTGCGTTTTATTTTCACCCACTAAGATGATATTAGCTTCTGGTGGAGACGATCGAACTATTCGAATTTGGGATCCATAGTTTTAGAAACAATTGCATATTATTAATTCTGAGTGTGATTCCATCTAATCTTTAGCTTTTTCTAATGATGGTTCAATGTTGGCCTCTGGTTCTGGAGGTTTCTCCTACATCGTTAAGATTTGGAACCTAAAAGACTATTCTTTAACTTAAGTGTTTGATGTTCATTCTCACACAGTCAACTGTTTACAATTTATGAAGAATGGTAACATCATATCAGGGGGTGCAGATAATACGGTATTTGTTTTGAATGTCGAAACCAAATAGAAAGAACATTAAATCAAAATTCATAGAGGTTCAGTAAATTCATTGAAGTTGGTGGAGGATATTCTAATTTCAGGTAGTAGTGATCATACAATCAAAACTTATAACTTAAAGGAATAGAGAGAAATTTCTGTAATTTCAGGGCATCAAAATACAATAAGTTCACTTGCAGTATCTCCTGACTGCAAAATGCTCATATCAGGCAGTGATGATTTAAGCATAGGGATTTGGGATTTGACGACTCAAAAGTAATTAGCTAGTCTACCCACTACTGATTAGGTGAAGTGTGTTGATTTTTGCCCTGTTGGATAGATCTTTGCTGCGGGTTGCTTCGATGGATCTATCCATCTATTCAAAATGATGGATAATCAGAAGTTTGATTGCTATAGGACCATTTCAAGGTGTCCCCTCATTTAAGCTAAGGATTGCATTTTGAAGAATTCCAATATTGTGTCAAGAAGCGATTCTTTGGAACCGCTTTTGATATAGAAAGGAGCGATTAAAATATGAATATAATATATTTATATATAAAATGTCGTAACTTCTAATGGTGTGGTTGAATGATGAAGTATAGTTGAGTAGGAAGGTGACATCTTTTGAAAAGGATTTTCATAATGGGTATCTATTTGGAGAGTTACTGAGCAAGTTCAATTAACAACTCAATTTCGAAGAATTCTCAAATAAGTAATTATTGATTTCAAAATTAAGAGATGTAAGGGAAGCCAAGATGAAGAATTTCACTTTGTTGGAACCAACATTTAAGACTTTACACATCCCATTTAATTTTCAAATTGCTGATCAAGTAATCAAAGGCAAGAAAGGAGTTGCTATGTAATTGCTCTATCAATTACAAATGGTATCCAATCTATTCATTAACATAGTAATTGCAAAAAGTAAATGATCCTCATGATGTGATGATGCATGCAAAAACTGGTAAATATAATGTCATATAACCATTAATGGTTATCAGATAACCAAAAGACTAATTTGATAAAATGGAATAAGAATTCTTTATATCTAAACTTAATGAGAAGAATAAAGCATAGAAGGATGTAAACTTAGACATGCATCTTGGGAAGTTTACATCATTTGCCATTTAATAAGCCGAAAAAGAACGTCGGTTGAAAATCAAAGAGGAAACAGAGGAAAGAAATCTAAAAGAAGAAATGAGAAAAATCTAGTTGAATAAATTACAAAGAAATATGGCATTTATGGAAGATTGGAATCAAAAAGGAATTGAAAATTGGAAAAAAAATTAATAAATTCGACATAAAAATAAAGTAGCTGATGAAAAATTCAAATCTACAATGCAAAAAGCAACTGAAGATAGATTGATTCAAACATAACAAGTAATGAGAAGTGAGATAGAGGATCAAATAGAACAATTTGAAACCAGAGCAACTCAAGAACCAGTCTCCTTAGGATTGAGGAATAAGATGATGAGTGAATTCTTGAGAAAGGAGAGAGATAAAAGAAGAAGAAAAATGATTGTGGATTAGGAAAAGTAAACAGATGAATTACAGAGAAGAGAATACACTGTTTTAGAAAAACTCAAATAATAAAGTAAATAAGAAAAAGAAATTATGTATGAAATCTGGAGAGCCTATTAATGTCAGGAAGTTATTTTGGAAAATAGACAATTAAGAGATGAAAACTATAGAAATAAATAAGAACTCAATGTAATTAATTAGAAATTTAAAGAAGAAGAGATGTTAAGAGCTTTATAATCAGAATTTAATGAAGAAATAGAATTACAATAAAGAAGATAATTAGAAATTAATGTCGAATATAAATTACATATTAGACAATCAAATTATGAAAAATGTAAAAAATTAGTGGAGGTTCTCTTCGAAATTGAAGAATAGCTTTATGAACATTTATAAAACAATGATTCTAATTAATTTAACAAGCAATTTACCAGAGAAAACCATCATCTATTCAAATAAGGCATGGAACTAATTCCTTATAAAAGATTTAGAACTTATGATCCCATCAAAGAGATGAAAAAACAAGAAAGTCTTAACTATAAACAAAAGGTATTTCTAGCAAAAATGGAAATGCAAGATTATCTAGAGGGAACTGGGGCGTGGGATCTCTATTAAGCTCAAAATAATTATTCTCTAGGGAACCTAGTCAGATACCTGATTGAGAGCTAATTTTAGAATTCTACATCAGAAGTACAATCTACAGATCTACCTTTTGTTCCTTTCAGAGGAAGCTTAATTGGATTCTCATTTAGTGGTAAGAAAACTATAAGTGAATTGCTTGCCAAAAAATATGGTATTCAAATATTGTCAATCGATGTGATTATAAATGAATTACTAGAATATATAAAGAAATATGAATAAGGTGAAGAGCATTCGTAAGTTTGGGATTAACAATAAATTGAATTAGGTTAACAAATATCAGAGTATCTTTGTTAAGGAGAAGATATCCCTGAAGAACTGTATATCAAAGCAATTGTCTAGAAAATCAAAAGGCTATTTGACAAATAAGAATTTGAATAGATTTATGAAGAATACAAAGCCAAATATTAATCATTTAATCCTAGATAAATTAGAACACTTGATGAATTTAATGATGATGGTATAAATTGGGAAGATTTTCATAGACCATACAATAAGGGATGGTTATTGGTTGGATTTCCCCATAATTATGAATAAGCTAAGTTACTAGAAAAGCATTTAACAGGAATTGAGCCTCAAGATGAACTCACTCCATTGGAGGCTAGACTTAAAGAAGCTGCTAGGGTAGTCAAGCCTATTGATTATGCAGTTATTCCACGTAAAAAATAGGAAAGTGGAGTGGGAGTCTGTGTCTACTTAGAAATGCCATCAAATGAGTAGTGTTTAAGGAGAGCCATAGGAAGAAGGTATGATCATCATAATCACTCATTATATCATTTGGAATCCAACACTCCTCAAGTCGGATAATGCTCCATTGATTGAAAGAATTAAACCACTCTATGAAGTTGACAATTTATAATAAATAATATCAGATAAGAATGCCTATTTTATGACATAGATTGAAGGAATCAAGAATTGGTATAATAATTTTGAATCTACAGATAATTCAAATGTTTAAAATGCATTCATTAGTGTAGATGCTTCAAATAATTATGAGAGAGTATTTTATGATGTTGATAAAATATTTTAAAACTTTCTTTAAATTCAAATTAACAAAATATAATAGAAATATGATAAGTAGTAGAATGATATATTGGAATAGGAGGAGTTGATCAAGCAATAATAAGAGTAAGCTGAATTAGACAAAAAGTGCTAATCCAAGTAGGTTTAATTAGATTCATTACCTTTAAAGCAACCAAGCCAACAGTTTCTTTAATATCTACATTCATTTTGGAATCAAATAGAAAATAAATACATTACCCTCCAAAACATTTTCAAAGGTTTAAGAGAACAAAGAGAATTCATCACAAATTATTTAATGGATATTTAGAGAAAGTTCATAGATCTAATTAATACTCCAGATGAGAAGTTCTATCATGTGAGAAATTTCTAGGAATAATACAATTAATTTGTGTAAGAAAATCCAGATTTATGTGAAGAAGATGTATGCAAAGAAGAATTGCACTAAAGAGTAGATGATTTATATGATCAATTAATTGATATAATCGATTAGAAAAGAGATGATTTGCTAGTAGAAAAATAGTAAATACAATCCTCTTAATTCATTGAAAATGAAATTGATCTCTTTTTTATTATAAGTGAGATAATTATTAGCGACAGAATTAGATCGAGCCTAAAATTCAGTCCAATTGCTAAATGATACTACTATGGAACATTAGAGGCTATAGAATTATAAGACATTTAACCTAGTGTTGGAGAATTGCAATTGCAAGATGGAGACGATCCTAATGTAAGATTAGATAAACTCATTGCTGATTCTTTAAGAATATTTGCAGGAGAAGAAGAAATTGTAGAGGACAAAACCAAAAAAGGAGGTAAACAACCAGCAAAAAAGGATGAAAAAAAAGGGAAGAAAGGAAAGGAAGAGGAAGTTGTCAAAAAAGAAATTCAAAACCCTGATGCTGTCAATGCTATCAGTTTAGAAAAATAAATTTTTAAGGATAGAGTGGATGCTATAAAAAGATATGCATAATAATAAATTAGAACATTTAGATAGGGGGGCTGATCAATTATACCTGAAAATAGATGAATGGATCTATTACACTCATTAAACAGAAATTAAAGCCTTAGATGCAATCTCTGGCTTATTTAGAGGGTATATCGAAAGAGTGGAGAGAATCTAGAAGGAACTTTAATTATAGTTTGTGGATGTTATTATTAGTCATGAGGTCTTAAACTTCTTAACGCCAATTCCTCCTCCATTAACTGCAAGGGAACCATTATCCAAAGAAAGATATTCTATTTCTCAGCTCTATTATTTGATAGAAGACTTGAGAGCCATCACTAGCACACATTTGCTAATCGACATTAAATAATTGGCTTTGCTTTTAGCGAGATCTTCTTATGGTGTTTTGAAATACTCACCATCCAAATGGATGCAAGCACTATTAATTCTAGATTAAAATGGGTAAATATCAAAATCTAAATTTTAGTTATGTCAATGTCAGATAAATTTGTACATATTTGATTCTTCTTTCATCTCCCACTCCAAAAGAAGATGAACTATAATAGTATGCAAGCAAACTAGGTCAACCTTTGGTAAATAAGGATACTTTTGTTAATACTCCAGCTTGGTTTGATGAGTATGAGAGGATTCCAGAAGAGGAAAGTACAATTATTTATCAATCTTATTTAGATACTAATTACTTTGACCGTGTTATTTACATTAAGGAATTGCTATACTTTGTCCATAAGGATGAAAATGATATGTTAGCTACCAAATAATATATTGAAATACTTAATGTTGATGGAGACAGATTTATAGACTATTTATTACAAAACATACAACAACAATGATATTCTATTAAATAATATTTACACATATTTGAATGGTTTTACTCATAAAAACTACTTAACAAATCCAATATCTTCAAAAATAGTATAGAGTAAATAAATGCATTTTTAAATGTTACATTTAATAGATCAATTCATTAAATATTTTAATTAATCAAATTAAATGCAAAAGGTGAGAATCCCCAAAAAATTATTATTAAATTTAATTTAAAATGCAAACAAATAAGTTATTCTAATCTACATAGATCTTTTCATTTTTTTATTCTACAATACCATAATTAGATATTGAATCTTTTGTAAATCTATTAACAATTTAAAGCAAATAATGCATAATTAGCTTATTAATTACTAATAATTTACTTATATCTAAATTTGCATATTTTTGATTTATTATACTAAGATGTTAAGAATATCTATAAATTTTGTAAAATCATTCCTGAAAATTTATAAATTCAAAATAATCTATTTTTAATTCAAATTGACTAATTATGATTAATAATTAGTTACAAAGTAAATTAAAAAATTCTAAACTTAAAGATAATTGAGACAAAAGTCTTAAATTAAAAAAATTGAATACTAGATGAACATTTTTATCAGTTCAATTTCTATTTGAATCAATTCAAGAGTATAAATGGTTTATCAATTACTTTTAATTACACTATTCTTCAAAACTAGTTCAATTTGCAATACATTCAAATAGAGTTTAAATTATATTATAATTATAATATGAGCACTTGAAATTATTATTTATTGAAAATTCTCATAGATAATATGGAGCATATTTTAATAAAGGCTGAAGGTGTTGAGAATTACGGATCAATGGATATGTCTCCAGAGTGTGTACCAAGACCTTTGAATGATAACAATTCATTTGGTGAATATGTGATCATAGCTAAAACGATATTTTTAGGGCCTCATTGTAAATTATATTATATTTATAACATAGGGCCGTTATTTGCTGGTACATTGATTGGATTCAATATATTTGCATATCTAATGATGAGAAATTAATTAGCTCATGGTCACGATATTACTTTTGGAGTTATAATAACAATTGTATAATCAATATTTTATTTGGTTGTTGGATTAGCTAATCCTGGCATTGCAAATGACTCATCTTTGAATTACAAATATCTTGGGTAGCTATACACATTACCAAACAAACCATAACAAAGAAATGTGTGGTATTGTGAAAAATGCTAAAAAATATAACCTGCTCGATCTGATCATTGCCCATTTTGTAGAGTTTGTATAAAAAATTATGATCATCATTGTCCTTGGACAGGAAAATGCATTGGAGGCGAGAATCTCTTGCATTTTTGGGCCTTTCTTATCTCAACTATAGTTTTCTTCAGTTATTTTATTACAATATTAATGGATTAAAGAGAGGAAGCAAAAAATTAATGATTTAATTTATTTAGGTTAATTTATTATAATATTAAACTTCTTCATAAAACATCAATAATTTGATCAAGTAATTAAGTTGCTTAGTTGTTATTTGATATAATTATTATCAGAGTACATCCAATTTTTCTTTTGTATTCAGCTTATAACAAAAGTAATGAGAATTATTATTATGTAACAAGCTGTTGGTTTGAGGTTCTTTTATTTTCATTAGCATACTCTTTGTTGTTTTAATTAGATGTTCTTTAGCCTCAACACGCTGTTTATTGGAATCTTTAGGCAGAAAAATCATTTAGAAAAATGAGTATTAGATTGATCTAAAATTAGAAAATTGCTTCACAGTCGATAACTATATTTGGAGAACAACAAATTAGTTTAAGAAATATTCAGAGAAGTCAAAGTAAGGATGGTATCGATATATTGTAAGAGGAAGAAGTGGGATATTATTTTTGTAAAATGACTAATTTTTGTTCTATAAATAATTTAATGATCACTTAATATAATCTATAAATAGAAATGTTATTATGAATTTAATAGGAAACTCATCTCAATAATCAATGCTGATGCAATAGAAAAGGTGCAATTTTTACAATATAAAGCCGGGATGTAAATGTATTGAATTACAAAAAGGATTTTTATTTAGAATCTTTTGTAGAACTCAAGATTTTGCTTGTGTGATGAAAAATATTTTAAATATGAGATATCCATATTTGGTCTAAAAATAAATCAGCTGTAGACAGGCATAGGATCTTAATGAGTATAAAGAGCTGTATTTGTGGAGTTATAGTGCTATTTATTTAGTAATTGATATTCTTTAAATTGGATGTTTAAACAGGATTTTCAAATTGTTGAAGGAAAACTAATAGAAACTAGTAAAACTTGGAGAACTGTAATAGTCTAAAACTTAGAAAGTAGAAAAATGAGAACAATTGATCTATTGATTTAGTTTTATGTTTTTAGAAATATAATTGAATTTTAAATTGTGTTTTCAAATTATTTATTCAACATAGGAATCGTATAAAAATAGATTTTTCAATGGATTTGCGAAGTATTTAGAGGGACTAAATGATAATCAGCGTTTGAAATTATGTCATTTGAGGTTGTTGAAATAATTCTTAGCTTCGAAATCATACCTGATTGCAGTTCAGTGTATGAGCACATCTTCGATCCTACTTAAATAATTTATTTCTTTTCCTCTCGAAGATGGAATATAATAGTTTTAGCTGTGGCGTACTTGATTTGGAGTTTCTTAGCAGCCTATTAAATTCAATATTCAGTATCATACTTCTTTAATTTTAAACCCTTCCTTGAGTACCAGTCTAGACAGTTAATCCTTAGAAACTGGAGGTACTTTAATGTATGGTCTCTTATATTCTTAGAATATGCCTGGGACTATATTAGAACGAGGCCTAAGTTCTTTTTTTTAGGGCGATTTAGATTCTTGATCACTCGTTAAAGCTCTTCTATTCGCCCTCCTCCATGAGATTCATCTAATTCAATATTAATATTTAAAAATCTTTATAAATATCCAAATTCGAGCAAATCAGCCCTTAGTGCGTCACAATAAAGCAATATTTAATACTTTTACTGCTAAAATTTTAATAATACCTCACAAAATTGCAAATTATACATACCAGAAAGGCCTCATTAATGATTAGTAATAAATTTGTGCCAACATTGAGCTAGAACGTAATCAACTCAGAATTTAATATTAATATAAAAATAATCAAATATAATTCGAATCTTATATCATCCATGACTTATTGAAGGCTCCTCTATTTATTTAATTTTTTCTTTTTTGACTTCAAAAATCAAACAGCTCTTGCAGGTTAAATGAAAAATTGGGTTTTTTTTATTGTTTTTCTCTATTTTATTAATAAGCAATATAAGTTTAATATAACAGTTTGGAATCATTTACATTTACATTATTTTATAATAAAGTAATAATTTAATCAACATAACTAGTTAAATATACTTCTTAATTATTAAAATGTCCTACAAAAATTTTCAAACTTTTCCCCATTATCATATATATGCCATATACAGCAAATCCACTTGATGAATGGACTCCTGGATTGAAACGAAGGTAAATTTTGACACTTAAGAATGATCTGATCTAACGAATGAATTTTTATGGAGAAAAGAAAGAGCAGAAATATTATTATTTATTAGTATATATGATATTTTAGACTCTCTACTTTAGAGTAAGATATTCTAATAATACATTCAGGAGAAAGTTAATTGTTTAAAAAACAGAAGTATTATCACAATTTTATATAATAATAACAGCTAAAACTAATTATATAAAAATATACATGATGAAAATTTAGTATAAATTTGTGTTGTGAATGAAACTATGGCAATATCTATAGTCGATTAAGCAACATTTAGGATCAAATTTTAAAGGAAAAAATATTGAAATGATTTTAACAATTTAAAGGTTTGATTAAGTGTTGAGGACTTTGATTTTATAATGAAATAGTATATTGAAGTTGGTTATGCTCTTTCAAATAGAGTGAAATGTTAGAATTGTCTTTAGAACATTGTTAAGGATGACATCAGGATAGGACATGTATTGACTCGACCACCTGGTTTTGGCTTTGACAAGAAAATATGGTACCACTTGCTTTGTCTAACTTCAATAAAGGGAGATAGAAATCAAGATTTGGATATAGTTAATATTCACAGTTTGAAGGAAGGAGATTAACAGAAAGTGAGACAGAAGGTGGATTAGATAAAGAAAAGTAGCTACTAAAAAAGTATATATTGTATATAATTATTTGTAGAAGATCAAAAGGAAGTGAAATATTTGTCCAAGTAGGAACACTTTCAAAATTACGTGAAGATCTAAAAGGATTTGCATTTTAATCAAAAGCTACGTCAATAGGCGATGTTTTTTTAGAAGATGGATTAAACTGATGAATAATGGTGATTGTTATAACATTATTAATTATAAATTAAAAGATTTATATTCAGAATTTGTATTTTTGATTGACTCCGAATCCTAAGAACTTCCCAATTTTAGGAGCAGCTAAACATTAATGCAATTTCATATTGCTGACAACTTCAGGCATTGATCTATCTCTAGTTAATTTAGAAGTCACAGATCCAGTGACGCTGTTATTGTCTATCCTTGATAGACTAGGGGGTTGTTATTTTGATAGATATTTATAGAATTGTGTAGCAGGAATAGAAGGTAGTTCTGATTTTGTGGGAGTTTTAAATTCCTATATACTAAGACTCTCTTATCTATCCATCATTAAAGGTGGGAAATCAGTGTGAGTGTTCTCCTCTATGATTTCTGAGTCTTTGATAAGCAAATCATAGAACTTGCCAATATCATTGACTTTCACAATCCCATTTTTAGGGACAGTATCCTCATAATCACTTTGTTTAGTTTTTTAAGTGGAATTTTATCGAACGCCTGTTTTCTTCTTTAAATAAGATTATTCATATGAACCTCTCAAAATACTGTTATTGATTGTAACACTTGAATATTCTTCCTTTGATAAACGAATAGACTATGATTATTCAGATGCTAAATATTGATCCATTTTATTTTAGATACGATATGGCAAATCCTAAGCTTAAGTATGCTTATTCCTTTATCCTTTTTCATAATGTTCCATTTCTAGGAAAACTCCTGGTTTTAATTGTAAAACATCCATGAATTCCTGTAAATGATTTCTCTCCTATTGAGCTATAATCTTTTGAGCCTCCCCATCTTCATTTGTTGGTTATACTTTGAATACTTTTAATTTGGGTTTTCGGAATGCCGGTCGTCGTGGCTTGAGAACTGCCAATTCTTCTGTTTAAGAGGGAGCTGATTCTTTCATTTATTACCCTTCAATCTTTCTAACAGGTGCCAATTGTATTCTCTTAGCTTTAAGTATTATTTTACCATCAATATCATAAGTTACTTTTTCTGGTTGACCATCTACCAAAACTCTGACTTTTCTTCTTTCTTCCTATTTCTCCTTCTCAATTAGAGTTTGATTCTCTTAAAATTCCTTTCTCATCCTCTCCCTATATGATAATTAACTTCTCAAATGATCATCATATAAATCACTTTCAGGCTCCTGTTATGTTTATACAATTTCAGGCTAAAACTCTTCCCAAGTTGGAGGTTTCTCTTCATATTATTCTTCAGCCAATTCTTCCATGACATTATCAGGTTTCTTTATGAATTCCTTCATGAAATTAGCATTTTATCGCCTCCATTGATCATATGTCGTTTTCTCAGGTTCACACTCCTCAACTAAGTCTGATTTGATTTTGTCATACTCAAATTCCTTCACAATAGATTCAATCAATTCCATCGTTTTTGTAAATGTGTATGATGGCATATTTCTTAATACATCACTTACATTCAGACCATTGGTTAGAGAATGCATCAGATGTCTTATGCTATCTTCGACAATAACATGGACTTCAATTAATGATTGATAGACCATCTCAGGCTCGAAGGCTAGAATGGAAGAACCACGCTTAGCTATAGGTGTTGAAATTTGTAAATTATTCATTTTTTTTTAGCTTTAGAATCATCTTTTTTTGGAACCTCCTTCTAAGGCTGTTTCTGTTGCTTTTATGGACTAACTGTTTTTTGTGCCTTAGCTCCTTTTTTGTCTTAGTCTACTGGCGTCTTGGTTTCTATCACAGGAAGCATTAAAGTATTTTTATTCTCTTCCCTCTTTTGTTCAACCCATTCTTTTCTCTTGTCTCTCTCTTGTCTCCTCTATTATTTGTTAGGATATTATTATAACCTTCTAGTCTTCATCTAAATACTCTTATTATTTGTATGTTGCAGGACTGAATTGCTTAGCTGATAACAATCCCAATTATGCTCTTTGTGCCTACAAGTATCTCTCTTTTTCTTTTTAGAACAACTTATCTAAAATGGCTAAAAAACTTATATACTTTTTTCTTCATCATATATTGAGACATCTAACTTTGGTTGAGATTTGATTAGATCTAAATGTTTTGGATGGTTCTTTCTAAAGGGATATGTAATTTTCCTATAATCAACAGGAACTCTTTATTTTTCTTATTCCTCTAGCATTTTCTATTTCTTTTATTGCTTCTTTGCTGAAATATCTAATTCCTTTGGCTTGAGATTCAAACCTATTGCAACTAAGTATCTTTCAGATGTGTTCTACGATTCTAATTAATCTACATAATTGGTTACCTTAGGTATAGTCTAAAATTCCTTTAAATCCTAGAATTTCCTTATCCTTAATTTCAATTCTAAAATCTTTGGTTTAATTATCCTTATATTTCATATTTCCAACTTGAATGACTCTTTTCTTACTGGTTTCAAATTTCAAGAAGATTATTTGCTCAGAGTTATAAAAACCAGAAATATAACTTAATTTTTCTTCAGGGGTTATTTTGATCTGTTCCTTTTCAATACTACCTTCTTATAGTCCAATATGCTTTGTTGTCTTCTACTCTTCTTTATTTTCTGCATCTCCATAAGTCAACTCCAAACCAATGATCAGATTATTGTAGCTATTCTTACACACAACAATTTAATTGATGGGCATGTTGGATGTCCAATCCAAGTTCTTGATATCATCAAATGGCACCGATGTCTATGAATCTTTATCAATTCCATAAAAAATGTTTTCTGGTTTTTGGTGTGTACTTTATATTGGTTCTTAGACTTATTTTCTATCCAACAGCTGTACTTATCTTTGGAGATCATTTAATTTTATCACTGATGATTTTGTTTACACTTCTCTTTCTTTTAATTACTTCGCTAACTACACTACATCTTCATTCAATTTAGAATATTCCTCAATTTATCTCGACTTCTCCTTTTAAGCTTCTCTTTCCTTTTTTTCGAGTTCTTCTTGTAAGTTCTTGACCTCCTCCTAAATTTACTTAAATTTCCCTTTATCTTCCTTGAATTCTTTCAAGGCCTTATGAAGTTCAGATGTGTCTTCTGGCTGTGGTTAACTATCCTTTAATTGTAAGAACCTCTTTAGATTTTCTTCTTGACTTTTCTGTGCAAACTCCTGTACTTTTTTTTATTTTTCATTCTGATTATCTTGGTCCTTCTGTTTGTCTTACTTAAAATGCTGCTTCTCATCGCATGGTTTATTTAATTAAGTACACATTTGACGATATCTATGAGGATATAAATTGAGAATTACATTTTTTAAAGTTCAGCAAAATGATTATTCAATTCAAATTCTTTCCTTGTTTCATGCAACTCAACTTTTTAAGCTTCTCTAATACTATCCTTTAACGTTTTAATTTAATCTTTGAGACTATTTAATCTACCCTCATAATCACAATCAAATTATTGTTATTTAAATTCTGCTTCTTGTTCTTTCATGATTACTTGCATCTTTCTTCTCAATCTATCTTCTTCTGCGATTTGTTTTTCTACAAGTATGATTTCGTTACTAAGTTTATTTACTTCTTCAGTCTATTCTAGGTTTTTGTTTCTATCTTTCAATGCCTTGATTGATTCCCTCATCTGACTATTAGATTGTTCCATTTTGTCAATAGCAATCAACAAATCCACTTAATTATAATATAAAAGAGTTACAAATGCGAGGATCTATTTTATTAGCGAAGTCCTATTTGGATTTGCCATTCTTAATTTCATATAATATCTTCTTTTCAGCGAGATTATAATGTTTAGGGTCCAATTTTTATTCCAATAATTTTTATTTTCTAACATTAGATTAAACCAATTTTTCGGCTTTATCTCCTAGTTTTTTGAGTTGGCCTCTCAAATTATTATTTCTCCTTCTTAATTTTTAAACTTATTAAACATGCTCAGTCAGTAGGTCCTTCCATTTCCTCAATTTCTGATTATCTTCTAACCCTTACTCCTCAATAGTGAGTTTCAAATTGTTTACTAGTTCATTATTCTGTTGACTAAAAGATGAACATAAATTGAAATAGATTACTCCTCCTCATCTTTTGGATTTTCTTCATCCTCAATATATTCTTGATCATCGGGGTAATCTTCGTTGTCTTGATCGGGATTGTCTCCTTAATCTTGATCGGGATTATCTCCTTAACCTTGATCGTCGTCTTTTTATGGTTCTTCGTCTGACATAAGTTATATTTTTAATATAAATATTAATTAAAATCTTCAATTCCTTTTGGCTGCCACAATTTTTTAAGACCTCTTATTGAGAGATGGCTAACATATAAAGAATATTTACACACATTAAAACTATATTAAGGAACATCAGCTTTTCTACTTGGTTTCTTCAATAGGTCATATTTCTCACAAGGAGACAAAGTGGCAACCAATCTTTCAGCAGACTCCACGAATTCCTTCTTATTCAGTGTATGATTTCCAGATTCCATTTCCAAAAGCAGAGGCGATAATATCTTGATTACATTATCATCTAAATCTCCCACATCGCAATTCTCAGAATTAATAAAGCCATCATTATCACTATCCAAAGCATTAAAGATCTTAATCAATGAAACCTGCATTTGTGATTGTATCATTTAATTTGATTTTTCACTTGCTCTTACTTAAGATGTACTCATTTATTATTGATGTATTTAGACAATTTTATTCTATCGTTTCTTCTCCCATATCTTCGCTTGATTATACAAATTCTAAAACAAATCTCTAGGTCTCTTCTCTGGAGGTCTGCCAGTTTTAGGTTTAAACAATTAACTGTCATCATCACACACAGATAGATTTTACCTTGATGTTGATCTAATCTTTTATCTCTACTCGAAACTGCTTCCCTAAACTATCTTCTCTGATATCATATCAATCTTAGGATGAAATGTATAATTTGATGAGAAATACTACTTTTCCAATTACTCTAATTTCTGTCTCTTGGAATCATAATCAGTATACAATTATTCATACCATGGTTAATTGCTTCTATCGTTTCTCTCTTCAACTATGTATCGAGATCTATCATGATTATAGTATTTTCAATACATTCTGTTAATCTATGGTTTAAATGAACAACTCTAGACTTCTGACTTCAAGTGTTCTTGACTTGCATTCTCTCTCTTTATTTTCTATTCCTAAGCTAATCTATTCAAATGTTCACTCACTGATTCTCCTTTACGTTATACCAATTGTTTTGAAACATGATTGATACGTGGGTGATGAGTGCATTCAACTAATTAGGAATTCTGCAAATCCTTTTTAGCACTCTCAGCTCTCTACAATTTCTCTTCATTCTTTTTTATTCCCTTCTAATACAGAAATAACCCGTAATTTATTTCAGGCTCCTAAATTTTGATTTTTTTGGATCTACTATCAGAAATATTCAATTTCTATTTCAATCTTTTATTTTTTGCATCTTCATAAAGTCTGTCATGAACTGATGAATGGGTTGAGTAGTAATTGTTCATTGATAATTGATGTAATGGTTCATTGAATGGAGTTTCCATAAATTTTGAATTGCAGGTTTCAGTTGAATATTGCATGGTATCCTAACCAGACTATACATTAATCTCTTTCTCTTACATTCACTTTCTGTTGTTCAGCCACCTCCAAATTTTTATTGATATTCTCTATCAATAATGGAACCAACTTCTAGTTCACATTGTATTCAATACAGAAATCCCTAGCCAACACCTCAGGATCATCTCCAAAATGTACATTGATTGTACCCTGTCTCCCTTCATCAATCCTAACATTCATTATCAACAGAAGTTCTGTCATTTAATTTTGAAATTAAGTTGGATAATTTATTATACTATTAAATAAAAATAGAAAATAGTTCCTCTCTTTTATATAAATAAGCATTCAAAACCATCAAATCAAAATAATAATTGTTCCCATACAACATATCATTGATGAGAATATAAAAAATTCAAACTCAACTCAGTTAATTGATTGTCTATTTTTAGATCGATGGTTTGCATATTCAAAATTCCATTGTTAATTAATTACACTCTCAAAATAGTTTCACATATTTAATTTGGCTACAATATTCCTAAGTTTTTCTCCGTTGATAATGTTATACCCAACACAACCAGAGGCTAATCTTTCTTTTGATTAAGTTTCTTTCCAAATATTTGAGATGGCGGACAGAATGTAATTTCGTGTTCTTTGCCTGAATAATTTGTTAGAACTATCTTTAATGCCAAATATTCTTCATTCTGGGCATCCTTATATCTTACAACTTCTTTAATTTCACCTCCAATAGTTTGAATTGGTTTCACTTTCCATTGGATAGTATTACATTTAGTGTACTGTTGTTACCCCCATCTTATATACAGAGGTGTTTTAATTTCTAGAACTGGATTCACTTATACAAGACTCAATCTTCTAGATGGAAGATCAGGTTGCAATTACTCATTCTAAAGCATTGCTGGCCAATCTAATAAGACTTCTATGTATCCTTCCTCATGATTAAGGTATTATTTATTGATGGATATATTTTACAACATGCACTTCGGTACTACTCTATTGATTCCAACATCTTTCCAAATCATTTAACTTTCACTCAAAAGGAAATCCATTTCAATTAAATCCAATTAGCAATGAGATTTGATTTGAAAAGCAATATTCATTTTAACTGTATTGCCAAAATACTAATATTCCAACTCGAATGCATTATTTACTACAACTTTGATTGGATGTTAATATTGCAATTGTTTGTATTACTCTTTGGGAATCTCATTTCTCAATATATTTTTGATTCCATTAAAGTTGTACTTCCATTCATAAGATCCAATGACTATTAATTCTATATCTTGATCAATATACTCTTCATTAACATTGATTTCTAAGATCTTGCAATGGATAATTTTATTGTCTTATAAAATTTATTTTTTAGATTCTGTATAAATATTATTGACATAGAGATTGGTTTGGTAATAGGATGGGTATGATCGCATGAGTTGTTGGTCCTTTTTGAGTTGGAATGAATGCGTAACCTCTATATCAGACTCATAAATAATGAAGATTGGTATTAATTCGCAATTGATAAAGCAGGGGTTCTATTAGGTTTCGTTAATAAACTAAGAGAAATTTGGATTCTCGGTTTAATATTCTTATAAAATGGTTTAGTGTAGTTTTCTTGGTGGGATTATAATAGTTTTTTATAATGAATTGAATTGAGACTCTTCCATAATAATTATAATTAATATTAATCATTGTTTGATAATCCGTAAATTTGGAACTTCAAAGATGGGAACTCGTACATTTGATCTAACAATTAAGTAATTTCAAATTAATGATCGTTTGATGAAACAATTGATTATTACTATTCTTAACTCAGCTTTTTATAAGTAGTTTATGGATGAAATTTGAAGATTATTAATTGAGACGATCTAATAAATCTAAATAGGAATATAATGATCACAATTTGATAAAAATCTGGATTTACTTTTAATTCATACTTTTTGAATTAGTTTATTATATAATTATAATTTATAATGGGTACAGCGCCGTGTTACAAAAAGAAAAATGAGGAAGTGAAAGTGGCTCACCGGGGACATTTGAGTGATAAGAGTATGAAAGTATAGCATATTCAAATATGAGAGTCTAACAATGAGGACTTTCCAGAGTAATAGGGTGAAGAATAAGAGGAGGAGGAAGAAGAAGAAGTAAGATCTGTGATAATCAACTCTAGAACATAGTTTATGATTACATTTAAGGTGAATTGATTTAGGAGGGATGTAATGTATACTCTGCATTGAATACTCTAAATGGGTAACTTTTGGCATTGAAAATTGTATTACCTTCTGTAAACATAGTTCAAATTAAGTTCGGAAGATGACTTTGATAAAGTGATTAGTATAGTGGATATTCTCAAAAGGTTAGAATTCAAGAATATCCATCAAATAATAGGTTGGGATTACTCAGTATTCAAAAATGAAGTAATCTAAAATGAAATTAAAATACTCATGCCTTACGAGAGTGGAGGCTCAATCAGTTGGTTATTGTAGAAATTCAGTTCATTTTCTCCTCAACTTGCTATTATGTTTATGAAGCAAATATTGTAAGGACTGGAATATCTACACAGTCAAGGAATACTGCACAGGTATCATTGAAGTTAAATAAGGAATCTAAAAACCTCAAATGTCTTAGTGGATGGAGAAGCCAATGCTAAATTGAGTGACATCTATATTCTTAACAAATACAAACTATCCATGTACAGTGCTCCTGAATGTTTCAATGGACAGGAGTACTCCCAGTATTCTGATGTATGGAGTGCTGGTTGTATATTTGTAGAAATGCTCACTAAAATGCCACCTTGGCATCATTTATCCTCAGACATTACTCTGGATTAAATACGAAATTCTATCAATAAAGGATGTATGATTATTATATATTGAAATCAACTAGAATTATTTCAATTCAAACGCATAACTAAATCAGAGGATATTTTGTAAATCTTCAATCAAATATTCAAATTGAATCCAAAAGAACGATCTACTCCCAATCAGTTGCTCACTCATTCTGCCTTTCGAAGTATCCATTTTGTTATAATTTGAGATCTTGAAACTGAGCCATTGAAATCTGTGGTAATCTCAACTAGAAAATACTATAATACTAAACATGATGATAGAAAATCCTTCAAACCGTGTAATAGCAATATGTCCAGTTCCAGTATACATGGTGGCTTGTCAGTTTCAATAAGAAGGAGCAATAATCCTGATTCAAGTAAATATCAATAAGTTCTGTAATAATTGAAGTCTATTCATCAAGACTTCAATAGAACTGAGAATATGTAAGAAACACAACTTCTCTCTCACAATGATCTATGCAGCGTTGTAACGAGAAAGATTCAGATCGAAGCTAAAATCAAGGAAAAAGGAATTCATTACATTCACAAAGACAAAAATGCATTGGTTGAAAACGGGTTGATCAGACCAAAGGAAGGACCTACTTAAATTGCCAAAATCTCTGTCAATGGTATCCCAGATCAAGGAAATAAGAATCAAGTGCATAAGCCTCCCATCAATCAAAATAGTCAGCAATACAAATCCATCATGCACAGTGGAAGTCTAGAAAAAATACAAACCATTAGATCCAGTGAATTTGTAAAGAGCAATGATCAAAGCATTGAACCATAACCAGCCATACCTAATAAATAGTTAAGTGAATCACAACAATTAGAAGAACTTATGGCTTAATAATTTTATTAGAATCAAAACCATCGCAATTAAAAAGAGGAAATCAAACCCAAAATTAATCTAAATGACATTGAAAAGATGATGATGGATTAATTTTCATCATCCATGCTCAAATCAAATTAAAATGAAGAAGAATAATAACCAGAAACACATGAGTAATAGGAATACTAGTAAGAAACTAAATATATAAAGTCTGAAATAATTCTCATGAATAATAATAACATCCAAGATCCAAATTACTTTGAAAATCTTATGTAATAGTAATATTTAGAGGAAGATGATCAAGAAATAGATGAACTGTAAAAACTTGAAGATCTTATCCAATAATAATATTATAATAACATCGATAAAAACAACGATAATCATTAGGATTATGTCATTTAAAGATAATTATCCAATCATGATAAGTCGATTGAACCATTAGAAGAAAAGCAAGAGGAGGTCCTCTAAGAAAACTTATCCATTATTGGTATTTATTCACTTTTATATTGGTCTAGCTTTTGATTAACTTGCACAGTCTCCTAAAAATGACAACGAAATGTTAATAGAGGATGATTTTATATATATGTTATGAATTTTACACATATTTAAATGTCTAATTTCGTTCTACTTCTCAATCAGTATTTCTATAAAATTCAGAAACTGTAATTACATTTCTTTTTAATTCTACTTGAATTCAATTTTTTATTAAATAGCTTCTTTAATATTGGCCTACATATTATATAAGAATCTTGTTATATTATCCTACTTTTAGAGGATTAAATATGTAGTAATTTCCTATTAACTGGTCTTATTTTAATATTAATCTAACTCTTTATTTGAGGACAAAATTTAATAGATATATCTACTTAATAATAAATATTTATTCTTCTATGCAATAATTTATCATTATTTCAACCAAACAAAACATAAAAACATTCTATTTACATAATATAATTATCTTTAATAATATTGAGAGTCAATAAAATAATTTAAATAAAATGTCATCCCCACCATATTGGTTTAGGTGCTTCTACATATTATTTTGAAGAATCTCTCACATTGCGTTGTTTGTTGGCATATAGATTTTGGATTTAAGATGAAGAACTATTTATATAGGGAATAGCATTCTGATGAATGATGCTGATCTTTAAATTTTACTGTTTTTCCAATAATTTTTGTTATCTAATTCTTTCCATCTCTAAAAGTTGGACTGAATTGACAATGGACTTAGACCGTTCCTCATGTAAAGAATTCTGCTGCAGTTATTATTATTGATATCGATCACTTTTAACAGGTGGGACTGAAAAATTAGGTCTGATTTCTTTAGGGTTACTAATTTTTGGTAGAAATGAACTATTAGCTTATGTTTAATCATAAGACTTATTCACATTTTCCATTAAGTATTTTGATTTTGGTAATTTCTCTTTGAGTTGTTTTAGATTCTTTGGTAATTTTATAGTTTACAAGAGTACATTCGAACCAGCTTACGAAGATTAAGTCTACTGAGAAACTCTACTTTCTATAATAAATTATCTAGCATTTCTCAATAAAATAGGATTGCTAAGTAATTAAGCACATGTAGGTCTTTATTTGCTTTGTACTTGTAAACATAATCCTATTACAGTCATTAATTCACCGCTAAATTTAGGCGGTATTCGTTCGTATAATCCTCTTTATACTTTCTTATATAATCCTTCCATATTTTATGCTCGAAATGGTGGTTTTAGGGCTGCCATTTCATATGCAACACAACCTAAACTCCAAATGTCACTTTTAGCATCATATGGCTGATCTCTCCAAACTTCAGGACTTGCATAATAAGGAGTTCCTGTTTGCGTATAAACCAAATCCTTTTTGGCCACTTTGGATACATTCATGTCTCCCAGTTTATAGTTTCCTTAGTGGAGGAATACATTTGCAGATTTCAAATCCCTATGCAAGATTTTCATTTGATGTAACGTTCGCAAAGCTAAAATTTAAATTAACTGAATACCAATTGCCACTTAGTAAATCATTTTCCAGATCTCAATTTCTTATATGAATTGTTTCTAATGAATATGTTATTGGATCATCTGTTACAAATCACCTTAATCAGCATACTCCATTACTACACATAAACTTTGAGATTGCTCATCGTAGAATGCTTCCTTGTACGCTATGATATTAGGATGTGAAATGCTGGCCAGAATACGAATTTCATTAAGTGAATTCTCTTTCTCCTTCTCCTTCAATTATCCCATCCTCACTTTTTTCATTGCATATTCTTACTAATCGGATTGTCGCTTAACTCTTAACACTGTAGAGAATGAACCTAAATTAATTGATATTAATTCAAATAATAGTACCTTCACCCAATTTCTCGAAAACAGTAAAGTTTTTCATGATTATAATTATATTAACTAATAAAAATCATTAGTACAAATTATAAATAATAATCTATATCTGAAAATTGAATTCATGCAATCTACCAAATATTACTTCGATTTCTATCTGTTCAATTCCACTTAATTATTCATTACACCCCATTTATTTTATCACTTTCATTAATCATACTTTGTGTATTTTGGTAATCATTCTAAACAATAAACTATTTTAGAATACAATAATCCACATTAATTTATTTATTTTAGATGATCATTCAAAAATCATTATTGTATTTTTACAATATAAATTTACTTTTGAATTCAAGGATAGCTTATTATAGGGAAAGTTATATTACTTGTTATAAAACTAACTCAAATATGGATATTGAATTATGATAATCAATATCAAATAAATTTGATTTCTGCTTACTCATTTGACAATGAAAATAGAAAATTAAAAATTTAGAATGGATACTGCAATTGGCCTTTTAATATCATTCTCTATACCATAAATATTATCCAAATTTAGTAATTAAAATGATCTGAAAATTTAAAACTCATGATTGCATATAATAATCTATTAAAATTCAAATAGCTTTATTAAAAAATTCTACTATGTTTTTAATTGCCTTATGAGAAATACTAAAATTGTAAGATCATAAGCATTTTTCCCAATTGGATAGAAATTGTATTCAGAAAGTCCTTTAATATATATGTTAATAAATTTAATCATAAAAAGTGTCACTAAAAAAATACTATATGATTCCAACTTTGATTAGGTGGATCTATACTTCTCTAAATTGAATATAAAATCCAAATTTTGTTATGAGTTTATAATTCTCTAAAGCCTAGAAAAATTTATATTTATAGCATTAATAATAAATATAATTATATTAATAAATAAAAACAGATAACTAAATATTTCGGATCATATTAAAATAAACAGTTAAATTCATAGTCGATTAAACTGATACTGAAATAGCAGTTTTTTGTGAGATTTTAATAAAATATATTTTTATTGAATAATTTACATAATAATTTATGTAAATTCATGAGGAGGGCAGTGACATAGATAGATTACTGTTTTTGTCAAAGAATATCGAGAAGAGAAAGAAGAGAAGAAGGAATATGATTTTCTTTTTAATTGCTATGATCACTTTTGTAACACTTGAATCATCAATCAATGGAAGATGTTTTTTTAAAGATGATAAATAAATATATTTATACATTGATTTAGTAATGTATTTAGGAGTTTTTGCGATTGTCTTAATGGAGATAGCAATTTAGTAAAAAAAAATTGTTAAGAAGTTTCAATAGCAAACAAGATTAAGGGCTTTAATATGTTAACTTATTATCTATCAAACTTTTGTAGCGATAATATTTGTTTTAAGTCTCTATCATGTTGGAGTATAAATCTACTTTTTTTTTTTCCATTTTAACCAAGATTGTTTTTATTTTAAGAATAGAATTGAGGAAGAAAGCTTCAAGTTACTTAAGATTACAATATTTTTTCTATTTATAACTATTGAGACAGTAATGTTATGCTTCTTGGGATGGGTTTTAAAGGAGAATTACAAAGCATAAAAGAATCCTTTTAAATTTACCTAGAGTTCTATATTGTTTAGATCCTAGAGCAATGATATTGTACTGCATTTCTTTGGAGGACCGATTGATTAGAATTGATTCTGTTTATATTTTGTATATAAGGTGTATTATATTAAATATAAAAAGATAAATTAAATTAATTTGAGAGTATAAATAAAATAATTGAGGCAATAATCTCAATTACCTTCTCTCTTAAATTAAGAGTAAAATGGATAGTATTCTAGCTTCGATTATCTCCTATTAATGAGATAATAATTCGAAAACAAATACTATTATACGTTTATTGTATTATATAAAAAGATAATTTGAATGATAAGAAATTCTTAATTAGAAATTTGGGAAATTCCAAGAAGTTTAATTGAAAGGAGAGCCAAAGGTGGAATTGAGGAGAGGGGAAATCAGTAAAGAAGATGGATGTGGAGAAGATGAAAATGTAGATTTGAATAAACAGATTTATGATATTGAATGATTCAGAATACTAATAAAATCTTGGAATATATATCTTACTTAAATATCTAAGTAATGCCATTGAACGAATCAGAAGTAACAAAATCTTAAAGCGATTTGCAGGAGAGTTCCAAAAAGATTTAAAAGAAAGCAGGCCATTGGAATTAGGAAGAACACGAATCATATCTTCGTTTTTTGCTAGAGAATGCGAATCATAGCAAGGGTCAAAGATTATTCAAAAAGATGAGTTAAATAATAGGAACAAGAACTCCTAGTTAGTGTAGGTGAGATTTTTAAATAAATGAATAGATCTCATCATCAAAAATTCAATCCATCGAAACCTACCATCAAGATTGCATAAACGAGATTGTTAAAAACCAAGCAATTGGTTAGATTATACATGTAAAAACACAAAGTAAAAGATGAGGATGAGGAATGAGTGAGATATTTCTTTTATGTAAATATAAAAAACAATTTTTTGTTTGATTGACATTAATTTAAAATTTAAATAAAATGAGTAATTCATTGATGGGTAATATGTTGGTCGAATCTGTAATGGAGAAGGCCTTGAAAGACAAGATGAAAGAATAGTAGGCTAAACAATAGGAAGAAGAGAGAAGGAGAGCAGCAAGACGACAATATGAGGAAGAAGACGAGGATGATTGTGATGATGAGGATTTGAAAGAAATGTTGAAGAAGATGAGGGAACAAAGAGCTAAGGAATTGCAAGAGGCCATGCTTAAAAAGAATAAGGGATTTGGAGAATATAGAGAAATCGTTGAAGAGGAATTCTTGCCATCTGTTACTAAATCTGAATTCAGTGTTGTTCATTTCTTTCATCGTGATTTCGAAAGATGCAAAATTATGGACAAACATCTCTAGGCAATATCATAATAGTAATTGATTTTGTGACTTTGATAGGCATCCTGAGACCAAATTCTATTGTTTGAATGCAGAAAAGTCACCCTTTTTTGTGGGCAAACTACAAATTCAAGTTCTACCTACAGTATGCTTATTTGTGAATGGAGTCTTAAAAAATAGAATCGTAGGTTTCGAAGAGATGGGAGGGAAGGACACTTTTGAAACTGGTACATTAGCACATATGTAAATTATAAAAGAAATTATTTTATAGTCTTTTAAGATATGGTATGATCAAGGTAAGAAAGGGTAGCAATGATGACAACTCATCAGATGAAGATAAGTGACATTTGAATATTAAATTAATTAAATGAGTGATCAATCTTAATACTTGAATAAAAGTGTCAAAGTGGTTTGTTCAGACAACAGAGTCCTCTATGGAGTGCTGTCAAGTATCTCCTCGCCTTTTTCTATCATACTCCAACATTCTGTTGCTACTCACCCATCACCCTTGGAACTCGATATTGAATTTGATTACAATCCCTAATACTTAGCCAAATATTTTACAAATGACGAATCTCTTAGAGAAGCGTACAATAATTACAATAAAGCAACTGAAGAGACAAAATAAGAATTGCAATAAAAGGTTGATGAAGCAAAAGCATTCAATGATCTATTTATGAAAGACAAATATTATGTTGGCAGTGTTGCCATACCTGGAGAACATATACAAAATATCATATTAATCTAGTGACAAACCATTTTTATTATTTTATGCTAAAGATTGTATATTAATAATTATCATATGCTTAATTTAATTCCACCCTCGTAGTATAAACCCTATACAAATACTTAAACTACTGCTCAATCTGCGGTTTGTATACTCTTAAGAGGGTAATTTAAACCATAATAAGGATACTCCTAACTGAATATCAACAATCCCCAATCCACCAAATTTCAAGAACAGAAAGATATTGAAATACTTTATATTTAAAGATAAAACTCAAAAAGAGATTAATATAGTGGTGAAATTGCTTTCCCAGGAGGTAAATGCGACAATGATGAAACAGACTTGTAAGCTGCAATAAGGGAAGTACATGAAGAAGTAGGAATTAATCTAAATGGATTGGAATGCTATTATGTATGTCGACTTTCAAAGAATGCTTATATGAAGAAATTGAAAAATAATAAATCTCTATATTGCAGTGCTTTCGTAATAGCGATCAATGATCCTGAGAAAACGACTGATCACATGAGATTGTCTGAAAACGAAGTACAACAAGCAAAGTGGGTTAAGCTTAGTTATTTTGATGATCCACAATATAAAACAAAAAAGAGTCAACATTATTTTGGACCTCGATCAATAGCTAAGTATTTTAAGTAGGCCGAAACTGCAGCTTTGGACATTGGATTTGATGAGGTGTTGTATGGATTCACATTTTTTTTGACGATTTCATTTTTATATCTTATCTAGAAACACTAAAAAGTGTGGGAACATGCTCATATTGCCAAGTTTACATTCACAGGACCTATGAAATATGCTCTAGAATATGGAGCTATGATAGCTTACAAAAGAGAGAGGATTGGGTTGTTTGAGAAGTGGAATTGGCCAATCTATACATACTTGATACCAATGTTAATATTGATGATTTTGATTTGATTTATATGTTATGATATTTAGACATCAATCATCTTATTCATTACTTTTAATATTTGTGAATGAATATGCTTTAAACAAATATCCATCGGCTTTGTAAAATTTGCTTTAGAATTCAACCCTAAATGGATAGTGATTAAATTAGATACCATTGCAATCGAAGGGCATGTAAGAAACATTCCATAAGATCCATACACATCAGGACTCCAAAAGTGGCCAGAGCAAATCCTGGGAATTGTACGATTGACTAGAATGTAAATGTAAATGAATACTCCTAAGGTTCCAAAGAATCCTCCATCACCAATATGACTGGCTATGGTCATAGAGAAGAAGACTTCGGCCAATTGTGAATGAGCTAAGGATAGTGCCCATAATCTTAAATACGAAGCTGTGTTACTAACACTTCCCAAAACAAATTCGATAGTTTCAATGGCTATTAATAATTAGAATAAATTTATACATTGATGGACTATTAATTCACCAATATCGTCATGTTCGTTATGTTATTAAACAGACACTTTACTATGTGGTTATGACTACTCCTTTTGCATATCATTTTGTAATTATTCTGGGTTGGGATCTTCATCAGGTACGTAAGAGGGTATTTATTGATATTGATGAGGATTCTTCTTTTTTAGACTAAAAAGAAGTGGTTTTGTAATCAACATGACAGGAATACAGAAGGTTATGATGGTTAATAACAGTAGTTAAATGAATCTCTATTGCTCTCCAGATTCGAACAATGGTTTTTCAGGGACATCAAAAGGTCGTAACACCATGTCAATCATAGTTGTAATAACACTAGGAGCATCTTTAGTATCTTCGAATTTGGTAGACCATTTCAAAAACAATAAGAAATCCATGTAGCCAAAACTACAGAGTAATAAAAGGAATTATGGAATGAATTCACAAAAGAAATCCATATAGCTTTTGAAGTGTAGAGTGTTGAATCCTTTCAAAATGATACCGAAAGTCATGTGAGTGACTCCGATGATGACTGCCAACTTCATTTTGAATGAATTCATGAAAGTCAATTGATTGGCTGAAGAACCCCATGCAGGATCTATTCCAAATTTATAGACACAATCTTCTTGGAGTTCATATTCACCATCTACCAAATTGTAACAACTTCCAAATAAGTTTAAGCCTATGGATAGAAAATCGTTGTAAATGAGTCCATTGTAACAAGCAAAGAATCCAATGAGGAGTATCATATATCTCATGGGGACTATTCCAGAGAAGATTGATTTCCTTGCATCTTCAGTTGTGAGATACAATCCACAAACAAACAATAACAAACTCTTAATAATTTAATATATTATACCCATGACCAATATCACCAAACATCACACCGACTAGAAATGGGAATGTTATGATAGTAGACAAACCTGGATTGATTTCCTTGTATCTGGGTATACCATAAGTATTGACAATTTCCTAAAAGGGATATGTAAATGAATTTAATTTATAATATGTAGGAGGAGTTAATTGAGTTTAACATTCCTAGATTTAACCACTAGGTAATTATTTATCATTACCATGCAAGTTTCGTAGAGCCTATTAAATTTTTTAATCCTAACCTTATGGTAACCATATCTGACCATGAAATACGGAGTTAGTCATATTCAACATATTCAAATTCATGTACAAATACTTCTCTTTGGTTACCAAGATCCTCATCTCCTCAATCCAAGAGCAATTGTATTTCACTTCTGCCAAATCCTGCAACCTTTTATTAATCTGAGTAATAGTCAAATGCAACAATTGATCTGCCTCATTCAATTGATTCTCCAACATTGTAATTCTCTAAGCATGTTAATCACTGGATGTTGGGATATCGAATTTATTGCATGAAAAAGACTCAATCACTCTCTAGATTTTCTTCTAAGTCAAGTCTCCATTTGGATAAATGAGCATAAACACACACTTCTATACTATCCTCCTATCCTATTATATGAAATGCTCTTGGATGTCCATAATATCAACGTGAATGTTGCCCTTTGTTATTCTAAAGATTATCCTTTTGAATCTCATTTCATCTTCCTTCAATATAACTCCAACCATCTTCTGAAATCCCAACAAACTAGCCTCCTCTGAATCCTCATTCTAAAATGCCACTGCATTTCTTAACACTTCCAAATTCTCCCTTATTGTGTTTTTCTTCTCTTATAAACTATTCATTGTTTGTTATTGATGTTCCAAATCATCTGCCACTTTACATATATCCTATTCCAATTCTTCAAATTATTTATGAGTTCCATTTCTCTTCTTCAATAAATCAATCACATCGGGAGAATATCTCTTTTCAATCTTGAAATTTCTCATCTCACCATCTATCTACTCAATCTTCTGCATCACATCATCACATCTTTAATCTCTAAATGAAATACCTCTTCACATAATTTGAAAATGGCCTATTTATTTAAGGTAAAGTCGGATCATAATCAATTATGTGAACGCTATCAAAATATCCTAATGTGTTCATTACATCCCATGCCGACTCTCTTGGAATCACTAAATTATAGAATTCCATCTACTCTGATCTAAACAAGCTCATTATAGATTATTTAATATTATATTTATTACCAAAACGAATAAATATTTATGAATTAACAGAAGTTTATACTTTAATTATTTCTCGAATTCATCATTTTAAACCATTTATTAATTTCAATCCAACCATTGAAATCTTAATCCATTTCTATCAGAGTACTATAATTAATATACTACTTCAAATGAGTTACTATGTAATAATTAAATTTAATTAGTTTGTTTTCAATTCTAATAGAAATTGTTAAAATGAGTATTCATTTAATACTCCTCATTAAAAAACCCTATATATTTCAATTATTAATCAATAAGGTAGGCTTACTATGAAATTGAAAATTAATAGATTAATAATGGTGAATCAAAATATTCTTTCATTCTTTTAAATTATATAGGGTAAAACCTTACTTTACGATGAAGTTAAAGTCCCTCTTGACTCCTGAAAAATGAAATTGCTTCAACTTGTAACTGAAAACAAAATGAAATATTATTTTAAAATCTTACTTACAATTAATTATGGTTAATAATATTAAAATAATAAGCCTGCAAATATAGCACATCTATTGCTGGTTTAATATTAAATAAATATCAAAAATCTATATAAAAATCTCATTATAATTAAATGATAATAATTAAAAGATATTTTCAAAACAATTGCGAAGATTACAATAATTTAAATATTGATAATCAATGAACTAAGTTAGAGAATATCTTTGTAAAGTATCTGAAGGAAAGGAAAATGAAACCCCAATCTATAGGCATCCCTAATCGAAGGTATTTTCAAATATATATTATAGGATGGCTTCCCTCAATCTAAATGTACCTTCTAGCAAGAATTTATTGAGAAGCTATAGAGATTTCCAGATAAGAAGTCTCTCGGCTATTACAATGAGGAATCATAATAATATGACTAAATAACATATAAAGTATATTTTCTTAAAATAATTAGGAAATATTCGATACTGCTACTCAAATCGGCTCTGAACTGTATTCAAGAAATTCCATAGTTGAAGTCAAAGATGAGCAGGGGCTCGTAATTAAGCCTGTCGGAATATATATGTCCAACAGAAGGGAATGGTCCATTTTGGATATTGCTTGCATCCTTTATGGATTTACATCCTGTCCATTTTATGATACCTTAGGATATAATAGTATGAAATATTCTTTGGAGTAAACTTAAGTGAGGTATGCAAATAATTATGAAATTAGTATCTGCTTTGTCTAATCAAGTACGATAAAAGTCCTAGTAGATGTGAACCAAGCCCATCTAAAAACTATTGTTATTGTAGGTGAAGGCTTCCAAGAAGAAGATTTGGACAAGTTAAGAGCATAAGGGAAGGAGATTGTAACGTGGAATTAAGTTGTGGAAAAAGGCAAAACTGCCATCATTCCATATCCCAATTTATAGCCAGATGTTTCAATGACTCTAGTATTTACAAGTGGAACCACTGGACAATCCAAAGCAACTCTCTAAACTTAGTACAATTTTTAACAGATGTTGCATGTTTTTGACTATCCTCCCAATTAGAAACTTAATGAAAATGATGTTTATTTGTCATACCTGCCTCTACCCCACTTATTTGAAAGGGTTCTTCATTTGGGATCATTATTAGCATCTGCTGAAATAAACTACTATAGTGGAAATGCACAAAACCTAGCTAGAGACATTTAAAGATGTAAACCAACTTACTTTGGTGGAGTGCCAAGAGTTTTCAATAGATTTTATGAGGCAATTTAAAATGTCGTTAATTCATTACCTGAAGATGCAAAGGACAAATTTGAACAAGCCTTTGAAATGAAATTAAAGTACTTTTAGCAAACTGGAATACCAGTTCACGAATAATTAGATGCTGCATTTGTAAAAACAAGAGCTATCTTTGGTGGAAGACAAAGAGTTATACTCACTGGAGCTGCTCCTATATCAACTAAAGTAATAAACTTCTTAAAAATGACTTTGTGCTGTTAAATTATAGAAATATATGGCTAAACAGAAACAATGGGAGGATCCTTTAGAACAGATATCTTTGATCCTAGTTGTGGTCACGTAGGGGGTCCCACAATATCTTAAGAATTCAAATTGGTTAGCATACCAGAAATTGGGTATGTCACAGATAAAAATGTTGACGGTTTAATTAGAGGGGAGATTTGCATTAGGGGACCAAGCATTAGCAAAGGATACTTTAGAGATCCAGAACAAACAAAAGAGTTAATTGATAATGAAGGATGGGTACATACAGGGGATATAGGTTAAATAGTTGATGGGACCTTAAGACTTATAGATAGGAAAAAAAATTTATTTAAATTATCATAAGGCGAATATGTTGCTCCAGAGAAAGTAGAAAATCGTTATTTGAGATTGAAAGGGATATTGGAAATCGTTGTTTTCGGGGATTCATTGTAGAACTATTGTGTTGGGGTTGTGGTAGTTGATCCAACTGTTCTAAAATAGTTCGCAGATTAATTGAAAATTGAAGGTGATTATCCTACCTTATGTGCCAATAAAGAAATAAAGAATTACGTCTTGTCTTAATTAAACGAATAAGTAAAAGAATATGTTATTTTAGGGATCAAAAGAATAATTGAATGGATATGAACAAGTAAAAAATATATATCTTGAATCAAAACCATTCTAACAAGTAGGAATATTGACAGATAACTTGAAAATGCAAAGGCACATGGCTAAGAAACATTATCAACAAATTATTTAGTAATTATATGATGAAATTATAAATTGATGTACATTAAAATATTAATAGTATTTAATTATTTTCATATATATTGATAAAGCATTTGGTTTAAAATATATATAATAATCATGGTTAGTATGAAAATTTAAGATACTTGGAAAGATGATATAAATCTTTAAAATAACATATAGATTCCTATTTTAGATTAAAGCGCTTATCATATCTCTTGGAATCTTATATTTTTAATAGTAGAAGCAAATTTAAACTTTATATCTGTTATAAATTTTATTATTAATTTATACTTCCACTAAAAAATAAACGAAAGTCTCTTTGGATAATTCTAATAATAAAGATTCCGTAATCATGTTTAAATGAATTGGTATTTTCTTTTAGCGGGGATATTTAAGTATTGAAAACTATGTAAAAATTTGCTCAAAATAATAAAAATAAAATAAAAATGAAAGAGGAAAATTATTCCGACTCAGACTCAGACTCTGATTCTAATCCTAATTAAGATACTACTGATTTTGATTTTACTCAGTTAGAATAATCAGTATTGATTTCAAAGGATGACGGATTATCAAAATTAATAAAAGGATCAGATCAATACTATTATCAATACTTTCTAAATATCTTGAATTAGAAAGGATATCAACTTGATTCGATACAGTAGGAGCATTTTTCAACTTATAAAGGAATGAAAACCAAAAATTATAAGAAAATATGCTTAAGAAGATTATTTGTTGAGTATGATAATCTGATGAATGAATCCATGGAAACAGAGGAAACAACCAAAAGAAAAAGAAAAATTTTATACAAAATCAATAAGAGATTATTTAAAATCAATTTTGATGATTTATCCTAAGATACATCTACCAAAGTAATTATAATTATAAATTTAGTAATAAAATGCATTTAATACTAACTTATAGACCAAAGAATTAGTTTCTCAATTTGATAATAACAAATTAGCAATGGATGATTATCTGAAGGATGCTTATACAGAAAAGGGAATCAGCAAATTATCTGCTGGCTTACTCCAATAATTAAATCTTTTAGAATTAATTAAGGCTCCTAATAAAGTTATTGATATTTTCTTTAATAAATTAAACCATAGCAGTTAAAGGGTAATTTTAAATGATAATATTCCTTAATTTTTTAATCAATTGGTTGGAAAAAAAGACTTTAAATTTACAAATTCTTGCTTCAACATCTTAACTATTGAGTAAATGGAGGAGTTAGGAAAATTAAATAAGAAATTTTTAGAATATACCATTTTTGTGGGAAATCTATATTTCAAGAAATTTGGAAAGAATAAAAAATAGGACGAGAATTCTGAATATCTTTTAGTTTAAAAAGAAGAAATTTTATCAAATTTGAACAAGGCATATATTTGGACAAAATCTTTATTAGAAAGGTTTAATTCTCTTAAGTAAATAGTTTTAAGGGAATTACTTTAATATGGTAAATATTGATTATATATCATAGGTATTGAAATTTAACATTATGACTTTGATTTATTTTTGGATTTTCTAAAAAATCCAATAGAAATCTATCAAAATATTACAAAATCACATAGGGATGTGCAAAGTAAAATCAGAAATGACTTTTCAATTAATTGGCAGGAATGGCATGGATTTAATATTTGCAGATGTAATTATTAGAGATTATATGTAGATATGAATACTAATTAATTAATTGAAAAGTATTTATAAAAGTACTTTGAATAAAATTCAGATTTTAGTATTTTTGAGCAATACTTGGAATCTCATTATTTAAAGAAACAAAAAGCCATCAGTCGCCTGTATAAAGGAGAGGAAGCTCAAGATTTGAACAATTATTTTACTAATAATGAAATTAAATTGATGAACAATACTAAGGTCTTATACTTATGTGATAACAATAAGCCATATTTTATTCATGGGGAACCTGTCAACTTATATGTCGAATTAAAGAACATCTAAAGTTTGACGATTAAAATATTTCAAATTAACATGAAAAATTTTTATATGGCTAAGACCGAATAATTAAGTACAAATATATGTTTAGATGGTTTTATTCCTACAGAGGAGATAAATTTTACTTATGATTGTCCTCCTATTAAGAAAGTAATTAAAGAGTTTGCGTTTGAATCAATTTAAAAGACTGAAAGAGGAACCTTTATTATCGAATTTATAGGTAATGGACTATCTTGTAGAGCAATAATTGAGAAGGGAAGATTATGTTTGAAGTAGACAATAGTAACTGCTGGATATAAATATGAGATATTTGATGAAAAATTTGAGAAATTGCTTGATGATAAAATTGGGTTATGGATTGAAGAGACCTTTTATAGTTTGGTTAAGGGAGAAATCGTAGTTCCATTCCCAAAGGAGGAAACCAAATATTCAGCCATTATTCAATATGGAGATTTCTATTAAAAGGAGAATCTCTTGTTATAACCTGAATCTTTTAGATTAATTTGCAGTTTCATTTTGGGGGATGAGTAAATTCAATTAGGCTCTGATGTCTCAGTAATTATTATCCCTAAATTGACTTTGAATGGAACAAACATAGGATTTGAAATATTAAAGGATGCTAATGTCTAAATATCTTGTTAGAATGAGAAAGGTGTTCCTTAAACCTTCAACTTCAGAGACATTAACTTTGAGTCTTAAGTTCCTTTAGAATTGAAATTCCCTGTTAATTAAAAACTACTCAGTATCTAAGTAGATGTAACAGGGAAAATAAAATAATTACACAAAAAAGACGATTTAGAATTATAATAAACATGTAACATAAAAATGGAATAAGATATAAAATAATAAATATTTATAAAACAATTGCTAAGATTTGATGATGCAGATGGTTATTCAATATTTGTATTGGGTAAGAACGGCGAGCCATACAAAAATGTCTAGGTTTAAGTATTATTTACTCACTCTTTGATTAATGAATAAATCAAAGAAAATCTTATTACTGATGAAAATGGATAAATCAAGTTAGGGTTTTTGCCATAAATAGAAAAAATACATTCAACTGTCATTTCTACGAAATATTAGATCTAAAAATAAGAATGGAAACTACTTAAACTATTTTCTGCTTACTAAAGCTCTTATGAATTAGTGGTTAATTTGGGAGAAAAATTGACCTTACCATTTCGTACTAAATTAGAAAATGTTTTGCTCTATTAAATAAAAAACTTGTAGTCTGAAATAACTCCGATTAACAATATTAGGAATTAGATTTAATTTGAAGAGAATGAAATAACCATTGAATTCACTTAGAAAGGAGTATTTTTACTTCGATTATTAGAAGAAGCATATTCATTTTAATTCAAAGTCATTGATAATACCTTAAAATAATGTAAAGACTACCTTTATACTTAAAATGAGAGGATATAAAAAGAACATCTGAGAGAAATTAATTTAAAAAGTACTGTGACTTAACTGAATGATACAAAGCTGTTGGTATAGGGTGATATATTATATGATAAAGAATATCATATAATTGCATTAGCTACGACATTCTATCCTGATCTAAGTAGTTTAGAAAAAGAGATGCAAAGTTTTATGTAGTAGTATGAATAACCCCTTGATCTTAAGATTGAATTCAAAAATAACATATATTTGTGTAACCTAAAATAATCGGATGAGTTAGGATATATTATTGAAAGGAAAAATCAACCAAAATATTTGGGCAACACACTTGAGAAACCTCAAATCCTTTTAAATCGATTTCTTACTGATTGTACAGAAACTTAAGAAGAAAATTTGAAATAAGTTTAGCAAAATTTATTAAAACCTACCAATTCCAGATAGATGGCAAGTAAGGCGTATAGAAAATCAGGACCTATGCAATATCATTAATAAAGTTTTAATTCATTTTGTGATTTCTTGAAATTTTCAGGCAGAGTTATCACAAATATCCATAAGGATAAGAATCACTATTCTTTTGAAGTTCCAGTTCATTATTCTACAATTGTGATGTTGGTTTATACAGATAATAACTATGTTATTAAGGTATTACCATTATAGAACAAAGAAATTTAAATTAAAGATTTATGTCATGAGTCATTACTGGAGAAGAATAAGTTTTATTCCACCTTCAGGAGCACAAAGGAAATCATCCCTTAGACTCCATTTTAAATTTAAGACATATCATCAACAGAAATATTTATTATAGACTCCTTGAATTTATTATTTAAAATCCAGAAAGAGTTAGTGAGAATCAATAAATAAAAGATATAAGAGAAAGATTTGAAAATGCTATCAGAACTCTTAAAATGGGATAAAGAAACATCTCAGTTTTAATAGAAATTCTATAATTAATATTAATGTGATGAATTGAATTTGTTTCTCTTTATGAAGGATGCCAGATTTTTTGAAACAGTCATATTGAATCACATTAAAAATAAAATAGAAAAATCATTTATAGATAGCTTTTTACTTTAGGATCATTTAGCACTTTCTAAATATGAATAAGTCTAATTATTTTAATAGTTGAATGCACTGGAGTAAGCACTTCTTGTAATTTATAATTAAGAAATTGCAGAAAAGAAGGAAGAAGCATAAATTATGGCTAAATATCTATAATAGAATTTTAAAACTATTGTTAATAAATAGGACGACGATAAATATAAGTTACTTTTTGACACCATTTTAGGAGTAGAAAAAGAACTAATCAATCAGAAAAATAAGAGTTAAGAAATAGAAAAGTAAAATTCGAAAGAAATAAAAAATCATGATTAATAGATCGAATTAGTAGGAAGAAAAAAAAAAAAAAGAGTTAGTCGAAGATGTGAAGATGTTGAAGATGATGAAGATGATGAAGATGATGAAATGAGTAACAGCAGAAGTATGAGTAAAAGTAGAAGTATGAGTAGAAGTAAAAGTAGAAGTATTAGTAGAAGTATTAGTAGAAGTAGGAGTAGTCGTAGTAGTAGTAGTAGTAGTAGTAGTAGTAGTAGTATTCCTTAATTTAAAAAAAAGCGATAAATGGTTTAAGCTCGTGGAGGAGCAAGAACTAGATAAACTGCAAGAAAATCGACTGCTGGATGTGCTTCTAAGGGCTTTGGAGCTAGAAATTATAATTCCATGCGTGAAAGCTTAGTTTAAACTTTTTAACAAGTCGAAGCCACTAAGGAGTACTGTGAAAAACATTATAGTGTCGGAATAAATTAATAGTAATATAGGAAGTTGGTTCGTAGCTCTGAGTTTTTCATTGATCTAGCAAATCACTCAATACAAAAAGGTTATTTCACTGAAAATTTCATTTCATCTTCATTTATGTACTGCACTTCCAATTTCACAGAGATCATTAGTGTGTTGGCATTAATCAGTCTACCCTTCGAGTCTCCAAAACATACTCAACAATAATCAGGGAATAAGGGAATAGAATTATTATATCCGAGTTCTGCTCTCATATTGATAAAGGAGATTTAAGAGGCTCAAGTGTAGCCTAATTCCAGAATCATTATTAATCAATCCTTTTTCGATCCCCAAAATGAGGAGATTGAGGATCAGAAGGATAATGAAGATGAGGAAGACCTAAGATATTTTTCAATTAAAAAAGTTTATGGTTGTAAAGTAGTTGTTTCGAATTGCACAGCAGTTTCGCAGACCTTTTAATTATTGATGGAAATTCCCAATGGTTCAATTCCAGTCGATACAACATTTTCAACTAAAACATTAACATATACAGTTGCTCCTTATTAAAGTTTTATCTAAAAATACTTTTTCTATTTCCCAAAAACTGGAAATTTCACAATTTATCCAGCCAACATTTCAAAACTTGGAAAAGTCATTTAAATTGCAAAAGAGAAAATCTTCGAAGTCTACGATGAAAGGGCAAAGGTCAATCTAGAAAATATAAATGAACTCCTGACAACAGACAATAATTAAGACATTTTAAATTACATTGAGAACAAAAACATATTCAATGAAAAGTGGTTTAATCCAAAATTATTATATCATAAATTTAGTGATGAAACCTTCTATAATTAAGTAATGTAGATTTACAGAAAGAGAAAGTTTTATGATTACCACAGTTTTGCTTATGCATTACTACACAATAATGTTCAATGCTTAAAAGAGTTATTCATGACTTAAAAAGCTTAGAAGGCTTTGAAATAATATTTTAATCATTTTGCCTGTTCATTGTTTGAAATCAATTCTATTAGAATTCTGGAGTATTACCCACTGATTATTAAAAGAGTGCATAAACTGTAGAACGGAGAGAATAACATACTCAATGTATAACTAAGGAAACAATATACAAACTACTTAATCTATCTTTTGGAAAAGCCTCAGTTTTCAACCATTGATAAGTTAATCCTGATCTACTATTTGCTATTGCAGGAGAGAGTTAATGAAGCTGTTTAAGTGTATTCACAAATTAGCGAAGAGGAATAAAAGGAGTAATAATTATAGTTTGATTATTTATCTGCATATTTGGACTTTTATACAGGGTACCCCAATTTTTAGAAGGGAAGAGACATATGTAAAAAGTATTTGAGTTATCCTGTAATTCATTGGAGAAACATGTTCTATGAAATGATTAATCTATTGATTGAATATGATGGAGAGGAAGACAACCAATTCTCTAAATTAGAAATAACTTAATAATAAAGACAATAAGAAATTGCTAAAAAGGAAGAGACATTGTCAGGTTCAATAGAGGGAGATTCAATCAGCATCACATACTCAAACTTATCTGAAGTAAAGATAGAATACTATAAATTGGATATTGAAATTCTATTTTCAAATAACCCATTCATGAAGAATATCATCTAAGATTTCTCCATAGTCTTACCAAATGTATGTACAACTCACACTCTTGAAGGTCAAGAAATCCAAAAGAAGTAAATTCATTTATTTATTATTTAAGTTTGTATTAATAGAAAATTCAAATTCCTAGAGAGATTGTAAAAGAGAATCTGTTTGTAACAATTAAAGGTTTGTAGAAATAAGTCACTTGTAAGTATTAACCAACATCTCTGTTTGTACAAACTATGGCAGACTCAGGATAGATTAGAGTATTCAATTAACAAGGTTAATACTTATGCAAAGTTTACGTGAAAGTGTATTCAAGAGATAAAAATGATAAAGAGACATTCTATAAAGATGGATACACAGATCTAAGAGGAAGATTTGATTATTCTTCATTGAGTTCAGCCAACTTTAAAGACATTGATAAGTTTTCAATGCTAGTTTATCATGAAGAGTTAGGTAATTATATATATAATTATTTATATAGGATCCATAATTCAATAGGTTTCCCCTCCTCCAACTTTGGGATAATACGAAAAAGAAATTAAATTAATTGGAAATAAATGGAGACAATAAGAAAGAGACGAATATTAGAATAAGGAGAGAGTTTAATAAACTATGTTCATCGGAAAAGGAGGAAAAGGGATGGGAATAGGAAAAGTCAGCAAAAGAAGAGATCGAGATCAAGATCAAGATTGAGATAAATAATGATATATCGTATAGAAATATTAATGCAAATATTCAAATTTATTATTTACAATTTTACCATTCATATTTGGTAATTCAATAGATTTTTATCATTAATTTTATTTAATGACTTCTATAAACGACATCAAACATCAAAAATAAGAGAAGCTTAGACTTAGTCTCAGAAAAGAGAGAAATGAGAACACTTTTTCTTAAAAAAGACAAATCAGTAGTGGAGAATCAAAGACGAAAATATTCTTATTGTTTCCTGTTAATCTATACAAGAACATTGACATTCTGAAAAATTATAATCAAATATTTTTAATTGAGGACGACTAATACTTTAGAGCCTATAATTATCATAAACTCAAACTTGTATATCATAGAGCTACGATGAAATCCTATTAAGATTATTTACTGAATAATTTGAAGGATGTAACTATACAATATATTGATCAAAATGAAAATTGTAGTGTCTTTTTGGAAACTCTTTAAAGTACTGATAAAATTGTTATTACCCAATGTGATTTTTATGACCCAATCGATAAACCAGTTTTACAAAAGTATTCAAATATTTTATTGAAATTGGGAATACAGAGTGAAGTCAAAGAGAATCTATCATATTTGTGTACAAGAAATGATTTGTAATAATATCATAAAGAGCATGTAAAATTGAAGGATGGTAAACCAAATTATAGTCATGATTCTTCATTCTATAGATGGCAAAGAAGAAGATTGAATATTTTAATGGGTCCAAAAGGAGAAGACCCAGAAAAATGGACTTACGATTCTGAAAATAGACAACCATTAAAACCAGGCGCTAAAGTCCCTAAGAAACCTGACCTAATTAAATCGAGCTATTATGATGAAGCTGTAAGTTATGTGACTAAACATTTTCCAAAGAATTTTGGTGACATTAAAAATACTATTTACCCTATTGATCATGACTCAACAGAAGAATGGTTAGATTGTTTTTTAAAGTAAAAATTAAGTGAATTCGGACCATATCAGGACGCAGTTCATTCAGATTATCCCTTTGTTAATCATTCGATTTTGTCTCCGATGATGAACATAGGACTAATCACTAGCAGTCTAATTGTCGATAAGACTCTACAATACTATAAATAAAACAAAGCACCTATCTAATCAGTCGAAGGATTTCTTAGATAAGTAATAGGGTGGAGAGAGTATGTTAGATTACTATACTTTTTTGAGGGTGAACAGTAAATGAAGGCTAATTTCTTTAATCATCAAAATGAATTGAGTAACAATTGGTACACTGGTCAGACGAAATTGCCACCTGTTGATCATATGATTTAAAAGGTTATCAAATATGCTTACCTTCATCATATTGAAAGATTAATGTATATAGGAAATACAATGCTATTGTCAGAAATCAATCCAAAGGAGGTATTTAAATGGTTTATGGAAGTTCATATTGACAGTTATGAGTGGGTTATGGCACCTAATGTATTTGGTATGACTTAACATGCTGATGGAGGTATGATGATGACAAGGCCATATATTTGTTCATCAAATTATATGCAAAAGATGAGTAATTTTAATAAATCAACTAAGTCTGAAATTAAAATTGAAAAATAGATATATAATTGGCCTGAATTATTTGATAGTTTATATTATAATTTTATTGGTAAAAACGAAGGAGTACTAAAGCAGTATTATGCAACTGCAAGATAAGTGGCTCATTGGACAAAAAAAAGTGAAATAGACAAAATTAAAATCACAAAGATTGCATCAACATTTATTAAATAATTGATTAAATGATTATATTTATTTATTCAATAAAATTCTTATTGTATATCATTTTATAATGTGAATTAGTTCTTATCTTTTTAATATAAAATTAATACTAATGACAATGTATTCAAAAATTACGTTACCACCTGAAGAGAACATTTAAGCATTTAAAGTACAAATTTGCAATTAAATTTAAATTTATTAAGAATTATAAAATTATGGAAGTCATACTTGGCTACGTGGATGAATTTAGACACATGAAATTTAGAACGGTATAATAATATAGGATATATATGCAGAAAATATTACAATTAGTGTCTTTGGCAATAGTAATAGGATCGGCATTGTCAATTTGGAAAAGTTTATAAGTCGTGTCACTTTCAGAATGTCCAGTGGTTGTTGTGTTATCTGATTCAATGGTGCCTGCATATGGTAGAGGTGATATACTATTCTTGACTTACTTCAACAAGCCATTTGAGGTGGGAGATGTGATTGTTTATAAGCTCAAAGATCAAGAAATTCCAATAGTGCATAGAGTATTACAAATTCATAAATAGTAAGAAATTCAGATAGTATAGTGAATAGGAGTGAGGATCCTTTGGATTAGTTGATATTAACCAAAGGAGATAATAATCAAGTTGATGATAGAGCCTTATATCCAAAAAATCAGATGTGGCTGAAGCGATCAGACATCATGGGGAAAATATAAGGGTTTAGATTGATTAGTTATTTTTAGATTTTTGCCTTATGTTGGACACATCACTATATATCTGAATGACTATCCTTACTTCAAATTCGTGATGATTGGTTTGATGAGCTTGTTTGTGTTAACAGCCAAGGATCCATAAAGTTGAATTTGTTTAATAATTAAAATAATTGAACGATATGCTAAAAGTTCAAAAACGATTATTATTATTATCATTGAAATGTATAAATCCCTTCTTCTTTGTGCTTTACTTATAGCAACTCAAGCTGGACATGTCAGAAAGTCTCATGGATCAGTTCATTAGAAGAGAGTCTTCAATAGTGCCTTCATGGAATTCGTGAATTTGGGAGATTCTGATTATCACCTTAACCCTAAGGAAGCTCGTACGATCTCATCATTTAAATAGAACATTGGGCATAGATAACCACAGAAGAGACCAAACATGATAAATAAGCCAAGAAACATGCCTCATTAGTCCAAACCAATGAACAATACGTTCCTGGAGTTGTGGGCCAAGTCACTGATTTATCCAATAATGCTGGAGTGTGCTCATACACTGTAACTGATATCAATGGAAATGTCCTTGAATAGGATTCAGGTGATCATTTACCAAAACAATTCTACAATGCTTATTTGCAAATGACCTAAGAAATTGAAAAGGGTCCTGCCATGATCAAATTATAAACTGATTTGGATAACATCATTAGAGAAGACCAATTAGAACAAGAGACAAAGGCAGAACAATAATCTTAGGCTCTTGAAGGTACTGCTCTTTCAGAATAAGAACAATGATTAACATATCACACCATATTATCTAATAATTATAGAGGGTTGTCTCTTGTGTTTCTCTTTTCTGTCTTCCTATTGAAAAATCATCTATAAATATTGCAATTATTTATTATAAATGAAGCCTACAGCCAAGGTCTTCGAATACTTGAACAAATACAATTATTATCTACCCTAAAACTGTGAGCAAGTACAGAAAATGTAACAACAATCCATACTTCTAGGTTTTATGAACAAATGGTCTAACATTTGTAATTGGGAGATAGTTTCAGGAATTCATTCATTAGTTAAATTTCATAGATTAATCAAAGGGCATAAAAAGAAACTGAATTCAGACAACTCATTCGTGATACTTGGTTTGGATTCATATAGAAAACTCCAATTAAGGATATTTGTGAGTTGAATTTGTAAGAAATAAAGGATGTTTAGGAATTCATTTTGAAAGTCTTATTGGAACCAACAATGTTTGATATCACGTTTGTTGATGAACTATTATTCAATTACGAGATATATTTCAATTCTGTATTAACAATTAATGTATAGTAGAATAAAGGACTAGCCTAGGTGGTTGTGAGGAACAGGTTTAGGATGACAATCAGTAAATTGATATGTAGCAAATTCATATTATCATTGGATGAAAAATATAGATAAAAAGTTCGCTCATTTCTATTTGACATTTATCTTAAGAAGGTAGAGACTCTAGATTAGACTGTAGTTATTTAAACTGAGTTTTTGACAATTCAAAATTTCTATAAGAAGATGTTTGATTAACTATTTGATATCCAGGAAGCGCAGGGGACTTTCTATAATATCATGAAAAAGGTGATAGATATCATTGTCAGAGAACTATGCAATATTGTTTATTCATTGGAAATATTCACTCAATTCTATTAACTTTACATTGAAAAGGATAAGATTCTATTTGAAAAATATGATCCCAAAACTAATATTGACCATAATAAATTAGCAAATGAAATCTTATAGAAGTATTATGAACATGGAAATTTGAGAGAGGCAATAAGACAGGTCGTTTATAAGTTATTTCAGAGTCAGAATATTGAGTATAAGAAATTGTTGAAGGAGTTGGTGTAGAAGGACATATACAGTCGAGAGAATGAACAATGGGTTGTTTAGATATTGAGGGAATTCGAATAGTATCAAATACAGAAGAATCGCAAACAACCTATTGAGAATGATTTTCACACTTATTTGAGACTCCAAGGATTTACGTTTAGAGGAGAGAAAAGGGGAGAATTAGAATATGATCATGCTAAATTATCTCTTATTATCCATGATCAAACTAATTTCACAGTGACTAATAAAATAATGAAACAAACTAAGAGATTTGTATCTATCAAAGAAGCACATCATTATATACAAAGCAGTCTCCAGAATCTTAATAATTGAATATACGTTTTTATTATAGGCAATGATTATTTTATTGTTATTTAATTTGGCTTAAGCAATCGATTTAACTACCCTCCATTTGGATGCCAATTATCTCCAGAATCATACAGCTTAGTTCAAAACTCAATTGCAATTAGATCAACAGACATAGACCAAACCTGCTATAAACACAATGCCAGAAGATCAGTTTTCAGATCAAACTAGAATGAACCAAATTTTGTATGAATAAGAAGAACGTGCAGTCTAGAAGACTATCAAAATTCACGATACACCCCCTCCATCTGCCTATAGAACCAAATACGAAGAGATTCCAGATGAACAAAAACCTTAAACAAATGCCAAATTACCAAGAAAGAAACTTCAAGAAGAGGCTATGTTAGGAGAACCTATCTTGGATGTGATATCCATTGCTCCAATAGCATAAAGACACAAGGTGGCTCTTTTGGCAACTCTCATATTTGCATTGTGCGTCTTGATTCTAATGAGAGAAATGTATTTTAAATCATTGCACAGAATATATAGAGAATACTTATGGAAAATATCACTAGAAACCACTTATTGTGTGTTTGTCATTGTTATCTTCATTGCCCTTTATTATAATAACTATTTTGACTTTTGGCTGTTGAATTATCAGTATCAACAAGAGAAGCCCAAGGAAGATATTCTACTTATAGAAATCAAGGATTACGAAGAAAACTACAAATACAACATATATGCTTACCTTCTAATTGGAGGATTGGTTGTTATATCGAATTATCTGATTCACTTCCTCCAGATTTTTGTGTTCGATAAACAAATGCAAATCTGGTCAAACCAGGAAAAAAAGTGGTTGAACAAGTATCAATTGGTGTAATTGTATAAACAACAAAAGAATGAATTAAATCTAAAAAAGGAATAGCAATAACAATTTAATAGCAAAGAAGTAGAATAAGAGATAATTGAGATCCAGAATGTATTATTAAATACAGAAGAATGTATGGATTACTTGTTGATTAAGTTGTAATTCACATCCTAGATGTCACCATATTTGGGTCCAAATGTTCTGGATAGTTCCTTTAATTTATCGAATTATCTTGGCTATATAAGTGCTGATGTCATTTACTAAATATCAGTGTGGGATACCTAACAATACATCATCTTTACAATCTATTTCCTCTTCATGATAGTGTTACTCTATTTCATTAACATCATAATTGTTAGCATGCTCTATTGTTTGATTTTGTTCATCAAGATCATCAATCTCAATTACACCTTGATCATGATAAAAGAGAAATGTTTAATCAAAAAAGAATACGATAATCTCTTAGAAGATGAATTATAGGTGGTGCCTCCATTTATGGAACCAATATTTGAAAATATCTTACCTAAACGATCAGTTGATATTCAAACTGACTTGTTTCCATTTGCAAATAAACGCTACATCAGTATTGTTATTTCCTCTTTGACTAAGTTGTCTACCACTCTGTTCTTTGTCATGAATATCTACTTCTATTATTGGCAACCCTATGCATACTATGTTGTTATCATTTGCAATATAGTTTGCATAGCTACCTGCATTTCCATCATCTACATTAGCAATAACATTATCCATCATTACACCATTGTCCTCAGTTTGTATATTAGAAACTATGATTTCGCTTACAATGTCATTAAATAACAAAAGCAATTGCTAATTTAGGCAAGCAATCAGTTTTATGAGTTGCTCAGATATATCAATAAAAAATCATTATAACACACCTTACAGAAGAACCATTTGCTTTTATTGAGACCAGTCATGGTAGATATCATAGATCTATGCAAAAAATATTAAAAGAAAGGAATGCAACAAGCCCAATATGATCCACGAGAAGTTGAATTGGTTGATTTGGGAATTGAGGGGATAGATCTGATCCATAAAAAACATCTGAAAACCATCATCTATGCTTTGACTGACAAGTATTCCTACTTATTTATAAAATAGATTCTCAGAATAGGATCTTGTTTATATTGAAAGTTTTTGTTCGGATGATAATGCTGAGTACTTTTCACCCATGAAGCTTATCCTCTATTTGCATTTACGATATCAGGAGGTTAAGATGAATAGTAGACAATTAATCAGGGAGGTGTTGGAAAAGGTCATCCCGATGACATTTGATGTTCCTCAAAAATTGGAGGCTGAAATACCTGACAATTATATTGAAGATGGATTGCAAGGGTATTTGGACATTAATGTTTTGGATAATTTTCTTAAAGAATCTGTTAAATCCAATTTTTACAAGGATGAATACAGAGTATTATTGATTTAGTAGTTAAACAAATTGAAATCCAAAAAGCTAGATTCAATTTCAAATTTTATTAGTGATCAAATCTCATAACTACCACAATGAATTGTGAATAAAAATATATTTGTTTTATTAAATAATGATAACACCTATTTTTAAATAAATACATCCTGTAGATTTGAAATTTGCCACTGCAAACAGAGAAATAGATGAATTTTATGTGATTCCTACTCCTTTTGCTTACAATGATTTAATTTTTCAGATTGAATGTCAGTATTGGACTACTTATGGTTTAATAAAGGGGAATTTGGAATTCAATAAAACCAAAATGTATGGTGTATAGAAATAATAGATAGTTCATTGCAAATAATAACGATGTTATTGACACCTTGGTGAGAACAACGACAAAATAATCGAAAGATATTAATGAAGAGATAATATAAAAGTTTTCGTTTACGATACTATTGGAGGATATCTATTCAATTAAGAATAGAGATGATTGGGTTTAGTTTTATCTATTTGGTAAGACTGGGATAGAATTGCCAGTTTTGGATCATGAAAATAAACCATCAGTTTTATCAATAACTTTATTGTTAAATTAAAAATGTCCAGATGATATCATTTAACTAATAAAACAGTTGACAAACAACCAAGAAATTAGATCTGTATGTCAAAGCGACTAAGTTCATCATCTGATGAATTACATTTTAAAATTGAATCGTTATCAAACAAACAAAAAGACATTCCGAAAGATCCTTCACTCCTATTAACATCATCAAGAGAAAACCAATTAGATGGGATGCTTATCCCAAGTCACATATTACGATATCATATCTATCTAAAAATTAGATGTAGAACACAAATACGATACGTATCAAATTCGATCCACAACTCTCAATAAGCCAAGTAGCATTATTTCCTAATCTCATTTTGAGTAATTGCAAATTAATTTGCCATAGAATGTGATCGACAATCCATGGTACCAAGTATTTAAGTAAAATACTCATTGATATGAAATAGTCCGAAGTATCATGGCAATTCATTTTAGGAGTTTTTGAGAAGAACAAAAAATGTGAAAGAACATCTACTAATTGTTAAAGATGATTGGGATGTTATATTTGGGGCTTATTTGGAAGAGGGGTGGCGTATTGATAAGAAATATTATGGAAGTGAACAGAGCTTCATATTTAGTTTTAAGAACAATGGGTTTAGAATTTATAAGAATAGTAAGATGAATGAGTTCTTTCAATTTTGCAATTAGGACGGGTTTATTGTAGGGGGTCCAGAGGAGGAGGACCAGTTTTCAATAAAGATCAATCAGAATTTCTTGAATGGGGAGTTAAATAGCAGTTCGACATTTAGTAATGAACTACTTTCGAAGCAAAATTAATTCAAGATACTGGAATTTGAAATTTGGGGAGTTCAATAAAATTGTGAGTTGATCATGAGACAATTGAGATTGGAGAGCTATTTGAAGATTGAAGAATAATGATATATTGATAAATTAAAAATACAATTCATTCTCTATTGTGATTTTTTATGGCTTAAGCAATTTCATCTAAAATTTTGTCTGGGAATTCATAAGCATTGCATACTTATTTGATGTCTTCTCTCTTGTCGAGGTTCAAATTCCAAGCCTTCTTCTGAATCCTCTGAAGTTTGATGAGCATTTTCTTGTATTCCTTCTTGTCTCGACCTTCATTGAGGAGGATGAGATCAAAATCACCACATTGTCGATTGAAGATTCTTGATATAGATGATTGAATTACTTCTGAATCTAGGTGATGTTGTTATCCTTCTTCTTGATGATGCTGAACGAACTCAAATATTTTCTGAAGTCAACATCAATCCTATTATGTTATTGTCTGGATTCCTGAAGATTTTGGTTTTCTATTTGAGTGAGTCTGTAATTCAACTCACAAATGGAAAGAGCCGTCTTTTCGTATTCCCTATAGTTCTCTTGTTGATCTTGTTGTGCGTAATATTGATCCTCTTATTTGAGCATGATTAGATTATTAATAATAATGAAGAAATGTGACAATGAAAGAATAGCTTAATAAATATATGCCAGTTAGATGTTAAAATTGTAAGGCAAAATCCTGGAAAAGAAGTTAACCAAAACTGGCTCCAAGAATCACATCGAAAGTTAATCGCAAAACATCTCAAACAACAATAGTCCTGTCGTTGGAAGATAAAAGTCCTATGAGAATTTGTAGAAAGTCAACAAGACATTTATAAACCAACCAGTTTCATAGCAAAAATTAAGCAGCATTTTGAATGTGATCAGTGGACAACAACAACAATAAAACACTAAATAAAAGTACTCCATCAACAACGAATTGATCGAAACTGTTAAGATCTCACATAAGTTACGTAAGAATCAATCCATGATACATATTGAACAACAATCTCCTGCTCTAACCAAAAATGCATCCTTCCATCATTCAGTTAAAAACAAAATCAATAGCAATAGTGTATCAAGTGATCAATCTCAAATTCAAAAAGTCAAAGAGAAGATCAAATTGCTCTTGTAGGAACGAGATCAAAATCTCCCTCAAGATGCCAAAGAACTCGCCTTCATGACCAAATTCAACTAAATCCTCAACCAATTGGTGGTAGTGCTATTCTAAGAACCAAATCTATAAGTATCTCAACAACAATTCAATCTGCCCTCCTCAACTCAAGACACCTTCTAAGCCATTCAAATTGACCATTTCTTCAAAAGACAGATTCAGATCCTACAATAATCTTATTAATTGCAATTGGACAAGAAGAAGATGGAGAATGTCTTGTTGTAAATCAAAAAGAAACAAGAAATCTTGCAACAGGAGAATGAATAATTATCAGAAAACAAATCGTAAATGAATGATTAGGTAACCTAATTGAAGTAATAAATCTCGGAATTGTAAAAATAGAATCACAACAATCAAGAAAATGAGTTGTTAGAATCGGGTATGTATAATTAATTTATCCAAATAGAAACTCAAGAATTGAAGTATCTCGTATAAGGACAATTCGAAGCCATACAAAAATTGTTGCAAAGAGAATAGTTAATGAAGGTGTTTTTAAAAAGAGTGGGTGATAGTTCGATAATAGAGTAAGTGTTATTCCATTTAAATTTGATAGAATGTTTGAATAATTTATCCAGAGTGCAGAGAATGTTAATCAAGATGACACTGAAGGAAATTTGAATATTGATATGTTACCATAACAGAAGCATTCTTAGAAAACCAACTAATAACAACAATTATAATAATCATAATAGATACCAGATAAGATAATTCAAAAATACGAAACTAGTTACAAATAATTAGATTTATGCGATTCGTTATTGGCTGACGATTCAAGTATGAAGTTATTTATTAATTGACAGGAGTTAATGATTCAGAAGAAAGCAGTTTCGGATATTTAGGAAAAGAGTAGGCAACGGAAGTCAGTTGCTATTTCAACTAAGCTTAGTAATTAATTTAATCAGTATTCTATTAGGTAATTCTAACAACAACAACAAAACATATAACCATCTTAATAACAATAGAATTAGAAATTGAAGGGAAAGACTAATAACAAAGACAAATTAAGAATCAATATGATGGATGTGCAATTAGCATAGGCTGCGTAATTATTATTTATAATTGTTTAAAGTTAGAAACACGAATATCTAAAACAACAATAGATGCTCTAACAATAACAGCAACATCATGACAAGATTCTGCCAGATGATATAAACAGTGAAGATGTATGTAACATGTATATTCATAGTTTTGAATAGTTTACAAGATTTGATATCTTAATACTAATATACATAAATGTGTTATATTAAATTCTTAATTATTTTAAGTTAATAAATGTCTGCCTACAGTATTTGGATAATCTAATCTAATATAAAATAATAATAATAAATGTTAATAAAAATATATATAAAATATTAATATTATTTTTGTCTAAAATGAATAATAATTCCATCATTATTATTATGATTATTGCTTTGCTTCTTTTTCAGCTGGCATTTCTTCAACATTGCTAGAGGTTGCAGTTTACTATGTTATTACTTCTCCTGGAGATGCTAAATTAACTTATCCAGTCAAGATTTCGTAGGATCTCTTGGCATCTTCTTCAACCATTTTTTAATATTGTTCTCTACCTGATGGAATAATCATATGACAATTTACTAATCACATTTCCATCGTTATCAAAGAATTATATCTTTGGTGTTGATAAATCGCCTTCGTCTAATATGGCCTTTTCAGAATCCTTCAATTCGCTGAACCAAGTGCTTCCAGTGTCTTGGACTTCTTATAATTATGGTTCTGGTAAATGTAAACCAGATGCAATGCAATTATTGCTCATTAACATATTGATTGTGTTTCCCTCTTAGGTGTCAGTCATTGAAAATGAGGATCTTTAATAAGTAGAATCAATACCCAATGGGAACATACACAGATTATATGGGGAGTTAAAATGATAAGACTTCATCTGGTTTATTGCAATACTTGAATGATGAACCTCTAAAGTTGCACTCGGAATACAATATTACGCAGTCACCTTTAGCAGGTAAGTTCTATTCATAATTTCTAGCAATCAAAATTTATTATTCTTTGGCTGATTATAATACTGACTCTGGATCATAGACATATTCTTATTCAGGAGCGATTGCTGTTTCAATCTCCAATTATTAGCCATCTTGTTGGATCATGATGGGAGCAAATGGAGTTTGGTAATATAGTGCTGACTCTTCCAAAAAGGACTGAGAATTGGCTGCTATTAGAAGAACTAATAGTAATTGTATTTTCATTATTAAAATAAAAACGAATTATCTCAAACTATAAAATTTAAAAACTATTTCATTATTCATCAAATTGATTATCTTTGATGTTCATTTCATCTGATATATTAGATATCACCTATGGTGGATAGTAATTCAAATTCATCTGAACCTATTGAGGCTACATAAAATAACAAAACAGGTTTTTCTCATCCATTTACTGCTGCAATTACTGTTATGCCATCAAGTATTACTAATAGTACAACTATTATTGATCGTATATATTTATTTTATCCTCATCTTTGCCCATCTGATCCAACATCTGAAACATGTATGGCATCTAAGGAAACTGAAATTAGTAATCCTGAAAACCCTGTTACTATTAATAAAATGGGGGCCCAACCATAAATTGCTGCAACATACCATTCTCATTATATTTGTCTACTTTATCCTAGTTTCCGTTCTCCTTTCTCTTTCGAGCCACTCCCTTCTATCTCTTCTTTACAGAATGCACAAAAGGATTAAACTTCTGGTGATGAGACCTATAAGATAAGGAAAAAACTTATCTCACCGGCATTGAGAGGGACTTCGAGTACCAATAGTTTCACTCATCAATTTGAAGATCTTGCTAGTTTTCTTTTAATCTTATGATTCCATGACTGTTCTATGCATATTCAAGAAATCTAAATATGTGTTATGTTCCTATTCACTCCAATGTCCTGTTAATTAATTGGGATTTGTAATTACTCTTTTTTTATTCTTCCTTCTTTACTCACCCTCCTCAACTTATAAATTCATTTCCTCTTACTTAGCCCATATCTCCTCTTGACTCATTATTGCTTCTAATATATATATATATTTTATTATTTAATTAATTAAAATAATCATTCATTTCTCCTCAATTGACAAATCCAAAAGTGATAAACTGAATTATTGTGTTGTGAATAAGCGAATATCATTATAATGTAATTGTTGTACAATATATATATATATAAATAATAATAATATATTTACTTCCATTATTTATTATACTAATGATAAATAAAACAGATAATTAATAAATAAAATAATATATGTAAACTTCACCTCCTTTTTCACATAACCATTCAAACCCTCTCTTGATGAAGGATGATGTAGGAAAATCCAAACCATCTACGTACAACCTCCCTAATCAAGACTTCATTTATGGACAACCCTTATCAAGAGACAAAGAAGGAGCCAAAGAAGGTATATATCACAACCTCAATTTACCTAAGTTACCATGACATGGAAATTTCATCAAGAGTCTCAAGATAGAGTACCCAATAGAGATTTTGCTGAACTCAATAAACAATCTATCCACAATGGCTCAGTCAAAGCACATGTAACTGATTCACTAATTATTCATTCAGGATATGTACAAGTATAGACAGACTCACGATGCCAGACTTCAAATAAAGAAGGGTACAAATATTCAGGCCATCGAATTGCCAGAAGAAGAATTTCGCTATGGTCGCAAGAACAGGTACTGATCCTCTCTATCTAGACCATCCACTCCCATGAAGTTAGTTATGGGCAACTCCTATGGCATTGAAGCTGAATCAACCATCCTAGATAAATATCAACATAGAGCTGGATCTCAAGTATATACAATAACATAAAACCAAGGATTCCAAAATGACTTCCTCAGTAGTCAAAGGCAATAAGGCATCCCAATTATTTCATGATAGCAATCACAAAAAATTAGCAGCCATCCAAGGAGTAGAAAAGAAGGAACCCTTTAAAATGGAGAAATTTAAATCTGTCAACCCCAAAATTAATACAAATTTATCAACTAAAAAATGATTATTTTCATAAAACATTATCCTAATTTATTAAATCATTAAATTATTGAAATGTCCACTTTCTCAACCAAATCTTCATCCACATAAAGCAACTTGTAAGCATTGAAATATCGATTCTCCCCTTTCTTCTTTTTTAATTCCTTATGAGTTAATTCCTCATCATATCTATCAAACCCACTAAAATACTCCTAATAAACTTTCTCCCGTCCCAAATTCGTCAACTCTTTTTTCAAAAACTAACAAAGTTGAATTGCTTCCTTTCTATGTTTCAACACACTCAAGGATGACAGAATTCTCTTCAATCTCAATAAATTATGCGTGTTTCTTAAACAACACAATTCAAATTAATTTTTATCAATTAATACTAATTCTTATTATTATTCATCCTTAGTAGTTTGCTAATTAGATTTTATAAATTAATCCAAGGTAGCTTACTTGATCTTAGAGTTTTCACTTTATTTTTGGTTACTATTTTGTGATTCTTATACGCTTATAGTAGCTAAACCTTTTGGGTTTTATTATTTTTAAATAGTCTGTGTTTGTAGTTAGGAATATTAATTGCTTTCGTTAGAATCATCAGGTAAATCTATGACGATAACTTACTTTGATTTTGATAAGATTCCAAAGAATCGTAAAATTAATATATAGTTTTTATAAAATCTCTTTCGGATAGTTTCTGACTTAATCATTCTATTTCTTTCTTCTAATGTTAGTTTGTAAGAGTTTGGGTTGAATTTACTTGCATAAAAGTTAGGGAACATCCATTAAATAAAAGAGTGATCATATTCAAGATCTTGATAGAATGATTTAAGATCTTCAATTTATGGCTTTGATTATTATTAAAATTACTCAATGATGGCTTTAATTTTGGGTTTGACTTATTGCCAAGTTGCATTGTTATAAAAATCAAAATTTCTCATCAGAATTTCAGGTTTATTTGATTACATAAATTAAATTTATAAATAAAATAATGTTTGCATTAAAACATCATTAAAATTCTGATAAATTGTAGAGTTAAGGATATTTAATCTTAAAACTACGAATAAGATCTTATGTCTTATTTAAACACAAATCAATCTGGGTTTAATCTATTTAAGAGATTTCCATCACTTTGTTAAACTGTATTTATAGTTGAAATAAATTACAAATTGGTTGATGATGAATTCTGTATTGAACAAATTCATTTTGGAAACATAATCTTTAATACTATAGAGGAATGCTGAACTTGCCAGAGTATAGGAATTGAAGGATGTCATTGAATAATCATGAAGACACATTTTTAAGATGTAAATACTGGTTTTTAGGATATTTTACAATATAGGACTAAATTTGTAATAAAATAATACTTACTTGTCATTCAAATTAAAACATTAGTAAAAGATATTTTGTAAATAATCAAGTGAAGTAGGAAATGTGATCTTGAAATTCAAGGTTTCCAAGATTGATTTTTCCATCTCTTTGATATCAGATCTAAAATAAAACTAAAAAATTACGTAGAGAATTTATTTCGACTGATTTTTGTGACAAATTACTTTAATGGGATAAATTGGATATCTTCAAGTTTAGTAGCTATAAACATGGAGGTAATTCCAATAAGATGAAGATCATTGTGAGAATATTATTTGATTGATTTTTGGAAGAAGAAATCCATGATTGACACAGCTCTGAAGAATGTAGCATCTGAAGTAGTACTACTATATTTTCCAAAGACTTAAATCATCCAATCAACCATTCTTGCTCTTTAATAGTAAGATATATTTTAGTGTGACAGACTATTTCCAAGAAAGACATTCTCATCCATCAATGATTATTGAAATTCTTATTGGTAATATTTATTGTATTGAAAGTATTTTCTAAATTCTGGGTGATCTGGATTTTGGTCAATAGTCACTTAAAATAGAGTTATATCAAGTACTTTCCTATTCTACACTCCCAAGACTAAGGGGGTTCAATTTCAAACTCAAAACTTTAAACTCCTCTTCAGCTTCCAATCCCCTGATGATCTTCAGAAGTTTACCTTCTACAGGTTGACATCCATCTAAATCGTGCGATTCTGAGCTGGTATTACATGAGGAATAATTTGAGTCACTGCTCTTCCTTTTTTTACCTTAATGAGTCTTTTTGTTTTTAGGTTTAGTGGATGAACTTCTTCTGGATCTTGACCAATTCTTGTTTTATTTCATTTATAAATTAAAAGTGTTTCACTCCAATTTGGTTATCTTTAAATTGCATTAAGTGATATTTTTACTCTAATTTTGTTTCACTAAAATACAATTATTAATTAATGTTGATATATTATATACTTATACCATTAGTTATTGGATCCAAGGAGTCCTGCTAACATTACATGACGTCTCTCTTAATGAAAGTAGAATTAGAAGGATATAAGAAGCTTCTAGAAACAATTTGGCCATATGCTAGTTTATCAGGAACAAGGTACAATGTGTTATCATAGAATAGTCTAAATCAATTTGGGATGTTTGAAACATGTTTAAGAAATGGATACTATTATTCAAGTCTTAAAATAGAGATGGACCCTATTCCAAGTTATTATGGACTGTGTCATTCTATAGAATGCACAACGAATGATTTCAATGATGAAGAATTGTAGTCTGATTTTAAGGAATTAATCAATTCAACAGGGTTCTTAGACAAATATAACGTATTAATTTACTTATTCAAGGTATCAATAGATGATGCCGATTTCATTTTTTATGACCCTCTAACTTACAGAAAGGATTAGGGGATTATGTTTACATTTACGCTTTTTCTTATTGGAATGTTTTTGATTCTTAGTTGTTTCAATCCAGTTTTTTGTTAAATGATGAAATTTAAAAGACAGGCCAAGGTCTCAATAAACCTAAGTGATGTTGAAAGTCGCGAGAGACATGATGAGAATTTGGGATTAACAAATAATGAGATAACAACAATAAAGTAAGAAGAAACTAAGAAATCATTCTTCATAGATTACTCTATTAAGGAAAGTTATAATACACTCTTTTCATTTAAAGAACACGATACAAATTTAAGTATAATGGAAGGATTTAGATCATTGGGATTTTTAATGGTAATCTTTGGCCATCAATTCCTAGATTTAGCAAAATCATCATTTCAATACGAAATGTTGGCTTAATTGAAGTCATGGCTATGTTTAAACCTAGTTAATATGTTGTATAGTGTAGATATGTTCTTTTGGCTTGGTGGTTTTTTTAGTGGATTTATGTTAATTGAGAAAAACAAAATGAAATTAGTTAAGAAAAATGGATTATCAATCTTTGGATTTTTATTACATAGAATTTTGAGAATCTGGCCATGTTATGCAATAGCTATTTTGATTAGTTCCTAGTTAGTTCCATACATGGGAGATGGACCAAGATGGTTTATGGCGTTGGACCGTTTTGAATGTGCAACAGGATGGAGAAACCTAATATTTATAGATAACCTATTCTACGATACTTAATATTGTTTTCCATGGGGTTGGTATTTATCAACTGATATGCAATTGTTTACCTCATGTTTGATTCCAGTGTTCTTATACGCCAAATTGAATTCAAGAGCAGCTAAGATAGTGATCATATCATTGTTAGTTATAACTCAAACTATTGGCACAGTGATGTCCTTTGTAAATGAATATTTGTTGCCTCCTTTTGCTTTGACTTAACCAAAGATGCATTAGAATTACTACACTAAACCATTTACAAGAGGTCCCCCATACTATTTAGGATTTCTATTGGGAGTTTTGTACAGAGAATTGAAAGAAAATAATGTGAATGTCTTAAGTAAATTAATGGGATATGCTTCAAAAAGATAATTGAAATTTAAATCATTGTGTTACTTATTAGGTTTTTTAATAATTGGAGGCATTTGGTTTGGGTGGAGACCAGCTCAATTGCATTATGAACATTAGGATTATTGGAATAAAACAATATAGAGTCTCTGGTTTGCATTTTGCAGATTAGGAATAGCATTGGGAATGAGCTTCTTGTCTTTGCCTTGTTTATTTGGGATGCAGGATTTGTAATTGTTATTAGATATATAGTAGATTCAATCTGACGTTTATGAGGAACAATTACTTTAGATTTATCAACAAGATTTCATTTTCTGGCTACTTATTACATTAAGTAATAATCTTTGGAGTGCTGGGGCAATTTTATCAAACACCTAACTTTTCATTCGAAACAATATTCACACTTTACATAGGGAATGTGTTTATAACTATAATATGTTCAATATTGTTTTGTTTGTTTATAGAATTGCCATTAACAAGAATAGAAAACAGAGTGATGAAACAATTGTTTAACAAATGATTATCAATATTAAATTTGTGTTAATAAATACTCATTTATAATTAAGTGCAATGTATTTTACGGCTGCTTTCATCATATCTGATTACAACTTTGCATATTGGTTAGTAACTGATTAAGGTACATCTCCTCTTGGGTCAAAACATTGGAGAGCTATAACTTTGGTCATCTAAGAAATATTGTGGAGATAGATACTTAATTTGGTTAAGGAATGATGATCCAACCACTCAAATGCATTTCTGCTCTCTCAACCTTATTAATTGGGGGAGTTTTCTAATGGATGATAGATTTAGCTATTAATGCATTAACAATAATAGTCTTACAACAAACGATAATAATGCCATCATTTTATTTATACACTTTCTAAACCATAACTAAGTCTCTGCTGCTCATAAAAGGAATGGGTGGTTTGATTCTCACATACACTATCCTAGTATTTGCATCAATCTATTCTATAACGTGTGCCTAGTTGATCAGGTTATGATTAGTACAGTTTCAATCTTCTCATCATACAAGGGTCTTTTATTTACATCTCCTACCAAATCAAGTATTTGATCAGGTGTTCTAGCTATTTCTGTTTGTGTCCTATTCATTGCAATTCCGTTTTCTGGATTCTTCTTGGTATACACAATATATCCATCTTTATTTGAGTACAATTCCCACATGTTCTGTTCGTTGATTTCTTGCCATTTCAACATTTTGTTTTTAGTCTCTAAGGATGATCAAATATTGATACCATCAATCAATGCTTCGTAATTCACCTACATTAATCTATTTATATTATTCCAACTTAGTTATTTGATATCAACACTTATCAATTTTAATTAATATAGAAATTAATATTTAATTCCATATATCTAATATATTTCATTAATCATTCTGCATTCTCAACCATCATTACAATCTCATCTAGAGTCAAATCTCTGAATATTTGTAAGTATTCCCTTGCCTATTCCTAATTGCATTGCAACACCTCAGCTAATCTAGTCGCTCTCTTCTCATCCTCCTCACTCCAATGCATCTACTATTAATATCTATAGATAATTATCAACAAAATACTAATAAAATTATTATTGCTATGAATTTTGCATAGTGTTTCGTAATGTCTAACTAACTTCCTTTAATAACTGTTATAGCTTCTCTCTTTGTTATTTGAATTAAGGGTCTTTCATTATCTAACGAATCTTATGCCATTTTTAACGATGATGATGGCCATGGTGTTTAAAATGATGAAATCCGCCAAACATATGAGGAGGATGTCCAAACCCTGGCATTCCAAAATGTCCAAAAGGTGGACCTGGAGGCATCTAAGGAGGCATAAAGGGAAATTGAGGAGGGGGTTGTTAAGGAGGATGCCCAAATTATTATGGAGGTCCAAATTACTAATGAGGATAACATTAGGGTGGATAATATCCTGGTTAAAATCCTTAATGCTATTAACCATATTATTAAGGTTCCCCCTCTTTATATGAAGAACAAGCCTCACATACTATCCCCTCTTGATTTTGGAGTGTGCAATTCTTGCATGTCCATGCATTTGATGTCTAAATAGTAATCTTCACTGTCTGGTTCTTGACACTCTCCATTAAGACCTTCAAATCCTCATCTGAACTTATGCTGATCAAATCTCCATCGTCATCCTTATAAAATAAAGAATAGTTCTAATTTAGTTAAGGATGCAATTTTTGAATGTGATTCTTGATTTCTACAATCGCTGGATTCTCTAATTTGAAGAGATGTATTTCTTTGTTATACACTAGTTTTATTATCATTAATTATTTAATATATCATTATCCTTCTTTCAGATTATAAATTATCTAATTAGAAATCCTATATTCTAATCAATATTAATTTCGTCTCTTTATAACGAATCATAATTCTTCGCATTTTCATTAATTTAATCAATTTTTTTATAACTACCTTAATTAAGAAGAAATACAACTATCTAGTAAAACTACATAAATTTATCACTTAGAATTGAGAGTAGATCTTAAGAGAAACCAACTAGGCTAGGTATTTATATCAAGGTGACTTTTAATCTATAAGATTATCATTTAATTTAAACTACTAAAATTTAGGTATGCTGATAATACAATTCATATTATTATCATTAATAGCCAGAATTAATAAGAGTTCAATAATAAAATGAAGTGATAGAATTCAAACAAAATTTATATTAATCATAATTCTTATTAATGAGTATGATAATTTAAATAGGAGGGGATCTCGAATAGGAAATTCATCCATTATTTGCAATGAATAATTGATAGTTATTCTAGAGATATGAGAAAGATGCTAAGCAATTATCATTTTAATTACAAGAGTAGAATTAAATAGATAATTTTTAAAAAATAAACTTGATATTAATCAATGATAGACAATAATTTATTATCTTAATAAGTGTATTTCAAGATAAGGCTATTAGATTATCACCCAAATTTCTGAATTATTTTATATTAAACCCCAAATATCTTATTTTTGTGTATTAATTAAAATATTTCTTCAATAAATGGACTAAGGATTCGCTCAAAATAAAGGATTATTTAAACTTAGACCTGAAGTACTTGGAAAAGTTTTTGACTTCCTTGAATATAAATAACTTCTTGAGTTTAGAACTGTTAGCAAAAAGGCTGATTAAATAACATAAGGAATTTTAACACATAGGTTGGAAAAAATAGAAAAAGAAGTTAAAAGGTATGAAAATTTAATGCAACCTCTTAAAGACGAAGTATATAAAGAATTGAATGGAGAATTAAATAATGAATTCATGACTAGAAGAATGAATATTATTAATATTGTGAATAAGATGGATTTTAAATCATAATAATTTAAGGATGCGTTTGAAAAGGATCCTGTTGGAATTGAAATGACAAAATATCTGAAATTATTATTCAATGATAATTATGAAACATTATGGAAATTATAAGTTTAGTCAATCTCAGAAGAACAATTTGTAGATTTACTCAAAATCTAGGAATTGGAATATCAAATTAACACAGCTCCTCCTCTTTGTAAGGAAATGTTCTCAGTTTTCAAAGATATTATTGAACTTAGGAAAATGAGATTTATGAATTGTAAAAATTGCTATTATTCTTAGAATGGCATAAATAATATAAGATTGATATTGATTCTGATAAAGAGATTGAAAAGTAAATAAAGGTTTAAGCAATTCTTGCTCGTATAAGACAAACTGAATTAGAAAAATAATTCAGTAACATATAAATTTGAAATATGTTAAATAAGTAACATTTATTAGTATCAATTTCCGTTTTCAAACCTACTGTGGTTCATTTTTTCTATTCGAACTTAAATCTTAATAAAAGTATCTTATTATATATTTGGTATTTAAAAAGAATGTCTAATTTTAAAGTTCTATTGATTCAATTTTAATCTTTTCAATTTATTACAAATCTTAATATATAGAATATTTATTATCATTACATTTCTTCAAAATTCTTTTAGCTTATATTTAGTAAATTTAGATATTTGAATTATAATAATGATAATGCAGAAATTGTAGAAATCATTAAATTTTTCAAATAATCTAAATTACTAAAAGAATATTTATTGATCGCTTTCTTAGTGATAAGGAAAATTGTCTATAAAAAAAATAATGTTGAAAGGTTTTTATTCACAATATCATTTAAAATTCCTTAATACTTATTTTTAATATTTCTTATTAATATAGAGTTATTTTTATTAGCTATAAAGTTATAGGCGATTTAAAAAGAAAATTAATTAGATACAAACATGATCGATTACTCGTTAAAGTCTATTGAAATTCATATAAAAGAACTTTAAAACGCAAATGAAATTGAGTACTGAGTTATACTAAAACATTTACTACAAAAATACGATAATATTTATAACTAGTTTGTTGTAATTTTGTTCTTTTAGATTCAGAATTTTTTGAATATATACTAGCACAAAAATTATAAAAAGAGTTGAATGTGTAAAACCCTTTGCAACTAATATTGTGATCAATCAATAATTCTCTTAGAATTAAATAAATTTTCTTATTTTATTTAAACTAAAAAATAATCTAATAAGAAATATAAATATTTTATAAAATAATGGGAGCAAATTCAGGCGATCTCTCAAAAACAAATATTAATTCTGATTCTTATCAATTTGTTCATTCGATAAAGGAAAAGAAATAAAAACATCAAAATGTAGCTGTATCATTTAATTACAATTCTTCAATCCTATTAGTAAATTAAGTGTTAGGATTTCGAATTTTCTCGATTAAATCATAAAATTTAAAGTAGTTAGTTTAAATCAAAAATCCAAACTACAATTCAACCATTTAGTGCTTCAAGAAATCGAATAATTTTGTGACAGGAAACTTTATGAAACAAATAATAACCTAATCTCTAATTGCCATAAATAATAACAAAATCATTTCTAAAAGTATTATTCCTATACAGGTAAATTGTTTAATATTAAATAATGCTGAAAATTAAATAATAGCAGGAGGATATTAGAAAATAGTGATTTTAAATATTCAGAATGGATTGAGTGTTCATTAAGAATTTTAGATTCATGATAATTGGATTACAAATTTAAGTATTAGTGAATTTGATACCTATTTGGCAATTGATTTAGATGAGAATTGCATTTTGATAATGGAATAGTGTGTAAAAGATACTTAAAAAATATGGATATAGAAATGATTAATTGAGATATCAAGTCAGAATAGTAAATCCATATTTATTAATAACAATATATTAATTAATAAACTCATAGATAAAGAATTACTCTATATATACGGATATGATATTTAAAAATAGCTATTTAAATTAGAGAAAGAAATAAATTTAACAGGAAAATCTCATAAATTTTAGGTTGAACAATTAAAATTTAATTATTAATAGAAAATAGTTGCTATTACTAATAAGAAAAATATTAATTTTATAAAAATAATAAATAGTGATAATTTTGAACCTTAATAAATATTAACTACCAAATATGAAATAATCAGAGGAGATTTTAGCTAAGATGGTGCCTATTTTGCATTATTGACCCAAGGTAAAAATGAAATACTGTTATATAAATTAATGAAAAACAAAGAGAAATGAAATTGTATTGAGTTTAATCCAGAAATATTTGGAAATTTAATTACTCAAAATATTTAAAATAGTAATTAAAATCATTAATATACAATTTCAATTATTTGTTTCAAATAATCTCTCTAATTCAATTTTTACAAGTTTTCTTTAATCCAATTCAGAGTTATTCAATTTAACTCTAGCAGAAGATTGAGAACCCATCAAAATAGTCATGTGTCTAAAATTATATAATAAAACATTAACCTTTGTTATTTTATTTATGCTTTTGAAATTGAAAGTAGAAATTGCTTCATTTTTAAAAAGCGTAGCTTTAACCTTTTTTCCTTTTCGATCAATTCTTTTTTGTATTAACTTAAATAAATAGTCAAACAAAAATTTCCATTAATGCATTAAAATAACCTCAATAGCAATGATACACCTTAAATTCTATACTTCCTTATGTACACTCTAGAAATATCAAAAACAAAGGGAAAGCATAGTTTTAAGCATAATAGTATAATTAAAACCTGAAGTATAACAGAAAAAAACACCTGATCTTATTGATCACATACATAAAGAGCAGAGGCTAGAAAAATAACTATGGAACAAATTTGTCCCGTCTACAAATCCAAATTATTTAAGCTAGAAATAATGTATGGTTTGTTTTGAACTGCCAATAATTAATAAAATAATAAGCACAATCCCAAAAAGTGATGCCTTTAAGAGGATATTGATTTCAAAGTAGGTCATAATTATGATTATAATAGTTTTCTTAGCCAATTTAATCTATTCCCAAAAGTATTTATCTGAATTATATTCATTGAACAAATAACAAATATGTCTTCTAAGTTTAACATCATCTAATTAATCCTTCTTGATAAACATTAAAAAAGAAAAGCGAAAAAGGTATACAACATCCAAAAAAGCCTAATCCTGGAATTACAAAAGTATAGATCCATGTGTAATGATTCTCATAACCAAAGACCAAGGATACGTCCCCTTGAATATAATTAATGTCTGAAATTCTTCTACTTGATAAAATTGAGGAAAATCTAATAAAATATTATTTCTATACTGTTTAATAATTGCAGCATAATTTGAAACATACAAATATAAACAAGTGGCTGATATTACGCTCCTATTAAATTTTTTCTTGAAAGCTAAAGAATATATTGTAAATCCAATGCATATGATCAATAATTATAAGAATATTAGTGTTATCATTGCTATAATTCTAGAATATATCAATTCTGTCTCTGACATTTCTTACAAGTAGCAATCTAAATTATTAGCCATAAAAAATGATGGATTGCCTGCCTGATTTATAAAACTAAGAGCAAAAGTAAATTTGATATTAAAAGAGAAAATTACTGAAAAAATCCAAAAATAATTCAATAACATTTTTAATAAAATACTTTCGTGATCTATAATATTATGGATTATTACCTTAATCAAGCTTGAAAATAATGTAATTAAATTTCTACCTAATTTTAAGTTAGGTAAATAGTTTATTAGTTTTATCAATACTTTTTAATGTCATGAGTATGGATAACAAAGCCCTAAGATAAAAACCTTAAATACCAAAAAGAAGTTAGAATAAATGGCAAAATGCTATCTTAAAATTAAAAACAATTCAAACATGTCGAACTTTATTAATCTTTAAAGAAATATCCTTATCCTTGAATATTGTATTTATCACATTCCTCACACAATCCTCCAATATTTCCCAAGCTACAAAGATAATCTCCAACTTCCCACCCTCCCTGACATTATTTTGGATTCTTAAAGCAATATTCTGTTTAGTCAGATAAATAATTAGGTCTCCAATATCCTTCTTGTAATTGTAAATTATTCTAAGTTATATTCTACAATTTTGCTTGGTCGAAAATTGAGCATTTTGTTGCATTATATGTAACAGAATAATACCCTTAACTTGGTTAACATTTTTAACAGCCACTTTCTACCTTAAATTCTCCTAATTGACACAGAAAAGATTTTGCTTTGAAAAAATATTGGAGCTTTTTAGATGACTGTTCTAAAAAACATTTAATATTTATCTAGTAATGAGAATATTCTTCATTATATGGATTAAATTAAAATTCTAAAGAACCAAGATCCAAAGAATTTGTTTCTTGGTTTAATTTTTAATTTTTTGATATCTATGGTCCTTAAACAACAGTTTAATTGGTAAAAATAATATTTTCTTCTATTTCACAAGAACAATCTGAAATAAATGGTAGAATTTCATTTTGACTATTTTTGAATAAAACTTATATGTTCTCAATATATGATTAATAAATTTGAGTTTATGGATTAAAAATTGAAAATTTTGTGATTTATTGATTACTGGGCATCATTAAGTACTTTGTTAAAATTAGTTTTCCTTGCTCAAGAATTTTATAAGGTTGGAGTAATAACATATTTGTTTAAGTGCCATTAATTTGGAGTGAACTAGAATTCAATTCAATTGAATTAATTGATAATTCTAAGTGGGTTGGAGATTCAACAAGATTATTTGCTTATTATATCGCCTTGTTGAAATTTACTGATGATTAAACAAAATTTTATGAATTCAAATTAGAATTTCCAATAAAATATATTCCCCCTCCCTCCTTAGCTATGTTATGTTGAATTGAAACAGATTTCAATTTAAAATTTTCGGTGCTTATTTCCAATAGCAATCCACCTCCAGCCTAATTTGCATTGTTGTACATGATTAAGCATTTTTATAAGTGCAATTTGACCTTTGAAGATCTAATGGCAACTCCTTAAGTGCCATTATTATTAAGAAAGATTGATTAAGTAATTTAAATGATATTTGAAGATGAAGAATCTTTTGATTCTATATTAAACAACCAAATTGTTCAATGTAATTACCAATACAATGTAATTTCTGAAACCAAAAACTTTATAATTATTAA